GACAATCTACACGTCACTATTTCATACATACATGCTTAGCGATTTCACCTCTATTTTTTTTCAGATTATAATTCCATTCATCGTTTCCTGCGTTAAACATCCCAATCAATTGACATTTCGTTCAAATTTATTTGGACATCATTAAGGCCCGTTTCTACCAACGTCGATTAAATTAAACCTCCGGTTAAACTATATCTTTATCTCTTTTTAAGAACTTATTTGAAAAGAGACAAATATATAATTTAATCAACGTTGTTAGAAACGGGCCTAAATTCTCTCCTTGCGTTTAACACTCGACATGAAACATCATTGTACTTATAACCTTTAAATCGACCTTGCGGCAGGGATAAGACGCGCACTTGCAAAGATAAATCGAGGAAACGAAAGCTTGTCGCGCATAACCTTACATTTTCAAACCCGTTAGAGAATTGAGAGAATCGCGGCTAACGTCACTCGATGTACTCGAAGACGAGGTGAAATCGATTCCGAATATATCTCGCAGAATCTTTCGACGGCAGAAAGGGCGTTTTACGGCACTTTGTGCGCGACCAGACGCGATTCGAGCAGATTGCTCGGTGCAATCGGGGACTCGTATCTACCCACCTACCTACTTTTCGCGCCGTGGTTCCATTTCGTTCGTTCGTACTCCCGGTGGCGACGTACACGACACAGGAATACGGAGACACTGTCGGCCAACAACGAGACAACACCAGCGTGCACTTGCGTCCGACACCCCGAGCCGGCGAGAGGGAGGCGACGACGGAATCACTACTACTAACACTACCGCCGACGTTTCGACTCGCCGGCATGCGCGACCGCGTAACAAAGCCGGGTCGGTTGCAGAAAACGTCCGTCTTCCCCGGCCGCCAGTAGAGCACTGTCAGGTGTGCGTCCTCGCGGCGCGTACTGGCGTCGAACCATCTCCCCACTCCACGCTCTTCCCCCACTCCGCGACGCGTCGCGTCGCCGCTGTAGGTGTGTGTGTTTACGTATACGTGTGCGTAGTTAGCGAGCCGCGGGCGCGATCTCTCCGAACAGTTAACATATACACACATGAAACAAGCGCGCAGTCGGAAACGTACGACTACGGCATACGGTTTACATAAGAAGGGGAATACTACATATTAGATTCGGCTTTTTCAGGCGTTACCATAAGCCGAAAAATAGTACATATTTTTAATGTTTATTTATTACTACGCGTGAGAGAAAAGAATCTCTCTCTTTTCGTGAAATTATATTTATTTACTTTTTTCTCTCTTTCTCTTAAGAAATTTCTCTCGATTTATGTACAGTCGATTGCTAAATAATCTTTAAAAAAATACGACATATGTTAAACGACATATATTTCTTATCTGACTTTAAAAAAAATGTTAAAACCCGATATTTTTGGATGTTACTATAAGCTGTAAAATAGTGCATATTTTATTTATTCGACGCGTAAGAGAAAAGAATCTCTCTTTTCGCGAAATTCTAATATGTGTTTACTTTTTTCTCTCTCAAGATATTTTCCTCAATTATACATTCAATCGCTCTCGTTGATAATCTTCAGAAAAAATGTTAAAATCCGGTATTTTCGGAAGTTACTATAAGCTGAAAAATAGTACATTTATTTATTACAACGCATAAGAATCTCTCTATTTTCGCACAAAATTTATTTATTTGTTTTTCTCTGTTTCTGTTTCCCTCCCAAAATAGTTTCCTCGATAATATCTTTGATCGTTCTTTATGTTTTCATTAATAATTTCTTTGATAATTTTATTGATAATTTCATTGATAATTTAGAGAAATCTGATATTTTCGAACTTTATTACAAGCTGAAAAAATAGTATTTAAAAATACTTTAAAAATTTTTTTATTTATTACTACGCATAAGGGAGAAAAATCTCTCTTTCTATATTTTCGCAAAAAAATTTATTTACTTTTCTCTCCTTTCTCTCTCTCTCTCAAAATATTTTTCTCTATTATACCTTCGATCGTTCTTTATACGTTTTCATTGATAATTTCTTTGATAATTTCACTGATAATTTAGAGAAACCCGATATTTTCAAACATTACTATAAGCTGAAAATGGCATTTAAAAATATTTTAAACGCTTATTTATTACGACGCGTAAGAAAGAAGGATCTTCTTTCATGAAATTATATATATTTATTTACTTTTTTTTCTCTCTTTCAAGACATTTCCCTCAATTATACGATCGTTCTTCACGCTCTCATTGATAATTATTTTAAAAAAACCTATTAAAACTCGATATTTTTAGACACTTAATACTCGATTTAAGTTTACCAAAATAAATTTTTTTCTATTCAAGTTTTCACAAACTTTTATTAAGAGGCCACAGTCCGTTTCCAGAGTTGCAATCTTGCATGATTTATATACAAAACTCGGCTCGCGTTTCACAAAGCGATAATTGCGGGAAAAAATATATACGCGCACGAAAACACTGTTCTTTGCAAAATAGCACGTTTAAAATTTTTACTCGATTTTCGCACGATGAACAGAGAGGCAAATCGTAATTGGCACACGACGTTGCACCAGTAAGATTCTAGATCACGCACTGACCTTGCTCTCGAAAAACGACGCGGGATAATTGTATATACAGACAGACGGATGTATAGTATATCGTTTGCGAGCGTGTCATATTAGCTCATATCGAAACGAACGTTCTCTTCGAAGAATCGTTGCATTCGATTTAGGATAACGCGGAGAAAAAAAATAAGTAATTCTCTTCTCTTCTCGAGGAGAAGAGAGAATGCACGTTCGCGCGCATTAATCCGGTAGATATTAGGTAGATTTCATCCTTATCCAGGCAATCTATTCTCGTAACGCGGTCGAGCAGAGTGCATCGCCCGACCTGCAGTTATTTCAACATTTTTGCATAAATAACGTTCGCATTAATATTAAGGGTGGAGAGGGAGAAGTTATTCGATCGTACGTTATGTACGTTCCAGCTTTAACTCGCTATACTTCTGCAGATATTATTTAATGTTGCTTCAATGATACGGGGTAGATATATTTCGGGATCCGCGAATAATCTCGCATCACTTAAGGATTAAATTTAATGCAGTCTTAAGCTACACCATGACTATATAAGACGCTTTTCTCTCCGCCACACGATAATAACTGTTAAGAAGGTATTTTTCTCAGCACGAAGTCTCGCGTAATGTGGAAACTCTAAGCGCTGTAACTCTTGTTCAGTTTACATATAAATCGAGCCCTAAATTAATCTTTAGAATACTCGAGAAAAGGATATTTTCTCGAATCCTGAAAGTTTTGTTTTAGAATGAAGAAGTTTTCTAATTTAGTATATGTTCTTTGTCTTTCTTTTTCTACCTTTCTCTCTCAAAGTAAGACACAATCTCTCTTAAGGACACATTCACCAACGAAAATTTCATACCTCCACTCTCCAATCGTTACTCTTATCTTCCAATTATATGATTTATTAAAATAATTTTGTGTTGCGCAATGCAATTGAATAAGTCATAAGGTAAAATCAAATAACACATTTTGTAAATCAACATATATGCCGATAAAAAATTGTATCAGATATATATGAATATTTAGTTTTCAAAAGATTCCCACGGAATCAAAAACTCGCAGGATTTTTAAAAAATTAATCACTTGATCGATCGATTCGTCTTAAAGTAGATAATACATAATAAATGCATAATGTTCGGTCTCTCTCCATTACAGTATATGTACTTACCCTTATAAATACTTCATTTTCCTAAGAGAAATTGAGACATATATCTCAATTTAATCGGATAATTTAATCCACAATTAAAGTATGCGACAATACATAAAGCAGGATAATTTGTCAAAAATTTATTTTCAAATAAAATTTACTTTCTCTCAATTACTTTGTAAAAAGATGGTATCAAAAAGACTAAATAATACCATATTAATCACGCTAAATTCTTCGCAAAATATTATCATCGAAAAGTCAATTTTTATTCCAAGTCTTCTCAAAACGAGAAGAGTCATAAATTATCACACAAGAGACACACTAATAATAATATACTTCAATAAATCTCTGAGGGGGGTAATTAAGATTCTCTTTTTTTTTACTGTCGGAATGAAGATTTTAATACGATAAACACTCGGGGAGAGCGTAACCAAATATTATGTACGAGACAGGGTTTCTTATTGCGAAGTCCTACGCGTTTACGCGTATTTACATATCTATATCAGAGATGCATGGAATAATGAAAGAATGGAATCAAGAGGAGCCCGTAATTACGCGAGTCGTAAGATGTACGGAATAATATAACACAAGCAGAAAAAAAAAACGGCGATAGAACGACGCCTTTTCGATTCTGAATCGCCGAGCAATTGGCGCGGCCTTTCTCGTACACACGTGCATTCGCACGCTGTCATCGTGGACGCGATGGCGTGCAATGTGTATGTCTCGCGAGTGAATCGCGAGTGGAATAATGAGGGTGAGAGAATGAGACGCGCGGTATGAGAACACGTCAATGGAACAAAGAGAAAAGCCAACCGTTCGCCGCGAGTTGGAAGAGGAGGAAATCGCCCGTGCGCGGTAGTAATAATAATAACAGGCGCACACCGCACGACGATACGGTGGAAAGAGACGGGGAAAATTTTTCGCGGCACATCTTCTCTTCATTAGCAAAAAAATCCGCACACCACGCTCGCCCGCTTATCGTAATTTACGCAAAATTTCAGCGTTTGTGCCCCGACCCGTTTATCCAACAGATGCATAATTTTTCGTTTAGATATTGTTTCACGAATATACGTTATCATATCCGCGAAAGGTGAGTAAATTAATTATAACGAGCGGTGTAAATTTACGTGAAACGCGATTCCGTTAAAACAAAATTTAAATCATGTCGAATAATAAACGGAAAATGGAATACGAGAACGATGTAATGGCTTTCAGAGGATTAAGAAGGTTTATGATAAATTTCGATAATCATGACGTACGAGATGCGGCTGATTGTGAGAAATAAAGCGTAGAAACATGCATGCGTTTGACTCACCGTGTTGAGGAGCTGAGAATGCTGAATGCCTGCGAGGTGACATGTTAGGATGATTACCCTGGCTACCTGGTGGCTGCATGGAAGATAATGCACCCAGTGGTGTGTAGGATTTGCAAGGCTGTTCCGTCTTTTGCTAAATAAAAACAGAAATAACGAAACTATACATATTTATAATTACTTAAACATTAAATCTAAAAAAATTAAATAAAATTTTTAATTTAAATAAAATCTTTAATGAAGAGATTAATTTATAAGAAGAAATTCATAAGTTTAATATAGTATTAATATAAAGTAGCATAAGATCATAAAACAATATAAATATACAAATAGAAATACGTGTATATAAATATGTATGTAAATATTCTTTTAAATATAAGATTGATAATAAAAATTGAAAAATATTGCAGAGAATTTGAAACAAAATATATTTATAACACAACATTCAATATTAATAATTTGTTAAGTAAAAAGAAACTGTAATAACTTATAAAATACAAAACAGAAAAAATATTTCTTTTTTTAAAATATATACCAAATATTTGTGCTACAATATTTTGTTGAACACCAATATATACTTTTTAATTAATAATGTCTTAGAAATGATATTTTTATTATATTGATATTTTTGCAATACTTGATATTTGAAATAAAAAAATACTGTTATTTGTATCTGTCTACAAAAATGATTCGTTTACGAATGTATTCAATAAGTTATAGCTTTTATTTTGAATGCGTGAATGATGTAAAGTGAAATGTTTATCCGACTAAATGAGAAGCAAATAATCTTGAATTAAACACAAACCTGATCATGAAGCTCAGTAGCCACTGCGGTAGCTGCAGTTTGAGTATGACTGGTAGAACTGATTCTGTACTGCATACCGGCAATACTGCAAAAACCTTCGTGATGGGTGGATCGAGTTTGATTGACGTAAACACCTTGAAAAGAATTTGTTATCGTAGTAAGAAGATCATTAGAATTTTCGCGTTTAAGTCACACATGATTAATTACCAGTGATAGTGACGTCCGTGTCCTGATTAACGATGACAACTTTCTTGGATGGTTTAATAACCTCCTCCGGATCGGAGCCTTGTCTGGATTTCTTCTTATCGTCCAGGTCATTTTGTCTACGTCTTTTAATTATCTCTACTTCCGACTCACTGGAGGTATCACTGCTGCTGCTACTGCTACCGCAAAGATTTTTCTCGTCGGAGTAGGAAGCAGCCAAAATGGCAGTGGCATTAAGACTGGCCATCCTCTTGCAAACAACCATGTCCTTTAGATCCATTACTTCCTCGTTTTTCTTTCTCCTCTTGGTCATTTTCTTCTTGCTCGGTTCAGCATTCTTTTCCTTCTCGCAGTCTTCATCGGAGGAAGACGAAGATGACGAGCTCTCCATCATATCCCAGTGCTTGCCACGTAATCCTGGTACATTCCTCAATTTTCTTTTCAAAACATTGTCCTCCGTTTTGCATTCGACTTTCTTCTCCTTCTCCTTGCGCGGATGCTCCTCCTTCTCCTCCTTCATTTTCTTCGGCTTTTCCTTTTCCCTCTCGGGTTTCGACTTGCAAAAACCTCCAAGATAGACTCCGCCGGTCTCATTTTCGTAGAGGCAGTGAACTTTAGCCAAGGCATTCAATGACGCGACCCTGGGTGGTTTTGGTTTACTCCAAAAGCCAAAAAGTCGCATTCCTCGCGCACGTTCGTCCGACGGTGAGTTAGCTCGATCTTTATTCTTCGTGTCCTTTTGCTTACTCTTCTTGTAGTCGTCTTCAAAATCGTCGTCCGAGTCGGATTGAGATGTAACGCCACTGGCACTCTCTCCATTCATCGCTTCGACCTTTAGATTTAATTCAACCTCAGCGCCGATTTGTTCTTGTTTCGCAGACTTCGCGCCGTCTTCGGAAACTTTAGTCTGTTTGTTAGATTCCTCGGAAGATGCATCTTCAGATGAAGCTGATGTTTGATTATTGCTCTCCGTTTGTACCCTTACTGTTTTCCCTGCCTTTTTTGGAGCCTTGCCGCTAATTTTGTTACCACTTTTGATAGCTTTCTTATTATCTTGTAATTTTGGTTGAAAATTCTCTTCTTTCTTTTTATCCGAATCCTCTTCGATTTCACTTTTAATGCTACTCACTTCTGGTCCTTGACAAGCCTCATCTTTTGCAATCTTTTTATGTTCAAGTTCCTCAGATTCTTTCAATTCAATTTTCTTTCTTGCCAGAATTTTCTCCGTTATAGCCTTCAATTTATCTTCCCTTTTTAAAACAGCACTGATTTTTGAATGTTTCTGAGGCAATTTGGCTTTCATGTGTTTCGCCAATTTCGGTTTCTTTTCTTGTAAAATTTTGTTCTTGGAAATGTTACTATTTTTCTTTTTTGTCTTTTTAACTGTATCCTCATCTTCACTTAGTTCTTCGCTTTTAATTGGTTTGACTATTTGATTTTTTTATCCACCAATCTTTTAACTACCGATAAATGAGGCTTCTTTGTCAAAACTGTTTTTCTTGTAATATTTTTCTTCTGGCCTTTCGTTTTCGAATCTTTCTTTGTTTTCGCAGGAGAAATTTTATTGCTTGCTGCATCCTTTTCGGAAATTTTCTTTCGTTCAGATTTTTTATCTTTCACGGTAGAACTTTTTGATATTGTCTTGACATCAGATTTAATCGGCTTGACATCTTTCTTCTTTTCATCTTTGCTTCGTTTTTTAGTAAGTGAAGAGAGAGTATCAATTTTATCTTCAAATGCATCCTTATTTTCCAATGTATTTAAAGATTTTATATTATCTTCCATATCTGCATCATCAAACTTTATGTTCTTCTTTTTTTCCTCCGCTTTTTCGATCTTCTTTTTGTTATCAACAAATTGCTTCTCCAATTTCGTCTTTTCTTCGCATTTTAGTAATTTCTTCTTATCCATATTCTCTTGATTTATCTCTTCGTTTGTTTTATCGTCTCCTTTTTCGGTCTTCTTTTCATCAATTTTGTCAGATTTCTTTTCGTTATCTTTGCTTAATTGTTTCTTCTTTTCATCTAGTTTATCAGATCTTTCTTTTCGTTTTTCCTCCGCCTTCTTTTTGTCATCAAATTTTTTTCTGTCTTCCACTTTGTCCAATTTCTTCTTATCGTTGTCCACCTTCTTCTTCGAATCTCCCATTTTGTCATTTTTCTTTAATTTCTTCTCCTTCCTCACATCGGGCATAGTCTTCTCTATAAATGTGCGACGTTTCTTGGCGACTGTTGGCATTTTAGTTGCCTTTCTGGCAACAACAGCCTTCTTCTGTGGCTTCATTGTGATTGTTTTCTTTACATCTTCAAAATAAATAAATATACTCGAAGTTCACGAATGTTCAATGTTAATTTCCACAACTACCTAACTGCCATTGTGGATTTTAATAATTGCGATACGGAGCTCGCGAGCTGGATTTATCTGTAAACAATTCCAATGCAAATAACACTTCGATCAAAACAGCAAACGTGATTAAAATTTATATTATAATTTCACAAATATTTTATCAACTATTAACTGTTGTCGCGTCTCTTTGTCGCAATATATATATAGATTTTTCTTTCGCGGGAAAAATAATTTCCATACGAAAACGGACACAAAATATTCACGAGAAAGATATTACGAATGTGCTGCGTTTTATCAATATCTGTAATAAAAAAAAACGCATTACGTACTGTAATAAAATGACAACCGCACGCAAATCGGAGCATTCGCGAGAGACGCGCGCGACGGAAATGGTGATAAAACAACTACGAGCGAGAAGCGAGAATCCGTCGTAATGTGGTCGTGGAACTGTGCGCGCACTCTCTTTCTCATCGACTTGTTGACAAATCGATCCCTTTAAATCTCATTGCGCCCTCATCGCGAGAGATTCAGCTCTCTCTCTCTCCATACACACACAAACACGGCACACAGAATTCTAGGACTCGCGTGAATAAATCATTTACCGCGTCCGATCTCTCTCGTTCTCCTCCGGACGTGTACGACGAATGACGGGGACAAAGATGCTCGTACGCGGACGCGCACACAGGACGACGACGACGACGACGACGACGCGAATCGAGAACGAGAAACGCCGCGGTGGCGGTGACGAGCAACGACGAGAGGAGCAACGGCAGCACGCCCTTTAAAAAAACGACCACTGTGTGTTGCCTACGCTGGCCACAAGTGGCCCTGACAAGTGCGCGAGAGAGCGAGAGCGAACCACCAACCTGCTGATCGATCAATCGTCGTCGCACGCGGAGAATCTCACGGACGACGACGACGACGACGACGACGACGACGACGACGACGCTTACTTAGCAACGCGGGAGAACGAAACAGAACGGAGATGCCGATAAGACGGCGAACGGAGAGACATAGCAAACGGTGTTTACCTCTCGGCGAGTCCGTCCCGGTCGGCTAAACTCGGCCCCGCGAGCGCTTTTTTAAAACGCCGAGTCGAGAAACACCGATCGACGACAGGTGACGACGGCAGACGGGACACGATGAGGCGCAGAGGATCCCAAAAATCCTTGTCCGCACGGTGTCCACCTTTCTCCGCGCGACCGCGACGAGCGACGTCCTGGGGCCCTCCCCGGCGAAGGTTCGACGGCCCTTTTTCGCGCGGTCTATCGCGAAACTGGCAGACTCGTGTCGCGCTGCGCGCACCTCGCACGACGTCCCTGCCCTTTTACCGTAGCCTCGTCGGCCATTTTCTTCCTCGCGCCGCTCCCCCACTTTTCCGACTCCGGAGCCCTCTGTCGCCCGGCAATCGAAGCAAAAGACTCCGATCCACGTAGATGGCAGCACCTCGCGCGACTCCGCGACCTCACCAATTTTTCCCGATTATTCTGTACTACACATACATATATATATACATGTATATATGTATTATTCCATTGTATCAATCATGCGAAATGAATAACAGAATATGCAGGCACATGACTATGATTATATTTCGTCGATTAATATTTCTTTCAATCAATTCAAGAATTAATCAAATTAATTATATATTAATAATAATTAATAATAATAAAAATTATTATTAAAATTCGCATTAATTAAATGAAATCAATTTTGTACTCATAATCAAGTGAAATCACGCTATTGAACTTATCCTATTTTGTCAAATAATTGACGGTCAAATAATTCTGATGAAACAAAAAAGATTAAATGAGTTGTGATATAGTTGATGAGTAAATATCGCGAAATCAGAAAATGGAGGAATCGCCGTTTTGCAATCTGTCGATTATTTAAATATTGCAAAAATTATTTTAATATTTATTGTTTAAATATTGCAAGAAAATATGCGCAGTGTCAGTATCGCTCATTCTAAAATGTGCACAGAACGACGATGTGTTAAATACATACCTGATAATAGTCGATGCACTTTGACGAAAAGACAAGGTAAAATGATCGAGGAGATGAAATAAGATATGCGATTGATTATATATGGCGACTACACGCCATATTTAATATATTCGTAATGAACTCGTTCGACACTCGAGACGAAGTGTTCGCGAATACTTTCTTTGCACGCGAGATTCTCTTTAGACGCCGATAATCAGAGACATTCGCGAGAAATAGCAAGAGCGATTCGAACGCGACGTACCTGACGTTCACTTTTACATCACCGGCTTCGCACTCGAACTCGAGCGGTCGAATCGAACGAAATTGCGATTCTCGAAGTATCAAAATGATGGCGCCGGTAAATCTTCCCTCCTCTCCGCCATATTGGAATTAAATTATTGAGCAATAAAATTCGAAATAATATTGTACAACATATTAGAAATACACAATGCATCATTTCATCTCAACATTATTGTTACGAATTAAAACAAATAATATTTTATTTATTATAATTTTCAATATCGGGAGCAAAATAGATTGTACCATATAATACATATTATATATTGTATGTATATATATATTTGCAATTTTTTACATGATGCGCACATCTTTTCTCTGATTTTAATAGTTACATATATCTATTCTTACCTCACGAATATCGGAACGACGAGTATTGAATATTTTCTCGTTGGATTTCTCTCTTAGGTAGATCAAACTTTAATTAATTAATGCGATAAAATACCAAAAGCGCGCGAAGATGATTTCCAGTGCACACCAGTCCACGGTCCACAATGCAATGAGCTTCGATAACAATTTTCGTCATAAATCCTGATTCTAATACCAACTTATTTTCAGGGATACATCACGTGATAATGTTGGCTGCATGCAATGAGCCCGGTTCAGCTAGCAGCTTCATAGCAGACGGAGGATGAGAGTGTTTTGTATTTGTTACTTCGAATTTTGTGATTTAAACAATTAAAGTCAATAACAATGGAATGTATAGTAGCAAACGTCGAACACATGCGATTTGACATTGAGATTGCTCTCGACGAACAGTATGGAGCTCTTTCATTACCTTTCACCGGCATGGACAGTGAGTTCCCTTATATGTTTGTTTTTATATGTGAACTGTGTTAGGTTAGATTAAGCTTAACCACTGCATAATATTGTCATATTCATATCTTTGTATTTTATTTTATTTTTATAAAAGTACACAATATATTTGTTTCAAACAATACTAGTATGCAGTGGTAGATTTTTTCATTAATTTATTTTTAATTAATTTTTGTCAATAATAATGCCTAGAAAAAGCTTTGCATATTTAATGGTTGATGGTAGAGTTGCTTTTGTGTGATTTATACTTTTATATATATACATATATAAAACAGATAATATTCAATAACTAATTTTAATATTTTAACAACTAATTACATAATATAAATTTAATTTTAAAATAATTACAGAAATATATTTTAAAAGTAAATAAAATCTTGAAAAGTGAATAACAATCTTTTCATATCTCTTAATATAGAAATACTTAATATAAATATATAACTCTAAACTTTTTGAAGCGCCTAGTACTACTAAACAATGGTATAATAATTGAATTTTATATATTCGTTTGGTTACAGTTTTTACAATTATATAATTTCTACTCTTTTTATTTCTATGAATTATATTATATTTATTTGATAGCTTTATAGGTTTACTACTGCAGTAAAATTATATAATGCTTTTATAATTAATAGATTTATTTTATATAAAAAATATAAAACTTCAAAATAATTTGTTTTTCCTTCAATTTGCAGAATCTATCGCTGCAGTATGTCAATTTTACCCAAGAGGCACTTGTACTAAAGGAGCATCATGTCCATTTAGACATGTTCGTGGTGATCGCACAATAGTATGTAAACATTGGTTAAGAGGTCTTTGTAAAAAGGGTGATCAATGTGAATTTTTGCACGAATATGACATGACAAAAATGCCAGAATGTTATTTTTATTCTAGATTCAGTAAGTAGCTTAAACCCTTTATGTAAGAATTCAATATAATGAACTCTATGTATAATATTTAGTATATATTTTAATTATACAAGACAAAATTAAATTATATCTAAAGAAAATTGAATTAATTACAGATGCATGTCACAATAAGGAATGTCCATTTTTACATATTGACCCCGAAACAAAAGTCAGAGATTGTCCATGGTACGATCGTGGTTTTTGTAGGCATGGTCCTTTATGTAGACATCGACATGTCCGACGTGTCCTTTGTATGGCTTATTTGGCTGGTTTTTGTCCAGAAGGACCAAATTGCAAATTCATGCAGTAAGTATGCAAAATGCAAATATCTATTATATCAAAATTATCTTTCAAAATCTTTTAATCTTAATTTCTATGTTTAGTCCGAGGTTTGAATTACCAGCGGTACAAGACATGCAACCGAAGGAAGGCAAAAAAGTGATGATTACTTGTCACTTCTGTGGAGAAGGCGGTCACAAAGCAATCTATTGCAATAAAATGCCACCCGATGTACGGGAAGCTCAAGTCAGGCAGGATGTTGATAATAACTCTCATGCATCACATCACCATATGAATTTGCATAATGGTCCACCGCCACCGCGAGGGCCGCAAAAACCACTCGAAGAAGTAACATGCTATAAATGTGGACAGAAAGGTCATTATGCCAATAAATGTCCGAAAGGACATCTAGCGTTTTTGAGTCATGCGGGTAGTGGAAGTGGCGGTCAGAATCAGAATTATCGGAGATGATTTTCTTTGTTTTATTTATGTAACATGAATATTGCGATACTACTTTATCTCATTATTAATTATCTATAAAATTTGTTTCTCATATACAATAAAATAATTTCATATCTAACGCATGTCGATATATCATTTTTATGCTATTTCCGACATTTTCACGCTTCTTTTCTTTTTAAATATAAATAATAGCACCAATATTTAAAAAGTATAAAAAAAAAAAAGAAAAAAGCTAAATTTTGCATATATACATATATAAGCGGGTACTTTAATATTAAAAATTTCTCCTTATTAAACTGTAACAAATTGAAATATTTATTGTTCTAAAAATGATTATGTTTAAATGAATAAGTAACTATTACAGTTTCGTGTGACACAGTTCTGTGAATATTGTAAGGTTGTTAATTATTGCTACATTGGCATCTGATACAGGATGTTATAAAAAGATATATATATTTATATAATACTAATTAATGATCGGATAAAACCTATATGATCTGCTGGGAAGACACACTTCACCGAATATAATTACTATTTTAATCAATATGAGGTTTTATTGTGAGGTTTTAATTGAAGATCAATTGTGTGTATACTCACTTCTTGGATAAATGTCTGAAGATTAAACAATGGTATGGAAGGCGCAAAACATTGTGGAGACGTGCATTTCAATTGCTATTAAATATGTTAAGCACATTTCTGTCACAAAAATGTTTTCTAGTCATTCAAAACGTTCTTCTAATCATTACCTTATCACGTGGTTCGGTTTTAATTACATCTAAAGACAGTTGTAATTATCAAAGATAAAATTGCGCATTAATTCTCGCAAACGATTGTATGTGGGTGATTATGAAAAGAAAAAGGATAATATTCTTAATCTTTTTTTTTTGGAAATTACCATCCTTTCTATCATGTTGTATTATAGTCAATAACTTCAACATAATTGGCAGGAAAGAGTCCATAAGTCCCATCAGGCCCAAGCCCTTGCCACCAGCCTTCATCGATGGCGTCTATATGCGTAATTATATCTCCAGGATCAAAAGTAATTTCCGTATCGTCAGCGGCTTGATAATCGTACAAAGCTCTGGCTTTCATTCCCTCGTTATTCGGATCGAAATATAAATACGGACCATCCAACTGATTATACAATTCATTTTCAGTCACTTGTTCTTTAGTTTCTACAGCTTGTTCGGATTCTGACTGTGGATTCTTCGCGGTTGTTTTTGATTCCTGGTTATTAGTATTTTGAGATTGAGGCACTGCAGATGATAAAGTCACTGTTTCCGCATTTTTAAGTTTTTTCTCTTCAGCTGGTTTTTTCTCTTCTTCGTGAGATTTTACATCAGGCTGATCCTTTATCTGAGCATCCTCTAACGCTTTCCTCATTGATTCCACATGATTGTTTTTGGGTAAAAATTGTTGAACCGAACCTGTCTTCATTTGACCGGCTGCCGAATTCTGTTCGAATACCGCTCTAGCGTTTATTGTTCTTTGAGCTATCAACTGTTGTGTCTCTTTGCTCCTTTGTCTTCGTAGTTCTTCGCTTCGTGATTTATGATCATCCTCGACATCATTGTTATAATTTTGTGCAGCTATTTGATTGCGTAAGTTGTTTGCTTCCTCGACACGTTGTTCGGCCAACTTTTGCCGCGCAATCGAGTTTTCTTTAGCAGTTACCTAATAGAAATAATTTTATATGATTTAATATATGTGTGTTAGTATGATATCTAAGATGCATATGATATATGTATAAATTAAAAAATATGAGATAAGATTATCACATACTTGTTGCTCTCTCATCTGTGCTTCCTTTTCTTCTCGAGCTCTAACTTCTTTTTCTAACTTCTGTCGTTCTTGTTCACAACGTAGCCGTTCTTGCTCCAATCTCTTTTTTTCTTCCATTTCTTCCTTTTGCCAAATTGATCTCTTTCTGTTGCATTTATCTCTTGCTCAGGGATTACTCTAAAGTAAAGTATATGTTAGTTAGAGATTGTGTGTGAATACTATTTATTCAAAACTGATTTGTATCTTAAAATGTGAAAATTATGAGGAATAAAATATACCGGCGATATGTTGTTCCGATAGGACCTGTATGTCCTTCATTTTCACCACGAGGTTCATTAAATTTATATGCAGAGGCTGTTGCTCGTGCAAGTTTTCCCATAATTGCATCTACCTCTACATCATCTTCAGAACGCGCAGTAATTGTTATATGTGCACCCTTTAATAATTTCTCTACATCTCTAATATGATTAGCACATGTTCCTTTTCTAACAATAGGAGCACCTTCTCCTTGCTATAAAAAAACATTTTATCATAAAAGTGAAAGATTGTACGTAGACAAAGTATTATTGCTCTTTTTTCTTTATTATAAAAAATGAAAAGTAAATATGTACTATTATTTTATATAAATTATATTCCATTTTTCATCATCTGTTATACATATTTTATCTTGTTATTATGGTATAATTTTTTTTACACTTACCCAATTAATGAGCAAACATTTTGGTAGACTTGTTTTAGTATCAATGACTTTGCAAAATGCATACATAATGTGACTACTATTCAATCGATCAATCATTTCTTCCAACCCGCCATTTCCTGTTCCAACTACTTTTAAGTCATTTGTCTGCCCTTCATAACCAAACAGAGCCCTATCAAAATAGAAATGCATTTTAATTATCAACCATGCAATATATGTTTAAAACAATAATACAAGATTTATCTTGTCATTTAATTTATAAGAAATCTTGAATCAAAATTTAATTATATTTATGAATAATGTGCTGTTATAAATCCTGCAGTTATAAATTATATACATATATATATATATATATATATTTTTTTTGTTAATAATCAAATAATCAGATTCAATAATTGATGTTTTATTTACAAAAATGATTACAAGTTTAATTGTATATTTTATCAAGGTCTAAAATAATGTATAATTTATAAATTGTTCTATTTGACATATGTCAAAACAAGAAATAACAAAAATAATTGTATTATCAATTTCTATTACTATAGAATACGAAATGGTATTATAAGTGGTAGGAATCGATAAGAATAAAACTGGTTGTAATCGGAGGGGGACTGATATTTACACGAAGAGATGGGGTTTGTCAAGAATCCATACAATTTTACGGTTTGGCATTACAGGGGGGGAAATACGCAATAATGTCATACTACTTGCTAAATATTCATCTGGTTGACAGAAAATTGGAGACATTGGATACTTAAATATATGCGCCTACCAGTCAGTAGACGATTTATCGTCGACCACGCTGTGCCAAGCGGCCACCAAGGCATCTTTGTTTTTCGTCAGATTAATTGACATGTTTCTGGCTAAATTAATTCATAACAAATTCAGATAAATCTATAACAGGGAAGGCGATCGTGCGATACCGCAAAATTCTACGCAAATATCACACACGCATACCACTTGGCCGATCGCCTCTTCGATTGATGTCAACGCCCTATCCAGAGTAGCCAATCGTTTCTATAATAATATCCCTAGATGTGTTCGAAAATCTTTATAGGTGTGTTCAAAATAAGCGCGCGCGTACGTAAATTTGAATCTGATTGGAAATCGAAATTCAGGCTCTGTGAACCCTTACTTTGACATTTCGAATTGTTTTCTTTAAATAGTTTGTAAGTGATTTATTAAATTAATTAAAACGTTTGTTAGATTATGCCTGTCGCTGCAAAATAAAAAATTTTAATTTTAATTAATTTTAATTTTTCAGAAACTCAATCAACGCAGTTTGTTAGCCACGAATACAGGGTGTCCCATTTTAATGTCTCACCCCAAATTAGTTTTTTTATTTTTAATTGTAGAAAAAAATGTTTCAGACAAAAGTTGTATGGTTTCAAGGAGGACATAATAGGCAGTGCCATTAGTTTGACCTTGAATAGTTGCTTGAGGGTCATGTAAAGATCACTTTTAATTTCTTAAATGGAACCACCTACTTTTCATTACATATTCTTGTAGCTGACATTGAGAGCTTTTCAAAACACTATAATGAAACATTTTTATCTCAAGTACTTTTTGAGTTATAAGACAAGATCTCCTCACCTCAAGATGACCTTTACGTGACGTTCAAGCAACTATTCAAAGTCAAACTAATGGCACCATCTTATGTCCTCCTCGAAATCATACAATTTTTGTCTGAAACATTTTTTTCTACAATCAAAAATAAAAAACTTATTTGAGGTGGGACATTAAAATGGGACACCCTGTATATTAATTTTACGGTTATTTTAATTTTTTTATTTATTAATTAAATAAATTATTTATTAAATATATTAAATATATTAATTTTTTAATTAAGTTTAATCTAATAATTACCTACAAACGACTTACGAACTATTTATAGAAAAAAATGCGAAATGTCAAAGTAGAGGGGCGAAGTTCTGGAACTTCGAAATTCGATAATCATCTGTAATTTGTTACTTCCGGATAGATGGCGCTGAAATCTTTTGTGCAAAGAAAGATGTGAGTTCGAATCTCTACGCTGCCACGTTTATGCCCTCTTGTGTATTCGGCGGTTTCGGTGTTCGACTGAAATTCTCGACATTTAATTGCGGATTCCTGCATGTAATCTTGCGTTCCCGATTGCAGAAGGTCACGTGTAAACTTTACGATGAGTACAGACAGTATCGAGAAATTGTACAAGAACTTCGGCATCCTCGCGGATGCTAAGGACAAATTGGCGCAGGTACGTGCCGCATTGGTTATATGTTACGATCGCAGTCGATTAAATATAGATATGAAGAATAATGTTGTCTTGCTTGTGCATTCTTGTTACGCTTTCTCTCCTATTTAACGTAACTTTGTTGATAAGTATCGTTTGACAATCAATCTCGCGGCGAAACGTCAATATGCAGCTCCGGAAAAACCGAAAATGCGCATGGCGTCTCAACATGGTGTGTTCTGCACATTATATCAATTATCATTATCAGTTAGATCGGTTTTTTTTATGAACGCATATTTTCTAAACACGAGGACAGAAATATAATAATATATTTATGCAAACATTGGAGCACGTTTGTAATATGTGGCTAAATTCATGTGGTTAGGCATATAATTCCTGTTCTTGTTCACTATTAATTCTTTTTTAAAGATGCGCTATAGTAGTTTGTTGATAATATTATCTGTGTCAACAAAAAGTCACTATAGTTTACTGCTAATTTTCTAGCTTAGAAATTGTAGAATATGCATTATAACTGATTTATCTATTTATGGTAATCTTTATAAGTACATTTGCACATATGATGCAATATAAAAGAGAGAGAGAGAAATATCTCAATTTATAATATAAAGATTATACTCTTGAAATAGATTTAATTCTATTGTAATAATGCCTTTTATTTAATTTTTGCAAAGTCTAATCTGTAGTTTTCAATAACAGCTCGACATTCAAATAACAGAAGACTTTCAATTTTATATACAATAAATTGTAGGAAATATAAAATTATATTTATATTAAATATCTTTACAACAACCAGAAAAGCTATTGTATATATACTTTCTTGTAAATAATTCTAATATCGTTTATATTGCAGCATGAAAAGGAGTATTTGGAAATTTTGACAGCAGTTAAAGGATCACCTAAAGAAAAACGGCTAGCATCGCAATTTATTGCAAGATTTTTCAAGCATTTTCCAAAACTAGCAGATCAAGCTATAGATGCCCATTTGGATTTATGTGAAGATGAAGACATGGCTGTAAGTTTTCAAATATGAATCAACATTTTTTTTATAATTTTGGAACAAAAATATTTTAAGGCTTTAAAATACAACATTACATTTAATTATTTTGGTTAATTATTGATTAATTAACCAAAATAATTATATAATATACATAATATATATTTTTTTTTCAGATTCGAAAACAAGCTATTAAAGATTTACCGGCTCTTTGTAAAGACAATAAAGAACATACAGCAAGAATTGCAGACATTTTAGCGCAATTATTGCAAGCTGAGGATTCTTCAGAATTATCAGTTGTACATAACAGTATTATGTCACTTATGAAGAGTGATCCAAAAGGTATGTTCAATTTCATAAATACATATAAGGATTTGGAATTTATATAATGGCATATTATAAAACAATTTTCTATTTACAGGTACTTTAAGTGGATTTTTCAGTCAAATTATTAATGGTGATGATGGGACAAGAGAACGTTGCATAAAATTCTTAGCTACCAAACTGAAAGCTATAGGACACGACGTTATTACAAAGGAACCAGAAGATTTATTAATTGGAGAATGTAAAAAAGTATTACAGGTACATTTTTATTATGCTCTTATAACAAATGTATATATTTATTTTTTTCTTAAATTGATGTATTTTCTCATACAGGATGTAACTGCTGATGAGTTTCACAGTATCATGGAAATCCTTGCTTGGACTAGACTAGGTTCTACTGTTACTGGTCAACAAGAATTGATTGACATTACAATAGAACAAGCTGAACTTGCCATACCTTTCAAACATACTGATATTGAACAGCGGAATAGATTGGTTCAATGTATTAAACATGCTCTTCCATTCTTTAGTGTATGTATATTATTAAAACACATTTTAATATTTCTTAGAACAAGATTTAACATTTTACATATTTGTATAATTAAAGCTTTATTTATATTTAAATATATTTATTTTCAGTCGCAAATAGATTCGTCAAAATTTGTTTCATATATTTGTATACAAGTATTACCACATCTCTCTTTGATGACTTCTCCTGATGGTAGAGACATTCAATTGGAACTATTAAAATTGCTTGCTGAATTAACAGTGTTTTGCGGAAATATTGAAAAACCAGAGGATAAAGTTCAACAACTTTATAACACTCTCATTGTGAGTAATATCTCTTTATTTTCATATTTAGTATTACAAATCTTACTCTACAAATTTTGATAAATTCTGTTTACCTAGTGATGTCTGTTTTTTTACCTCATTTGTCAAAATTGGGAAAGTTTTTTTTTTTTTCCCCCTGCAATTAGTCAAAGAATTTAGATAATGACAAATTTTGATTACACTTATATATTATTTGTTATTCATTAGTTTATATTTTCAGACTTACATGCCACTTCCTCCAGCTGCAGAGATTACTGATGTACCAAAGTTACAATTTAGTCATGTAGAATGTTTGATGTATGCTTTTCATAAATTGTGTAAGCAAACTCCTGAATTTCTGATAAAAGATCCAGAGCAGCTTAAAGAATTTCGTTTAAGATTACAATACTTTGCAAGAGGCATTCAAGGTTATATAAAAAAATTACGTGAAGCTATTAGTGGGAAGACAGAAGAAGAATTGAAATCTGAGGAAAATCAATTAAAGGTTGTTGCACTAAAGACAACTAATAACATCAATACCTTAATCAAAGATCTATTTCATTCACCTCCTAGCTTTAAGAGCATAATACATCTCTCATGGAAAACGCCTTGCAATGACAAGAAGGTAATTAATTTATGTTACAGATATTTTAAATAATTTGTGTTTGTGTATATAACAAAATAAAAACATAATAGAAACATTGTATAAAATACAAATTTATAAATCATGTATGTGTATATATACATTTATTATCTGTTTTAGAATGAAAAGAATTCTGCTCAGAAAAGACATACGCCTATTACATTTGGAAACGACAGTGGTTCGAATAAACGTAATAAAGAAGATAAAAGCAACAAAAGAGAAATATATACACCTCCTAGTGGCAAATACAGTTCAAACATATCAAATTATGGTATATAAATAATTGAAGATATATGATATTAAAGTTTGAAAAAGATAAAATGTTAATTTATTAATATTTTTTTTTAATTTTTAGGTCGTGGTAGATTTAAAGGTAACAGACCTGGAGGAAGAGGTGGATTCAGACCAAGAGGCCGTGGTCCATGGCGAAAGAATTTTTATTAATTATAAAATTAAAATTCACTCAAAAAGAAAGAAAATTGAAAGCAGCTAAGATTGGAATGATAACATAAGTGCTTATCTCTGTTGAGATGAACATGAAAGTACTTTTAAAGTGACATCACAAAATATCTTTCTCTACGATTATAATCAAGATTATTTTGTCGATATCTAAACTCTTTGAAAAATTGCAGATAACAAAAAGAGGAAAATCCAACTTTCCAAATTTTTATTAATGTTTTTTTTAAACATTGAGCAGAAAATTTAAGAGAAACAATTATGATTATATAAATCTATTTAATTCTTATAATATTAATTCTGCAATGAAAATCCAAGACATAAAGTTGCAAAAGAATGCAAGATATGCACATGGCAAACAAATGTGACAAGATTAAGAGAGAACACAGTATTTAATTTGATGAAGATGTGGAATGATGTATCAGAAAAGGAAGAAAGAAGAAATCGCAGCTTGATGAAGATGCATGCATAAATTCAAACTACATAATCGAGACATCGTAAAACATCATCAATAATTATGGATAGAGAAGCATATGTAAATGGACTAGTGTTCTTTCTTCATCAAAAACTTCAAGAGTGCAAAAATTTAATCTTCTATATATCCATTCCTAAATTAGCTTTCCTATCCTTCCAAACTTTTATATTTGTTGATATTTGTTAACAGGATCAGTGTGACAAAGAAGATCCAGTAGCAGTCCTGCAGAAAAGCAACGTAATCGAAGAAACATTAGATATAATTTGTTGTTAATAAAAAGTCAATTTATACAAAAATATAAAATTATACCAAAAAATTTTTTTTTCTTTTTTTTTCCAGTAAACAGAATTCAAATTAGTGAAATATATATATATAATATATTATAATAAATTTATATATTATAAATATATAATATTATTAATATATATTATAAATATATAATATATATTAATATATACATATATAATTTTTATAAATATGTTTTTATATGTATTATTTTAAAAATATTTTATAAAATTAAATTTTTTCTCTCTCTCTTTCACACATATTTCCAATTATAAAAATTGAATTCATGAATCTATGTTTCTTCGATAAAATAAAATGAAAAGGAATTGAAGCAGCAATTATTATGTTGTCTTTCTTTTGCAGGAAGCACATACTAACAAAGGGCTTGGAAATCGTGGATTTGGTCAAAGCTGTATGAAATTCTACATATATATATATGTATATCTTGTTTATTTTTGCAGAGATTTCGCAAAAAGATGCAGAGGCAGAAATCACTTGGATAAACTAATTGATCTTTTCTTTTTCAGCAACTAATATTATATGTTTATTATCATATATGTATATCGTCTTGGTATAATTGCTGTTTGTGAGGTGAGTTAAAAAAAATATTGTTCCATCTTTCCCTTTCCTCTTTCCATAACCATTGTATAAAAACATTTTGTGTTGTCAGCAATTCAATGTTTCTAATTATTTCAATAAACAACATTATTTAACACTACATGGTGTTTTTTATCTAGTAAATATAAGATGAGAAAATTAAATTTAAAAAAAGATTTAATAAAACAATTTTAAGAACAAAAAGTAAATATCTATATATATGTCCTTTAAAATTAGATCTAATCTGTCTTATACATATAATGTTCATATATTGCAATGTTTATAAAAACTATGTGTATAATTACATATTATTTGTGCTATATGCAATTGAATTTCCATAATTACATGTAATACTCTCAACTTTATATTATTAAAAATGTATTTCATTCTTATTAGAATGAGTGATATATTTGAGTGATATATATATAAAATTAATCAAACTTGTATATCACTTTCATATTCATGAATAATAAAATGTTTTTAAACGAGTTTATAAGAAAATTTATAAATAAAACAACAAAGAGGGGAATACAAGAGTATAAATGTGTTTCGAGCAGTACTTCTATTATCTTTTGAGAAGACTAATTCTAAACAATACTTCAAATTATTCTTACAATTCTTAAATAACTAATCCTAGTATTTAAAAAAATTGTAAATAAATATTGAAAAAAGATCACATTTTATCCTTGTATCACCATTGTAACTTATATGTACATATTATAGGATATTCACTGATAAATTATTAATTAATTAGCACTCAAAATAATCCATTTGAAGAAATCATATCGTCTATCACCTTACACATAATACGATCGCTCGGACTACATGGATCCTGAGTTTGTTGTTTAAAACCCATGTTATCAACTGATTCCATAATATCTGTATTTATTGCAAGTTTAGAATCCAGTTCCGAAGTATCTGGAAGCATCTGTAAGGCATGCTGTAATATTTCTTGAACCTAGAGAGAGAAAATAATACCATCACAAATCATATATATATATATAAATATTACAGAAATTAAAAAATTCCAATAATAAATTTACTTTTTCAAGATGCTTCTGGAAACGCAGTGCTGTTTCAAGACGCTGTCTACGCTGTATTTCCATCATAACTCGTAACGTTTCCCTGGCCTGGTGCGGTCTAAATTCATTCAATAGATGATGGATATGGATAAATAACAAACTCAAGTCTTCGACCTAAAATAAAATTATGAATTATTGTTGTGCAAGAATGGTATAAGAAAATACTGTTAAATATTTATCGAATCGGTATCAAAATGGATGTTACAAACTAATAAAAGCTTCTTCAAATTACAGATTACATTACCTTCTCTGCACGTCTGGGACTGTCTGGACATTGAACGAGTAAATCTATCAAGTCCAAGAAATTCACGAGCAGAGAGTGATTGAGCTTCTTCAATTCGCGTCGACGGTCAAAGTGTTGCGGGTACAGTCTTTTGATTCCTTGAGCCTCCAGCGGTCTGATAATCGTGTCGTCCGCATTGAACACATTACCGAACATGGAGTAGCTGTCGTGAATCGGCGGCGGTGGCCGCGGAGCTCTTCCACGACGTACATTTTCATCCGTGTACTGATTGATATATTGCACGGGCGGCAACGGGAGGGAACTGACTTGTATCGCTTCGGGAGCTGACATGTCTCAACCGATGAACCGATCACGATGACAAACTGTGTCCTCGACTCATCGACGAGAGACGAAGATTTCCAACGTAACAGGTAGATATAGATAGGTTAGACCAGTTTTTGTAAACACGTAATTTAGACGGTATTCTTTTTCTATTCAAGAGAAAAGAGGTAACTTGTGCGTCTCCTTCTCGAATCCTCCAAACAAACTTCGAAAAATTATCCTTCCCCGTATTACGTTCTTGAAGATGCGACAGTATATATGACAATAACGTAAACGCCTTCCAAGAAAAACAAAGCGACAGGCGACCGCTAGTCCGCCATTTTGTCAGATCTCGGATTACGCGAGTCGATTTGACGTTTGACGTATCCACGTCTCGCGGCGAATCGCCCGAAGTTGGTCAATTTTTTCTGATCGATAATTCGAGACGATCTTCGATGCATCGTGGGTCGATCGATCTGAAGTTTGACGTTTCTCGCTCCCTCGCGTTTTCTTTATTCGCGGGCGGTTACGGGATCGCCATGTTGACCAGCGTAGTGAGGCATTTCCTGATATCTCACGAATTCCCGACGTCGCCGCGAGACGTCTTCGTTTGACAGATTGTCGGTGTGTGTATATGCGTACGTTCCACGTGAATTCTTTGTTTGGGCGCCGGTCATGCTTTTGACAAGTGTCGGGATTGCGTGGTGCTAGCGCATACCCTCCGTTGCATGGTAAGAAGCGAGATTTCGTACGAAAATGTCGGAGCCGCCTGGGATAAACGGCCCTCGTTGGACCTCGCGTGTAGAATTCGAATTATCAGACGTTGCAGGATGTGTAACCACGCGTATGTATCCTCGTTTTTCGCTGGGTTGACACTTTGGCGACTTCGCGGGCGACGAGGTTTTTCTTTTTCCTTTTTTTCCCCCTTTTTTTCCTTTTCCACCTCGATCTCGTCGTGACGGCCGGTCGTTCTCGCGTCCACGATGTGGACGATAATTGCTCGTTAATAATCGACACGTGAGTTGAATTGTAGGAGGCAGGAAGCGGGTTGTAGAACGAGGAAAAAATTCCGGTGTGCTATATTTAGAAATTCCGTTCGCGTCCCTTGTCACTTGGGGATACGCTCCGGATACGCGAGATGAATCAAAATATAGAGAAATTGAATGAAATATGTAACTTTTTCTTCCACTCATAAAATGCAGAAATGTTAGATCTCAGAATGTGATGTGCAACAAGTATCAGTTCTCACTCTAGGCTCAGAATGTGCAATGAGATATTTTATTTCTAATGAAGGTCTCTTATTGTGCATAAAAGTGATATTTTTTACTGTTGCTAGGGAGGCCCTCCTGTGATGGCAGGGAAGGATGGGAAGCTAGAGCCAAAAGGTGGAGATATTATTCGTCAAGGATTTATGATAAAACGTTCCCAAAACAAGAAACGCTTCACTCCAGTCAATTACAAGCAACGATGGTTTGTCCTCACCAAACATTATCTTATTTACTACGATGGAGATAGTGAGGTGAGTAGTTTTGAAATTTATTATATTTCAATTTATATTATCTATAATAATAAGAGCATGTGAGCCGTGATGTATGAATCTGTGATCAATTTAGTCCTTTAACATTTATGCTAATCATATAACAGCAATAGCTTATTCAATTTTAGTTAATTTATTTTATCTTTTCAGTAATACTTTATTATTCTTATAAAATTTTTTGAAATTTATGTCGAAGAATTACTATTACTATTACTATATATAAAGAGAAACTGTAACAAATAATTATGAATATTAAAAAAATCTTATTAAATAACATATATATCATAATAACATATATAAATATTATACAGATAATTGAATGCAAAGAATAATTGAAATTACATCACAACATTTTCATTTATTACTTGTAATTATATATATATATATATGAAAAAATAATTATTTCCTTATTAAACATCAGAAACATCTATTTTGAAATTTTACAATACATTTTACATTACTTTTACACAAAATTTAATATCACTTTTAAATGATAAAAAAGTAGTTTTAAATTACCAAAATATTAAGAAATAAAAGGACCTTATATCATTACTCTCTTCTAATTATTACATGGAGAGAATTTTATCTTAGAATTTATCCTGAAAATCATGATAATCATGAGACAATATAGTATTGGAAAAATTTTACGAGTTTCTCTGCTTAATTATTTACCACAATAGAAAATATGTACATAGTAAATTTTACTATGTTACATAGTAAACATATTTTATATCTTATTATGGTAGCTATTAATATTTGTATTATGGTAAATATTAATCAGAGAAACTCATAAAATTCTTCCAATTGTCTCACGATTACCATGATTTTCAAGATAAATGCTAACAAAAATTATCTCCTTTGTACCTTTTAAATTAACGCTATGTTGTACCAATTTATATGACTACATATGATTAATTTAGACAATTGTGTGTTCACCATCCCATAGATTTTAGAAAATATCGTTCGAGGCTTAATCCTGCATTTATTACGCTGGTCCCCTCAATCTTCCCAACGACGAGCAAGGATGATAATCGCCAACTATCGGTTCGGTAACTGCGTGCGATCGCGACTAGTACCTAGTATCAATAGCCACCTCCGTAGCCAAGCGAGCTGTTAGGTAGGTGGACCGGGCTGCCTTCGATGGAGGGTTGGCGGATAACATGCACCGTGATATACCGTGTGTAAAATTAGTGGCGCAGGCGCCCCGGTGCGAATTCTCTATCCTACCTCCTCCTTCTACTCCTCGTCCTTTCTTCCGCTCCGTCGTTGGGTTCCTGATACCGTCCGCTCGCTCAGTCAGTGGCCGTCGTTCGAGGTCGGTCTCGACGAAGAGCAACGAATTTGGCTACGTTGGTTCTTCCGGTTCCGTTTGGTACCCCGATACCATTTCGCGAGTTGACGATCCCTTGGACGAGTCTATGACGTTTTAATCTCTCTCGTTGAAGGTGACGACGAAGGAACGAGACCTTGATCCTTGGCGGGATAACAGTCGTTCTCTCTTCGGATCCTGATCCGATACGGGACCTTCTGAAAAACCTCCAGGTTCCATCTGATCCGCGATATCGAGCTACAGTATATATCTATCGATTCTCGGCACTGTAGGACTTCGTGAATTAGACCCGAGATCAATTTCGATCTTTTTCATCAGTTAAACGTTATTCGTTTCGAGAGGATCATCCGAAAGGTCCGTCCGTTTCATCGCATACCGATCTTGGCCGAGACGACAGCGTGCTCCACGTGCGAACTTCCCGATATATCGACTTGGTCGATTTCGTTTTGTTCACCGCGTCGCGAGATCCATCGTACAAAGTGGAGGTAAAGAAAATTTTCATCAAATTTGGATAGTTATCCTTGTTCCTATCTCCTTTGTCTCTGTTCGATTAGATCCCTACGTCGTCGAATGGAAAATCCATGTTGCTCGCGAACCCGCTTATCATGAATTCCGCTACGAATCCTCCCCGGGGAGAGTCGCTCGATGCCATCCGCGCTCGTAAATTACTTTTTCACGTCTGAAGCATATATCATATCTTGAAATTCGGAAGATTGATCTAACATTGTAAAATGTGTGAATATTTTATTGCAATTTGATTTCCTCGTTAGAAATTTGTAGAAATTAGGATTCCCTATGTTAAAACCATATTAAATTAATTAAATATAATCCTGACAGTGGATACATCAAGATTGAGACATCTTTACGTGCACACATTCTAATTTCGGGATTATTTATTATATAAATCTAGATATAGTATTTTAAATATAAAAAAAATCTTAAATATATAATTTCATATAACTGTTTTTTATATTTCTATATCTAAAATTTATTTATAAATTATTATATTTAATATATTTTTTATTATACATTTTAATTATTTTTAATACACACACGTATACGTATTTTTCATAAATTTGATAATAAAAGCAAGAGAAAAAAGGAGTCCACGATAAAAATACATTAATACATTTTGTATTTTTATTGAACATTATCTCTATTTTTGCGTTTATTAAATTTATGAAATATGTAAAAGCTAAATTTATTTAGTAGCAATTATTAAATATGTATGCAAATATTTATACTGCTTTTAAGATAAATAATATATTTCTTTGTAATACATACTAAAACATTTTATATTTTTATCGAACACTTCCTCTTTCTCTCGCTTTTATTATCAAATTTGTGAACAATAGGCCAAATTTATTTAGTGACAATTATTAAATATGCAAATATGTTTACTGTTTTTAAAATAAAATTTTTAAATATATATTTCTGAGTATCTTGTAATATTTCAACTACAGCTATTTAGTGAAAGTTGTTGGTAGCAAATCCAGATTGCGGCATGATATATTTTTAATGTATTAAGTATTAAATTCTAATTATAGAACTTGTGATTGGTTACAGCGCCGTAAGGAACGTGGACGGATCGCCGTGGAGAGCGTCCACGTGGTGGAGACGGCCAGTCTCGGAAGTGGTAGCACCGGAAGCGGTGGAGGCGGCGGTGTCGGCGATGCAGCGGGTGGTGGCGACGCGGGCAGCGGAGGCGGCGGAATACCATCCGGACTACCCTTCCAGGTCGGATATCGAGAAGCTGGTCAGGAGTATACGCTCTATCTGCTCGCCGCTCGCGAGCAGGATCGTGCTGAATGGATACGTGCCATACGCGCTGGTAAGTTTTTCTTTTTTATTTTTATTTCCGTCTTATACTCGTTTCCTCATTCCATTTCCCGCTTTCCCTTCTCCCTCCCTCCTCCCCTCGCATTGATATTCAATGCGGGTTCGCGCAAATATTACGCTCGTGAAGCTTCTTACGACAAGCAAAATGCGTATTATTCCCTTACCACTGTGACATTTATATTTCAATAACTTGTGATATATGTTGTAACGCATTAATGTTGATTACGCATTAATCCTTTCGGTCTTCAAGTTTTATTACAAGTGGAAAGAAATATCGTATATATATCTTATAAATACAAATAAAAATTTATATATGTATGTGACACATATTTTGGGCCAGTATATTTTGAGGGATAAATTTTGAAGTATCCTGTGGGTTATATAAAAAAGAAATATGATCTCGTGGCAATCTATAATAAAAGCTTGAATTACCATTTTTTTGTTTGTAGTGTGCAGTGAGAATTCGGGCTTGAGCGGGCGTTACCACGCGGGTTTGTGGAGCGGGAAACGCTGGTCCTGCTGCCGATTATCGACACGTTCCGCCGAAGGCTGCGACACTTGCAGCTCCTGGTCCGCTACGAAATCGGCTGCGAACGTCACGAATCCGTCCTCAACGACAACGTCGGTCTCGACGACATCGACATCAGTGCCCGGCAGTATTAACAACACCATCTCGACGACCACCGTCACATCAGATCATCGTGCACAGTTGACGAACGCCGAGGCGAATAATAATCCGATCATCCAGACCCAGGCCCGCTCAACGATCGGTTCGTACCTCATATTTATTACATATACGTTTTGACCCTTTTTTTTACAAAGCCTACTGGGATTTTAATTGGCCCACTGGCAAATCGATACATTTCTCATTTCGATGTCAGCGTGAGAGTTCCGCTGTTATCGCTATGTCGTTTTTTAATAGCTAGGATTCGTTAATTGATGCAATGGATATAAAGAATCAAATGTTATCCCCGGGAAAGCGTTATTTATTGTTATTTGTAACTGGACTTTTTTAATGTCGATATACCGTCCAGTTTTGCAATGATACGCTTGTCGAAATGTCGCGCCGTATTTCATGCGGCCGAACACAGGCTAATTGCATGATTCAATTGATACAATTTATGATTCACACATATATATAATATCACAAGTGGCAATATATATGCAACTTATGAATATTCGTTATCGCGGAAAAAAGTTGTCCAAACATATTGAAATAATGCACGAGCAATCGGTAATGTGTGCGATCAGCAACGTGCAATTAACTGATTGCCGCTTTATATCTCGTTAAATATTTATTGATACGAGCAATAACGAATCTATCTCGTTTCAAAATCGACCGACACTTTGTTTACTGCATTAGCTCTAGTCTATATTGCGGAGCGACATTATCTATCGGAATTTATCGGAATAAGCAGTAAATTCCTCCGCTCTCTGGAGAAAATCTCGTTTCTCTCGCACGATTATCGAGCTAATACGAGAGCGGCGGAAGAGGATTGTCTCCGAGCAACTGATTTTCTGCGAATCTGGATTTCTTACATCTTGTCAAACGACGCGGAATCGCATCTCTCGTGACTCGAAAAAGCGTTTTATACGTGCATCTTCAAAGTTGGAATTGTTTCAAAGTTCGCGATTCCCAAGTATCTATATCGCGTATAAATCTTTGTATAGTTTCCACAAAATTTGAAAGGAGATAAAGAAACTGCATTTAAAGTAAATATGCATCGGGAGGGAAATTTCATGTATTATTTGATTTAAATATTTCCATAATATAAGCATATATGATTGATAAATTACACGAATAAACATATACGTCTATATACGTGTACATGTGCTTCCGTTTCTGATATCTCTGTCACGGACGAGACAAGCGTAAAACGATGAAACGGAGCTTGCGAACAGGAGCACTATCCGCGAATTGGCGTAATGTCAAAGTCTCTGGCGTCTGCCACGAAAACTTTTCCCTTAGACAACAGGAAACATGACATTTTTGTGTACCGTTGAAACGTTCTGACTCTCTGGAGCTGCGACGTCGAAACTCGAATCGACGCGAAAAATCCTCTCGGTCAAGCGTCATTCCTCCCCAATAACCCGAGTGTCCCAGTTCCTTTATCGCTCGCGGCAAGACAGGCCTTTCGATTTCGCCAAACGGTGCCCCCGATACCGCGAATCGGTAATTGAAATTTCGTATCATCGCGACTTCGCGGGATATATACACGAATTTCGAGTTTCCATTTCAAACCGGGAAATGGTAGGCGAAAATCCCTCTTCCCGTCCCTCTCTGTTGTGGATTTATCTGATTATCGCAAAGCGCTCGTTACTTAGCGGATCAAACGACGAACTTAAGGAGATTGAAATTGTCACCGGCTAAAGTACGTAATACGACAGTCACAAAGAGGAAACGCTGTGCAAAAGATATACAGTATAGAACTTGATTCTCGACGCGTTGCACTTTCAGAGAACGTATCTCTTTTATCTGCAAATATTATCTCTCCTCATTCGCAAATATTCAAAAGCGCGATGTTCCATCCTAGGAACGGTATGACGCAGATGACGGTTTTTACCAAGGAAATCTTATTATTAGACAACCTTTTATTAAAAATCGATACGTGTGCCACCGAGCGATCGCGCAAAATAAGTGCCCACTCATATATTTTTGTTTTAACACGTCACTGTATATATGTATAAACCGCGTTTAAATTAATGCGGCGGAGTTTGAGTTTGACTAGTTGAACGCGTTTTCCTCCTCCCGTGCATTACCATCCCTTTCATCATATTTTTTGACAGTAACTTTTTCCATACACCAGAAGTTTATCTTTCTCGAGCTGTGTCGGTTCTATCATCCATTTGTGTTAAAAGTCTGAAGCGGAATATATTGGGGGCGAACCGCGCGAGACGAAACTTACGATAGTCTTCGCGAAGGAGTTCCTTGAACGAAGTTGACCTACTTAACTACGGCAAAATTGAATTTCAGATATTTTAATCGCAAATCTTAAGTATTGAGACCGGCGTTCGATGTGCTTCTGCGAAGCGCGCGTAATAACAAAAAATACAAATTCGATTCAGAAAATTAATCGAATTCATATCGGCGATGCGCCGAGGTGGCAAGATACCGGGCAAGAATCGATTTAATTATTTAACTTATTTACTTAAAGAGAAGCATCTTTCCCCTATCATACGTCCATTGTCGAATATTTGACGTATTATTATCGTTTTTCAGCTTCTCCGATAGTTTCTGTTAAAACTTGACGGTGTTAGGTAACGACCATTATCCGGTTAAGCAATTATCCCAACTTGGTCAAAGTAATCGCTTAGGGCGTTTCTCGTTATATACAGCGAGGGAGAGAGAAAGAGCCCGCCTGAAATAAAGTTCCTATATTATAACATTTCCGCTAGGTAACGATATTATTCTCCATTGATCCCTCCAATTGATCGTGACTTACTAAAATCTCGCGCTTCATCCCCTGAATTTATAATTTGCGACATAATGCCAATCTGTGCATTGTTTTCGCGGGAAATAGGTTTGCATTTATGCATGCAATATATTCGATCCACGATGCCTCGGAGCGCGGTAGGAGGGCGTAATTTAACTCAAGACTTCTATCTTGATTTATGACATTGTATGTTCCGCGTAAAGCTACGTCCTCGCTGGAGCAACAACTTTTTTAACAAACATCAACAAAAGGTTGTTCGTTATTGCTCCAGTGAGGGTGCAGTTTATGAAACTTTCCACAACAACTGGCAACTTTTTTTTTAAGAAACCTAGACCATCAACAAAAAGTTGCTCCTTATTGCTCCGCAGTGAAGACATAGAATTACCTCATGTTCGTTGAAAAATTTCATGAATTTTAAGCTATGTTCTCACTAAAGCAATGAGCAACTTTTTTTAAGAAACTTGGAACAAAATTTATATTTATTAAATATTTACTATTTATCATTAACACAAAATTGTTTGAAACTTTCAGCAACAACGAGCAACTTTTTAACAAACATGGAACATCAATAAAAGGTTGCTCGTTGTTGCGTCATGTTTGTTGGAAATATTCACGAATTTTAAGCTATGTCCTCACTGGAGCAATAACGAGCAACTTTTTTAAGAAACTTGGAACATTAAAAAATTGCTTGAAATTTTCAGCAATGAGTAGCAATTTTTTTTTTAAGAAACATGGAACATCAACAAAAGGTTGCCTCAAGTTCATTGGAAAATCTCACGAATTTTAAGCTATGTCCTCACTGGAGCAACAACGAACACCTTTTTTAAGAAACTTGGAACATCAAGAAAGAATTACTTGAAACTTTTAGCAATGACTAGCAACTTTTTTAAGGAACATGGAACAGCAAGAAATCCAGCGAGGACGCAGCTTTTAAGGCTAAATAATTCGCGATAATTACGCGAAATTTGTGAAGCGAGGTGTCAACATCGTGAAAGTTTCGAATAGTCTGTGAATACATTTTCCAAGTGTATATAAATTACACTTGGTCGTTACTCGTTTACGCTTTGACGAGTATCGGTCCCCCGCGCTTTTCTCCCTCGTCGTTCGCGCGTCGGATCTTCATCTTTCATCCGGGTCCTGCCGCTTTAACTCGCTCGCCGCGGTATATCAGACGTGACACGACTCCATTATATGAACGTCGAGTAGGTCGAGCACGCAATTAACAAGTTCGCTTGACTACGGGGAACGGAGGCGCTACAGTTAAGCAAATGAATGCAGCCGAGAGCTAAATCTTAACTATCTCCGAATACACGACGCATTGCGAAACACAGCGGCGGTCCCTTTTTTTTTGCCCTCAAGCATCCTCGAGGGGAAAAAAAACTTGTCGCCGAGCGTGCATTTCTCTTTTTCGTCCGACATAATTTTTTTCTTTTTTCATTTATTTTTTTGCTTCATCACTGAAGTGCGATTCTCGGCGTGTATTATTACGAGATATTTCGAGTCGTTAATGTCGCGGCCAATTGCGCGCTTCGTCGAATCGATTATTATCGAGTCAATTCAGTGCTCGCGATTGATTACTTCTATATCAAAGTAATTCGCAGCCGCTTTTCGTTTCCCGTTTTCGTTTTCCGAGCGATTGCTCTTCATCGGCGACGCGTCATCCGTGGGATATATCCGTGAAGGCGGAGATGTGTCTGTCGGACAATCTGCACGTTGGAGCGTGCCGTGAAATAAAAGCCGGAGTAAAGCACATACAGAGAGAGAGAAAGAGAGAGGGACTACGTCGTATAACGGCGGATAATCAATAAATTGTAGTGAGAGATATTTGATTAAATAACCGATAAAGCGCAACCTTCCTTGTTCGCGAAACATCCTCCCAAGTTGGCTCGAATCGAGGAAAATGCGGGAAGGGAATAGAGAGAAAAAAAGAGGAAGCAAATGAATGAATAGAGAGACGGAAACTAACGTAAGGTCGCTCGAGAAAATCCCAAAGCTACCTCCAGAACGAACTACTCAGTCTGTGTAACTGCGTCGCGACCTTTCCTTCTTATTTTGCGCGAATCTCGTTCCTCTTCTGGGCCATTAAATCCACAGCCTTGAATGAATCTTCAAGAGGAGCTTCTAGTTTAATTCTCGAAGACGCGAATATCGAAGGCGAATAAATTTTCGGCTTAATCACGAGAAAGAGGTAATAAATGCTAATTGATTGAGAGTATTCTTTCAAAGGATTCTCGAATATGATCGCGATCGTAACGAGTGATCGTTTCGAATTCTCTCGTTACTTTTCTTGGAAAAAAAGGAGGAAGATTTCTTATTTTCATATCGCGTTTGCGAAGAATATTAATACTTACGCGTATCTAAAATAAAGCGAGTGTGCGAAAATTTTGCTTTGCTACACAGAGAGAATTTTATCTTAGAATTTATCCTGAAAATCAAATATGATATTGGAAGGATTTTATAAGAATTTCTCTCTGATTAATATATATTTACCACAATAAAAAATATTAATATCTACCACAATAAGATATAAAATATGTTCGATTAATTTTACTATGTTTTTATTATGGTAAATATTAATCAAAGAACAATTTTCAGGGTAAATTCTAAAAGAAAATTCTCCGTGTAGAAGCTATTGAAGTTATTATATTTTCTTCAAAGAAAAAGATGTGAGCGAATTTTACAAGTTTGGCTTCAATTACGATTCAAATCGTTTCTGACATCATTTCACTGAAAGTTTGACTATCACGAAATTCTGTTCCATAATTGTTCTCTCTTCATTCTCGCATACATCTATATATAAAGTAGCAATGTCACATACAGACACAAGTTAAACTATTCGAAGAGTACAGCTGATTCGCGCGTGCAACTGCAACTACAGATTGTAGATCATTTACAAGCATCATTGCGATACCATTTTTCTTTATTAAACGATGGTTTCAAGTCTTTACCAATTTTTCCGCGTTTCGCAAATAGAATTAGAGCGCGTTTTAACGCGGAGATAGTCGGTTCTAGTTTCTAACCGCTACTTTACACCGGTATCGCGTATCGTCACAAAATTGCCTCTAGCCTGCAATCTCTCGCTGTTAAATTTTGCGTTTGGTCAGTGAGGCATGCCACGTCAGCCAGTAATTCAGCCATCGCTAAACGGCTTTTTTATACGCTCTTATTCATGTTTTTTCTAAAAATTATATGTGCGGTTTTATTTACTTTTTGGGAATTTTTTTAGATTGTGTTTCTGTCAGGCAAATATGTTTCTGCTACCTCGTTTGTAAATCTGCTAAGTTTTCAGAATATTATGAAGATACACCCCGACGATAAATTAGTTTATATAGCATAAAAGTAGCGTAAAAAAATAATGGGGAATTATCAAAAAATAACTCAATAAAAAAGATCATATATTTAAAAAAGAAATGTATCAGAGATCGGGTGAAAAAATATTTATGTATTAAAAGCACAATACAATTTTATATTTAAATACGATTATGTGTACAATATTATAGATTTATCGGATTTTTCGCAAATAATCTTATACATTTGTAAAGGATATACAAAGCAACGAGATAATAAGTGATTTGAATCCCTGAAATTATTGGTAATTTCGTTGCGTATTTATCGCTCAGTTGCGCGACCACGCGCAATCGTATTGTTAACCTTTCCAGCTTACGGTATTATATTACGAGATATTAATTTATTGCTTTTCTCATTTTGTTGGGATTAGCAGATGATTTACAATCTTAATCTTAGCTCGTGACCCGACTTAGGTCATCGATATCTCTTAACTAACGAGACAACTATATTTTATTCCGTGGCATTGCTTCACGAAACCGTCAACTAGCAACATTTAACAATGTTTAAATATCTGTCGGGTCTGGTTTTTATTTTTTGGTGTCAAACACAAGGATATGCATTCGCTCAAACTGACATTAAGATCCTTCCGTTAACATCGTTAAAATCAAATAATCCCAACAACAGTGAAATTGCAGGTAAATAATAATTTTGTAATAATATACGATGTCCGATAATAATTGTTCGATTATTATCGAATCCTCTATATTCGTAAAATATTAACTTTTTACATAGATATTTTAAAGTATAGATTAATTACTTAGACAATTAATGTATCTCGAAATTTATTCTTATTTTATTTACTCGATAATTTTACTCTGCGCGTTCTCAAACTGAATTTTATTTAAATAATTGCATTGAACGATACGTCAGAGGAAATATATTTAACTCTAAGAAACGCGGAACATTCTTTATACATTTTTTCGGAGAATATTAAAATATTTCTTCTTCTATCAGGGGAGCTCGAAAAGAGACCCGTGGTTGTTTTAAACGGACACAATAATTATCACGTGGCTCAGCAAGTATTTTACATATACAACGAGCAACAAAAGCGATTGTTACCGAATAATAAGGAAAGATTGGATGGTTACGTTGTCACACCTAGTATGGGTGCTCACAAGCTTAATCCACGTAAGCTCACCTGGAATAAAGCTCGCCAGGCTTGTATCCAGGAAGGAGGTAAAAGAAATTATTTGCATGACCGATAAATCGAGTAGTTATTAATATTCTTACGGACAAATTTCGATTTTCTATAATTGACTCACGTATAAAAAAGAATTAGCTACTATAGCTAAATTTTAGTTGTCCCTATATTGCACGTAAAATTTAGTTACCATACCTAAATTTTTGCTATGACCAATATTTTTTAGTTATCGAATTCTGCATTTAATTATAGCTAAAAAATATTACCATAGCTAAATTTAGTCACGGTAGCTACCTTTTTTTCTGTGTATAATTGACTTATCGTCCGAATGAAAAAATCGACGTGATATAACGCTAGCCTCGTATATAGAATATTTTTTATTATATACTTCATACGCGAGGTTTACATACGTTAGGTCATTTGGCGATTATCAATTCGGAATCGGAGGAAAAGATTCTTTTGCGTATGCTGCAAGAGGGAAACATCAACTTGGCTTGGCTCGGGGTTCATGATTATTTTGAAGAGGGCGATTGGGTTACCGTTAAAGGCGAGGCCTTAGAAAATACTGGGTACATGAGATGGACGACTAAATGGCCGAATGTACCTGATAACTTTAACGGTCAAAATTGCGCGGTTCTCATTAAAGAAGGCGGGATGGATGATGACAATTGTCATACAACAGCTGCCTACTTTTGCGAGATCCCTCTGTAAAATATATTATCTTATTGATAGAGAGATCTAGTAGCTGATAGATAATCACGCGTGTGTACATTTGTAATAATACGTACATGTATAAATAAATGAGCAACTCCATTTACGTCCTCCTATACGTTCCTCTAATTTTGAGTTTCGAGGATCGGATTTTTATATCAAATATTTTATATTAAATATAGATATTTTTTTATAAAAATTCACTTTTACGTTTTGAATATCGATGTAGTTAATATTCAAGCGTTTACAGGCGATGTCGCAAACTTGATTTCCCTCTCGCTTCCGCAAAGCGTGAGAAACGCGAGGATGGATTAAATTAATCGCGACGCGCCGAACCGCAATTTCACCGAGTTCTCCGTTATTTCCTACTGATATTAAGGGATCCCATTGAAAGATCGACCCGCGTCTGGAGTGCAATGATAGCATACAGACGGATGAGCGAGTGTGTGGTATCCTATAGTTTGAACCGACGAAAAGTGTCGCGCTCGCGATATTGTATAGCCGTGAATACTATTCAGCTGACTCGAATAGCGAGTAATCGAGTTTGCGAATGAAGACGATTGAGTTCTCTTCCGGTTTCGATGTATATGGAGAGACCCGGGAATGAAGGAGCGTCAATCGAAATAATTGTAAAATCGAAGTTGGCTTCATTGAAATTTCGCTATATATATTTTATTTATATTTCTATTTTTTATTTATATGTTTATATTATATTTATATTTATAATTTTGTGTATAACTATATTTTATGCATTCGTGTATTTTCATCTTACACGGCTGCTTTATTCGAAGCAAATGTTACGGAATAGGTATTATCGAATTTTCTGTGTTTCGAATCGCTCTGTTTTATTTCTCGTATCGAAACGATCCGTTTATCCCCGAGATATTCCGCGAAGACTGGCTCCTTTTCACAAAAGACAGCGTTCCGTAACATCTATCATAATAATAATAAATAAAAGGCCGATTCTCGCACGTGACGACACTGGCAAACGTAGATTCAATAAGAGAGATAGGTGTGGTAAAACGAGATTGAATGTAGTCGTAACTGCCGGTCTAATAGCCTCTGACAGATACATCGTGTATATTGTGTTTTTATGCGAGACAGTATACGAGAGAAGTATTTGATCACGGGATATATAAACGAGAGAGATCGCAAAAAAAGAGACTAGACAGAATTGATTCCGCTCGCGCGTGCATTTATTGCGTCGTATAGAAAAAGAATTACATGCTACAAAAAGGAACCTATTTACTTTTAATTACGCGCGTTATTATTACAAGTACGAATAATTAAAAAGCGCAAACGTCGAACCGCGATTATTATAATTTCGCAGAATTAACAGCGCTCAATTATTAAGACACTAAGATAACTCTCTGTCCAACGGAGTGAGACACCCGGGAGAGAGCAGCGCATAAATCTAAATGCATATTTAAATATTGAACTGTCAGGGATGTTCTTGGCGCGCACAATTGTGTCTCTCAATAGGGATTCATCGGCGACCGCGAGAACCGCAAATGGAAAACGGTCGTAAAAAGCACTTCGAGTTTAGCTGCTCTCCACGTATTGATTGGCAGCATCGGCGAGCGCGATCCTTCATCTTGAACGTCGTGTTGTTGCTGCTCGATAGAAGTTTCTATAGCAGCTGAAATAACGTTTACTCTAATTTCTTATGCGTTTTCGCAAGGATTATCGCGGGGATTTCACCAAAAATCTCGATTGCTGGATTTCTGGACGCTATCACGTATCATCTCTTCCTTTTCCTGTTAATTCTTGTTTGAGGTGTGAAATTTATGTTAGTCGGTTCGATTAGCTTCGAGATACATATCGGTTCCACTCTCGTTTCTTTTCTTGCACAAAAATACGTCAATGTAACCGAACTTGAATTAATTAATTGCGTTAAGATATAGGTATATTTTTATTTTCTTTTATTTTTCGTTTTTCCAACGATTGTTTATAACTGTTAATACAATTGGATATTTTCTCTAAATGTTAAAATATATCAGGAATAACAAGATACATGTTGATTTTATTCTCTTTTTTAGATTAGTTTTTTATATTACTTTAATAAATAATTTATATATATTTTTGAAAAGATACTAAAACATTTTTCGCGTCTCTAAAAATTTCAAAAATATATATTAAAATGTTTCTATATTATGATTCTATACAGAGAGAATTTTCTCTTAGAATTTACTGTAAAAAATCATGGTAATTGTGAGACAATATAAAATTTTATAAGAGAAAATTTTATATTTCTCTGATTAATATTTACCACACAAAAAATATTAATATATAGTAAAATTAATCTTATTGCGGTAGATATTAATATTTTTTATTGTGCTAAATATTTAATCAGAGAAACTTATAAAATTATTTAAATAGAAATAAAAATTTCTATTTAAAAAGAGAAACTTCTAATGTATAAAATGACTCAGTTTTTTAACGAAAGATATAGCAAGAAACCGTTAATTAATATGATAATAATGTAGACCAGCAAATGTGTTGTTGCATATGCGATCGATATTAATCCGCAGGCGGTTATTATTAAATGATAAAGAGAAATTGGAGAACATCTGTCGGATTGGACACGCATGTGTTCTCATAAATTCGCCTGAAACAAGACTCATCGAACTTGTAGTCAGGAAGGAGATAAAGAGATGATTCATCATCAAATATCTCACACACACACATACAGATACATGTGTATATATGTATATATGTGGAGCATTCTTTCATGTTTTAACCAGCGCGTTATACGCATTTACATATTTGAGTACAGATTATTAGTTAATTAATGGAGTAATTAGATAACGATAATGATTACGCATGCGAATATCGAGCTAAAGATTTCGTATTTTGCGTAATTATTTAAATTACTTATTGTTAGCGATTAATTAATCCAAATTTCGAATTTAAAGAGAAAAATATAAAATACGGTTTATATATCTCGGATTTTATAATCTTTCTAAAGAAGATGACTACGTTATACATATAACAGAATGCACCAAATGAACGACTTGTTCGAATTGTCTAACAAATCTGATAATGCTAATGATAAAAAATTGCACGATTCTCATCATGGGAGGAATAATAAACAATCTGCAACGTTATTTTTTTTATATTCTTTTACAAGACAGACTTGTCAAATTGTTAAAAAGAGAGAGAAAGGGATTTATTAGATAATCTTTTTACGTTTATTTATAATCATACATATAAATATGTATATGAGTAAAGGAGTTATTTTCTATCTCTCTTTCTCTCTGGTGCATTTTTTAATTAGATTAATGTGAATTAAAAATCATATTTTTAGGAATACTCTTATATGTATATTCATGTCGTTAATACTAGAAGTTCTTTACATATATATTTATTTATAATCATACATATATAAATATGTATAATAGTAAAGGAGTTATTTTCTATATTTCTCTCTCTGGTACATTTTTAAAATTAGATTAATGTGAATTAAAAATCATATTTTTAGGAATACTCTCATAAGTATATCCATGTCGTTAATACCAGAAATTCTTTACATATATTTATTTCTAATCATACATATAAATATGAGTAAAGGTGTTATTCTCTCTCCCGCAGGTGCATTTTTTCAACTAGATTAATGTGAATTAAAGATCACATTTTTCGGAATACTCTTATAAGTGTATCCATAACGTTAATACCGAAATGGTAATACCAGAAGCTTGTTTTCCCTCCCATTTCCGCGAAAGCGTCAGAGCTTAAACCGCTTTGCGGGAATCCGCTTGTGCAAAACGCAACGTGAATGTAGAGACAGGATCGACCGAAATTCAAGCAAAGACCGCATATCACGCGGCTAGGATCCCGGGATGATTCGATGAAATCGATCCTCCCTCTCGCTAATACGTAAAGCGATGACGAATGATGCGTTATCGTTCACGGTCGATCAATCGTTATCCATCTTTCATCGGGAGAAGATATATATCCGTCTATATCTGTCACCCGACGACGATGAAGAATTCGCGACGCGGGCCGCGAATTGAAAATTATTATTTAAAATTAGACATACGCGGCGGAATTACGTCCGTCCTGGAAACCCAGTTACTCGGCTCGGGAGAGAATCCGAAAATCCACCCTCCCAGTTTCTCCCTCAAGTTTTGACGGACCGGATTTCCTAGAAAATGCGCTCACCACGCAGCAGTTCTTGTCTACAACAGGCACACTTCTCGTTTGATTCCCTATTTTCGCGATTCGGGTCATCGTCGTCATCGTCGTTGTCGGCATATTACTCCAGCCACTTCGCTTTTGTTGCAGCAGCAGGGAAGTCGAAATTGGCGTTCGCGCGAAGAACTCGAATAATGCATATAATATAGGGTAGTTGTATATAGGAGCTACGAGAATTTTCAGCGAATTCGCAGAGGCAAAATCGATATCCCTCGAGGGACCAGGTATACCGAATTCGCGACATTATATATAGAAGAGATGCGGGTTCTCTCTTAACGAACCGAAATCTCCCCGGATTGCAAACTGCGCCGATCTACTCCTCCTTCTCTCCCGCTTCTAAATGCGGATAATAATCGAGAATATATATCCGTTTTCGCGCGCGAAGACCGAACCGAGATGATTTAAGATGCACACCCGGGATTCGGGAAGCTCCGAAAAATATACGGTATTCCGCCATTCGTGCGCGGAAAACTCGAGAGGAGACCATCGAATTTCTCGAGTACACGTCATCGAGGAAGCGGGCTCGAAATTCGATTTAGCGCGCGATATCTCGATAACGATATCACGTTTGCTGTCGCGCGACTTCTTCTTTTTGTCCCCCTTTTTTCTTCCTTTTCTCTGACACTTTTCTAACGTTCTATCGCGCATCTTTGTCTTCATTAAAGTCGGGCGGTTTATTTGTCGCCCACGCGTGTATATATATATATATATATATATATATATATATATATATATATATATATGTATGTATGTATGTATGTATGTATGTATGTATGTATGTATGTATACGTTCCTTCGCATGCTGTTTCAAGCTGCTGCTACCCGTGATAATCTTAGCGCACACTTAATTGGACATCGCCGAGGGAGAGTGGTACAGATAGGTGCTTGTCGCAAAGTGCTGAGTTTGCCGGTAAGCTGGTCTACAATGTCACAAGCCATTTTCCCCGGGTCCTATATAACTTCTACACGATGCACTTCTCCCCCGGTGCCTGAGCGAAATCGAGCGACATCGATATTCGTCAATCCATCTCCGCGCGAATATTATTGTCATTGCGGTGAAAAATCTCTACCCAGATTTACTTGCGCAAGGTGGCTCGATTCTATTAATTGAGAGGCAATTTTTTCTGTTGGAATAGAAAAATGAGAAAAATGTTTATTCATCGTTTTCGTAAATATGTACGTTATTTTTCTACTGTATTATTTTGTTTTTGTTCTTAATATTAATTTGCGCTCGCACCAAAATTGTTTATTATCAGAATCTCTTTCTGTACACAGAGAGAATTTTCTCTTAGAATTATTTATTCTGAAAAGCATGGTAATTGTAGGATAATATGGAAATTTATTAGAGTTTCTCTCTCTCTGATTAATATTTACCACAAAAAATATTAATATGTACATAGCAAAATTAATCAAATATTTTATATCTTGTTACGATAGATATTAATATTTTTTATTGTGGTAAATATTAATCAGAGAAACTCTTATAAAATTCTTATTACCATATTGTCCCACAATTGCCATAATTTTCAGGATAAATTCAAAGAGAAATTTTCTTCGTGATAGAGAGAAATTCTAATAATAAATAATTTTTCTGTCCGAAAATTAATTATACACATATATATATAAATTTTTTGTATAATTATTTTTGTACTTTGTTTCTTAATATCAATTGTGCTCGCAATCAAATTATTTATTATTCGAATCTTTCTCTGCAATAAGAAGAGATTTTCGAATAGAACCATTTTATTGCGAGCATAATTGATACTAAAATTAAAAAAACAAAATATATATAAAAATACAATAAAATATATATAAAAATTAATTTCTGGACGCGATTGCATGTATTAATTTCCGACCAGAGGCACAATATAATCCACGTAACGTTCGCATCGCGCGTGTCGAAGAGTCCGTCTTGCATTAGTCTATGGTCGGCGTGGTTTAATCGGCGGCGAGGGAAGACTTCCGTGAAGGTGAAACTCCGAAGAAGGGGACTCCAAGCGAGACGATGACGACGACGACGACGATTCCGACTCGCTTTCGCGTTGGTGCTGCTGCTGCTGCTGCTGCTCGAGCGAGCGAGCGTTTAAGACCTTCTCGAGCCGAGGATCCAGTTCGCGTCGAGCCAGCAGCTGGAACAGTTGCTCTCGTCGAAGTCGTCCTCGTTGCTCCGCGCAAAATCGGAAAAGCGCGTCGAGAGTGCGTGTTTATGAGCCACAGATGCTGATCGCGTTGGGATTAATTCACGGGAAACTATGCTGGTGATTAGCGCCTTGAAACAGGTCGCGAACGCCGCCACAAATGCGGTCCACTCGGCCACCGGTAATGTTACCGGACATACTTCCGGTGAGTCGATTTGACTTTTTTTTCTCTTTCTACACTCCTCGACAAGATCTCTTTCTCTCTCCTCGTAATCGAGTTTAATTCTCCTCCGGTTCGGCCTCGACGAGACTGATAGCCTCGCAAAGTACGATATTTCTCAACGTTAATTTCTACGATAAGCTAAAATTATCCGAATACCTTTTGCAACGAGAAAGAGAGAGAGAGCGACCGGATTCGTTTTAATAGAACGAGATATTAAAATTACAAACCACGCGATATACATATATAAGCGATACGGAACATTCAACAGATACGTTTAAGGAGATGTAACGATAAATCTGCACAGCGACAAATATATCGTCGCTTCAAAGCATTTAAAGCTTGCGTTCTACATTTGTAATGTAGAATAATCACGCTATATATACGAGTGGAATAATTTAGCGCGTTTTCTCTCCTCTCTCTTTCTCTCTCTTGCTTTTAAATCTCCCTTTTTTCCCTCACCGTGGCTACTTATTTTTTTTTTATTTTTTTTTGGTTCAATCTCCGCGAAAAGCATACGCGAGCTGTATGCACATTTGTATTCGCGCAGAAATATCGCTTGCGCAAAATGTAAAAGGTTACACGGAGGCGCGCGGCCAACAGACCTCTATAGGTTTCATAAGAACGGTACTACGGTAACTTTCCTGCCACGCCTAATGTCAAGATCGTAACGTCAATCGACATGTAGATCATTCCACATCATTGGAAGAATAATACACCTTCTTATTTATTAAATAAAAAAAAATCCGCTCCCGCAAATCGCTAGCTTTCCAGGGATCCTCAGCTTCGCGGGAGGAATTACGCCTGAGAAATTATCTATCACATGACAGCTTACGAAATAGACAATTTATAAAGAGAGAAGGTTCCATTTTATTCCCTCTAAATTGCCGAGCGATCGTTCGTTATATCAGTTGTTAAAAAAAACGATATTCGGTAATTAAATTAATCCGTGTGCGAAATCGAAGGTTTTTTTTATCGCGTCTTGTTAATTTTCATCATTTTCCACGTATCAAAAGTCGATTAAGAGCGCAGTTAGACAAATGCCAATTACTCTCGGGCATATTCGCTTATGCGAGGCGTAATGTGGCCATTATAGGTGACATTCACCGGCCACATAGACGTGTTGAGTGCTGATGGTAACGAGTCACTATACAGAATTTACTAGTGCACTAATGTTTCTCTTAATGAGAAGAGAACCTATACACGACAAATCTCAATGATTTTTTAAAAAAGAACAGGATATAATCAAAGAATAATGAGGCAAAACTCAACGACGTGTATCTTTATTGTATGATTACATGTTGTTTTTTTCTTTCTTAATTGATGCGTTGTCGCGAATAAAAAAAGCAATTAATCGCAATTACATTTCTCAGCATACGTATTTGTTTGCGCGATAATGTCACTGTAGTGTCTATTATCGCCTTCTACACGGAGAGAATTTTCTCTTGGAATTTACCCTGAAAATCATGGTAATCAGAACAATATGGTATTGGAAGAATTTTATAAGAGGATTAATGTTTATCACAATAAAAAATATTAATTTGCACATAGTAAAAATTAAAATTGAACATATTTTATATTTTATTAACAATAAATATTAATCAGAGAAACTCTTATAAAATTCTTCCAATACCATATCGTTCCATGCACAATTACTATAATTTTCAGGATAAATTCTAAGAGAAAATTCTCTCTGTCTAGAATCAGAATATAGAAATATTTTAATATATATTTTTGACATTTTTTAGAGACGCGAAGAATGTTTCTATATCCCTTAAAAATTACAAATTATTTATTCAAGTAATATAAAAAATTTGTCTAAAAAGGATAATGAATCAATATGTATCTTGTGATTCCCCCATGATTTTCAGGGTAAATTCCAAGAGAAAATTCTCTCTGTAGAGATAATAAACGCCAACCCAAGGTTGATTCTTGAAGAAAGAAATCAGATTTAAAGCGTGATTTCTCGGCCGTGTCGGAGTAATGCCGATTCCACGCGTGTTTTATCGTTTCGTCTTAAATCTATCAGCTTTCCTCGTCATTAGCATCGTATATTGGTATAGTAATCCCGGTTCGGTTTGTCACTAACCGACCGACCGAACGGCCGCGGATCGAGAAACCGAGTGAGTGGGATGTACCTCGTTCGATGACCTCGCGAGCGAGAGGCGAATCGCTCTTCTGAGGTTTTCACCAATACCTTAGAAAGTTTCTCGACAAGCCGCTCGCCGTGGAAGACGTGCGTAGCCTTGAAAATCGTTCGCGGTACATATTTGTCTCTCATCTGTCAAACTCAATCGAGAACGCAGAGAGGCATCCGGATGCATTTTGCTCGCGATTTGTCGTTGACGTGTCTGAAAAGTTCCGAAATCGACGCGAAATTCCCGAATCCTCCCAGAATGTAAAACGAGGGGGACCTTGAGATCGGCATGTAGGATTTTTATATGAAGAGCCTCCTCTTTTCCCATGTGGGAAAAATAAATATCGCTCGGTAGAAGGATGTATTTCCATTTATAAATATTAATAGCGTATATACACTGCGTGTATAATAATATGCAATGGGAACATTTCGCGTGTATTTAAAAAAAAAATACGATTATTTTCGGAAAATGATGATTGTTCGAATTATTTGTTCGAGGATGCTCGACGTTCTTATACAACTTGCACGATATTTTTTTTCTTTTTTTTTTTAACGTTTCACTCCACTTTCCGCGATCGCCTCACTGTCCCGGGTGCTCACTGGACTATTACGTACTTTCTACTGCTCGTTACAGATAATCAGTGGCGAACAACAACCTGCCATCCGCAATGCAAGCGGTTCGTTAAAGTGGATTTGTAATTATAAGAGCCGCGATTAATGCGAGATATTTAATCGCGCAAATTTTTTAATTAAAGCGCTCGAGTCAAGCGTTTCGAAGAATAAATATTTTACAAATCTCGCATAGATAGATAGAGATATTCTCCTTATATTTATCTCTCTTTCTCTTATTAGAAGAGAAACGTGCAAGTCGACGGTATGCGGAATGCATTTCTGTCATATTGTATTCCATGAATTTAAAGTCGCGCGTTTGCGTCTATCGTCAACTTTAACATCTGACATAGTCGGATCCCTTCTGAGAATGCAATCGTGGTTATTTCCCGCCTCTGTGTCTCGGTTATCATCACCAATGTCAAAAGTCGCATGTCGCTATCTTATCGCGTTTCCACGACAGGATACAAAAACCGTAGAACTCGACGGTTTTGTTTGCAGTCGCTGCATTCATCCTAAACTAATAAATCTCGATCATGTCGCGATTTCTTCTACTCCTGTCGCAAGTTATCCTGATACTCTCGACGAGAGTCTCGTCGGAGAAGAAGGAACCGACCTGTCAAAACATGGACGCTTACAACGTTTGTTATTACAAAGGAGTGCTCGTCGAGGTTACGCAGCGTCGCTTCGAGAATCGATTGTACATCAGCGACTTGGACCTCCTGGCGATTCGCGAAGACGCCTTCAAGAACGTGACGGCGACGCATTTGTATCTAAATCAGAACAATCGAATATCCGTGCTAAAGAGAGGATCCTTCCGCGGCCTGCCCAAGTTGGAGCGTCTCCACTTAGACGACAATGTGGTGTCGTTGTCGGAACACTTGTTCGCGGAATTGGGACACTTGCAGTCGCTGTCCATGGTCTTCAACAGGATCAATTCGATACCGAGGGACTCGTTTGCCGGTCTGTCGAGCTTAATGTGGCTGTACCTGGGTCACAACGACATCCCGGCGATTGAGGCGGAGTCCTTCTCGAATTTGAATCCCGGATTACTTTACCTGTGGCTCAACAACAATAAGATCGCCCGCGTGACCCCGGGTTCCTTCGCCGGGTTAACCGAATTGAATCGCCTCCATTTGGACTATAATCAACTGGAGAGCTTACCGAACGCTGCTTTTCGAGGATTGAACAAGTTGGAAGATCTCTACCTAAATAACAATCAGATAACAAGCGTCCCCGAAGCACTTCTCCGTGACCTAGTCGGTCTGAAGAGACTCTATCTTCAACAGAACGAGATCAGCACTCTCGAGCCGGGAGCGTTTCAGGGGCTGTCACAGCTGGAGCGGCTGCGATTGGATGGAAACAAACTGTCTCGCATCGCAGCCGATACTTTTACAGGTCTCGTCAAGCTGGAAGATCTCAATCTGTCCGATAATAACATCCACGCGATAGATAATGGCGCTTTCGCTGATGTCGTCGAATTGCGGAATCTTTACTTCAACGGCAATAACGTCACCGAAATTGATAAGAAGATTAGCGGACTCCCATCTGAGGTTACTGTCGTCTTGGCGCTTTAGGGATTTGTTTATATCTCGACAAAAGAATACCTCCGCTACGACATGGAGAAAGAAAAATAAATCCTTTTGTTTTCATTATTCGTAATTTCGTGTCTTATACACAGGATACTAATACGTCAATTTTATACCTTTGTTATATCGAAAAAATAAATCAAAGTTGATAGAATCCAGGTCAATTGTACAATAGATCGAATAAGCGAGAATGATGATTTTTTTCCGCTGTAACGTTTCGAAGCGTGTCTTATTGGAAACTTATAAGAGGAAAAAAGAAGCGAAATTGTATGTTGTACCTAGACACATCTCCTCACCTCTAACATATATATATATATATATATATATATATATATATATATATAATATCGCGTCATATATTTGAATCAATGCTAAGATTCAATATCGCGATGTCGCTACTTTCAGACAGTCGAGATTTACCTTAGACGTCTCTCCTTTTCTTAAGGTTCTTTTCTACTTATTGAATTTCCGCGAGACTCAGAATATTTTCGGAGATACACCGAAAGAAGAGACTCCGTCGCCTCCGGCGGATTTTGTTACGCTCTTTTCACATCGCGGGCCTTGTGTCCCCGGCGAGACTTTCATTACCGAGATATCCTTCTTGAGATTCTCCTGACGTCCCCTTGGAAAAGCATTTCTATGAATCCCGGCGCGCAACGCCTTACGTTTTGCCTTATACTGAAAAATTCTGCTCGTAGAAATTCTGATTCTGATGAAAGATTATTGTGCGAAAATTGACATTGCCTTGAAAACGGAAGAAAAAAAATATCAATTGTTCGATCAATCTTGTAGTTCTTTATTTTCTCGTATCTAACAATCCGAGAGTATAATTTGAAGAAGAAAATCTCTGGAGGGAAGAAATTAAAATATTAAACACACCAAGTCGCACCATCGAGAGTAGCGCGTAAGTTTATCTCGCGGTAAGTTTCTCTCTTCCTTTTTTTTTATTTTTTTTAATTTCACGTCCGGTCATATAGTCTTTCGTTTGTCGGAAAATCTCTCCCAAAGGGCAGAAAACCACTCGGGTACGGACGAAGATACTCCGCGGATATTTTCCGCAAAAAAACTTTCAGGCGAAAAATCTCTTTACCGCGTTGCCAGGATTGCCTCTAGTAATGAAACTCTACGAGGAAGGAAGGAAAGAGATGCTGAAGGAACGAACATTATAAAGGGAAAAAAATGAATAAAATAAAACACGAGATGCGCGATGAAGAAGAGATTCGCTGTTGCGAATTCAGACGACAATGTAAAAAGCCTTAGGGGGATGCATAAAAGAAGCAGGAATTTCGTGAATTAAAAGTGGAAAGCATCAATTTCCGCGTTTTTCCACGTAGAAATTTCGGTGCGCATAGATATGCGCGTGCGATTTCCGCGGAGATGAGGTAGAAGCGGACGCAATGCACGCAGAATACGGCGTGCACGTGCGAACGGTGTTGAAGAGATGCCAGGGAGAAGAGGGGATGTAGGAGGTTTGAGGTCGCATTGATTTTGTCTAGACAGGGTGGAGACTGCACTCTCGTGGTGTCGTTCTTCGCGTTCACGGTTTGGTATGCCTCGGTCGTCCCGGCGTGGTACACTTGTCGATCGGGATGTTCTGTTATTTGGTTCTCGCCGATGGGAACGCGAAAGAAGAAACGTCGCTGTCGGGTCATCCGTTCGATAGAAATTGAGCAAGAATTAAAGAGTAATTATTAAATAGCCACGTGTGCGCGCTTTTGTTAATATATCAAATTAGTCAAAATTATTCTGCCTCATTAGAGTTTAATAATTCCGATTGTGTGCAAATATAATGTGATTATTATTATCAAACTGTTCGAAAAATAATCGGACACACGTAGATGTAAAAAAATATTTAACTTTTTCCCGTTTGCTCTTTTTTTTTATAGGAACACCCTCGACTCCGATAATGCCAGGCGGTACACCCGGTACGCCATCCTCTAAAACAAAGGTAGGTCCACGCTTTCCTTGAGATAAATATTAAAATATTTGTTTAATATTCTCGATATTTTTTAATCTAGAATTTTTTTTTAATTTTTTTAAAATTTAATTTCTTGTTTTACAGGAAAAGATAATGCTGCGAGCGAAAGTTGTGGTGGCTCTGTATCCTTTCCGAGCCATCGAAGGTGGTGATTTATCTCTCGAAAAGGTAAAAAACTTTAAAAAATGTAGTAATAAATATTTAAAAAATATAAATCTATGTATAATATTATATATACATATATCGTTCTAGCATTAAATATTTACTAATAATTTATATTTTTGCACACAACACAGGGTGCGGAGTACGAAGTCTTGGACGATTCCCAGGAGCACTGGTGGAAAGTTAAGGACGAGAATGGGTATATATATATATATTTTTGTTCCAAACAACATTATTTTATGAACTATTTTTCTAATGACCGACGATTTAACTTACGACGCAGCTTACACACGTCTTTATCTCACACGTACACTTTGCGATAGTAACAATCAGCCGGCAATCGCGAAAAATAATCAGTTATAGCGTACAGTTCTCGCACAAACAGTAATCTTAGCGGTACTCTTTCATATAATCAGCTATAATTACTCATGATAACCGATTGTTTACTTATGCGGTAAAGTACGCGCGTAAAATGCGAGGAGGAATTGTTTGCATAAAGTCATTTAATTGCAGATCGATCGGCTATATCCCTAGCAACTACGTCAAAGAAAAAGAACTACTGGGACTGCAAAAATACGAGTGAGTAATACATAATATTTTTCTGCAAATCGTGAATTTGATAAGGTCTCTGTTGCTATTCCCATTCCGCAAGTTATCGACCCACCAAGTTTCCTACCGAAATGCTTCTCGATAAAAGTTTCGCATAAATCACAAGTTGTGTTCGTATATATATGATAAAAGTAAAAAAAACAATGACCGTTCCGCTTACGCTGTCGTAGATGGTACGTAGGCGATATGTCAAGACAACGCGCCGAGTCGCTGCTGAAACAGGAAGATAAGGAGGGTTGTTTCGTCGTTCGTAATTCCTCGACCAAAGGATTGTATACCCTCTCCCTTTACACGAAAGTGTAAGTCAACAGTACCGCACTTAAGTAATTACCGAGCGATTAAAAGTGGATTGGATTGGATTGGTTTTATACCTTACCTTACTTCTTTTTACCTTCTTCTCTCGAACTCTTTCCGATAAATGAAGATTTTCCATTTTCGTAGGCCGCATCCTCACGTGAAGCATTACCACATCAAACAGAACACCCGTGGCGAATTTTACCTGTCGGAAAAGCACTGCTGCGGCTCGATTCCCGACCTGGTAAATTACCACAGACACAATAGCGGAGGTCTGGCCAGTCGACTGAAAACCAGCCCCTGTGATCGTCCAGTACCACCGACCGCTGGCCTTAGTCACGGTTCGTAAAATTATTTTCTTTAATCTCTTCTCCGAAACAGTATAAAGAGAAACACGAGCTGTGTAAAAAAAAAAGAAATAAAATGAAACCTCTCTTTCTCTCTCTCTCTCTCTCTTGGCTATTCGGTGCCACTTAACGGCGGCTTTTTCGCAGACAAATGGGAGATCGACCCGGCGGAATTGCATTTGCTCGAGGAACTAGGATCCGGCCAATTTGGAGTCGTGCGGAGAGGTAAGTGGCGCGGCTCCATTGACGTTGCCGTGAAGATGATGAAAGAGGGAACCATGTCCGAGGACGATTTTATAGAGGAAGCTAAAGTAATGACGTAAGTTTCAACCCACTTTTCTTTATTTACGTTACACTAAAACTTTTGATGGGCATCCTTGAAATTTAATTTGTATCTAAATATATTTGATTATAACTTTATTTTCTTAATAATAAACACTTAATATAAAATATTTAAATTAATATTATGATAAGTCGATTAATATTATGATTTCATATATTTATTTCTTGTATTTAGAAAACTGCAACATCAAAACCTAGTCCAGCTATATGGCGTTTGCAGTAAAGATAGACCAATATACATTGTTACGGAATACATGCGACATGGATCTCTCCTCAACTACCTCCGCCGTCACGAAACCTCATTAGGTGCAAATGTTGGTCTTTTATTAGACATGTGTATACAGGTAATGCAAGTTCTGCCCAGTAGATAATAGAATACGTCGACATAATTCTGAGATTACGCAATAATTGAGTTTTTTTTATGCCTATATTACAGGTTTGCAAAGGAATGGCATATTTAGAGAGGCATAACTACATACACAGAGATCTTGCTGCACGTAATTGTCTAGTGGGATCAGAAAACGTAGTAAAAGTTGCAGATTTTGGTTTAGCTAGGTAAGCATTACTTTGTTCGCATCTTTATCTTTAGGAAATTAAATTAGAAAAAAGGTTTTAACTTAGAAGATATACATATAAGTGAATAATGAAATTTAGCTGAGAAAATCTTTTAGGTACGTACTCGATGATCAATATACTAGTAGCGGTGGCACAAAGTTTCCCATTAAATGGGCGCCGCCAGAAGTGTTGAATTACACGCGCTTCAGTTCGAAATCGGATGTGTGGGCATATGGAGTACTCATGTGGGAAGTATTCACGTGCGGAAAGATGCCTTACGGTCGCCTAAAGAATACCGAGGTTGTTGAACGAGTGCAGCGTGGAATTATTCTAGAACGACCTAAAGCATGTTTTAAGGAAGTGTACGAGGTAAGTCATTATTATTTCTCCACATTTCTGGACCTATTGTTATTCTGATTCTAAATTAACGTATTGAACGAATATCAGGTAATGCGCAAATGTTGGGCACACTGTCCGGAAGTGCGACCGTCCTTCCGCGTCTTGAAGGAACAGCTGATGAGCGTCTCGCAAGGGTTGGTCAACGATTGACTCAACCTTCTGCGGTGTATGCGCTTGTCCTCGCCTTCCTGCCGCACAATCCGATCGACGGCGAAATCGTCACCGTCGTCGGAACGATCGTCCTCCGCCGGTCTGCCGTCGTCAAATCTGTCGTATAATTCAGCAACATTGCCGTCGTTACGCAAGATCCGTGCGCCGGCCTCTCCCCCATCGCCTGCCACGATCGATTTCACTCGTCGTTTCTCGTCGATCACGTGCAAATCAAAAGGAGAGGGCTCCTCGTCGCCAAATACACCCGGGCATCAAGCTAGTCAACAAAAACCATCCTCGAGCTCGACCAACAACGTGTGCGACGTTTGCAGTTCCTACGGGCATCCGTGGATCGAAATATGCAAGGCGATACGAGCCACTAAAGGTAAATGAATGAACGTATACATATGTACACGCGCGTACGTGTAATTAAGTTTACACTATTCTGTATTCGCGCTATTAGAGAACCGCCGTAATGCGGAGATGTGATTCTAAACTTCCTCGGCCTTTCTCCTCTTCACCCCCGGCCGTAAGCGTAACGCTCCTTCGTCTACCTTCCCCTCTCGTTCCCTCTCCGTGTTATCCCCGAACACTTCATGTTCCGGATTTTACACGACTTTATCCGACATTAGGATGCGTGATACTATTGTGTGTGTGTTTCACATACTATTTTTCCCATATAATTTTTAGACTTTACTCTGTATCGTCATAAATACATTTATAAATAGAACAATAGTATTTATTGATGGCCTTTTGAAACAAATGCAATATATACAACTTGTGATTCCGCCTAGAATATATTCATTTTTTATTATTATTATTATTTTGACAAACAGTGACATAACTTTGAGAATCAGAGATACTGTTTTTTGCTTAATAAACGGATTAAATAATTAAGCTTGTCTACGTTTACGTCACATATGTATATCACTTAAAAGCAAAAAGGAAAGAGAAGGGGGAAGAGAGAGGAGGAGGAGGAGAGAGAGAGAGAGAAGCCACAAGAAAAAAGTATTTTATTCTAACGAATAATTGTGTGCAATTCTTACTTGGATTAATAGACAGCTGCATATAAATGGTAAGTAAGATATACATAAAATTTGCAACATTAATGATGACTTAACTGCCTTGTTATGAATTTTGTCCTAAATTTTTAAATCTTATACAAAATATAATTAAATAACATATATGTAATCAAATTAATTAATTTAAAATACGTTTTATACATACATATTAATAAGTTGTAAAAAATACTTGGTTCTAAAAATCTATATTTCGACGTTTTTCGGACAAGTGGTAGGAATAAAATAAGGAATAAAAATTCTTACAAAAATGCAGATCGTATAGGTCGCGTTTATTAAAACTACTAACTAAAATTTTGAATTCATCTACAAACTTTCTTCGATGCAAATTCAAGAAAAAGTCTTATTTTTATGTACGTCGACCTAACATGGAAAGCGAATTTATCGTACAAATATTGATCTTCCGAGGAAAAGCCAACACTGGTGTCGTAAATGTAAAAAATAATAATAATAAGTACTTCTATAATACATAATACTTCTATATAATTAAATTACATTCTGTTTTTAGACAATGTATAAACTGATAAGTGTAACAGATGTTCACACTTATACACGCGGTTGTAGGAAAAGGCATTGGAACTGCAGAAACTGTGTCGAGCTGTGTCGAGCCTCTTTTATGCGGGATTTTCCGTTTGTCTTATTTCTGATTCCTGGAGGAAAAATAGAAAGGCTCATACAGCAATCGCAATCATATTGTTATGGTAAAAAGAAAGATTATGTATAATATTATCGAATAATATTTAAGAGAATTGTGAACATCAACGATTTTTTAAACGTATTAACGCCGATAGTTTCTTCAAATATATTAGATGCACGCAAGTTGAATTAAAAATTCACGAAAGTTAATTACGTATACGTACGGAACGTACGGGATACAGAAATGTGGATACGCTCTTCTCCGTGTATCCCGACTGCACCTTGCAAGTGTATTCACCCATGTCGGCCCATTCGAGATCCGATATCTCCAGATCGCCATTAGCTAGAACGGTATGTCTTGCGTGTGTCGCGGGACTTATCGTCTTGCCCGAGTTATCTACCCAAAATAGATAAGGCGTCGGTTGACCAGCGGCTCTGCACGGAAGAATCACCGTGTTATGTTGAAGAGCGAATCTCCAGGAAGAATGCAAGGTGATGGTGGGTTGGCTTTCGCTGCTGCATGTGGCTGTTTTGGTTGCTGGTAAGAGAAACAGTAAAATGTTATTAGTTTATTCTTTACGTAGACGGAGGACGCGAAATTTTCCCGCCTGTTTTTACTTACTATTAACTAAGAGTACCGTCGCTGTCGATTGAGCAACTATATTTTTAGACACGGATACACAATATTTTAAACCTTGATCTTCAGGTCTGACGCAATCGATCACGTACGTGGACAAGACCTGACTTACTCCCTCCCATTCCGTGGATACGATGTTGCTCGCTTCTTGAGCCCGAGTGGTCAGCTCCTGAATCTGCCGGATCACAATTAAAGAAATGTAAGGAATGTCGTGTGATAAGATTTATCACAAATTACGAGGATTTATTGAGCAAGATAATCAATAGGAAGAGACTGACCTGTCTTTCCGGCTCGTTTCCTGTTATCCAGTAAACTTGCGGCGGTGGATTTCCAGCTACCTCGCATTGCAATTCGACGCGACTCCTAAAATGAATGAGTTCAGTACATCAAAAACGTGATTATATTACTTCTGTATTAATCATTACTTTATACAGAATGCATCTAAATCAATGCGAAAATTAGATGATTCTTTGTTGAAAATTAAGAGAGAGGGAGGGTTTCTTATATAAATTTATATACTCTTATATCCCTCCCTGAGGAGTTGCACTTCTCTAAAGAGGGAGGTAAAAATTAAATTTTTTTTTTTAATATTAATAAATATCCTTTTTATTAATGGAAAATATTAATCAAGTTTTATTTTTTTTGTCTGAAAAAAATGTAACTCCTCAAGGAGTGTTTATATAAGAAATCCCTCTTGTAATTTTCGACAAAGAATCATCTAAAATTTTTTGCACTTATTTAGATCCTGTATATATCAAAATGTATATATATTTACCCGACAGCGACTTCCAAGGAATCCGGCGGATTCTGCAAAATCCTGGTCCAAGTCAACGTAAAGCCGGTCTAAAACGAAGACGATTGTAGATAGGATAGGAGCACAGAGAGAGAGAGAGAGAGAGAGTATTCGACTGGATCTCATGCATTTCAAATAGCTAAGTAATTCTGTAGTAAATTAGCAAAATAGTAAACGGAGCAAAAAATTTTTTCATAGACGCATTAAAACTTTAGCTAATTTTTAGATGCTTATCGATGATATACACCTTTTTCTCGGCGGCTGGTTTAATATCATTTTTCAGTCTATTCGTTGCACTGGACTGGTCAACATTTGCCCGCGTGTACGATGTATTTGTCAGCAGTAAGAATCTCAAAGGATTCCCAAGAGTTACGCCGGACACGGCGACGATCACCAGGAGGCGTACAAAGTTCGATAGACACAGTTGCATCTGGAGAAAGAGCATCATTTCAGCATTCAAGTTTCCCTTCAAGAAAGTACGACGAGATATCATCCCGAAGATGTTTCCTCGAGATAGTAAACGGAAAACAAGCGATTATATTTGCGTGATTTTTACGTATAATAAGAATTAATGCCGTATCTATTTCCATGGTGGCAACACGCGCGCGTTGAATTAGTGAAATTTCACCGAGTAAGTAGGCGATAGAAAAAAGATAAAAGAATTGTGTGCTAAACGAACATTCATGCACGTGCAATGTATCTATTATACTTATTTGTATTTTCATGCATGACGATATATGTATATATATATATATATATATAGTGTACCTTCGTCGCTAACTTCCTTTGAGTTTTGGGTCTATTGGTTCCTTGGCCAAAATTTTGAATCAATTCGCTTTTCCAGCAAAAATCTTTCACGAGAACCAGATGATTGTTACTTATCGTTATTTAAACTTTCTCAACATTTAGCGTATCTTTGTATCACAAGTTTAAATGAACAAAATTGACCGTCTATTTTTTTCGCGCGCGTAGTTTTAATTTTCGATCTCTCGCGATTTGAAGATAATTACAAGACATTGACACGATTTTGATAAAGAAAAAAAATTAATTGAAAAGTGCGCTGAGCGACGGAGAACACTCTGTATATATGATGCAAACACGTAGCGATTAATTTACATTGATTAGGGAGCCGTTCTAATGTCTCGTGTGCCACCCACAGCGGTTGAAAAAAAAGTACGTGAGCGAGAGCACGTCAGATGCGGTGGATGCGCTATTTTGCCTTGTTGCATCAGCCGTTTTGGCTCGGATTGGTTTGCTTTACCCGCCTCTCGAGATGGAGAGGGAAAACGAATCGGACGACACGTGCGTGAAGGCACGCTTCACAATTTCTTCAATTTTTTGTCGAGCCTCTCGCAGTTTAACGCGCAGTTTTATTCGTGAAATTCTTAAATTTCGTCCGGATGTACACCGCTCGAAACAATCAGAGAAAAATGTCATCTTCTCGAGATTTTAACTGGACTTTTAACATTTTGAAATAATTAAACTGTTAGGGAGAAACTTTCCTTGTAGAAATTTATCACTAGTAACGCTAATTAATCACTTATTTCGAGTACTTAAAATACTGATATGCAGTAATTTTTAAGTACTCGAAATAACAGATAAATTAGCGTTACTAGTGATAAATTTCTATAAGGATTATATATAAATATTTTTCATTTATATAAAAAATTGTTGGACACGAATATTAGATTAATTAAGAGAGATATTAGATTTAATAAATCATTCATTTTTAAAAAAATCATTTCAATCACGAATATTAGAGAAAATATTTGAATGTTTCGAGCGATGTACTAAAAAATACGTAAAGTTACATACCGCGTAACAAATTAACACGCGTATTTATAAAAAAAAATATTTTTTATTAGACATATTCGCGGTGGATCCTTCCTCTCTCTCTCTCTCGCTGTTTCTCTTTCACTCTTTTTCTCTCTTTCTCTATGAATTGAAGTAAAATGTCGAAATCGTGCGTGACTTACCGTGCGTGCAACCAGCGCTGCGATTTTTTGAATAACTCTGTCCGTTCGAAGGGAGATTCGACAAAAAAAGGGAAAAAAGAGGACAAGCTCCCGCAGTTTATCACCGGCGAATCGAGGAGCTCGACTGAACGACGGTATAACAGTTATTGGTCCATTTATATATTTCGAATATAACAGCGGGCGCCCTTCCCTTTTCCCGATTGGCCGTTATTACCGGGAGTAGGGCGATAATACCACCGACAAACAATCGAATTCATTATCTGCACGGGTCGTTTGTACCCGCGTAATAGATATCTCCCCAATTTGTTTCTACCCTCATCTACGGTCCATCGATTTTTATATCTCAAAAGAACGACACGATAATTACTTTTATTGAAAGCGATCGTGTATCAGGAAGAAGATGACACCAATTATCCGTCAGGTCTCAATATCGTGTATAGAAATATTTTTATACATATCTCCTATATTTCATAGCTCTACTTTTTCTCTTCGATTTTTTCTTTTTTGCTCTTTAAGAGCAACGAAGTTTCGAATAAGCTTTGATCCATGCGAGAGCTAACTTTAATTATTTGAAGGAAGACCTCATCTCCGAAATAAAATATGACATTATTTCAACTCTCCGGGGAAGATTCTCTCTGGATTAATTAACGCGAAATATCGAAATTTTAATTGAACGTAATATGTCGACACAAATTCTATATATTTGTTATTTTTATTAGAATTAGATCGATTAATTGTATCCTCCATTATATTATATCGCAATAATATTTCGTCGTTTTCGAATTTATCTTATCCGCGAATCCGATCCGAATGCAATTCGAAATATGCGGTCAATCATGAAGAGGAAGCTCCAAGAAAAAGCGTGTGTCCGCATTAAAACAGCTGTGCCATCAAATTTGAATTTCGTCAGCGGTTTTGAGGTTGTTACCTCAAAATTACGCTGAATCTCTCGTAAAAATGTTCACGAGATGTTAGATCACACTCGACGGCAATGAATGAATTGGATTGCTTACTCGTAATAAAATACGCAATATAGTATTTAGAGTATAATTTTAAAATTCCTCACTTTTGCGCGTGCGTGTTCTTATTCAAAATAATTATTTTTGCTTTCTCAAACTTATGCAAATTGCCCTTCTCGTATAACAGAGATCGTACGAAATATTCACATAAATCTTCCGCTATGCGCATTTCCAAATGAAATATAGCTCTCTTCGCCTGAAGAGCCCCATGTGTAGAAGCTAACGATGTTACAATAAATGTGCGTTCGTTAGAATCCATTAAATGAAGAACGAGCAAATAACTTACTGTGTGTATGTATATATATATATATGTGTGTGTGTTGTGTGTGTGTATCATAGACATAAAAGTATATGTCTATGGTGTGTGTGTATATATATATGTGTGTGTGTGTGTGTGTGTGCGATCAGTAATATTTTCTCAAATATTATATCTCGAGGGTCACTATTCTTTGTTTTATGAAGATACGAACGTTGTAGATAAAAATAGAATATCACACACTGAGAATATTATATTTATATACGATCAAAAGTATTGTGCTATTTAATCACATTTAAATATTGAATTTTCAATGTTAAATCTATCAATTTGCACAAAATATATTGTCAATTAATACAACAAATTTTACATTATGCGTATGTGATAAAAACTATTTAAAATTTTCCAAATACAGATATCGAAGAGTCGCGTTGAGTAATGTATTACGAATAAAAACTTGAAAATCTGAAAATTATAATTTTTATAGTAAAAGTCATAAAATCTTTAAGATACACACGCAAGCTTTCTTACATATTTTATATATATATATATATATATTAAATTGAAAATCAATTGTTATCAATTCTTGAATTAATCAATGCAATAATTAAAATCAGAAAAAAATTTCAAAGAAATATATTTTCAATGATTAGGACGATATTTTTTCGGAGTTTTTCGTGTTAAAATATATTACGGATTATAATATGTCGAAATTTTATAATTAAAGTATCAAATATTCTTAAAGAAAAACATTTTAATTTATTATTATATTATAACAAAAAGAAGAATACTGAAAGATTTGTATTGTAGACATTCAAATCATATGTGCGCATATACCACCTTATTTTCTATTAATACTGACGCTCAATTACATTGCATATATATATATATATATATATATATTATTTCAGAATAAATTTTGACTTTTTTACCGTCCTAACAGAACATATGTCCAAAAGATGTCTCAAGTTCAAAGGACATTGAAAGGTTGTAATTATAAAACATCTTTTAAACATGTGTTCTGTTAGGGCAAGCAAGTGGTTACATTTTGAAAAATATCTTTAACACGTTAAAATACATGTTTAACCTTCCATTTTATACACATATACTGAAAAGTTATTAACTTGACTAAAAACGTTAAATTATAAATACTATTTTATTAATTAAACACAAAAATATTTAAATTATATTAAATATATAATATATATTAAATCTAACAAAACCGTGATATATATATATATATATATATATATATATATATATAATCAAATTATTATATAACATTTTCACAAATTAATTTTATATTATTTTCATCTTGATTAGAAAAAATGAATAAGATGAGAAAGGTATTGAAAAATTGAGGACATGCTGAAATTGTATATTTATTTTACTATTGTCAATATATTTATACTGAAAGAGAATAATATATTAAATCTATCAATTTTTATATCTTTGTTAGCTAACTATAAACTAATAATTTTTCTTTTTTTTAACATGCTAACTTTTTTGCTGAAACATAAAACGATAATGTCATCATTGCCCTCTAAAAGCATTTCGAATTGACTTAATCATGATAATGACATTTACGTTAACATTTTCAACTTGAAACCCAACAAAATGTTCGTTATACATTATAGAGTTAGAAAGGTCACGCAATTTTTTTTACAGCACGATTTACTCACATTTTTTTGAAACGTATTTTGCCTACGACTGAGAAACTATTTCTATTATTAAGCGCGCACAAGAATATAGAGGATATAGCCAAAAATAAAGTATAAATTAAAGTAACAATAAAAAGTAAATCTTAAAAATTTATTGAATTAATGCAAGATTGCATCTCTGTAATAATAATGCTATACTTCCTTACATTGTGGATAATTACAAAAAAATATTTCTAAATATATTTGTACTATATAAAATTTACATAGATAACACGTAACATTAACAAATAATGAGAATACTTATTGGATATATAGATTATATATATAACTACTAGATTATATATAATTACTAGACTATATATATAACTAATAGATTATATATAATATATATAATTGTAAGTATATATAATTATAAGTATATATAGCATTTCTCAACATGTTTATTATAAAATATAAATCATATATATATATGTACATGTGTGTATATATATTATGTATACATATATAATATGTATATATATATAACATTTCTATCAACATGATAAATATACATATAAAGTTAAAACTTAAATCTTACAATATTATACGACATCGAGTTAAATGAGCGATTTATAATTAACATATTCTAAAAGTACAGGACGCAACGATTGTCTTAACTTCAATATTGCCGAAGAATATCAAATAACTTGCACATACAAATCATCAATAATCTTATAAAAATTGAGACGGCATTTAAACATCGCCCTATTTTTAATTAATTAGAGGTAGCATCTTTGATTAATAACAAATTGATACTATTGCAATAACAATGAGGTAGCATCTTTGATTAACAACAAATATATACTATTGCAATCGCATTTGAAACACGAATGAAATATCATTATGTTGGACAGTCGTGAAGTACGATAATGCTGAGATCCTGTATTCTGTATTGACTTGTAGTATTAATTGGCCATTTTCACATTATTGACTCCATCTTCACGAGTTTTAGGCGTTGCTCTAAAAGATTTTCTTCTACCTTTATCTGATATTTAGGAATAACTGATTTTTCCATCGACCTAAAAGTATCTGATTTATCTTACGAAACATTTCAAATATCATCTGATATACTTACAAGTCTAAACACAACTGTGTAAGATGATGTGGCATGCGATATCGTGCATGAGGTGAGAGATCCAGAAACGGATCATTCACATCAACCATGCTTTCCAATCCTTCAAATCTACATAATTATTATAGTATAAATCAGTAAAAAAATGTTCATATTAACAAAAATAATTATTTATTATGAGGTTCCTCACCTCACGACGAAATGTCTACGATATTGCTGCACGGTGTCATTTATATTACGTTTTGCTAATTCAAGTACAACGGGAAATGCTGTGTCGCGAAAATCACCTATTATATATTTATCAAGTATATTCAAGCTTGAAGTATTTTCCTTTGATATAATAATGGATCTTGTTATTGGTGTATCTATCCAAACGATACGACATTTGCCATTAAGTAATTTAGTAAACCATGAAACAGGACCAACTTTAGCTACGTCATTCCATTCAGCTTCCTCATACCAGTCATATACCTTTAAAAACAACAGTTCATGAGAAGCATTCTTTACAGATCGCGTTATACTTTATATTATATTACATTATATGAGAACATTTTAATCAAGATACTTTTTTAATGATAAAAATTTTGATTAATATATGTGGTAAAATGTTATATAGGAAAATATTATTGACAATCTACGATAAAGAACTTACAGAACAGGAACATATTTTGGCAAGTGTTTCGCGAAAATCTTTCATCAATGCCATAAAGGATATTGAATTTTTAGTATAAAGAAGAACAATATCATTGCCCGAAAGATTATCGTGATCGATTTCCTTGTCACTGTCGTTATTATCGACGACGCTAAGATCGGTGGATTCGAAACAAGCAGAATTCAGAAAATCATCATGATGCGGATTAACAAACAAGGTGATTTTCTTCTTACGAATACATAGATACCAGAAACCTATTCCGATCACTAATACTATTAATATAGAGGCGATAATTGACAACAGTATATTTGTACTTTGCAATTTATTTGATTCTATTGTCTCAATTCTGTCGAGATGTAGCGAAACATTCTTGCAACCTGTGAATATAGTAATTTTCAACATAATTTATTAAAAAAAAAAGTCCCTGTAATTAATAGTTATATAAAAATCTCTCTGATATATTAAAGAGCAATATATACATATGATATGATATGAATAAAAAATATTATTCTTTTAATTATAATTAATTTCTTTGTGTAATATATTTTCTTTTCATAATATTACTTTTTTCTTCGCACTTACGTTTTACCCATGTACACATATGGTTTGGATTTTCATGTGATGGCTTCCAGACAGTATTTTTATGGCATCTTATATCCTTAATACGATATATAAAACAATAATCTTCATTGTTTTCATTTTGTTCAACTTGGAAATTACATTGTATAGTCCTTATATTTTTTCCATTCACTATCTGCATCTATTTCATCAAAATTTTTGTATAAAATATACAATAAAAATCACATTTACATAGATATAAATATAAAAAAATAGAGAATCTACATTTTAAAACAACTTATCGCTATTTTAAGATAAAATTAAGATTAAAAGAAATAATATTTACCGATTTTAGAGCGCATCGATCAGTTGAGTACTGTAAAAATAAAAAATTCAATCTGCTAAAAAATATCAATTGCAAAAAAAATTAGAAATGCATACTTCATTAATACTTAAATATTACCATATTAATTGACCATTTCTCTATATATCCTTCTCCACGCCAAACGCATTTTTTTCGTTGATTTTCAGTTCGCGGTGATATCAATTCAAATTCCAGTAAATAGTTTACTGTATCTATTGGTAGTGAAATGTCTAATGTAAAATTTGTCATTTGATTCCTGTAATATATTGTAAAATATATATATATATTCTATTTTATATATTGTCTTTTTTTCAAAATAAACAATTTTTTAGAAGTATATTTATTTTATGCATACAATAGAAAATAAATTATTGTCTGAAATCTTGTGATTAAATATACATTTATTTAATATATATAACAATTATTATTATATATGTTTTATACTATACCTTTGATTAAGAATCAAATGTGTGTCATATTTACAAGTAAACGGTGGTTCTGTTACTTCAGTACGTTGATAACTAGTGTAAAAAAATTTAAGATCTCTTATTACATAATTGTCAAAACCTATATGAAATCGAACCGCATAGCATCCTGTGAAAATATGATGGAACGACAGTTCAATATTGTCCTGAAATATTAATTAATATTAACTAATATGTATAAATTATTTTTAAGTTTTTAAATAAATTTGTTCTTATTAATATGTGTGTATGTGGATGTATGTATGTATAAATATACAAATAATTGTGTGTATTATATATATAAAAGATTAATCTCTTCAAATATTTACAAAGTACATGTTGTCTTGTACATTTAGGTCATTTTTTATACAGTATTCTTATATATTTACAAAATTATTTTGCAAAATTTAATACTAGACACGAATTATACATATATTTAGATACAAACACATATTTTAATTAATTTATTACCTGGCATAAAGAGGTCAAAGTTTTATTATGTCTTGCAAGTTGATTAGTATCCTTAAGAATACATACATTTCTGTCTACAGTATGTACTAACGAATATGCATTGTTTGGTGAAAAAGTATACTTGTTACATTCTGCTTCATTCTTGATTGAAGGATTAATTAATAAGGCAACTCCTAATCCGCATTCTCTTTTGGGAGGTACAAATTTTAACTTCAAAATACCTTAGATGAAAAGAAAAATTTGATCAATCAATGTAATATATTAAATATTTTGTTATCAATTATTTTGTTGAATCAATTATACAATATAAAATTATTCAACATCAAAGTGACATCATACCAGTTAAATTATTTAGTACATAGTGTATATTCCTAGCATGAGGAATGTCTTCATTAATACAATAATCAACAGCTTCACGCTCTTCAGTTACACTCTGATTAAATACCTTTCCGTGGCATGTGTGCCTGATTAACTGAAAAACAAATTAAAAGACATAATAATACATAAATATCACAGCATTATGTACTTTTATTACTTTCGAGATAAATAAGAGTCATTTGTCACATAACTTACGTTACAAGTATTATGGACCAAGTAAAGTCCATCCGCTTGTACCAGAATAAATAAGAGAATAAGAGCGACACAGCATCGTTCACTGTACATGTACATTGTCTCGTTAATTTTGTCTCACGAACAATATTTATCATCTTAAAACGCGAGACATAAAAAATATATCGCGTCGCGATCACGCAGGGAGCGGCTTATTTTCCTCGACAGTCCGCGCTCTGATATATTTTAAATAATGTACATTTTTTTCTCGCTCGCGACAACATGCGCGCATAACACGTCGTAACGGGGACCGAATTGCGGCGCATTACACGCTCACGTTACATTTATCACCTTTATCATGACCTTTATCACACACATTCCTCTCTATTCGGTCGATAGGAGCGAACCGTGCTAGTAAACAGTAATCGACATTGTCAAACAATTCTATAACACGACTCTATACTCGAACATTTTTCTACTCGTCTATATAACACGGACTGTCATCTGTCATTCGAACCTGCTCGTGAGTTTTCAATCTGGAGTCTGCTGCCGGGGTACATCGAATACAGAGGGATCTGCATTATCTACCTGAGGTGAGCATTGAATTTTTACCATTAGGTGATAATTTTTTTATCGACAGTGTTCATTTTTTGTGACGTTTTCCAATTTCTGAAAGTGGGTATGGCATGACGTTGTCATCGAGGACGATATTTTCATTTTCCGACATACGAATTTTGCAAATGTGATACATGGCAGATGGCAGTATCGAAATGTGAATTGTCGTGTATGGATTTGTTGTGAAGAATAATAGAGAAATATAGGAAAAAAAATGGGACGAACAATTTACGCCGAGGAACATCTTCGCGCGTATTTAACGTCTCTAGGAAAACCAGATGGATACGTAATAGGGTTAATTTTAGGACAGGTTCGACTTTTCTTTTTTTCTTGTTTATTTTTCAATTTTCCTCGTGTCACAATGTTCCCTCGTTTTTAACATATGCGATAGTGGAAGATATGCAATGCAAATTTATGTTCGAGTTACTTTTTAAATTATTAAAATTTAAATGTACTCACTGTTCAAGTTGTGTTTCCTTTTTTAATTTTAGAAGCAATAGTTTAAAAAAAGCTTTTTAGAATTTTAAATGTCAGACTTTAATGATAAATTATACATAATACTTATATCTGTATTAACTTTTTTTCTATTTGACATTACAGAGCTCTGGACAAAAAGACTACATAGTGCATTTAGCAAAGACACCACCGCCTCTAACTAAAAATATCGTAGAAGAAACATCAATTGGCTCTACGATTCTTGAAGAACAAGATACAGCAAATACATATATTAAATCTGTTAAGGATATACCCATCAGTTGGGTTGCTGATCACGCTAAACATGTATGTATTATTATCTTGACACAATTACAGAATGAGATATACAAGACTGACGTTCCATATTTTTATAAATTCTCATCTCTTTTTATATATATATTGAATGTATTACATAGAGATAATCATAACAGTACCTTGTCTTTTCTTTCATTTACAGGTTACAAAAATGCTGCCTGGTGGAATGTGGGTACTTGGTGTATTTCTTGTTGGACCTGAGGATATATTAGATAATACTAATAATGTACAGAAACTTAAATCAGTTCTTAATGCAATTTACAAAACTCTATCATGGAATAATAAGCACCTCTGTGGAAATAATCAGGATGAAAAGATTATATTGAATTTTAACAGCATTACACAAAAGTATGTTGCCTTTGCTGATTTCAGTAAACTCAAATTCTTTATACATATATGTAGTATTTCTTAACTAATTTAGTAATTTTTTATATTTTTAGATGTATTTGCAAGTCTATAGACATTATTAAAGACAATATATTAAAACCAGCCGACTGGAAATTCCAAGAAAGGGCAACTAAATGGCATCAACTTGAAGCTCTAGTAGACTTTGATAGATTATATCTTATTGCTGCAGATAAGGATCCTGAGACTTTCAAGAAACAGTTACAGGTATTAACAAATAAACAATGTATCATTATAATAATACTATATAAACTAAAAGCATAAATATCACAGAATATCTTGACAAGCGTAGCAGATTTAATCGATTCTTCACTCGTCGTTATCGAAGGGGAAGTGAGAGCTCCGGATGACACCTTAGAAACGATTGGTAAAAGAAAGAAGAATAGCAAAGAATGTAAAAGTAAAAAAAGCAATAACAATAACTCGCTTCAAGTTAGTCTGTACATTCCTTGTGTAAGTACAAATAAATTTATTTAATTATGTATTACAATTATAAATAGAAAATTAATTTATTAAATGAAATTTATTTTATCTTATCAGGAGCAAAATGATACTAATTCATCTATAAAAATAAGATCATGTAATGCATCGATACGATTAATTGGACAATTAGTTAGTAGAACATTTTTATATCAAAAAGCCAGTATTGCAGAAGCTAACATGGCTGTGAAACAAGATATAGTGAGATCTCTGGCAAGCAGATTGGAAATGCATTGGGACAGTTTAATAGAAGAAGAAAATGGTTCTCCGAAGGTAAATTATGAATATCTTTTTAAGGGATATCTTTCTCAGTATAACGTAAATTTCGATACAATTTATATTTTTGCAATTTGCTTTCAGAAAATATCACGTTGCATGAACCACCGCGGAGGGTACTGATAGCGTTACCGGAAAACAAAGTCACGCTATCGGATTATCTCTTTCCCGGCGAAGGACCGCAGGAAGCATTATTGTCGTTACAAGAACTTCTAGATCTTAAGGTGCAAGAAAGCCAAGTACAAAAAGAAGTCGAACTACAAGCTGGTAAGTAGAAATGTAAACATTTCATTATAATAACTTCAAAAAGTCGCACATATATCATTATTTGAATGTGGTGACACAGATCCAACAGAATTTTACTGCCAAAGTGATGCCAATAATAAACCGTTGGACAGTAATACTGATACAACCAGAAATAATCATCAAACAAGCATTTATAAAATAACCGTTTATCTTACTGGATTAAGTATTGCGCTTATTATATTGATAATAGCTGTCCTTGTACATCGATTTCTCACGATTTAATATATATATTCGATATTTGTATTTCATTAATAATGTACTTGAGAGAGATACAGGCACACACACTGTGTTTTACACATTATATCTCAATATGTCTATTTTAAAATATAATACATTTTTGAAATGTGTCTATATGTAAAAATATTAACTTATTTAATACACACTACAGAAAAACTAATATATAATACTTATTGTTTCTTTCTTTAAATACTATTAAAGCGCAATATTTTTATTTGCGAGATGATGTACTCGCACACACACACTTTTTTTTTTTTTTTTTTTTTATTGACTAAAACTTTGTGAAAAACAAAGATTACAATTTCGGCCATTTATAAATGTTTAGTTTACAAGATATTGTTCATGTTTAATATATATTTTGAAAGGAAATACAATAAAATGCCATAAAATGTTTTCAACTTGCGTTATATATTATATGTATATGCGGATTTCATTATAGATCTACATAATATATACATGTACAGAATATCATACATATACAGAATATCATACATATATGTTATATACAAAAGAATAGCATTTTAGTTTTCATAATGACAATTCTTATATTCTTATATCATTAATTATGACAACTGCTATTTTATCAATATATTCTTCAATATTTATTCAGTTGAATAATACATAATTGCACAATAATGTCAAATTAGGTCATAACAAGTAATTTTGATACAAATTTCATCAATAAATCAGGCAGTGATAATTCTACTATTTAAATACTTGCTATTAGCGGCATTGCTTTAATAAATTTTGTAAATATCTGTAAAACTATGCTAACATGTATGAAAATTTTATTTACAAAACTTTTTACACTGTACACATGACAAATTCTTTCAAAAAGACAATATCTCTAAGAATATTAGGAAAATAACACAAGAAATATCAGTTGCATTTTTGCATTTTTCTGCAATAAAATATTGTTATTCATTATTGAAAGCTATTCCTCTCTCTGTCTCTTTCAAATTTTTTTCTTTCTATTCAAAGTCAAATATATTTAATTGATTACCTATATAATACAGCATACTTTGATCCTTTCTTTTAGTTCAAACACAAACAAGTGTTAGAAATATAGTTTGTACAAATGTAATGCTATACATTTTTTATATTTATTATATAGTAAAATCAGTTTCAATAATATATATCATCGTATATATATATATAATTTTAAATAATTAGATGAATTAGGTCAGAAAGTAAAAAAATAAATAAATTTTCTTATATATGATAAGTAACAAAATTTGTGTGGATCAATAAAAATGTAATAATATAAGATTTTTTCTCATCATTATCATATATCTTCTTTCAATTAAATATTTTCTTTTTATACAGAATTGCGAACAATCTACATATGTAATATATAAACAATAAATAACTCAACATATTAAAATAATACTTTTCAAAGTTCTTTTAAAAACTCCATTATAGCCTATAGAGGATATTACATTTAATAATACAGACGCTTTAGAGAATAGAAAAATATATCATTTTGGCTCCTCTTTTTCTGGTGTATACATAATTATTAAAGCTGCATAAATACGATATAATAAATAATGCAGTTGTGGAAAATAATCTAATTATACAATGTTTCAATTTAAATTTTTCGTGCAATTATATAAATGTAATTATGTAAATAATCATATTTGTACTTTAATAATAGCATAAGTTCGGCCGTTTTTTTATTAGATTTATAATCTAATTTTCCTAGTTTCTTTTTTTTAAATCTCCCTCAAAATTACTTTTTCTCTCGAGAAAAAGCATAACACGATAATTATCTACTTATTATAATTAATAATGATACTAATAATTACATCTGCATGTATCATTTCGTGATTATCATTTCATACGCGAATTATTCACAACAAAGGTGTAACAAACAAATTGCATTTCATGCTTTAAATTCAATATTGTTAAAATTGCGCTATCCATACCAACGGATAGAAGGCGACAGAATTTTTCAATTCTACCGAATTTGTGGATAGCTGAATTTTATACTACACCCATTTTTATAAGCCCCGACTGACTTCCTCTACCGACGCTCGCATCTTCCAACGAATCCAAGTCCAAGGCAGATTCTATCATAGTCGTATCTTGTAACAGTCTTAGTCTAGACGCGGACAACGGAGTCGTTACTGCCGGAATGGAAGATGTATCCAGAGCGGAGGAAACGACGACACTTTGACGAGGAGGCAACGGAGCGATTTCGTCGATATCAATTGGTGCTATATTGAGAGACGCTAACGGTATTTCGTTGCTAACAAGTTGACTTATGCTGTTTGTCGTACTACCTAAAAACAAAATTCACAACGGCAAATAAGTAACTCCATTGTTTACGGTTTTACTACAATTTTTTGTTGGACAATTTGTACAAAAGTGCACATACACAGCATTAAGAAAAAAATAAATAATTGCTATTAAATCGTGTGGGACAAGCTGTTATATGAAACTTCTTTAGAGAACATAAAAAGAGGAAAAAACCATATTGTACAATTATTATCAAGAAAGTGCAGCGTTGGCTGTATGTGTTTCTTACACGCAAAATGTCAGCAGTACCAATGCAACCTCTCGTTGTAATTTAAATTATTTAACTCATTCTCAGCACATTCCATAAAATTAATAGTCTATATTAGATATATCATTACGACAAATTTTTCTTGCAAACATTCTGTTTATTTATCCTTAATAAAATAAATAGATTTACTTTTATTCTTTAATTATTTAGACTTTTTACCCTTTTATATATTTACCCTTATATATATTTCTTTTTGTTCTATCATACATAAATGCAATCACAAAAATTTTGAAATAGTACAATTTTTACTGAATTCTAAATTTCTGTAAATTTATAAAGAAAGAGTTGGAATATAAATATAATTATATAAATAAATTATAAATCTCAGACATTTTTAAATAAAAAAAGCATTTTTCATGCACTCGATACATTTTTTTACGTATATTATGTCTATTAAAACTTATTTACAAATTATATATATATAACATTTTGTCTTTCGTATGTATAATATAAAATCCCAAATTGTGGAGCAATCAATTAGTCACAAACCATAAACCCTGTAATTAACACACTTCCTAAAATTAGTCTCATAAAAATATTTAAAAACGTCACGTGTGATTTATTAATGCTAGTGAAGATAAATCAGATCATTCATATACCATATATATAACATTCACAATAATGATCAAAATGTATGAAGTAAACTTACCAAATAGTACGCTCTGAGCCCTCGATAACAGGACGTAATTTTAAACAACAAAGAAATACAATTTATTGAATTGTCCAAAATTTTACTAACTATTAAAGACCTTAGGTATATATATATACATAAAAATATATTTATACCTAAAGAAAACAAACTGGCTTTTACAACAATTTAATATTGAAAAAAAATTAATACTAAGAATATATGTCTTGTGTATATATATATATATATATATATATATATATATATATATATATATATATATATACACTATAGTTTTACTTGTCTTTATAACGAAAACTATGCAATTAATTAAGATGAAAAAAATTTGAACCGAGAGACTATTGAGTGCAGAATAATGATAACAGATTTAAAACTTCGAAATATATAAACTATAACTTAAAAAAAGTATTAAGTATATATAAAAGAGAACAATTACGCCTTAAATAAATACGATTGTTGTATGCCTTATATCTCTTAACTTTACTTATATATCATCATATAACCATAATATAGATATTTTACATTTAAAATAAAAATCTATACATAACACAAAACGGTACTTTCAAAAAATAAATAGATCTCTTTTGCAACAATTAATTTTAACTGTCAACTTGACAAATGTCAAATGTATATATAATTTTTTTTTTCAATTCCCAATGAAAAATATCAAGAACAATTGTATATATAACCATTTATATATACAAATTAGAGCACCTTTTTAGTGCGAAAGATTTGGAGAATAGGACGAATCATATTAAAGCTTTCTAACATTACAAATCCACAATTTCTTTGATAAGAGAATATAATAATTATTTTTATCGTTTTTCTCCGCTTCTCTATAATCAAATCTAATATTTAAATAAATGCATTATTGTTGGTTTATGTATAACAAACGTTAAATATCCTCGTTATCACTCAACGAACTCATAATGAAACGTCGATTCAAGAGATCTTCTTCCGTACTATCGCTCGGACATAACGAATTCTCGGCATACGATAATTCGTTGGTCAGATTTGTTAGCGGTCCAGAGCCGAATCTATTAACGACGAGGCCGATCGCAGTCTGCCCGATGATCGGTATACCACCCGTACCTAATATACGCGCCGGCAGAATATTCTTCGTTATCGGATACTTTAAGCTGTGCTCGGCACACCGCAAATTATTATATTTAAGCATATGCGGGGATTGCACGAGTCGCAACGGATCCTCGGAATAACATTGTGGAAATTTTTGCAGATCGGTATAACCGTTCTTCTCGCTTATTTGATAACGTAGAGAATCCTCGGAGTATCTCTGAGGATATTTTTGAAGATCAATGCCGTATTTCTGATCCCCTATGCCGTATTTCTGATCCCCTACGCCGTACTTCTGATCCCCTATGCCATATTTCTGATCTCCTATGCCGTATTTCTGATCCCCTATACACTGATCGTAGATGAGATTGTTGTCCGAGCATCTGTGATATTCCTCTCTACATCTGTGAGGATACTTTTGCAAACCCTCCTCGCATCTGCACGGATACTTTTGAAATTCTGGATTTAATCGGTCTATCTCAGTGTTATATTTAATATGTTTCACAGACTCCTGAGAGCAATGCTGCGTCGGATATGGCGGCACATACGTATCATTTATATATTGGCGCGGATATTTTGGTAGATCCTCGGGGCAACGCGTAGGATGTCTTAAAAACGTCAACTCACCGTTTATTGACTCTATTCTCGGAGAATGTTGACCGCTGATTAAATTGTTCATCGAGCCCGTGAGATCCGTAGTAGGACTTGTTTGAACCGTACCGTTTGACTGTTATAATGAATAAGACAAAATAAAAAGATTAATCATATATCTTGCTCATTAAACAACATCTATTGCATTTAATCTATTTTTAGCATACAAAATAGACTAATAATAATAAATGCACTATAATTCATAATTACCTGAGGCTGCACAATCTTGGCAGTACCATATGTCTTATTATTAGTGATCATGTTATCATCACCAATTGATTCGTGTTCTGCTCGATATTCGGGTGTGACTATTCCTCTTCGATCTGAAAAGATATGATCTGAGAATGAATATAAATCCAATATAAAATAACAGAATAAAAGAACGATAGCTGCATTATTTCTTTTAATTCCACAACTTGTACTTATTTACAAATATATTATTAATTATTTTATATATGTATATTAATATTAAATATTTGGAAAGAAATCTTACCGATTAAGCTAGGTGGAGCTGGTCCACATAGAACATAAAAAAATTTCCACAAATATTTCCTTGACTATAGGGATTAAAATTGTCCTGACCTCTCCTATTCGTGAACGATCCTTTAATCTATTATGAAATAACAGCAAAAAGACAATTAAAAAAAATGATTTACACAACTTGGACATAATTTTGTCAAGCCTACTTACATCTTCATTAGTTGTTTGATTACTGCTAGTTAAATAGGTGTGAAAGCCAGCAAGGCCTAAAATGCTCCAAACAGAGAAGAAACATATGACTCCCACAATAACACTGCTCGGGGATAATTTGACAGCTTCTAAGAATGGCTTATTATCCTTTGTAACTGTAATCACGATATAAAAATAAGATAAATGAATATAAAACATTGCTTTTAATTTTTCTAAAATATTTACTATTTATTTAGTGATTCAGGAATTAAAGCAACTTACGCATAATTAGATGAGTGACTGCGCATATAAATATAAAGACACAAAGAAATGCTAGGGATACTATAAAAGCATAGAAATATCTATAATTTCTTCTGCCCACGCAATTGCCAACCCATGGGCAATGATGATCAAATCTCTCTGCAAAAATAGTTATCTTTAAAATCACGTGTAATATTTGTGATTAATTATCAGTGAAATCGCTATATAATATTAATCTTGATATACATCTGATAATAGAAAAGAGAACCAAAGTATTGCAGATATCTTAAAGCAGATAATCTAATTTTGATAAATAATCTACTTCTTAAAATTAAATAACAGATATACATACCTACACAATTGTCGCATAAACTGCAATGAGAGGCCCTTGGTGGCCTAAATATTTTACATGTGAAACAATATTTTAGTTTCACTGGTTGCCCTCTAATTAAGACTTCTTTTGTTCTAGGAGGAGGTCTGTATGTTTTAGAATTGCCATTGTTTGGTACTTCTAAAATTCAGGAAAAACAAAAAAAATATTTTAATTTAACATTCAAAATTTATTATAAACAAGAGATTTTTTCCATTATTTCTATATTTAAATATTAATGGCACTCTATAAAATAGCCAAGACAATCTGTTTATAAATGTATATATTTCAATATATTGGATTTATACCGATTTGCTTTTCAATATAAGCTGCTTCGTCAGGTGTTGCTCTTGGAATTACTCCAGGATCACTGAAGCTTGTACGGAACAAAGCAGACATTACAAATATGAATAACAAGGCTCCTATTACTGGTATTGCTGGTGTTACATGTAGTGCCAAATACGGACAACTGGAAAAGAAGATAATTTCATTTTGCTAATGCATATACAAAGGCATCGCAATCTCTTTGCTAATATATTCAATCTCATAAAATATCAAGACTCATAAATGTCAAGACGTACTATTCTTGTTTTGCATAGAGAAGATAAAAATACGCAAGCTGTGTAATAATTTATCTTCAAATTATCATCCTACCAGAAGATTCTTTACTTATAAGATGAAATATAAATTTTAAAAAAATGTATAATATATATATCCTATCCTATCAGAAGATTCTTTACTTAAGAGAAGAAATATAAATTTAAAAAAAAATGTATATAATATATAAATTTGTGCTCACTCAAAACCAAAGAACAATCCACTCGTCCCGACGATGAGGCACACTGTGACGTAGAATACTCCGGTTTGCGGTGCCATCATCACCCTGCCGTCGCAGCAAAAGCGATTCCTGCCCGGGAATAGCTCCCATTTTCGCGTGATGTGAGGCATCTTGCTCGTGGCTAAAGTTCCTCTCACGTATTGCCATATATGACCGTAGAACGGCGATATATCAAAATCATACGATCGTGTCTGTTTGACGTTCCCGCACGAGTAACATTCGGACAAACATGTCTCATCTTGCCCGCTCCGTTCGAGACACACCGCGGAAGCCAGTAGCAACATCCATGTATCTATTCATCGCTTTACGCGGGGGAATCTGCCTGTTGAGCCACTACTTGTCCACTCGATGACGTTCAAAGGTCCGGAGTCGAGAGCCACGAGGACTCGCGATAAGAATCCGAACTTAACCTTAATTTTATTCGTAATTATTATCTAAGGTAAAAAGAAAATATCGCCCGGAGTATCTTTGCGAGACTAGAAGCACCAGGACACGCACAGTTATAATTTTTTTTTTTTATGCAAACTTGAAACCTCTTTGCGCGTCCGCGACGCCGTCCGTCATCGTCCGCCTCGCGGAGGCCACCGACTCCAAAGGGTCGCGCACAGTCCCCGAGGAGGAGGAAGGACCTTCTCGTTAATCCGCCCGAAATTGGGTCAACGAGGCCCGCTCACGAATCGCCCGCGAGCAGCATCGGTCGTTCGAAAATCCGACATATTTCCCGAGAACCGTCTCTCATATCCTTCCTCTCTTAACTCGACCTCGTCGTCATCGTCGTCGGGACATACACAACCTCCGGGGCCGATGATGACAATAAACGCGCATATTTACACGAAACGCGAAACACACACACACATACACATAGACACACGGAAGAATGTTGTATGTCACCCGCGACGTGTTCACTCGCGAAGCGCCCTCGCGCGACTGACGCGAAAACGCCACGTGACTCGAGACTCCCGAGTCACGTGGTTACGTCTCGAGGCCACGTGACTTTGTGCGATTTCGATTCAAATACGCGCCCAACTTCACGCTGATCATCGATTGTCGATCTGTCGATCGTCGTCACGTCGAGGGACCACGTCTCTTCCAGGTACGCGGCCTTTATTTTTTCTTTACGACGATATATATATTTCGTACGATTTCCGAGGATGAGGAGAGATGACGTCATTCACGGAGTCGCAGGAAGCGAGGAGAGAATCGCAGGGATGCAACTACGCGGGAGCGTGACAACGACGACGACGACGATGATGGAGGACGCGACGCGTCCTGCTAATAACCATCTCCTCGTTGCAGGCGCATCGGCAGGTAAAAAAGGCGTCCTCTCGATTAACGGGCGTCGCGAGATTGATTATTTAAACGGCAGGGAGGGTCGCGCGAGCGCGACTTATCGCCCCCGTTGCAAAATGGGTCGTCGACGCAATGCGGTACGTCGCCGCGCACCGACACGCACACATACACACGTATATATACATGTACATGCACACACGTTGTATGCTACGTGTGCATGTGACCGAGGGAATCCTGGAAATCGAACGATTCCGGTGTCATCATCTTCGAGAGCACGAACAGCATCTTCGATCGCATCCAATTTCCACTAGGTTAGATCATTTCCACATTTTGACAGCTGTCAAAATTTGGAAATGACAAAAACTATATATATATATTTTTTTATATATATACCCAGATAGAATAAACATAATAATGACATCATTATAATTTTATTCATCATTTAATTAAAATAAATTATCTGGACAATATAATGATTAAAAAATAAATCAAAGAGGTGACAAGAGGAATCAGATTGATTTATTTGAATATAATTAGATGAATTGTGGATATAGCAATATAGAATAAATAAATAATTGTAAAATATATAAAAATTGTTTTCCAAGATCACTTTTAAGTGATGTCATCACGATGTCATTCTGAGTGTATTTTACCTAGGTATAGATCCTTTTCAGGATCTATCGTTCCCTCGGCGCCGTCGTCGCGCAGCGACGAGTGTAAACAGCTGATTCCACCGTACAAATAGCTACATCGAGGTATAAATATGCAAAAAAAAGACTATAATTCAAGCTCAACCATGACAGACTGCATCATTATTCAGCGCAAAAACGAATTCATCTCGACCGATCATTAAATCACGTTGCAACGTAATCAATTTTGCAATTTATCTCTTTTTTTATCACATATATATCAATGCGCGGATAAACTTTTTTGCAGTTGACCTTTATTACAAAAAGAACATCAACAGAGACATAAACCGGTCGAAATCTCTTTCTCTCAATCAAAGAAACGATAAATACATAAACATAAAATCATCGAATGATATGAACTATATATATATATACTAATTTTCTTCGTGAAATCTTGTAGACGTCCCGGGTACAAACTGCGAAGCAGCTCATCATCACAAACGGGAGAAGGAGGGCGCGATCCCACGTCTGGACGGGATGGATCATCGAGCGGCAGGTAATCGATAAACCCTGCGATAATTCTCGCTGTTTTGCGGGAATCCTGCACCCCTTCTGCAGGAGAAGAGGATTCTTCGAATAATAAAGGATACGCGCCGGGATCGGATGAGATATCAACAGGCATATCAAGAAGTCGGCGGATCATCATCGCAGCGTCCGTGAGGTCGACCTCCCTCTCGACGCGACCCTCGACGAAGCTCTCTCCCTCTCTCGGAGTCGTATCTACGATCGAAGATACAGAACCGAAGCGAACGACGGCGGCAGCGGCGAGGGTCGCCTCGAATGAAGGGGTAGGGTCGCTATAGCGAGAGTGTGTGGGGAGGATATAGGAAGAGTGGTAGAGCTCGACGGGGTTTCGAGAGGGAGAGAGGGAATCGTCGATATAGGGTGCATGAATCGTCGTCGTCGGAGAAAGAGAGAGAGCGAGCGGGCGCGGATGGACGGACGGACGCAAACGCTGAAATCAGCTCGGGCGATCGATGCGATAAATGGATGCGTGCGATTGGTAGTCGGGAAAATCGATGATGAACACCAGGGGGGCATATCCTACCCTCCTCTCTGCCTCTCTTCTAGCCGGCTTTCGCCGGCGAGCCGCGCCGCGCCGCGCCGCGGAGAGGATGGAGCAAAGACCGAAATATCGATTTTTAGGCCCCTACGCGGCGGTTCGTTCGATGCTCGTGTCTACCCCGTGCCCCGTGCGTCCTGTCCGCGCCAAGCGCCTTTCAAAACACCGACGACGCGCGCGAGATACGCCGCGCTCTCGTGCACGCACAGTAGTGTGCTCGTCATCCCCGTCATCGACGTTGTTCTGTCCTTAAGGATTCATAATATCGTTGTCGCGCGTCCAAAAGTACAGATCGTCCGGGTGAATCCTGCGAATATTCAGTTGTCAGAGTTGTGCGCCGATGTTTTCAGGTAAATCGCGACAACGAGGTAAAAACGAGGAGACGTCTGGTCAGACCGAGAAGAGAGAGAGAGAGAGGGGGAAGCGATCGAGGGTTCGTCGCGACGCATTCTCTCTCTCTTTCTCTTACGTCTCTTCTCCCCGTGGATGATTCACGAGCGAGCGACGATATCAAGCGCGAATCTCTTCCTCGTTAGCACGACCAAGTATTTCCGGTGTAATTCGTACATACGTGTATATATAATATATACGTATATATCCGCGACGTAATAGTACACGCGACCCCCGATCTCCGTATATTGAGAGGGTGCGAATGAAGGGTGTCGTGTCGGATCGACGAATTCGGCGGTCAGCGCATCCTGATTGAGTTTGCAAATTCGATTAACGTTGTGCGGCGAGGTTGTATATGGAGATTGGGGAATAATCTCGCGGCGTGAGTTGATCACGTTGCGCGACTTATTATCGGCCTGCATTGATCTGTATACGGGCGGCGACGACGACGACGACGACGACGTGACCAAGGAGAGACAGCTCCGTTCTCGAGTCGTGAGTGAAGGCTTGAAACCGTGATCTCGCAAGCTCGAGTAATATTATAATTATCGTTCTTGCGACAGAACTTCATTTCTCTGTGTCGCATCTCTCTCTCTCCCTTTGTATCGATTTTTCAAACGATTTGTACAATTTCGGAGTAGCATGAACAGTGTTATTGATATGTCAAGTTTATATACGTGAATTATTATCGCGATACAATCGCAGTGGAGATAAAAGTCGAGATAAGCGACAGGAGGAATTCGTGGATCACGCGGATCATTCGCTAGATCGCGACGCTTTTCGAGATCGGAGCGATCATGGCGACGTGTGGCCTCTCTCTCTAAAACACCCTTGCAAGATATATAATCGCTTCGGTGGAATCGCTTAATCACAACGATAGATCGATACAGATAAAAATACGCGAGATGCTGAAAAACATTCAATGCTAAATTATATAATTTGATCGGTTTATCAATGAGAGATTATATCGTTAAGCAACAGGCTCATCGCATTAGTACATTAAAATTTTCTACAAACGTATACATATACAATATAATCTCTCTTTGGTTTTTACTCTATATCACTCTCTTGTATCGATTAGATAAATTAATTAAGATAAATTAATGTACAGGGGCGGATATTAAAATTCTCTACAAACATATATACATACATACATACACGTCATAAATAACTTGATGAATTAATTGAGATAAATTAAGAAGCGTACAGTAAAATTCTCTACGAACATTATATACATAATCTCTTTTTGATTTTCATTCTATATCAGGTGTATCGATTAAACAAATTAATTTGCGAAATGTATGTTATTTAGATATAACGCTGAATGATAATATTATCTCTTTGTATTTTCACGCTTGTCTAATCCGGTATCGCGCTCTTGTTTAATGTAGAAAAGATGGCAATCGCAGCTTCGGAGAATTATCAGCTCAAGTGGCACAGCTATGGGGCGCATCTGCATAGCTCCGTGGCGACGTTGCTTCATTCGGAGTCCTTCGCGGATGTTCTCCTGGCGACGTCCTGCGGTCGACACGTGGCTGCTCATCGGTTCGTCCTCGCGGCTTGCTCGTCGTACCTAAGTCACATTTTCCAGACGTGCCACTTCGGCGCGAACACCAATGCTCCGATAATCGTGGTTGGTGCAATCGTTTTTTTTTTATCCTTAATTGCTAATTTAAAAATCTAGCAAAACACGCATACAGATTCGATAATGTTATTTCGTTTCCTTTTCAGGTATTGCCTACAGAGATCGGATATCGTACGCTAAAAATCCTGATACAGTACATGTACAGCGGCGAAGCCACCGTGACGAATGATCAGCTGGAGGGAGTCTTGAAAGCCGGAGATATACTGCGTGTACGTGGACTGTGGAGATCGAACACTGGTAGCAGCAAGAAGGAAAATATACAGTCGAATAATCAGAAGATCGAACGCGACAAGCGGGAACCGTCGCAGCTGACCGGGCAGATACAGAAGATCAAACTGGTGCAACCAACCGCCGAAAAGATAGTCGAGAACGCGCAGCAGACAGCCACGGCGTGTCAAAATAATGTACAACCTTCGAAGCCGGTCGAGAGGAAGAGCACCGAGAAGATCATCGAAGAGAAAACCAACGAATCCGACGCCAAAAAGATCTTGGAGGAGAACAAAAATAATGAACAGAATAAAAACAAGGAGAATCTCGAGACGAATAGCAAGAAGAAGAAATCTGTTAGCAGTGACGTCGAATCGAACAAATCGAAGAGCGAAGGTGGCGATAACGTGAGACACCATTTTTTTGTAGATTTAGTTGTAATAACAAAAAAAAAAAGAGAAGCATTCTCATAGTTTTTCCTTTTTTTTAGACGGAACTAAATCTGGAACTGTTAGTAAAGGATGAGCCGATCGATTGGGAAGAGTCGATCGATCCGTCGGAGTCGCTGACGATAGACCACGAGATCGATATCAAACCGGTACGTTAAAATAAAATAGCTATCTTATAATATTTTTACATTGAAGAAACGAGAGGTAATAACAGTTGCTATTGTTTCCTTCGCAGGAGATTGTGCACAGTGCGGATGAAGATGGAGACATGGAAGAGGAGGAATATACACCATTGACATGTGACATGTGCAGTCAAACGTTTAACAGGCCGTCAGATTGGGTGAGACATATAGAATTCACGCACGCTGACATGACTGAAAATCGGAGAAAGAAACGGAAGGTATTTTTTCATACAATATTATTCGCAATTGATGCTATAAAGTCACAGAAATTTTGTGAAACGAGGAAACGCGATGATTTCAGGACGACATGAACGACGACAGCAAAGACTTCCCGCCTCTGAAATGCGATCTATGCGGCAACATGTATTCCACGCCCCAAGAGTGGGTACGTCACATACAAACGGAGCACACGGAGGAACAACTGGCCTTGATGAACAATTCGGCGCCCCCCAAGCCCAAGAGGGTACACAATCACCAAAAGTTATGTAACATATGTCAAAAGGAATTCCCGAGCCACGCCTCGATGGTCATCCACCAGAGAACGCATACGGGCGAGAAGCCTTTCCTCTGTTCCTACTGCAAAAAAGGCTTCAATGTAAAGAGCAATCTATTGAGGCATTTAAGAACACTGCATGACAAATATGTGCATCCCAGCTTATACGGGAGTAATGGTAGCACGAACGCTTAAAAAGGCTCTTTCACATTCCTTTCCGAAACATATACATATATATATATATATAAATATATATATTTCTGTTTTGCATGGCGCCTCAGTCGTGGAGAGACTAATACAGCATCTTATCTATATGTTCAATATTATGATATTGAATCTGAATTTAGACTGAACGCGTATCTATGTAACGTATAAAAGGATGCCAAATCGGAACGTGACGTGTGGAACTAGCAGAATCGAGATCTGTGTTGTAATCTCCACTAAAAAAAAAGCATAACTGAGCGCATTTTAAAAATTCCCAATGCATATTGGAGAGAAATCTATACAAACTATTTTTTCTAAAGGGTAGAATTATCGCGTTCTTTATATATATATATATATAATAATCTTCTTTTCAATCGTGTATAAAATATATAATAGAACTCCTCTCTCGTTAAAAAAACTTTTGATTGAGTTAAACAAGAAAGCAATATCAGGGCTTTAATACCAAAGAGGCTGATTAATATTGCCAAAACGCTCTTATTTTGTTGTTTTAAACTGTTTCTCTTTTCCTCGAATGTAGTGCACGCATAAAACAAGTTATTTAAAAAATTTTTTTTTCTTTGTTCAAGTATAAAGAGAACAAATGCTGAATGATTTTATTATTTATGAAGATCTGTCAATCGAGGAGTGCTTGCGTGTAAAATAATTCTATAGTATAAATCGATATTTAACGATTAATTATTAACTTAATTATTTAGAGTAATTATACGAGAAATCCAAATTATGTAAGATTTAACTGTATACTTCTAGGCTATTCCATCCATGATAGCCCTTTTATTCCCTCAGCTCGTAAGTTAATTATGTATTTTTATATTAAAATAGCTTATACACACAAATGTATAAGAAATAATATTAAGCAAAACTTGGAATTTCGATCTAGGCTAGGATATTAAGAGTATAACATAATATTTAAAAATTTATCAAATTTTTTGGAGATATATTGAGTTCTTCTTACACATAAAAAGAAAGAAAACACAATGCGATATTATCAAAATACTGTCACAGTCTCTGGAACAGTAACAATGTGAATATTGATTAAGAGGATGACACCATTTTGCTATATTAATCATTGTGTCACTCTACTATAAATTTTAGTGTCAATTCTGCATTACGCTAGCACTGTGACAAGCCAAATAACTTTTAAATGTAAAATTCAAATAATATATTACCTTAAAAGTACATCTAATTTTGCGTTACTTGTACCTCAATATTGAATACGGCATATTTAATTTTCTCTCCATTAAAATACATGTATGATATTGTCCCCTTATTAGAATTAACGTGTCAAGCCGATTCATCTTTTTCTATTGAAATAAATATGATAAATATATAAGAAAAAAAAGTACTAGGACACATTTTCCAAAGCAATAAGTAACTTAATATGATATTGATAATTACAGTTTAGTGTATACGAACATTTCATTTATTTTAATTTTCCTCCTCGTCATCGATCTTGGGCGCCAGGTAATACCTGATGTGTCCAATATCTCCAATCTTATATTCACATACTAAAGGCACATCGTCAGACATGGACAGTTGAACTTGATTGCAAAGAGGACCAGCCTTTACAAAACAATTCAAATAACGACAAGAAAATGTTAACTTTACTGGTTCCTGCATGTTAACTACTACTGCTTCCTCTTCATTATCAGCGTCTGCAGTCTGTGCTAATTTGATATTAGCTGCAAAAAAAATAGGAAAGAGCAATATGTATAAGTTGGAAGGATCATAATAAATCAAATTTAAATTTAATAATTGTTTAAATTTAACTCTATTGTGAGTCAATGATTCTCACAAAAAACTATTCAAAAATAGAGTATTAGTATTATTTCTTTAACAGTAATACCTCTCTTAATCTCAATAGTTTTTATAAATCACAATTATATTCACAATAAAGTTTAATTCAAACTATTAAAATTAAAAATTTGAACTTTATTTATATAATAATCTCTATATATTTTGTTTAAAGCACAAAACAAGTGAGGCTTTTTATGAAATATGCAACATTTTCTATGTCACAATTATAATTATCAACAAAATTTTCAATTCTTGTCTGAGTATCTCTCTGTATAAATCTACAAAACTTATTCTATAGTTTTATTTGATTATTCAATATCTTTACAGTGTTTCAATAATCAAATATTTATAATAAAAATATTCTTGATAAGAATAAAATGTAAACAAGTATAATTTTTGTTCTTTAACAAATAGAAAAATAAACATTTCAAATACATTTTCAGTTAATAATCTTCCAATTTGTAATCAATTTTAATCTATCATTGTACAGACATGAAAAGTCTCAATATTAAGGAAAATATTAATAATATTCTATTCCTCTTGCTCTTTAATAAATAGACAAAACACCTTGTAAATACATTATATCTACAGCACACATCTATTTCTAAAATATATACATGTAAAATATAATAATTACCTGAGCCATAATCACCAGTTGCACTGAATTTTATACCTTCTTTGGTACAGGCAAAAGTTATAGATTCTCCAAACTGACTCAAATCTCTGCATATGCGAGTAAATTCTGCAGATGGCATTTTCACGACACACGAGTAAGAGGTTTCCTATAAAACAAAAATATATATATCAACATTAATAATAAATATATACAATAAAGTATGTCATTTATGAGAAATATCATGTTTTTTAATATCATCTCATTATTTATATCTAACAAGTGAATCCCACAGGATCACTAGTATTCATATTTAAGTAAATCTCACAGGAATGCCAAGGTGCTCCTGATCCATGTTGATCAGCTTCATTTCATATTCGGCGAGCTTGTCTTTGTTCGGCGATTCGAATATAAAAACGATAGATTCGGGATTATCTAAAGCCCTGAGGGTTACTGTGTCTTCCGCACCAGCACATCGCAGGATCTTTGACATGCTGGAAAAACATTTCACATGATTGTAATGCAGAAGAATAAGACAGATCATTTATTTAATAAAATATATTTAATAAAGTATATTAATATAAATAATAATAAATAAAAAATAAAAATAAGTACAATAAATAAATATTAATAAATACAAGCAGGGAATCAAAGGATGAGCCTTTATTTCCTATTTCGAGAAGATTCCTCGGGATATTCATAACCTTCAAAAGCTGTCAAAAATTCCACTCACCAGCTGATGCTCATCCCCATCGACAAATTCCGGTCGCAACGATACTTGTCAAAGCCATCACTCCTGAGGTTTAAGGATACCAGGGAAACGTGAGCGTTGTCCATCGCCTGGACCTGGATCCCCGAGTCGGAACATTCGAACGTCGCTTCCGTCAGGAGATCCTTCACCGCGTCCAATACCTTCTTCAGGATCGCGCTCTGCGTCAGACGTGCCTCGAACATGGTGACGTTTGTTTTTGCCTGACAGATTCCGTGACTTCGAGTACTTTGGACGAAAAGAAATGCGGGAAAATCGTGTGAATTCTGCTTGCGGAACCGAATCAGCCGAAGCAACACAAAGCAACAGGCATCCTCGCGCCTTCACGAGACATTTACCCGCCTTTTCTCGCCAGTTCAAACGGAAGTAGATGGCAACCTTGAATTGTCAAAAATCATGGCATCCGGTATTCAAAGAGGATAGCAATGCAAACTTATACATACTAGTTTTTCATATTATGGTTTATATATGTATTTTATATATACACAAAAAGAATTATTTATAGAATATTAAATATTATATTTCGGCAAGCTCAGTTTTTCAATTATAATTAATATATTATTATATATATTTTTGATAATTGCGGATATGTGGAAAGACGCAATATTTAATGTATCGGCAGCTTTTTTCGTTATATAAAGGATTATTGAATAAAGTGACGCATAGATTGATTACTACAGAGAGAATACACAAAATAATAATTTTAATAATACAATAGCTTACATAATTTCATATTTAAGCTTGGATATATTCATTGAAATTCATTGAAAAAAAAAAGATAATTACAAAATGCTTCAACACGATTCTGCAATCGCTTACACTATAGTATTTAAATACATGCAGTCTTATTTGTTTATATTTACGTAACTAGTGATATTTACATATTACATATGAAATTAATTTTCATAAAAATCGGATCAGCATGATAACTAGCATTAAAACGATATATATTATTCAATGCTTCAAAAAACCGATTTCGCCTGTCCTATTCTCCAATTCACTGAACATTTGATCAAGATGCTGAAATAATATGGCATAAATCAAATTCTTTGAGCAAAAAATTATATATTGACTAGTTAGTATATAAATCTTAAGATATAAATTTCTAATTAATAGAAATAATTGATCACCTTTATACTTACATCAGTTGATTTATCTTCATTATCATGTAGTGTTTCTGGTGATGTCTCTGATGGCTTCTCTAGTGGCTTTTTGTAAAACATAGTCCCCTCATCATCACTATTCTCGTCCTCTTCAAAATCGTCCTCATTATCATCAGTGTCATCCGGTTCCTCGTTGTCATTGTCATCGTCAACATTGTTTTCATCATCATCATCATCGTCATCATCATCATCATCGTCGTCATCGTCGTCGTAGTCCTCCTCCTCTAATTGCATACACGATTCCATTTCTTCATAATCCTGAGGTTCCTCTTTAATCTCACTAAGCATCATTGTTTCTTTGACAGCATCTGCCTCTGTTGGACATGGTGGTGGAGCTTCCGATGCTGAGGGTATCTGAGGAGGTTGCGACGTCTATACAAGAAAAATATTATTAATATGTCAAGTCGTTTTTTATGACAAATAGTATACGAATTGATGAATTTCACATACTATTTTTACATATATAGTTGCAAAATATATATATATATCATAAAATATAAATATATTACAATTTAATAACATTGATTTCATATATATTACCCAGGGTTGCTGTTGTTGCTCTTGTGCCGTTTTAGCTGATGTAATCGAAGTCGGTACCATGGAGGGATGAGAGTTTGTGTTTTGTTCCTGAACTTGCGGGATCGATTTATTTTGTGCCTTATTAGAACTATCTTGTAATCGTGCTTCAACGCTATTTGCATCTTGATTCGTCAACGATTTATCCGCGTGATTAATCTTATCATCTTTCTTCATTTGATTGGCGCTATTTGCTTCTTCCTTCATTTTCTTAACATTAGGCTTAAAGTCAATGTGATTCTGCTCCTTTTTCACTTGCGCAGCATTATTCGACTCTTCTTTAACTTTCTTAACATTAGGCTTAGGTTCACCAGGAAGACAAGCGTTACCTCGCTGCCGTCTAAATCTAACAATAATACTCCTCGTATCCCACATCAAATCATGCGCTTGTTTATAAGCTGATATCGCTTCATCTACACTATTGTATCTTATAAAAGCATATCTACAACAAAATATAAAAATATCATAAGTATAATATAATCGTACAAAATAATATTGTCATTATTATTAATTATATAGATGAACAATGTATATTTATATATAATATGTATTTATCTTACAAACTAACCGAGTATTTCTCATCTTTTGCGCGTATCCTACATCTACTCGTGCTGTTGGAAATTTGCTTTTCACCTCGTTTACGTTAACAGATTCGGGCAAGTTTCCTATGTATAAAGTATAAGGATCTATCTCTTCGGGCATAGGATTATCCTCGTCTCTTAACGACTTTCTCTCGACTTTCAAATTTCCTACACCAAACTGAATTTTTTCCAAATCTTTTATAGCTTCGTCGATATTCACATTCTCTGCCATTTGGATGAAGCAGTATCTCGGCCCGCTTGGACTTTGAAAATGTATGTTTTGTATACCAGGATGAAATAATCTAACAATGTCTTTATTTAGATCTGGATCGGGAAACTTAATTATCAAGCTTTGCGCATTAATCTTATTTTTCTTGTTATATTCGTTTTCAGTCTTCAAGGCTCTCTCCGCGTCCTCTCTATTCCATGGTCTACTGGGATAACTTTGGGACATTGGTTTCCTTGGTTTACCCTTCTTTACTATTACTTCCTTCTGAAAAGTGGCATTTTATTATTTACCTTCAAAATTTATGCAGTACTTGAAGTATAATAATCAGTACAGTTTTCACATCTCGATCCTCTGTTTCTTCGCTATGCCTGCTGGTCACAATTCCTGGTGGAATGGGAGGTATAGGATGATTAGGTAAAGGTACAGTCATGTGGTTGATTATAGCATCATTCGCTGTCGCGGTATAATTATTTCTCTGCCATTCTAAACCGAGACTGCCCGTCAGTGTCGCGTTTGCAAAGTATGCTGCCTGATCGAATTGACCTTGCGACTGCCCGAATCGCGCCAGCCTTCTATTTTTACGATGAAAATTATTTCTCTGAACATACATATTGCTTCTATTGTGACTAAATCGCTCGCGACGTACATAGTTACCCCTTAAAGGCATTTCCCTTTGAAAAGTATTAGTAATTTCGCGAGGAGTCGGTGGTGGTATAGGGGAGGTTTGCGGCGTTATCCATTGCCATGGGGCATGTGGATGTGTCCATGCTTGAATCGGAGTGACTTGGGAAGGCACTGGTCCAAATACATGAGGCGGAGGTGGAACTCCACTTGGTGGAGGTGGCATAGGTGGCAAGGGTGGTTGTCCAGGTAAAGGTTGAGTGATAGTTGAGGGAGAAGACGACGACGAAGAATAATTGGCATACGAAGAAGCATCGTATCCAAAATTTATAGACTCCTGCTTAACATACGTCTGCTTATCAGTGTCTTTTTCCGATACCTAAAAATTTAAGAAATTCTGAATTAAAACAAAGCAGTATTTGCGAAATTTACAAATAGATATATAAATACATAATCAAGAAGCATTTCCTTAAAACAGTTTGATCGTTTTATACACAATCAAGAAGCATTTCCTTAAAACAGTTTGATCGTTTTATCGCGTGAATGATATCGGAGCAAGTATAAATATATGTCTATGTAAATATCAACATTGACAAGCTAACCTAAAAAATTATCGTTGTAAATTAAAAAAAAAAATCTCAAAGCATTATAGCGGAGAGGACAAACATTACCGAGCATTTCAACGCTTGAGACATCACTGCACGTATACTCGATTCCCTTCGATTCGTCCTTATAAGGTGACAATATTCCTCGAGTTACAATGTAAACACACGAGTGTATAACAACAAACATATATAATACACTCCCGCAAGAAAAAGAGCGACGGAGGCCCAGGCATGCCAACCTCCACGCCACGATTTTTATAAGAAATAAATAAACAAGAACGACCCTGACCGACCCTGACGCGAAATTACGAAGATTATGCAATTGTCATTAAAATACGCGGACCACCATGTACATACACATCCACCCGCATCTATCTCCTTCCCCTGTTTATTTCCCCTCTCTATATAGCTATATATCGATCCGTGACAAAATGCGCGACAACAAGGACTGACGTTAGACACGCGGACGCGGACATAAAATGGTAAACGCTGGACGATGACAGACGATTAAACGTTTCATCCCGCGATCGGAAACGCGTACGAAATAAAAAACAAAAAAAAAAGAAAAAAAATAACATACGTACTCTCTTCATTATCATTCTCTTCATTATCATCTTATCACATTGCGAAGTTTGCGCCGTCCCTCGTTGCGCTGGCTGACCACACGCGACCACGATGACAGGATCTCCGCGACTCCGCGAGGGTGCACGCACCTACGCCTCGCTTGCGCGCGCGATCGATCGTCGGATTCAAATTCCCACTTCTTGATCTTCACGATACACTTGCGTACGCGTTCTCACGTGTACGATCCGCCATTGCCGATCAATAGCTTGAATCTCCATCGCGCGACACTCTCTCGCGAATGCGCACGTGGCGGCGATAAAAAGCGTGAAATATATATCTGCGCTATCTCCTAAAACACGTGTGTTTGTGTATATACATGTATATATATGTATATATATGTATATGTATATATATGTATATGTATATATATATAATCATATATTTTATATATATATATATATTATTGTTTTATAAGTTATAAACGCGTATTATTTTTAAATTATAAAGTATTATATTAATGTTTATTTGTCTCATTAATTATTGTAATTAAAATATATTTCTATATAAAAATGAAAATTTTTGTATTTGCTATTATAAATTTTAAAAAAATTAACAAAATTCTAATTTAATATAAATGTTTCTAAAAATTAATAATTTTTGATTTAACATTTTTTGTTTATGTAACTTTTAACTTAATTACATTAATAAAAAAATAATTAACTTACCTGTTGCCTTGTTATATATTATAATCAATTATATATATGCGTTTATATATATATATATATATATATTAAAATCATCATTATTCGATTATTTAAAATATTGCGTTTGATAATAATATGATAAAAGCAAAAGATTAAATGTTCGAAAATAAAATTAACATATTTTTTTGTATGCAAAATTAAATTAATCGATCAGAATAATCAGAAATTTTGATTTTTTTGGCCATTAATACTTACATACGATGCGCAAATAATTAAAACGCAATAAACAAATATTAATTGAAAATTCTCTTCCTTCAAGCTTCAAGACTGCGATTAGATGAAAAAATTTTATTATTAAATTATTATTTAATTATTATTTTATAACTACACTTTCTGTGCTTTCCTCGAATTTGTTCTCTTTCATTCTTTGTAAAATTCGAAATATATTACAAATATCACGCGACGAGCGTCGTCGGATCTGATTGGCCGATACCGTGAGAACTAAGAATTTCCTAAGAACTCCCTAGACGGCAGCCAATCGACGTTTGACAGACTCGCAACACGGTTCTTAAGGCTCGTCCGCATCGCGGAAGGCGATAAAGTGGCACAGCTGTCCTTTTTCTTCCGCCGAAGAGAGTCGAACGTTGAATAAATCAGCAGGAGCGAGAGAGAGAGAATATTGCGAAATATCACAGATGCGCCTGCTGCCAGTTCGCGGCTTCCACAGAGCGTGCGTGCATATAGAAGTGACATGGCTACGAGTATTTCCGAGGAAATCGAGGTATTTATCAACGCGAATACGCAAAGATCACGTTGCGAGGGATCCGAATGATTCGTAAATTCCGTGCGGGAGAACGATTTTCCGATTTTGCGGAGACACGAGCGAACGAGATACTCTCTCTCTTCCGGAGCTTTCCATATCCTTCTCTCCGCGTCCCCCTTCTTCTTTTTTCCATATTAACGAATATTCCTTGCGTGGAAAATGTCCTAGAACCGCGAAAGCTGGAGCGCTTTTCCACGTTCATGAAATTCCTCGGCGATTCATCATTCCAGATATTCTATAAATAATCGCGTAATCTTTGCGAGAAGTTAGGAACGAAAAAGGACTTGATCGCGAAGAAATGCGCACGGTAATATAAGCGATTGTACAGGTTAACGTACAGGTCATGAGGTCGACAAATCCTCTACGAATTCCCTTGATATAATAATAATATTAGGGCGCGGGCTTTATTGGATAGATAGCGCTAAAATTTTTTTCCTTTGTTTTGATTTCTCCTCTAGGAAATCGATCGCAAGCAAAACACCGAAGTAACAAACACCGGCGAATTTCCACCCGAATACTTAATTAAGCATCCGTTACAAAACACGTGGACCCTATGGTATTACGAGCCCGACAGGAATAAGTCATGGGAAGAAAGTCAGCGAGAGATAACTAGTTTCGATACAGCGGAGGACTTTTGGAGGTGCATCCCTTTTTCTTTTTTTTTTTTTACATATAAAATATGTCAGTATACTATATATGTATTTTAAGGAAACATGATTCAGCAAAGACAAATTTCTTTTCATCCGCAGCTTGTACAACCATATAAAGACAGCCTCTGAATTAAGACAGGGCTGCGACTATAGTATGTTTAAGCAAGGAATTCGGCCTATGTGGGAAGACGATCAGAATAAATGTGGTGGACGATGGTTAATAAATCTAGAGAAGAAACAAAGAACCACAGATCTAGACAATTTTTGGTTAGAAATTTTGCTTTGTATGATTGGGGAAGCTTTCAACGAATACTCTGACGATGTATGTGGAGCTGTAGTAAATGTAAGGCCAAAGGGAGACAAACTTGGTATTTGGACATCAAATGCTGATTGCGCAGATAGTGTTATGGAAATTGGGTATATAATTAAGTTGATATTTTTTTATATATCTATTAATTTATGGAATTATCAAGATTTTTTTCAATGTATTATCTTGCATATTATTTTGGTTTCAGTCGCAAACTGAAAGAAAGATTAAGGATTACATCTAAAACGACTATGGGATATCAAGTGCATAAAGATACTATGATCAAAGCTGGCAGTCAAACAAAAAATACATATACACTTTAAAAATATTGCTAAATTTATTATTACCCTTAAGTTGTTCATTGAGATATTAACTTCCAAAATTGCTAGATGAATTATTAATTGTTTCAAGAACTGCTGGATTAAATATTAAATAATATAATTATGTGAGTGGAAATTTTTCTTTGCATTATACTACGTAACATTAAACTTTGTTTTTAAAAGCATGTTATATCATCATTGTAGCCACATAATGACAAAGATTAAGTAAAAATTAATAAATATATGATAAATTTAAATAACTAAAAATTGAAATTGAATTGAAAGTAAAGAAAAATAATATAAACATTTAGTTTATAAAAAGGCACACAATATGTGTAATTTAGATTTAGTTTAAGGAAATATGTGCAGGCTGCTATATTTTTCCATGACTGTATGTGGTCATGATAAAATTATATGCTTAGATGTGATTTACGCAACTTTATCTTTTAGCAAATAAATTCTTGAAGTTTGTAATATTTTTCTGATATATAGTTTATTAATTCTCATTTAGTAGATTTATCTGATTTAGTCATTCTAGTGAAATATCAATCATTTATCTTTTTTTTTCCTTGGACTATTTGAAACAAATTGATATTCAGTAAGGCAAGGATTAAACATTGACTATATATACATTACACAAATTTATGTACATATATATATATATATATATATATATATATATATATATACATTAAACATATCTTCTTTTTTATATACTAAAATAACAAATATTAAAATACTATGTCGATATATATCTGAAAATAGTAAGTTACATACTACTTCAGAGTTAAAATGTCATTAATTTTATAAATATATACATATTTGTATCCTATCTAACATCTTTATAGTTAAATTAAATTCTTTATTTTACACTATTAAAATGTATGTCATGTGTTTATGAAAATATATTAAGTTTACTTAATAAATTGTGTGTAAATTAAGACATAAAGTCAGGAAAAAAAAAGTAAATTCTATGGACAGAGAAATGTATAAAAAATATTTCTGTCATATATTCTTATCTTTCAATACTAATTCTTCTACAAGTTCCTTAAGATCTCTACGTCTTCCTTTTTCTAAAGCACGTATTAAATTTATCGCCCATCGTTCGGTGTCGGATTGCGAAATATAAATTTGCAAAATCTTGAAACAAAAATCATATTTTAATATCATAAATAAAATTTGTTTTTGTTTCAAACATGTTTTATATATACACATATTAATATAAATATATATGTAATCTTACTTCATAACATTGCTCCTTCATATCAAAGGGATATTTCTTTTCTACAACATCAATTTCACATTCTCTGATATCTAAATATCTAGCTACATCTCTCCAGGATCGACCCAGTCTGTCTTTGAGTTGCAATAACACTTTAAAAAGAAAAATATGTATATATTATACATATATATATTATAGATATATATACATATATATATATTGTAACATGCAAAAAAAAACACAAAAATAAAAAGATCAAAATACCTCTTTGTTGTAGCCATTTTCTTTTATTAATATTTCTTTCTTCCTGCCCAGGACAATGTTGTGTAATTTGATTGAGTGACTCAGCTCTTTCTACTGTTGATAGATATTGAGATAAGTTAGAATTAGATGTGGACTCTGAGATTGTTGATGACAATGAAGCTGTTGAAGAATAAAAATTGTTAATATCGTGTAATTTATTTAAAATAAGTAAAAAATTATAACATCAATATTATCTGATACAATATACTAATATTTTTCAAACAATTCTCAATTTTTTGTTTTGTATTACACTATTCTTCTAACAAATTATTAAGGAATTTTTAAACAAATATTTTGCAACATTATATAATACACTATGATATGATAAAACTATTGTCATGCTATACATTCATCAAGTAATAAAATGAATCATGAGCACATAAATATCATTAAAAAAACGTTCACCTTCATCATTTTGATACATATTATATACATGTAACAGCGGCACAGTCTTCAACCAATTTTCATAATCAATCAGACTATTTTCCAAGCTTGAATCGCCAATAAATCTCTTTGATATGTATCGCAATGGCTCTATTTTGTCATAACTGATAATATTTCGTTTCTCTAGCAGCCTTATTAATATTTGCAGATCTGTCACCTTGCTTAATTTACGTTTCGAATCAATATTGCGCGCGAAATGTAATTTCAGCTTTTCTAAAATATCACTGTCAATAAATGGTTCAGCTATCTTGAAGAACTCTTGACGAAGTAGACGGTATTTCTCGAGCATCATTATGCCATTTAACATGAAGGGCCTCACGACGTGGAAAATTAAACTCATCCAGATTTAAACGGGAATACCCGTATGTGCTTATGCAAGTAAAACCTAGATATATATGTAGATAAACAGGAGATTGTAACCTAAAAGAGCATTTTTAATGAAAAGATATAATGTAAATGCACTAATGTCATCGAAATACTTACATTAAATATATCTTTTCATTCTGAAAATTTTATAAACATTATATATATATTTATCAATATTACACTGCATATATCACATTTTACAGCTTATTTGATACCTGTTGACAGTTCATTATGCACGTTACCAACGTTAAGCGGGCAGCACACACTCTTGCATAAGCGCATAAACAAGCATATGCATAAGAAATTCGATTGGTTGAATTTTTATGCACGTTTATAGACCAATCAAGATTCTTATGTTTACGCTTATGCGCCTATGCAAAAGTGTGTGCTCCCCGCTTTAATTCAGAGTTTATTTTTTTTACCTCACATTAGAAGAAAAGAGATAAACTCTGAATTAGTGCAGTCAGTTCAGCTGAAAAGAGCAGAAAAGAGCAGATCTCTATAGTCATTTTTGTTTCGTTCACGAAGAATTAAATGCTTCCCGAATTGAACACGTGTTGAAAAATTTATCATGGATAATAAAAATAAAATACAATATTTAATTGTCGACACGAGTGCCTTTATAAGGAATGCTGCTTTGCAGGTATTTATTGAATAAAATAAATATGTGTATGTGTAAATCTAAATGAATGCAAACATTGTTTATTTTAATTGCGAGGTTATGTATATAAAATATTTTATCGAGACTTATTATTAGTTATAATTAATGTAATTTTATTTAAATTATAATTAGTATTAATTAGTAATTATAATTATTATAATTTTTTTTATTTAAATTATAGTTTCTGTTGAATATATGAAAATATGCCTTTATAGCATTTTTAACAAGATTAACAGAAATATTATTAAAAAAATTAAAAATATTTTTTTAGGACATTGGAGTCAACATTTTGACAGAACAGGCTGTCGTCGATGAAATTACGAACAAAAGACAATTACGAAGATTGGTTGTATTACCATATGACTTGAAAGTTCAAGAGGCTTTCACAGAAAATATTAAATTTGGTAATTAAAGTTTATTAATGGCATCCATTGTCATGTGTACTGTGTTAAGAATATATACTATATTCAATTATTTTTTCATTTTTGAAAAATTAATGTTTCACTAATGATATAACAAATTTGATAATGTGCTATATTGTATTATATTTATGCTAGTATACATGGTCACTCTGACATTTACATATTTTTAATATATTTGCAGTGACTGAATTTTCTAAGAAAAGTGGTGATTATACCAGCTTGTCTGCTACAGACATCAAAGTAATTGCTCTCACTTATCAGCTTGAAAAAGAAAAAGTTGGGACAGCACATTTGAAAGATGCTCCAATAATAAGGTCTATTACATCTATGGAAGATAAACCAAGCAATGATCTTAATCTACCAGTTGGTTTTTATATGCCAAAGAAATAGTAAGATATTTTCTATACGTACATAAATTCATGTACACATATAATGTGACAATTTTCTCTATTATATATTTTTTATTTAGGAAAAAACAGAATTAGATGCAGATAAGAAGAGACTTCTTTAAATAATGTCGAAGAATCAGATGGAAAAAAAGCAAATTTCACACATATAGAGATTACGGAAAAATCAGCAGTAAATGATATGGAAAAACAAGAACAATTATCTGTTTCATGTGCATCTGATGCATCGTCAGATGAATTAGAATCAGATTATGAAACTGCAACATCAGATATTGAAGGCAAAACAGAAGACTTAACTGAGAAATTTGCTGAATTGAAATGCAATCCGACAGATTTAGAAGTTGGTGAGGGTGAACACACAGTGGATGATATTCTTGCTCCAGTTAACACAACAATATCCGAAGATGAAAACAGTGATGTAAAATCAAATGAAGATGATGATGAGGATGATGATGATGATGATGATGATGATGATGATGATGATGATGACAGTGGTTGGATTACACCAGGTAAATCTAAAATTGTAAATCAATTAAATATGATCAGGGTACATTAGCATAAAAATCTCCTATATATTTGTGAATATTAATATTAAAAATTTTTTTCACAGCAAACATTGGCGACGCAAAAAGCAAATGGATTCGGGAATTCTCGAGGAAAAAGCTGCTACTGTCGCGTGCTTGACGATGGATTTTGCAATGCAAAATGTACTTATGCAAATGGGACTGAATGTAGTTGCATTAGATGGCAGAGTGATCAAACAGATGCGAACATTCATATTCAGATGTTATGCTTGTTTTAAGACTACTAGTATCATGACAAAGATCTTCTGCCCATATTGTGGTAATAAGACACTGAAGAAAGTAGAAGTTACATTAGATGAGAATGGAAAACAACAAATCCATATAAATTTTCGGAGACCTCTCTCAGCAAAAGGAAAAAAGGTGTGTTGTATTAATTTCTAACTAATTCTTACGATTTGATTACATACAGTAAAAACTAAAATTGATGACTTTTTTTAGTTCCCATTACCAATGCCAAAGGTGGAAAACATGCAAACAATCCCATTTTGTGCGAGGATCAACCAATGCCAGAGCAACGTCCATCACGATTGGCGCGTACTAAAAACAATCCACTTGATGATGATTATATAGCTGGATATTCTCCATTCGTTACGCGTGATATAAATTCGAAATCGGCTATGTTGGGAATAAGACCGGACGGCGTTGTTAAATATTGGATGAAAAGAAATCCTAATGAATCCAGAAAGAGACGAAAATAAAAATGATTAGTTATTAAATCAATTTTATTACTTTATTTAGATACTCTATTATAAGAGAGAGAGAAAAAAAGAATTTTTTTATTCATTAAATTTCTCTTCTCTCTTTCGCCACATCCAGTTCTCTGTGTATTTGTGTAATTATATAAATTTACTATAATTAATATCAATTCCATATAATTTGTATTAAACAATATATGTATAAATATAAATATGATATATTTAGCAGTTTTTATTTATTTTAACAAATAATACTAAAATTTAAAAAAAATGCCCCGGGTGAGGATCGAACTCACGACCTTAAGATTATGAGACTTACGCGCTGCCTACTGCGCTACCGAGGCTCTTGTGCTATTTTATACAAGTTTGTGAGTATTAGTAGACTACTAGAAGTAACAAAAGTTAGGTTAAATTTGATCAGGTTGAGTTAGGTAAACCGATTGAAATATCTAAATGCCATGTGTCCAATTTGGAATGTCCAGAATCTACACCTACAGAATTTTCTTTTTACTAAAAGAAAAAGAATCACGTTATCATAATATCATCCTAATATTGTGTTAAACATGTTATGCCCAAAATATATAATTTAAAACCACCGCGACACTATATATCCATAGATAGGAGAAATTTTACAAAAGCAGACATACCTGCAGTGATTGACACTCATTATTTCAATCATTCGGTAAACTTGTAAATCATCGTTTTATAAGAACTTTATAGAAATTTTTATTTAAATTTTCAATTAAGATTGATAATTTGACTCATGTTTTCTATGTTGTTTAGGTATCTGTGATACTTCCTGACACCGTCACTGTTCCTGACACTTTACGGAACTGTCTGTCAGAGGACACGGATTATTATCGTATAAGTGCGTTGCGTGTCTGCGATCTGATAAATGGAGAATTTATTGAAGCTTTTGTTAAGAAAGGTGAGCACATGTCTGTCATTGATTTTCTCTTTATTACAATTGCGTTTTATAATTACAAATGTAATATTGTTGTGGTATTATGAAAACATGCTTATTTTTGAATGAAGAACTTTTTCTTCTTTTAACATTGAATTAAAAAAATTATTCCTTTAATACTAGATTTACAATTTTACTAATATCTACATTCAAATTTCAGGAGAAGTCAGCCTTCTGACAATAGAAAATAAAATAGATTTGCAAAATTCTATTTGTATAACTCCAACTGGATACTTGTTAATTTCTTTGGTAACTGAAGATTATCAAGCACTTGGTTTAGAAGGAAGAGCATCTTCTTTTGATCATAAGCCTTATACACGTTATGGTAAGAAAAAAATATAGCAAGGAATTAAATCTTAAAATTACATGGCATCATCTATTTTGTAATCTACATACATTTTATGTACATGTTTTATATGTTTGAACATTTTTTCTCGGTAAAAATACATATGCATTATCAGTGGTAAAAATTAATCTGAAAGATGAACATTTTGTTCCTGGTAAGAAGAACTACGAAAGAACTCGAATAGCATTAGAACAACGACTCAAACAGAGTTTTGAAGTTATAGTATCATGGGATCCACCAAGTACATATATTTTGTCTTTCCTCTTATAATATGTAATATTAACAATATTATAATATTCATACATGTATCTTCTTTTCTAACTGTACTATTTAAATATTTCAGGAACTGAGCTGTGCCCATCATCGATAGCAAAATGGTTCCACATACGTAGTTATGATGTTTATCTCTGTCATGAAACATTTTTTCAAAAGACTAAATATTCATTAACAATACCCACTCTTCAAGAAGAATGTAATTTGGATAAATTTTTTGAATGGCTTGGAATCTTTAGCATCGGTGGTGATCTGTATGTTAATTTGTATTTTAAAATAATAAATCTTTATACAATGTTAAAGAAATATAATAATGAAAGCTACCATATTTTTAGCTCTAATGGAGAAATGGATAACTATGTAAATGCATATGAGTGTCCTTCACCTTCGATAGAAATTGGACAAGTGCAGCATTTACAATGGACTGGATTTTTTACAAGAAAAAAGATGCATGAGATGTATATTGCACTGAAAGAATATACGTTATCACGAAAGACTTTACCATGGGTTAGTTTAGATGTACAAGGATTTGCAGACAGTCCTACCAGTTGGGATTTGAAAGAACATGCGTTTTTCACTGATGGAGACAATAGTTATACTATCATATTTCGACCTTCAGGTGAATCCATTATACGAAAAAGTCTCAGCTCTAATAATAAACCCAGAATGTGTCAATAAAGTTTAAATGTTAAGTTTAAGAATAATTTGTATTTGATAATTTAAATAAAAGAAGAGAGACTATTGTGTGGATTAAAAGGAGATAATTTTTTTAATAAGTTGCTAAGTGACAAACGTCGAAATTCGTATCTTAATTTATTTTATCACGAAGAAGATAGAATTGATAGCTACAAGTCATGCATTTTTATTAATGTATAATAAAATGCTATTTTATATATTAATAAATACGATAAATTAATAACACAAACAGACAAGAGGTGTAATGAAAAATGAGAAAAACAAACATAATCAGTATTTATCTGATTATTTTATATTAAATTTATTGCACAATTTGTCACACACATATGTATATATATATAATGAATAAATAAAATGTCTTCAAATAATTCCTTTATTTTACTTTAAAACACACACACGATTCAATATTTTCATACACCACTTGTCTTCATATTAACAATATATAAATTCTACATGAGATTAAAATGATTGTAAATGCTAATTTTACATTTAACCACATATATTATACTATCCTGACTGTTTAAGATCCTATCACAAGATAAAAGAGATCCGAATATATAGACTTAACATACTATTAATTATTTTGCAAAACAATAGTATACTATGCATCAATATAAAGCTCGTTTCGACGCTTATAAATAAATCAATATATAAAAAATAAAAGATACTAAAATATTTGACTGTGAGATCAAAGCAGTCTATCATGTACAATATAATTAAATCTTTGGTTCAAGCAGGCATGTTTATGTAAATAGTAAACATTTCTTTTTTTTTGTGTGTCTTTACATCAAACATATGTGATGTTCAGATAATGTAAAATGCCCTAAGTATCTTTGAAAAGTTAAGTCACATATCTACATATCAGAACATTGAGATTAATGTTTATATTAATACGTGGGAACTATCTGTATCATTGAATTTTACTCTAGAATTGTAATATAAATCCTCTATACCTGAACCAATGGACATGCGAGATTTAGAACGCGCCACGAGTTCACCAATGTCATCGAGATCTCGATACCTATAATGTATTTAATTAATTTTCTTGCAATATTCAAGATTCATTTAGAGATATCACATATATTCGCATAATACGACACATACCTACTGACAGGCCGACTAGGATTTTCAGACGATTCCGATGAATTTTTCATAATTGAAAATCCATCATCCATATTAAATAATGCTGCATTACCTATATAAACACGACAATCTATTGTAAAAATATATAAATATTGATATAATTTCGTGAAAAGAAAGAAAATAAATAGCTATTACCAGAGGGAATAGTATAGTATGTTTTAATAGGTCACCACTAATAAACGGAGATAGACTATCGTCGTCATCCGGTAACAAATGATTGGTCGAATCTGATCCTATAGATTCAACCATTTCCAACCATTGCTGATTGTGCGACCGAAACTTTTCCACTTTTATGCGTGCCGCCCAATTCTTATCGCACATCTAGAATTAAAAAGTTGACACTATAGTACAAAATGCAAACAATAAATAATTTATGAAATGTTATTTAAGATGCTGTTTATAAGTTTATAAAAATAAATTTATAAAAGGAAAGAAAATTGCATTAAAGATATTTCTCTTTAAGTTACTTACAGCAATGATATCTAAACACGTATCACAGACTTTTCTGATTGCAGGATTTTTATCATGCATTAAGTCGATCAAATATCCAGGGGCTTCTACAAATGCAATCACAATCTTTTACATTTATACAGACTATTTAAAAATATTAACAAGATACTGTTTTACTCGTTAGGTCTTTACAAGGCTCATTAATGAAGGAAATTGATTATTACCATTACCAGTCTCGCGAATCAAATAATCTCGCGTTGAATCGTGTTTTGCAATTTGATAAAAACGTAAATTATTTGCAAAACCATTTCATCGTCTTCTTGCTTAGCTGTAATATTATATGACAAAGATATAATGCCTTTCTTTTTTTAATAAATATTTGTTAAATATAATAAATTTTTATTGAAATCATATATATCTTTTTGTAAATTCATATATTTTTTTTACATGTATCCACTTGAATACATACCTTTTAAAAGCTCGATAAGAGAGAGAAGTATATCAGCCTTACACAATAAACGAGCACAATCTTCATCACAAGCTGCAGTACCCAAAAATATAACAACCTCAAGGACTAAATCATCTTGTGTCTTACCTGCAAATGTAAAAAAATAAGTTAAAATATGTTTCAATATATTTCAATTCTATTTTGGTATCAAGCATGAAAAATCTAATGAGATGATCCGAAAAAAAGAAGTCATACCTGGAACCAAATTATTGCGTATCCATGGTATAAGATTACAACGTTGAATGACTTGAGAATAATCCAAATCAGGTAATTCTAAGTTACCTAATACACCAATTACTTCTAATACAAAATCTTGAGAATCAGACTGAGTCAAAGCCATAGCAAAATCACCCACAAATTCCTAATTAGATGTGAATAAATATCGCATTAAAACGTGATATTATATTGCTGTATTATATAATCTTAATGTTAAAGCTTCGACTCACGACAAAATTTTCTTTCGTTGAATCGTGTTGAGAAATATTTCTAATCATCTTCATTACATGAGAATCTTGATTTCTGAATGCAATTTTTATCAGACCTTGCAAACGGTTATTTTCCACCATCAGTTGCGCATTCTTATTGTTAATAGCTAAATTTATACCAAGTGCTATTATTTCAGATCTTATGTGCTCGTCGTCGCAATTCAATATCATATTTGTTATCTAAACAAACGATATATATCATATATATGTTATATATGAAATGATAGGGAAACTTTTGAAAAGTTTCCTAAATTTAGACATATAAAAATTTTATAAATTGCATATATACCATTGGAATGCAATCTGTATTTGTAAACATTGGTTTTACTTTGTCATCCATACTGGCATGATAAAGCAGTCCCAGAATTGTACTCTTACTTTTTATATCAGCTGTAAACATAACAATATATGTAAAAGTTTTAACAATTATTTTCGAATTTTTATAAACAATTCCTACCTTGACTAAGTAATTTGATCCATTTTGGTAACATACCAACTCTAATCATTCTTGCTCTCAATTTAATGTCAAAAGAAAGATTAAATAATAGTTTTAAAGTACTTAATACAAGATCAGTGTTATTATTTTGTAAAAGCCTTGGTAATTTGTCTATAATATTTTCTTCTGCCTGCAAATATATATTAATATGTATAGTTATATGTTATTTACATATTATCTCTCAATATTATATTTATAAGAAATATTTAATGTTACCATAAGATCTTTGTTTTCGCGAAAGATAGATAATTTCTTCAAAATGTAACAACCAATATCAGCAAATCAGTATTAGTTCTGTCCAATGTTTTAATCAACATTCCAATAACATTCTTTTTACGCATCTTTCTTTCAACTTCCATAGCATTCTCAGCAATATTTAAAAGTAGATAAAATGCAACTCGCAGCAGTTGTTCTTGTTTCTTAGTTAAACTCTTAAATTTTTTGCGACTTTTTTCAAGTTCTTCTTTTAACTTTTTAATGTCACTCTCAGATACAGTTATGGATACATCCATAGATCGTCTTTTAACTTCATAATCTAATGGACCCTCCATATTCAAATATCGTCGATGATTCTAATCTTCCTATCACAATTGTCATTATTTCCCATTGGAAAAAATGTTAAACCAGTAGTGTTTTCGAACTGCTTCCCGTTTTTCCATATCCTCCTTCCACTGATCATAGCGACGTAATTCAAAGTCAATTATATCCATACAAAGAGAACCAATCTACAAAAAAAAAGAAATGCAAGTTTTACAATTAAGTAATTAAGATATTAGATTTTCTAATATATTTCAAGTATATTCTTACTCTGTATTCAAGCACAATATTATGAAATTGGCTGTATGTTGAAAAGCAAAAGAAAATATAAATGATATTTGTAGACAGTTCTATACTGCGCCGCCAATCTTCTCTTAGAACTCGAGCTAATGCACTTAATAATGATTCTATAAGAAGGAAAAAAAACATCCTATTACAATAATTGTCACAATTAATGAAATATTTTTCATGACAATATATACTATTAATCACAATTTTGCATATTATGGCTATAATTATTTATAAAATTATATATAAAAAAAATATAGAATGTATATACAATGTATATTTTATTGTACCATTTTTTGTCAATTCCAAGAGATTATCAGGAACCCTTGCTAATTGTAAAATTAATGATGAACCTTTAATCTTGCCTGGTATTTCCTCATATAATAATTCAATATAACTGTCAACATTACTAATAACTGCACGTTCAATTTCACTATTTTCTGTAATCATTGAATTTGATGATGCTGGCCTTGGTGGATGAGAATTATTGTCACAACCTATAGAAGTTTTAAAATTCAAATAAATTTTTATAATATTATATAAGCATAAAAATTATGGTATATTACTTGTGATGGTATCGTTGGTCCGACGATTTTGTAAATAATAAATTAATTGTTCAACCTCGCGTAGTTTAGATTCGTGAATCAATGAACACTTTTCCATCACTTCTTTGGCCAAGAGGGAGACATTTGTGTCTGCATTTAAGCTTTTTAGTCTGATTATCTTTTGGCATTCCTATACATGAAAATGATACTACAATGGCTTATATCCTATATAATACATTACAATTATTTTCTTCTTTTTATATAAAGGAGAATCATACTTTGCGATCACCAAGCATGGGATCTCCTAATTCCCCTAATATCAGTGCCTCAACATCATAATTTACTACCAAAGCTTTTTCCGTTGGATGGACATCTAATGTTCCAGATCTTACTTTTCTAAATACAAATATAAGAGATATATAAATATACTACATTTACATTTTTGTATTCATAAAACACAAGAGATGTCTACGAAACTCATATACTAATTATTTTAAACATATCACAACATATACGCAAAATCATATGACGTTTGACAGATGACCGACATTGTTTGACAGATGCAAAAACCGGTGATCCCTCACCTTTTTAGAAATTTAGCTTCGTCCATTTTTATTGTTACACGCTTGCTATCTTATCGGATTCTTCGAAGTGGAATATATTGTTTATATATTTATACACGAATTCTCCCTTGTCAATTTATCTGCAATTATTTCATCTCCATGGAGAAAAACCCATTTGATATATACATATATCGGAGCAGAACTATATAGACTAGGACTAGATAGAACGTAGATATGTTTCTGCGTGAAATTGGCAAATACCTCAAGCTCCGTTTACATGATTTTTGACAAAAAAATACGACAATAGTTAGAAAAAAATCCCTAGAAAGTAGCTTCTTCTATTGGTTGTCCGATACAACAAACTGGTAACCATGAAACGTCAAACGCCACTATTAAAATTCTATGGCGACGTTCTTGAAACGATTCAAATATCGACAACATTTTGACAATTCAGTAAAAGCAAGAGAATAACAAGTGTTCAGAAGCATAATTATAAGCTTTTTTTAATGCAAATTAAATGTTGAATTTTAGAATAATAATATGCGTTTCTTTATCACGCTTGGATTTCTGAAGAAAAGGCATCATTTACCTCGTAAGAAATTAGGAATATAAATAAAATATTTGAAAAATATAAAAGGTTTTTATTATAAGCGTGTTATTTCAGTATATAATATTGTACGTGTTGAATTTATCTATTTTGTTTTTTTAGTACACGTTGATTTATACTTACTTGGGGACTTTGATGCTAAATAAAGATGAGTACTAGAGTACTGAATGATATTCATAACGACTTAAAACAGCTTATAACTGCACTTACATCATTTGAGGTACATATTTATACTTGAATTAATTATGTATAATGTGGATTAAAGGTATATTATATAAAATTTATACTGTTCTGCATTTAGGAGGATGAAGAAGGATTTCGGATATGTGAACGTTTTTGTGTGTCAAATATTAAACATCATCGCTTTCTATCTGTCGATGGTCACGCAACTAAAGAAGCCATAGATGCACTAGTCACTAAATTTTCAATCCATGGAAAATTTGAAGTTGCTAAAAAGTTTCAAGAACTAATTGATTCCTTTTTATCAAGTTTTGATTTTGAGCAGCATCCACAGTATGATCTACAGTGGTATTTGTTAACATTCTTGTTGGATTTGTCCACTGAAACACACAAGTCTAATTTAGATAGCTTAAAACTCACACGTGGTGAGTATAATTTTAATGCAGCTCCTGGAAAAGAAGATAGCATTACAGAAGAAATAGATTGGGCACAGTATTTAAAGGAAGGCCAAGATAATTTCTTTTGTGATTATAAGAGCGATGATAGTGAGAGTGTAAGTATTTGTATACAAAGAACATGTTTTAAAATTGGTGTAAACATTTTTATAATATGTCCATTTACACAGGATTGGTCTGATTTAACGGAAGAAGGGACTGATGAAAATGATATTTCTTTGCCTACACAAATATCTAATGTACAGTTAGATATTGCACAGTCTTCAGAAATTCCTGATGCAGCAGATAAACTCTCTTTAGCATTAGTGCAAAATCTTGAATCTAGAAAATGGCTCTCATCAAATGTTCAGACTGATTGGTGGAATAATTTACAATTCCAAAAATATCCTGTTGTTAAACAATCTTGTGATGCTAATATTTGTGATATTTGGTAAGTATTGTGATATTTGATAACAGTAAAATAAGCATCTGTTTCTTAATCTTGAATATAAAAATCTATATATATGTAACATACTTTGTGTGTGTTTTACAGGCATGAAACAAACTTGTCAGCTTTATACAAAATAGCTACTCTCAGTGAATATCAAGTGTGCAGAGAATTATTATGGATGTTTTATGTCCAAACATCAATGGTAGTATTTCAACAAGAAAGTGAATCAAAATTCTTGATACGTTCTGACATATCAATACCAAGTTTGACAAATGTATGTGTATATTCTCAAGATATTTTGTCATTTTTTAAAATTATCTTTTATATAAAAAATCATACATATGCAGATAGTCTACTATATTATTTGAATGTTTTAGACTGCTTTTAAGAGTATTCTATCACCATTCTGTGAATGCTTTTCAATGATACATGATATTGAAAGATTTGGAGCTGATTTGCAATCAACTTATAATCAAGAATCTGAACTTTGGAGTCCTCCTTTGACTTATGAAGCATATAATGCTGCACTTGGACGACACTTGTATGAATTTAAAAATAAAATAATTGATATAGAAAAAAATGTTTTAAAGCAAGGTAAGTCACATAATTAATTCGTTTGCTGTTCATCGCTTGTAAGCTCATCATTTAACATTTATTTATATTTTAGAAAATTGTAATACGTTTTTATCTTTATCGGCTAGTCTGAGAAAATATTTCAATATTATAAAGATACTTCATGAGGTACATCATAAAGTTATAATTGATTGGAAAATTAATCCTAATTGGAAATGTGCATCTCGATTATTATCGTCCCTATATTATGAAATGCAAAATTCTCATAGTCGTGAAAGGACAGATATTTGTACAAATTTATATCTATGTAGTCTTACAGTTTATCTTAATATAATTGATACTTGGTTAAGTGAGGGACGATTAGAAGACTGGAGAGATGAATTTATAATTGTAAGGTAAATTGTGAGAGCTTAGAAGATTAACACTTAAGTTATGATAATGATTTATCATAATTTTTTACTTATATGAGAGTTAATATATTGTTATATATTATTAGAATTCCAGAAACTACATTAATGGAAAATGCTGAACAAAATGAAAAATTTACAGTTCGATTGTCTGATAACATTTGTTGGACAGATCCAATTATGCAATTCTTATTGCAAAAAGTACAACATATGGGTCACAGTGTTGAGTTACTTGTCTCTTTAGATCGAATTACTGATATATGGAAGCTGGATAGTGAAAATAATGGTCTGTATATCTTTACTTGATATTATTATTTCATATTGCAAACTTATATCTTATTGCAATTTATTGTAGGTGTAAGAATTTCATTAAATATTGAACTGCAAAATAGATTATTATCAGAAATTTCTAAATACAGCATGGCAGTCGAAGAGACGGATACAAGTTTACTACAAATTGATAAAGTATCATTACAAGATTATGATGTCAAGATTGAAAGAAATATAATAGACCAGTTATCAATCTTGCACAATCCATTTTTCATGAAAGCTATGGAAGATTATATGCCATGTGAATTATACAAAAATGATACAGTGGATGCTTATATTCATAATAGCCATGTCCCCAAAGCAAATCAAGATCAAATATATGATTTATATAAAAAGTATATTTATATGCATATGAACAGTGATTATGAATCAATAATTTATGTGTTTGAGATAATAAATAACGTGTTTTCTTATGTAGGCTGCGGAAGATAAAATATATCTTACCACTGAAAAACATTTTGGAGAACACATTGTCTGAGATTTTAATCTTACGTTATAACAGTGCTAGCAAATTAGTAAGAAATATCATGGTTGAGGAGTATAAACTACAAACGCATTTGAAGTTATTGAGATTTGTTTATATGATGGAAGCTGGACACGTTATTAATAAATTCTATCAAGTCTTATTTTACGAGGTAAAGTAAAAAAGAGAGGAAAATATATAATAGTACATGTTCATTTATTACATAATACGAATATTTATTTTCTAGATTGAAAATAATCAAATGTGGGCTAATTCATATTTTTTGTCATGTATTCTTGAAGAAGTATTTTCTCAATATTGGCCAGATACAAGCTCACGCTGGTCCATCACAGTTCAAAGTAATATCAATACTCATCAAGTGTTACAGGCTGTAAATGGCATAATACTACATTACACAGTAGAGTGGCCCATAAGTATAATATTGACCAAGAAAATCTTGGAAAAATATAATGAAATATTTAGATTTCAACTAAAATTAAAATGGGCTCTATGGGCGTTAAATAATTTGAGATTTTGCGGTAAATAACAAATTCAATTTGTATAAAAAAAATACATATACTTTTGCGAAGCGTTTACATCGTTTTACTGCATTTTTTTTAGATTTAGAGGATTCTAGATCGCCATGCATAAGGGATAAATTGGAACAATTTCATATAAGACGTCTTGAAAGTCTAAAATTTTGGTTACTACATGCAATAGGATCTATACATACATATTTATCTGGCCAAGTACTACAGAGTCTAGGACTTATATTGGACAAGGTTCTCGTTCAGACAGATAGTCTTGATACCATTATATCAGGTAACATGATTACATAATTATCACAATAAGAAAAAAAAATTCTTTTCAATTTAAATAAATTCATTAAATCTAATTATGCGAAATATTAAATTTGCCCAAATCACGTTGAATGAAATAGTTTAATAAACATTTTGACAAACATAAGCAACTATTTTGCAGTGCACAACGATTACTTGAACAAAGTTCACGAGCATTGCTTATTAACAGAGGAATTTGAAGATTTAATGACAACCATAAATAATGTATGTATATATCATATAATTATATAAATAATACATAATAATAATATTAAATTATCTTTATTTATTTTGAATTAACTTATTAATCAATTATTTTCTTTCAGATGATTGAAATGTGTACTCACATACGAGATAGATGGTCATGCAAAAAGTTATTGTTAGCTGGTGCAGAATTGGATGTAATGGAACAGAGTTACATAAAGTATCATACATATCTTGCATTAGCTTTGCACAATGCAGTACAACATAAGGATGCAGATTATTGTAAGTTTCAGAATTTATTAGCAATACTTGATGTATTTCAACATAATTGCCCACAATTCAATTAATTTATAACAAATATTCTCGAAACAAATCATAAAAGATCGATTATTAAAGTTGGTGATAAGAAATGTAATATTTACTTATTTTAAACAATTTACCAATTATTGAGATATGTTAATGATATAATAATAATTAATATATGTACTTGAATGTATCAAGTCTCGAATATTTTTATCTTATACTTAAAAAAATAGCATACACTAATAGCATACTAATTAAGGATGTTAAAGAATGATCATTGTTGCATGATAATTAACATCACTTTTAACTTAATATTTTTTCCCTGCTTTATTTACAGTGACTGGCTTAAGTTCAGCTTTTAATTGCAGTATGCCATGTACTTAATCTTGCATTAATAGAATATTGATTCTTATACCGATTTAACCAACATTACCAGTGTGATTTCCCGATTTTCTGAGTTTGGGATTAACACAATGATGTCAATTTCATTTCACATACATCAATTGTCTTATACAATTTAATAATACATGTGATTGTACATGTAGTATTTAGCTAGATTGTTGTTCCCATTTATCAGATATATTTCACATCTTGTGTATAAATAATATTAATTATAATTTTTTTAAATAATATTAATTATACTAGTTACTTATACAAATTTGTTGCGCGCAAGGATTTTTATTATATATTCTAATACAGCATTATACATGTATTTAAGATAAAATTGTTTTTATGTATGCAAGAAAAAAATGTCTATTTATTTTTTTTAATAAAAATCGCATAAAAATTATATTTGGCACACTCCTAAATGTATATGCATAATTGTTGATATTAATTAGTATCCAATGTATTTCAACTTCCACAAAAAATATCCTGTTTTCCTACCTCATCCTTTCCAGATAAGTTGATGCCAACATCTGCAGTCTGTACTGATAATAAACCATTTGAGAATAGCGATAGATTCACTAAACTTCTCACTGACCTTAGTCGAACCTTATTAACGGAAATTGCGCATCAGAGTTTACCACCGTCAGGTATCCCTCTGCCAATTCCAAAGTTAATTTATGGAAAAGCTTGGCAAATGAGGTAAAAAAATTATTGATATGAATACTCTATATCATATAAGTCAAAGCATGCAATATTGATTTTTTAAAGTTTTAGTTCAGAATCATTGTTACCTGTTGAAGTGTCCTTGAATGAATATGAACAAATCTTTTCTTATATGCGCTGGTATCAATACGAGGAACAATTCGTTATTCTAAATTCATCCTACGCCTTACATGATGAGATCAAAAATATCGTTGCAAGTTCGTAACATTATAGGAAGGAAGACTCTAAAAATAGATGTAGATAAAAATATAAAATATATTTAATAATGTTATGCCACATATGTACAAACACATAAAATGCTTCATTTATTTAGTTTTTATGTTTTAATAAAGGATTTATAAAACTATATAACATTTAGAAAGATTTAGAAATTTATGAACTGTATATAATTCTAAAGTGTGTGTATATTCGAGAAATGGCACATAAAATTTAAAAAATGGAAAAAGTATAAACACTCTTACAGAGATTTTTAAAATATATATTATCATACATATTATATTTCATTAAGATATACAAGAAAATCAATAACTAATATGTAATAACACATATGCATTCAATTTTCTACTTAACAAATATTGATTATAAAAATAATTTCGCTATAATCGGTAAGTTATAGGATTTATTACATCTAAAAATAACACAATTATAATAACTTATAAGACTATATAAGTTATTTTCGATATAAAAAATATTTCACGTTCAATAACATATTATAAAAAGCATAATATTAGAGAAAAAAAAAAGATAATTTTGTGTGTATTTATACGACATATTTGCAAAGAGAAAATTTTCAATTAAGCAATAATAAAATTAATATTAATATCTATTATATTACATTTTTGCATAACGTTTTCTATACATATTACACATGAGAATTAACTCTGTGCAATTACGACAGTACCGTTTTGTCCAATAGTTCCAGTTTGGGATACTGTGGGAACATTTGATGTATCATTCACACTAACAGGAGAAGAGGAGTGATTGTTTATATTTGTTGCAGCTAACGCCTTGTTTCGTAATTCGAATACTTGTTGTATCGCCTTGCGAAAACAAAGGAAGTTGTAATCAATCACACCTGTGAAAAAAAGTAATAACACAAATCATTATTATATTGGCATATGCAAAAGAATTTTGTTTTCTTATGCATAAGTATTACAATAATTATTTTTACCTTGTCTATCAAAATTATCCTCTCGCAAGATACAGACCAAAGCTAAAAATTTATTCACTTCACGCAAGTACAAGATTGTACCATTATTTAATTTGATTAAACTGGAACTTTGGTTGTCAAATGCAGCAGCTTCTAAATCCTCTCTTAATCTGAGACAAAACATAAAGAGAACTAGAAAGTGCTAAACAGATATAAATATATGTACATGGAATTAAAATAGAATTGTGTTTACCCATATATGCAAGAAACATCAATAACAACATCAATCATATCGCAACATAATTCATAACTTTGCATATCAACAGGTGAACTGTCTGTTGCAATATATATTTTTGAGACAACATCAAATAGAAATGCCTTCTCAATTGCAGAATTCTGCAATTACATTTTAAAAACAAATTTTATTATAAAACCACATATTATTTCTTAAAAATATAAATAATGATATTTAAAAAATTCTCATACCGATATGAGTATATTGAGTAAATTTTCTAAGGTAGGCAGCTGTGGTATTAACTTTTGAACAACTTTACTGAATGCTTCAAATATACTATGATCATATATTGAAGTCAAATGAAAACTTAAATGTATCTGATCACATCCTAGGAGAAATACATGAAATAAAATATGAGCAATGTTTATCTCTTTAAAATCTCTATATAACAAAATCTTTTATTTACCAGCATCTGCTAAATCATCATTGGCTCTAGTATGTATATCTCTTTGTGTTTCCATTTTACAGTCATCTGATAATCCATCCACCTTATGGATAAAAACTTCAAACTTGATTGCTTGATTAACCTTGTATGCTTTTGTAACTGTTATATGAAGCTTATTAAGTGCCTCCATGTAATCATCCTGTGCATCTATTACAAACACCAATGCTCCGCAACCACCAAATATCATATCACTGTCAAAAGTAGGGTCAAAGAAATCAATTTGTCCAGGAAAATCCCATATTTGAAATTGTACGAAGCTTGAGTTACTTATGTCATCTTTAATTATTTTATTTGTACTTTCTAAGAATAATGTCTCGTTTGGTGACATCTTGTGGAAAACCACCTTTTGTATTGACGACTTGCCACTACTAAAAAAGGAAGAAAACAAGAAAAATAAATTAAAAGATAAATCATTTGATACTGAAATACTGATCTGTGTAATAAACAATATATAAGAATATATATAAGCTTACCGTCTTAGACCCATCAGAAGTATTCTAGGCTTTTGTTCTCCTGCTAGTGGATCCATAGATCCTTCGGTTTCCCCATCAAATGGTGCGTATCCAAAATCTTTAGGAAAAGAACCACTTTGATAATGATCATCGTATCCACTTTGATAATGATCATCGTCATCCTATAAAATATAAGGAAAAAAATATATAAAAGTATATATATATTAGAAATAAACAATTTATAAGTCTCAAGGATTATCTTTTACTATATTGATTATTGCGAATTACATCCGCAAGTATGCATAATACTAATAAAAAAAATAAGAAAAAAAGAGAAAATACTAGAATGATAATTTTTTATATATCTCTCTTCTTTTTTATAAAAATATTCGAGTGATATTATCTACTTACCATGATTGTGAGGTTAAATAATTTTTGCGTCGAAATTACGACTGTTTCCTTGACAAATTACGAATCTGATAAAATGTCGCAGTTTCACAATATATTTATTTAATCACGATTACACATCGTTAGAAAACTAAGTAGATTACGAGGTTGAAATATGTACAATATCTTTGTTTATAATTGGCAGGGGTGTGATTGTGATGAGAAAGATATAGCCTTGATATAAAAGCCACGGTATGTCAGTCGGGATTCTGATTGGTCCCCCTTTGAAATAGCGTCCAAAAAATGTCCGTCCTGTCTCTGAAATTCCAAAGCAACAGATCATAAATCTTTGTCCTTCTAAAGTTCATCTAGATTGATTCATGCAGCTGCATAAAATATCGGAGCACTGAACTGCATTTAACGAAACTAACCAAAACGAAAAAGGAAGAAAAATATATGATTTTTTTAAAGTTAACACGTAGCTTTTTAAAAATAAAATTAATAATAATTTTGTCGATAACAAATAAATTTTCAAATATAATAAATTACTGTCAAATATAATAAATCGTATGTATAAATAAACACGTAAAATTTTTTTTTAATTTAATATCTGTTTTATATTACGTCATGTTTTTTGCCACGCATGCCCGCATGCGCGAGAAACTCGGCCAATGTCACCTGTCACTTTTGACAGTTTGACAGAGTAGTTGCTGTTGCTGTGTAATTAATCGATAGGCATGCAAAAATAAGAAATTTCGTAAATCTTTTTATATTTGAAGCAAAGAGATGAAACACGGTTCGTAAAAAGACACATTTATGTATTCTCATAGAAGAATTAATTGATGTTCATTAGACTCTAACCTTTAAACGATTAAATTTAAAGAGATTCTTAAGGAAAATTTTTTTTCTTACTGCTTTTTTTGTCTGTTTTAGGCAAAAATCAGAACGAAACAACGTATAATTAATTTAGCAATAATTTTACAAAATCAATGCAAATTTACAAAACTTGAGTTATTATCAAAGCACAAGTATAAACTAATGCATTTTCTGCTGTTGATGCTAACGTGATAAGTACTTGCAATATAGTTATCCTTACTTATCATTGAATGTAATTAATGCTATATTACAAAATGGAATTGGCGAAGGAAGTAATCGATGGTTTAGTAAACATTCAGAACAGCAATGTCTTACCCGAAGAAGCATTTTTACAATTAGTAGATGTTATAGTATCTTACATTTGTAAGAATGTTAACGATGGAAAAAGTAAATATAAATTTAACTCTGTGTTTCAAGAATAATATCAAAATATTCAAGATACTATGTGTACAATTACCTTTTGTCTTAGGCATCGCTAGTATATATCCATCCAAATCAGACCTGATAAAGGCTGCTGTTGCCAGTATATCTTGCCTTTTTATAGAGGCTGCTAGACACGATTACGATGAAGAGAGCTTAAAAATCTTTCTACATAACGAACATATTAATGGACAAAGGATTGAAAAATTGTGTAGCATTTACATTAATAACAAACAAGATATTCAGACACAGTTGGAGTTGACAGGAGATAACATACCACACATAGTTGATGTGGATTGGCGTTTACATCATTGTGTTAAGGTAAATTCTTTAATAGCTTTGTGAAGTATATTGCTTTACATAGCACAGTTCTAACAATATGTCTTCTGCACAATAAGTTATATTAAATAAAGTATTTTATGTGTTTGAATACAGATTAGTACTTGTTGTTCTACCGACATGCCAACTTATAATGTTCGAATGAGTACAAAAAAATGTAATGAAATGAAATATGTTACATTTACATGCACCGTACAACAGCTGCAAGAGTTGGTGTACAAGTTGAAGGATGCTGTAAGGCACATCGAAAAAATCTCTAATATATAAATATGTATTAATTTACAATTTGGAAACACATTCTTTCATTATTTCGATTTAACGATGTGTATATATATATATATAATATATATGAAGGATATTTATATAAGGATATTTTATATTTCGTATTGAATAATAAACAGTTTTTATGTAGGTGCAGTCAGTTATATTTTTGCATTTAATGAAAAGAATATCTCCTAATCCATGTATATAGAATTACTATTGTATTACTTTTATACGTTTATACATGTATATGCGCGTGTTCACACATATACACATATACAAAAAATGATTAAAAATACAGTAATCCTCCGCGTTCTGCAGTCCGATATATTTAAAAATTTCTATTTTTGTTAGACGAAAAAAATAACTATATGATTATATCCTTATTAATATTAAATATATAGAATTATATTAATAATTCTTTTTCTCCATTATTGTAATATTTTTTATATAACCATAATACACTATGTACAAATAAAGCTTAGCATATCTTATATCAAGAGAAACTGTCTACAAACATTAAAGTCTCTTAGCAAAGTTTTTCGTCTTCTTTCGTTCATACTTTTTTTCCAATTTATGCTCTTTTTACTTTTTTTATCAGTATTCACAATTATGTAAGTGGACAACAAAACGCACATATATATTATTAGAAATGAAGATATATGGATTAGGTACAAAAAATTAAAAGAGAAATAAAACTTGAGAAGCAGAGCGAAGAGAGAAAGTAGTATGAGAAAAATATTACAATTTACGATCATTTTATAAAAGCGAAATTTTGTTTCATTAAAATGTTTTTTGTATGACGAAGTAACGTAACGATCACAGTGTTTAATCGTTAACTAATATTTTTTCTTTTCTGACATAATTAGCATATATATATTTTATAATTTTTATTGTTCCATATTAATTACTCGATATATGATACGATAAGGCCTCGGACATTTCACTACTATCAGCAGTCTTTGAATATTTTTAAAATCACCCCAATAATAAACTTTTGTTTTGATATCTTGTTTTTGTTGGATTGGTCCAAAAATTAAAAAAAAACTAAAATTTAATCATATAAAATAAAATAATGTTTATAATTACGAATATAATAATAGATATTCACACTTTTATCAAATTTATCATACATGTACATTCGTTCTACATACTTGTAAAATTGATAAAAAGAGCAATATCTTTTGAAATTGTTAATTATTTAAAAATTTTTGGTTCGTTTAATATTTTGATATTAATTTTATTTTTATATCAAGAGACACAGTAGTGTTTCGCGCCTAGTTTGCAGACTCCTGCTTTAAAAGTGAGGCAAATGTTAAATATATTACTTTATAAAAAAAAGCATCATTAAAGTAATAATAATTGAGAGCAAAAATAGTAGTTTTGCGAAATAAAGAATTATTTTTCTTAAAAATATTACTACTCTATATAATACAATTTTAATACAATCCTATTTAATAAGGGATTATTCAAAAATATTCAATGCTGCGAACTATATAAATTTCATATCAATCTTATGTTATAAAAATGTATAGTTTAGGTTTAGGTAACATTATATTAATTTAATTAGTTCACCTATACCTACCTATACCTAACATTTTTTTTCCATAAACATACGTATGTGCTCATTATATCGTGAATATCTTCTTCTACCACAAGTCATTGTGTCTTTTCATAATTATACACAAAAAAGTGACTGCGATACTTTTAATTACTTAATGCTAATGAATAACTTGAATCCCCATTTAAAAATGTTTTACATCCAAGATGCAAGAACGGATATTATATGATATTAAGAGATGTGTGACAACGCTGACATTAACAAATTAACAGCAAGCATATACGTACTGAGACACAAATCGTGTAGTTGATTTAAATATATAACTTTAATAGAGTAATCTCTTTTTTCCAAGGTCACTGTTTCCACAATTTGTATCGATATCCGCGAAATATGTATATTTCAATATTGCAACGCATGATATAATGTCTAACGAAACAAGATAAATATTTGACATTGTCCCACTTAAAACTTATTAAACTTTGTCTTTTAACATCATGATGTCAATTCCATTTTTTGTAAATTTCTAAAATTTTATTCCGAAGTATACGATTAATTTTTTATATTAAAATTAAATTTGGAGAAGATCAAATTGATCAATCTCGCTTTTGAGAGCCTCAAATATTACAGATTGTAAATTGCCATAAAATTTTAGTTAAAATCTGTAGAAAAATTAATCCAGGCAAATGCATACAATTAAAGGGATAAACATGATAAAAAGTGGAACACGTCGTACATTTCTATACATATGTGTATGCGTACGTAATAACAATGGTAGGGGGGAGGAAGTGATTCGTTAACGGTATTAATTAATATTGATATTAGATACACGCATAGAAATTTCAGACGGCCTCACAATTAACGTGTGCTTATAAAATAACGTACTCAACGTAATGATATATAATATATAACTCATTTATATAATAGAAAATAATATTAGATCTTTCGATTGCTATTTACAGAAATGTACAGATTCCTAAACACGTCGTGAACGCATTTTCAACAATGATCGTAATCGCTCTCCTCATTCCGTGTTCACGGAATACGCATACTGAAAAAATTCATCACCTAAGCATCGTTAACCAGCACATCTCTTGTGACTTTTTTTCGCTACGCGCGGATGACGAAAGGGGAGCGCAAAGGATCTTTAAACATTACACACAAGTATATGTATATATGAGATATACTCAATCGCGCATTAATTAAAAACTGGCAATAAATATAATTTAATCCCGTACACAAGATGTGTATAGAATTAAATTACTATACTTAAAGCCAGATCTCCTCCGTGTGGGATAAAATGCAGTTCCGTCATCAATTATCGCGCGATTAATCTAATCAATTTAATCCTCACGTCTCCGCTTTGTTTCTTTGCACTTCGGACTTTTTACCCTGTATCTGCTCGCCACTCTTGTCGCTCTTGGATTCGCTCGCCGGCGAGGAGTCACTGATATTGTTAGCTTGAGCGTTACTACTCGGAATATTACACCGTTCTCTGGATGATGGTCGTTCCACCTGGGCACCGTCTCGTTCGGTCATCTCCGTCGCTGGTTTCGTCATTTCGTCGTTCTCGTTAGCTTCCTTGGACTTCTTACTCGCCAACTGTTCCGTCGTCACGTCACCGTTGATCTTCGCCGCCTGATTCTTCTCCTTCTTGTCGGGATACTGGGAGCTCACGGCGCTGTCGAGGACCTCGGTGCTGCATCTCGCCTCCGTAGGCTTCGCCTTGGGACTTTCCTCTTTAAGACTTCGCGTCGTCGTCTCCTGCATCGTCTTTTGCCCTGGATCCGCGTCCTTGGACTGCTTTCGTTCGCCGGTGCTGCTCGACGAGTTGGAATTTTCAGGTGTCTCCGCTGCGGCAGAATTTTGTTTGACAATCTGCTGGCTCGTATCGACGCTGTCAGTCTTGATGACGACATTGGAGGTCGGACCTAAACTGCCACCGGTCTTGGAGAGATTGAAAGCGTTGTTGAGCGATGGCACCGGAATCGAGACATTCTTGGAGAGAAGCAGCGCGACGCTGTCGACCACCGACGTCGACGTGATCAGCGACTGCGACTCCGCCTTTCCCAGATTGAACGACGTGCAGGAGATCGAGCTCGGCGACGAGGTCTTGGGCGATTTCGGCGAAGACGAGTGCGTGCTAGGAGGTATTCGCTGCACCGCCGGTGGTTGGGTGGACACCGGTGAGTAGCTGCCGGTGGTCTGCGGTATATAGCTGGCTGATCGTTGATACAACTTGTTGATCGACGGTGGTAAACTGCTGTGGAAGGCACTGGGAGGCGGGATCCCGATAGGCGAGCGTATCAGGGGATTCGGGAATCGGCTGGCGTCCGGAAACGGTGGCGGGAAGTGAGAGTATATGAGCCGTGGATTCGTGTTTGGCGTGGGAGACGGTATGAACGGATTGGTCGACAGCATGTTCACCGGCGAGTTCCTCGGCGAGATCGGGGAACCGGTGCTACGACATATGTCCCGGGGATACGGCGTGTTCTGATAACTTCGAGCGTTCGGCGAATAAGGCGGCGGCGAGACGATCGGCGAATTCACCGTGGAAACGATGGGCGACAGCGTCTTGGGATCGATCTTCATCATGTTCAGAGTGGCGCTGCTCTTCGTGTTCGCGACCGCAGATTGCTCCTTGTCCTTCGCGTCGTTTGTCACTCCGTACATCGGCTTCACGCCCGATGCCGGATTACCTAAGTATCGAGGAACGTTTCTCATCTTGAAGATCTTGGCCGGTTTAGACGGGATCTGCTTGCTCGTACCCTCGGACGCGGACGTAGTCTGGGTTTGATTCTGCATCTCCTTCGCTTGATTCTTCACGGCCACGTAGTTGTTCTTCGATAAAGTAGGATTCCAAGACTTGGGTGGGTCGCGCAACGTTTTATATCCCACCGGTTGACTCTGCTTCTTCAGGGAGGATATTCTCTGGGTTATCTGGGGCGACGTTGGTGTTAACGATGTTACCGTCGACGAGACCGATAAAGAGCCGGCTGACACTGGCAAGCCGGGTTTTAAGCTCTTGTTCTCCATCGTCGTTGCGTTGCCACTCGGATTGTATACCGGTACATTAGGTATATTCGGTATGATCGGCTTGATCGTCGTGTCCGAATTGGGCATGGAGAGACTCTTCTTCGTACTGATCTTAAGCAGATCCGGAACGTCCGATTTGCCGCGCGCCTGCTGTTCCACCCTATTCTTCTCCTTCGAGTTTTCTCCTATCTTCGCGCAGATATCGTTGATCTTGGAACCGATGGTGCCGATGGAACCGATTTTCGCACAGATCTCGTTTAAATTTGTCCCTTGGCGGTCGCCTCCTGTTTGCGCATAGACGCTTGTTTCATCAGGGATATAGGAATCGCGTCCGGACACGGTGGTACCGAGCACACAGACGTCGGTTTCGACGCCGTCACCGTAATCGTTGCTGTTGACGTGGCCGTTACGGTGGTTACACCCTGGTTCGCGTTATTTTTAGAGACATAGATACCGAGTATATGCTCATCGAGGGCGTTTGTACGTTGAACTGAGGCGGTATAAGGGACGCTTGATTGTTGGACGTTGAACAAGCAACGATAGGTGATGTCATCAATGTTTTCTGGAGCGTCGTACAGCTGCCTGTCGCGCTCGAGTTCTTGAGCGCTGGTTTCATCGCGGTAGAGTTAATCACTATGTCATGGAGAGTATAAGGAAACGTTGTCGACGATGTTGTCTGACTGATCGTGGACGTAGAAGCATTCGATACAATTGTAGATGCGATATCTTCATTCATCGTGGTTGTGTTATTGTTGTTGTTACTCGATGCACTCTGTAATTTCTGATTTATCGTACTCGTGACGTGGCTGCTGCTTGTTTTCGGGATAGAGTCCGTCGATGTTTGTGTGAGCACGTTCGTTTTCTGTTCCAGTAAATTTAACGCCTGTTGCACATCGATACTCATACTCGGATTATCCTTCCCAAAGACAGCTTCCTGTTGACCAGAACCGGAATCCGAGAAAGCGTTTCGAGATGCTATCGCGACTGATTTTTGCGAAGAGGTCGCCGTGGAACACGAGACCGATACCTTGGCTGTAGTATTCCCGCAATTCATTCGCGTTTTCGTATCAGAGAGTTTTGTACCTTCGGTCGATGATTTTACGTCGGATTTCTTCATACTCTGTTGAAGAATCGCACGTTTTTCCTTTGGCGCTTTCTTGGAATAAGTGTTATTGACTTGGCCTATTTTCGGTTGAAACTGCAGCTTTGCGCTTAACGCGTCGATTTTCGATCCGGCATTCCCCATTTTCGTTTCTACGCTTGCACTTTTTACGCATTCCTTCTGAGTTTCAGTTTTGAAATCCGTACTGTTGTTGTTATTATTATTTATTGATAACTTTTTCGTTCCTTCGGTATTTTCGGCAACGATATTTGCGTTCTCCTCCGTCAATTGCGTTACCGGTTGATTATTAGTTTTCTGCCCTGGTTTATCCTCGACATTGATGGTTTGATTGCGGCCCTTTGCTTCTTGTATCTTTGCTGGAACTGTACGATTTCCTGTTTCATTTCCCGGTTTCGTGGTGTTTCCATTATGCTGAGTAATTGGCGACGTACAATTTTTAATCGATGAATTCTCTGTTGTAGATTTAACGTCACTCGTAGCGAGAAATACGTTACTCGAGTTGGGAAATATTGGATTCTTCGTTATTTGCGTATCGGCGGCCAAAGTAGATTGCATTATTTCCACGGATGATTTTGACACATCGCAATTTTCTATCAACGAATCTGTCTTGTTCACTTCTACAATGGAAGCGATCGTTTCTTCTGAAGATTTTTCATCTTGCAAACTTTCAATTCCTCCATCCCTTTTGTGTATTGTACTAGATATATCAGTTATACTCATCACACCTGTTTCTGATATTTTTAACTGCACCTCTTTCCACTCGCGTTTCAGTGATTTCTCATCTTTCAATTCTATAGAATCAATGCCAGCATCTTTTAAAGATTTATTATAGTTTGCATTGTCTTCTGACAATTTCATACGTTTTAAAGATGATTCAAATATCCTGTAGCTTAAGTGTAGTGGAACTTTCTGTAATGCAATAAAGACATGTCATTATCGTGCAAAGGTATTTATATATGTGTACATTAAATTATTTATATTAAATCAATTAAACAATACTTACCCGCCTCCAATGATAGATATACATAATATCCATTAATGTATAACTACTGCATAACGGTTCCTCTTTGTACATAATATCAACTCTATTTGCATCACCTAGTCCATATTTGGCTCTTATTAATTTTTGTAAATGGAATACTGTAACTGCTGCAGGACATCGAAAGTATCGCCTTAAGATAGGTTTTTGCGTGTCATCCTTAGCATTTACTTCATTTAAATCCTTTGTATGAGGATTAAAGTATTCCAAGGATAAGCTAAGAGATTCATCTGGAGAATATATATGCGATTCTATAGGTTCTCCACGAGCTTCTGGAGACATCGCTTGATTAGGTACTTCTGGATGCTTTGCATAAAATTCTCTCCGACATCGCATTTCATCTGTAAAAAAGTTTGTATGTTAATTGTTAATGGTACATCATAATACATGATTGAGAGATAAATTTCTCTTTCTTGTTAAGAAAGAAACATACTTTGGTAACATCCAGGTACCAGTTTATATACAATATCTTGCAATGTATGATCAGGACGTATATTTAACAATGGCCTACTTTTGTGAACCTGTACTTCGCAGATTGGGCAATATTTGTTATTTTCCAAATATTTAACAATGCAACTTCGGCAAACTGTAAAAAAAATGTTTGAAATCTTATAATAAATGTCGCATTAAGCTATTGTATAAATTAACATATACAATGTCACATATAATATTATAGAAGAATACTGTACATGAGTGTAAACATTCTATAATGGTGGTGGCATCGATAAAATATCCACCACACAATTTGCATGTCAATTGCTCATTAAGCTTGGCCAACCGCACTCGATGTCCACCACTTTGCCCTGACATTCTACAATACAATACACCAAAATATATATACATGTCCTTATAATAATTTAACAAGTTACATAATTCACATATTGTAATAATGTAATCACATATATACTATTGTAATAATATAACATAATGTAAATAATACAATTAATTATATAACAGTATTTATCCAATATGTATTATGTGTAATTTATTCGAATATAACCAAAGGAACGCAGAGTAAAATATTGATGATTTTGAACCATTGTCATAAGCTAATAAAGTTTTAATAGTATCTTTTCAACAATGTATATACCAAGAGCAAAAATATATAAAATTTATATTCTGTACATGTACAAAAATTTATTTATTAAATAATTCATTATCAAAAGAATACTTTAAAGCTCATTATTAAATTAGGACAGAGTCAATATCATAATTTAATTACGAAAAATTGAATAATGCATAAATAATCTGTATCTAGTGATACGACACCTGATCGTGTCTCTCTGTGATTGATACAAGTAAATTAAAAAATAGTATGACAGCTGCCTAATGTAAGTAGCACAACTATATCAGACCAAACATAAAGCAACTATAGGTATATATATGTATAACTTTTATCATTTATATGAATAGAAATATGTATACGTGTATGTATGTGTTATATATATTACACATATACAAAAGATCAGATTTACTTGCGTATGACATAATTTCTTTTTCGTAATGTTTTCAAGAGGAAGGGAAACCGATATATCGGATAACGGTGCAAATGAAAAATTGAGAAAACATTGAGAGCTACGAATAGTACGTCGGTCCGCGATATTTACGGTGTTTCGCGAGCACTGAGCGTAAGTATGAATTATACTCAGCGCTCCTCGGTGGAAATTCGCTGCTGAGAACGATACTTACGTGACGAACGAAGTGAAAATCGTCCGTTTTATTTAGTAATCGCCATTTGGCCTCAAAAGTCAGGAAAGTTGGGTCGGATGTAACTTGTCACGGGTTGCCATCATATACAATACTTGTCCCTTCCGCGGAGACGATTTTCACATTATCCCCCGGTGACGGTGCCTTCCGTGAGCGCGCGGGGAATCCTGTCCGACGACGACGTCGTTCCGATCGAACGAAATTCACTTCAGTCGCTTATATCCATCTTAAAATAGATCACCACTTTCTCTGAAAACTGCGCGTACGGCAGCAGAACAAAATGGCGGATAAACAATCATGCGTGCGATGATTTCTGAAAACATTGCGCAGCGCGCCAGGTTTCGCTTTGGTTCCAAGTCGAAAGTCCCGAAAAAATGGCCGAATATTTCCCCAGTGAGAAGCGATGACGTAAAATCACCCGATTGGCTGTCAAATAGGGGATTTCTTTAATCCCCTAATTTTTCCTATTTGACAGCCAATCACGTGTCGCGTCCTAACATCCGTTCAAACGTCAGAAGAATCGACCAATCACGAATCAGATTTAAGGAAACTATGTCTCTGCATTCACATGATTGGTCGAATCGTGCATAAATATGTCATTATACAGAGATGTCATTCTAGGTTTAAATTTTTACGAGTTTTACGCTCACAAGATACGATTTCTTGTAATTTTTATTTTCAAAATGACAAACATTAACATAGATAAGCTTGGTTTTTTTCACGGACGATTGCACGGTGCATAATGTGAATATCAATTGAAATCAATTGTGATCTATTGAGAGAATCAGAGATACGTCTTCGAGGATGACAATCTCTATATACGATTACAATTAGTGTAAGTTTTATTATTGTACACAGGATAGAGAATGATAGACAAAGTTTTAAAAAGAATAACAGTAATTTCTAAAAAGAATCTAATATATATATCTATAAAGTTCTATTATATAAATAATAGAGAATAAGAGGAAAAGTTTTAAAAAGAATGACAGAGTAGTTTCTACAAAATCTGATGTATCTAATCTGAGAGATTAGATCAATTAGTTTAATCTTTATATTTTTGATTTCAAATTAATATGATAATTATATTATTTTTTAAATATAATTGTTTAATGTGTATTGTATATTTATTATTCATATATTTTAGAAATATAGCACATTTTCTGAAATGGATCAAATTCAAGAAGCTGCCGGTGAAAGGACACATAGTACAATAGAAAATAACAAGAAACTTGACAATGAAACTAGGTAAAATATATATGATTTTTTGTACAGAGTATTAATTTTGTAAATTAATGTATAAGATTATGTGTAAAGAATATTTATAAAAGAAATTTTATATGCATATTAGTTTGAATGTATTTTTACTTTGTTATTGTTTTAGCATTTTTTTGTATTCATTTAATATTCGCAGAAAATTTTTATCTTTTTGCAGTAATTTTCTTCAACAAGTTTCTGTGACAAGCTCCATAAGGGAGAAAATCACAATGACAGATATAACACCACAAGTGAGATTTTAATAATATCTATATATTTCATGTTTTTAGAAAAATAAATTTTGATATTTACAAGTAAATAATTATAACATGATTATTTACTTGTAATAATTATACTATGATTTTTTCAGATTATTGCAAGCTGTATAATTCATTGCATGGTCATAAAAGCTGGTATAAATATGGCATACAGTACAGTTTTAGTAAATGCATTAAAATCAGACAATGATATAAAAGTAACTGAGAAAGAAGAATCTTGGATAGGTCAGTTTTGAAACAAGATTTGGATATTTTTAATCTAAAGTTGTGCATGCAACAAATCGAATAAGTAGTGTAGTTTTATTTAGCAATTTATTTGATAAATTAGGATGGAAATTATTAGTAATGTTATATGTTATTTTGCACTTTTTTGTTCTGTAGCAAGCTTAGCTACTATAACATTGCCGATAGGATCTATTATTGTCGGCCCTCTAATGGACAAATTTGGACGGAAAACGGTTTGTTTATTATCTTGTATACCTGCGGCAATATCATGGGTTTTATTGATATTTGCTAAATCCTTAAGTTCCATTTATGTGGCTCGAGTTATAGCCGGAATTGCAGCAGGATTAACAACTGTTGGATTGGTTTATATATCAGAACTCTCACATCCGCAAGTCAGACCAATGCTTCTGTGCCTGAATTCGGTGTTTGTTTCATTGGGTATATTAATCACCTGCTGTCTGACAGTACTGGTAGACTGGCGCAAGATGTCTATAATTTTCCTTGCATTAGAGTGTTGCATTTTTATTGCACTTTATTTTGTACCTGAAAGCCCTTACTGGCTTGTATACTTTACAAACGGCATGTTTGACGAAAAACGAATTTGCAAAATGAAATGCAGTTTAAAACGACTTAACAGACGACAAACAGTGAGTACAACAGTAGTTTTGCAATATTTTCCTCTACACACGACAATATTTTCAACAGACAAACGTTTTCTAGATTTATGAGCAAGAATTCTCGCGAATCATGGAGACGTGTGGAAACCAAGCAAATAATGAGAGGTCAAAAGATATAATATCAATGGTAAAAAATTATTATCAACAATTTACGTCCCCGAATGTCTATAAGCCTATAACAATACTTTTTTTTCTTTTTCTGTTGCAACAACTCTCTGGTTGCTACGTGATCATATTTTATGCTTTGGATGTCTTTCATGAAATGGGTGGAACATTTGGCAAGGGATTTGATAAAAACGATGCCTTTATTATGTTAGGTATTATTCGATTTGTTATTAGTATTATTACAGTATTTTGTAGTAAAAAATATGGCAGAAGAGTTCTCTGCATCTTGAGTGGAATTGGAATGACTATCTCCATGTTTCTTGCGGGAATGTATATGTATTTCACAATGTCATACGATGAAAATGGTAATATAGAGGAAACCATGGTAGATCAAAAATGGTTATTATTATTCTTTGTATTATCTTACATCTGCACTAGTACATTTGGATTTCTAAATATACCGTGGACATTGATTGGAGAATTGTTGCCTGTATCTATACGTGGTATCGGTGGGGGTCTCATGGTTTCTCTTGCTTATATAATGATGTTTGCTGTTGTGAAGAACTATCCTGATATTTTAAAATGCATGAACATCGAGGGTATCTTTTTCTCTTTTAGCTTTATGTCCTTAATAGGTACAGCTTTTGTATATTTTTTTCTGCCAGAAACTTTGGGCAAATCTTTTTCCGATATTGAGAAATTTTTCTCACCTAGAAGAGAAAGAGAAAGACACAATGCTATTCCTAGATCTTCCTAAAATTTTTTGGCTTTTACTTTTGGGTATTTTGCATGATATTAATAGGTGATTGATAAGAGACTGTTTACTTAATCCAGTATAAAAAAGGAATAATGTAATATCTAATAAATTCTCAGACAATAAATCTTAACAATAAATTGGAAAAAGACCTAAAAGTAATGTTACATGTAATTGATAGAATAATTTTTACATTTAAAAGTAATGTATATAATTATGCTTTTTTGTAGATAAATATCTTAAATTTTACATAGTTATATTTTTTTACTCCAATGTACACTTTAGCCTAGAATTAAACACAAGTAATACTTATGCATGTTTAAAAATAATGAAAATAATGTGTATTGTTAAAAGCTTACACTTTACAAATTGCTAATTTTACATTTAAATTTTTTAAAAATTAATATTAATATAATTTGATAAATTAATAATATAATTTATTAAATTATATTATTAATTTATTTAATTAATTATAAATTATATTATAATAATAATATATTTAATAAATTAAAAATTTTTATGATATGACGGGAGAATAAGTAATTTTATTTTGTTACGAATTATTACTATTTGCTTATATCTTGCAAAATCGAGATGAAGAGAATGTGCGATAAAAATAAACACGTGCATATATTAAATGTACACACACAGCCGATCGGATTCTTATTGCGGACACTAATACATGTTTAATTTTTAACCTCTTTTTCCCTCTCTCTTTCTCTTTTTATGTCTGTAGTAAGTGCATATCCGGCATACATATCGTAAATATCGAACCATATGTGTCGTTTTTATCATGTTAATACAATACTTTTCCAAGTCTATATATCGACAATTTAATTTTCACCTGTTGCAGATGCATGTACATATACGAGCTGTAAAGGGAATACATATGTAGCCGACAATAATAACATATATATGCAAGTAGTGTTTTACTATAACCTGCATTTTTTGAAATCTGTAATAATTGCAGTAATTAACATATTACTGACTATTGGACATATCGGTTACATGGGGCCATGAATTTTATTCTTGAAAAATTATGTCGGTTTGCCGCAGAACTCTTCTGTTGAGATTGTCACTTTGCACGTTGTATATAATCTGTATTTTTATTATCGCCCGGCAAATATTTCGTGCCAATGACAATTCCAAGAGTTACAAGGATCAGCTGCCATTTCCAAGAGATGATAATAATTCGCAGAGACAAAAAGATGTGGATATCGCATTACAAAGGTTACAGAAGGAAAGGTAAATTTGTCTTCATTTTGTAGATTCTGCATTATGTTTATTATCTATATTATTATTTATTTATTCTACTTATTTTTATTTATTATATTATTTTTATTCTATTTATTCTATCTATTTGTTGTCTGTTATCATGTTATTCACTTATTTTGTACACTTTCTCTTACCAATAAAATAATGTTTTAGGTACGAGGAACAGATATTAAAATTGGAATATAATGTTGTACCTGGACTTGGAGAAAATGGAGAACCCGCTTATCTATATGGAAAGGATAAGTTTCGAGGTGAAGCGGCTTTGAAGAAGAAAGCTTTGAATATTGTTCTTTCAAATAAGATATCATTGACCAGAAAATTACCAGATATACGTAACCCACTGTAAGAATTTAATGTGACACAGCATTTAAAGAGATATTTTTTTATACATATATATGTAACAATATTTTTTTCTCTTTCGTTTTTATAAATATGTATATGGATTTTACATTACAGATGTGCAAATCGTACATATGACAAATTATTACCAAGTGCTAGTGTAATAATTATTTTTTATAACGAACCATGGAGTGTTCTGCTGCGTACGGTACACAGTGTCTTGAAGGGTTCTCCACCACATTTGTTGAAAGAAATTATTTTGGTCGACGATCATAGTGAGGAAGGTATAGAAATTAATATTAGTATATAAATTATTATAATGTGTAAAGAAATTATTTTTTGTTTTATTAATTTGTAGAAGACCTTCAGGGACAACTGAATTATTATCTTTCAACACGTCTACCTGCAAAAGTAAAATTACTGAGATTATCATATAGACAGGGACTGATACGTGCTCGTCTTCATGGAGCTAGGCATGCTAAGGGCGATGTTCTCGTTTTCCTGGATGCACATTGCGAAGTTATCAAAGACTGGTATCAATTTGAACTGGTATTAATTTAACTAGAAAACATACTTCTTCTGTTGTAAATATATCCGACTTTTATATGTTAAATGTAACAATAACTTTACTGTGAACTGAAAAGAGGATTACTGTATATACATTTTAATTTAATACAGGTTACAACCATTGCTACAGCGAATAAAGAATAATAAAAACGCTGTATTAATGCCAATAATTGATAATATTTCCGAGGAGACACTAGAATATTTTCATGAAAATGAATCATCCTTTTTTCAAGTTGGTGGATTTACATGGTCGGGTCATTTCACGTGGATAAATATTCAAAAACACGAGATGAAATCTCGTTCCTCTTTTATATCACCAACTAGGTCTCCTACTATGGCAGGTGGTTTGTTTGCTATTAATAGAAAATATTTTTGGGAAATTGGTAGTTATGATGATAAAATGGATGGTTGGGGAGGTGAAAATCTGGAGATGTCCTTCAGAGTAAGTAAGACTTCTTAAGTATCTCTATAAAATTTAAAATATACTGCAATTACATACATCAAAAATTTAATATTAGTCCTAGGAAGATTATATATATAAATTGATTCGCTTTAATAGATTTGGCAGTGTGGTGGCACATTGGAAATAATTCCTTGTTCTCGAGTCGGTCATATATTTCGCAACTTTCATCCATATAAATTTCCAAATGATAAAGATACTCATGGAATAAATACTGCTCGTTTAGCGTTTGTGTGGATGGATGGATATAAGAGATTATTTTTGCTACATCGAAGTGAGTTTAAGGTAAGATTAGAAATTATTCAAGTAGTTATTTGAATTACATATTTTTATCTTACATAGGTAAATAAAATTCGCAGGATAATCCAAAACTCATTGGCGATATAAGCGAACGTTTGGAGTTGCGTAAAAAGCTTAAATGTAAAAGTTTCAAATGGTATCTCGATAATATTTATCCAGACAAATTTATTCCTGATGAAAATGCAGTGGCATATGGCCGTGTCAGAATGCGCGGTAAACAACTATGCCTAGATAATCTACAACACGAGGAAGATAAACCATACAATTTAGGTTTATACAGTTGTCATACTAAATTATATCCAAGTCAGGTTTGTAAATTTATGTCGATTAAATTAATATTGATTTTAAGACTAAATTTCGCTAAAATTTTTCATTGTATTTGTGCAAATTAGTTTTTCTCGTTGAGCAATTCTGGCGAATTACGAAAGGAAGAGACTTGTGCGATATTAGACGACAATCAAAAGTCATATGCACAAATTCAAATGACTGAGTGCAATAATGAAATCGATGGAAAAGACTGGATATTAACAAATGTACCGTATTGACTTTTTACAATAATAAAAATTATTATGTACACATGAATATCGAGAAAATGATTGAATAATATGCTTTGATTATAGGATGGCAGAATAATACATGTAGAAAGTGGCCTTTGCCTCGATGGTACTGGACTACATAGCGAAGAAAATGTACGAGCGACTAACTGCGCAAATGTACCGGGTCAGTTTTGGAAATTTGATTTTTACAATAATAAAATGTTATCTACATAGTATTTATTATACGTACTCGTCAGTACATACTCTATTAATTGTATATTAATGAATTAAAAGTTTTTACTATTTCTGCTATTTATGTATATTTAATTACTTAATGTATATTAAATTACTCTAGTTCTTGAATTCTAATTTTTATTATGCCTGACTAATTCCGCATTATATTTATTAGTAAAGTCTGTACTCCTGACAGCAATTTCTTCGGACATTATTTCATTCAACATTCTGAACGATACATATGTACCAACAAAAAGTTTCAAATTGCATACACATACAGAAAACCGGAAACGTCCGGAGTTTTCCCGCTAGAAAGACGAAACGTTACATGATTGGTTGTCATTTTTGGAACTCGAAAAATTCTCTATTAGAGAGTCTATAATCCCTAGTACTGGAAGTTCTTAAAGTGACCACATGACTAAATTCAGCCAATCATATTGATCGATGCCCTAAGGTGGAGTCCCATGGAGCGGATTACGCGGAAGCGGAACCAGCGGATCGCCAATCACGGAATCGTTCCGATGGAGCTCATCGATAAATTCTATCGGAACGATTCCGTGATTGGCGATCCGCTGGTTCCGCTTCCGCATAATCCGCTCCATGAGACGCCGGCCTAAGGTATATAAATTCCATCTCGAGGATCTAGGTTGGTTTCCTGCAAGTTGTCAGTTTGAAACATTCAAATAGTGTATGAACAGTTGTTGACAGTTGACTTTGCGTAGAGTACACATTATAGTTTTAACATACTACTAATAACGTTATATTTTGTACATATAACAGTCTGCTATTTAATTTTTAACGATGTATATTAAATCGATGGTACTGGAAGGATTCAAATCCTACGGCAAGAGAATCGAAATAAACGCTTTTGATAAAGAATTCAACGCAATCACAGGATTTAATGGTACTGGAAAATCAAATATTTTGGACGCAATATGTTTCGTTTTAGGCATTACAAATCTCGGTCAAGTAAGTTACAAATATCTTGTTCTTCAGAAATTGTTTTTTTTTTTTTTTTGGAATATTGCACAGTATTCTAACATAGCCTTACTTTTATAATTAATATAGTTGTTTCATACAAAAACTGTATTAATTTTTAAATAATTGTTATAATGCATAAGTTTTATTAAATTAATTACTAATATTAGTTATATACATTAAAAATTATATTACACAAAATTGTTAAGTATATTTAGTATATTACAAATTATTTATTATTATTATTTATTGAGATATATAATTAAGATTTGCTTAAATTACAGGTACGTGCTACTTCTTTACAAGATTTAGTTTATAAATCAGGTCAAGCTGGTGTTAAAAAAGCTAGTGTTACAATAATATTTGATAATCGTGATAGAGAGTCATCTCCTATGGGTTATGAACATTATGAAGAAATTATAATTACAAGACAAGTAATAATTGGTGGTAAAAATAAATACATGATCAATGGCACAAATGCACCAAATAAACGTGTACAGGATTTATTTTGTTCGGTTCAGTTGAATGTGAATAATCCACACTTTCTAATAATGCAAGGTAGAATAACAAAAGTATTGAATATGAAACCAGTAGAAATTTTATCTATGCTCGAAGAAGCAGCTGGAACCAAAATGTATGAGACTAAGAAACAATCTGCACTTATTACTATAGACAAGAAGGATAGCAAATTGAAAGAGATAAATGATGTATGTTGTCAATACAGTTTGACATAGATATATTTGACATTAACATTTATATATCTGTGTTAATAATATTGTTACATCTGTGTTTTAGATCTTGAAAGAAGAAATAGGACCAAGATTAAACAAATTGAAGGAAGAGAGAGCACAATATGTAGAATTTCAGCAGATAGAGAGAGAACTTGAACATAGGAAGAGAATTTATCTTGCATGGAAGTATGTTACTGCTCTAAGTAATAGCCAGAAAACAGAAGAGAATGTCAAGAATGTGCAAAACCAGATAGATTTAAAGTTAAAGAGTATAGCCACTGGTGAAAAAGAAATTAAAGAGAAAGAAGAAAAATATAATGAATTATTGAAGAAAAGAGAATCGGTATAATCTTGTATATTCTTTATTTTATGAAATTCTATATATATTTATATATCACAGAATATAATTATAAAATAATAAAATGTAAACAATTTTGAAAGAGAGACTAAAACATTTCAAACTTGCATTTGTTTTTTAGATTATTAATATTTAATATTTTAATATGCTACTTATTGAAATAATAGTGCTTTATTATTATGCACATAACTTAATATAATTTTTTTAAGAATGATATTGAATTTATCATATTACTTTCAATGCACAATATGTGTGTGAAATAAATATTGTTTTTAATATTTTTAACAGGACAAAAGTGGTATGTTGGAATCCTTAGAGCAAGAGTTACAAGAATATGAAAAGAAGCAATGCAAATTATCAGCCGAAATAAACAGTAATAAAGAAAATATTAAAGCTACAAGGAAAACAATGGATCAAATAAAGATTAACATAGCGGATGATAAAAGTGCACTTATCTCAAAGGAAAAAGAATTAGAGAAAGTTGGGGGACTTTTTCAGACACTAAAGGACAAGGATCAGAAGGATAATGAAGCATTGCGGAAAGCACAAGAAAAATATCAGAAGATCAGTGCTGGTCTATTGGAGAGTGAAGATGGTGAAAGTGCAACATTAGAGCAACAATTAATGAATGCCAAACAAAACATAACGGAAGCGCAAACTGAACTTAAAAAATGTGATATGATGCTAAATCACAACAAGCAACAGTTAAATAAGAAACAAAAAGATATGCACAGTACTGAAAATGAATATAAGAAATATAATTTGGATTTGGAAAAGAAAGAAAAAGAATTAAAAAATTTAGAAAATGAGTTGCAAAAATTAAATTATAGGGATGGTTATTCGGAGGAGTTGAAAAACCAAAGGAATACCTTGATGGGAAAAATAAGACAGTTGCGCGAAAGTGTGGATCAGTTTGAATCTCGATTTCCTCAAACGAGATTTGAATATCGAAATCCTGAATCTAATTTTAATACAAAATCAGTAAAAGGGATTGTGTGCAAATTAATTAGTGTAAAGAATAAAAAAGCTGCATATGCCTTAGAAGTAGCTGCTGGGGGAAAGGTAATATTCTGTAATTGATTTTAATAACAACTATTAAAAATAATTAATTTTTAATGAGAATTTATTTTATAAAAGTATAATTTTTTGTTTCAGCTTTATAATGTAATAGTTGATACAGAAACCACAAGTAAAAAACTTCTCCAAAATGGACAATTACAACAACGAGTTACTATCATACCACTCAATCGAGTTTCTGGTAAATTTATGGATCAACAAACGGTCGCTTTGGCAGAAAGTTTGGTCGGAAAAGAAAATGTTCAACCTGCTTTGACTCTCTTAGATTTTCCAAACGAGATTACACCAGCAATAACCTGGATTTTTGGCCAGATATTTGTATGCAAAGATATGGAAACCGCCAAGAAAGTAGCATTCCATGAAAGAATCATGAAGAAATGCGTTACTTTAGAAGGTGATCTCTTCGATCCAGCTGGTACATTATCCGGCGGTGCTCCAGCGAAATCTGGATCAATTATATTAAAATTAGAAGAATTAAAAGAAATTCAGAATGAGCTCAATAAGAACGAACAGCTCTTGAGAAATGTAGAGACTGCTTTATCAAATGTTGCACAAACTGCAGAAAAACATGCAACATTAAAACAAAAATATGATTTGTTAACTTATGAAATTGATATGATACGACAGAGATTGCAACAAACAAGTCACCATAAAATTAAGGAAGAGGCATGTATCTGAAATTTAATTTTTGGTAATTTGAGTGTATGTATATATATATATATATATATATATATATATATATATATATATATATATATATATTATAGCTTGATTCTTATGTTGACATATTTATAGGTAGAGTCTTTAAATACAACTATTCAAGAGCTTACACAACGGATAATCACAGCAAAAAATTTAGAGAAGGATAGTACAAAACGCGCAAATGACTTGGAAACTCAGTTAAAAGATGCAGTAAACATCCGTGAAAAACAATTAAAAGAAGCTGAAAACCAATTAAACATTTTAAAGAAAAAGGCAGAAAAAAGTAGCAAAGAATGGCAAAATAGAGAGCAAGAGTCGGAAACGCTTGAATTAGAGATAAAAGAGTTGAAAAAGACTATCGAAAGCGGTAATGAACAATTACTTCAAGCGGAAGAAAAAAGTAATTTGTTTGAACAAAAGGGAGAAACTCTTCAGCAAGAATTGGAAGAAACAAAGGGCAAAGTTAAAGAACTGCAAAATAGTGTTAAAGAGCAAAAGAACATTATTAATCAGCAAAACAAAGAAATGCAAGGATTAATAACAAGAAAAGAAGAGATCATTAAGCAGAATAATGAATTGGAATTGGATATTAAAAAATTAAATCATGAAATTAATGATATAAAAAGTGTGCGGCTGATTGTAAACATAAGGTTTTGGAACTTACAAGAAAATATGAATGGATCGAGAAAGAAAAGACTTACTTCGGAAAGGAAGGTATTTCAATAAATATATTACTTTATTAGATGGTTATAAAAAAAACTTGCATATTATAGCTTTATTACATTTATAAATATATACATATACATACTTACATATTTTTTAGGTGGAATATATGATTTTAAAGTCAATAAACCAGATGAAATGGAGCAGAAAGTACAACATTTAGAAGGAATGCGCGAAAAGTTACGTCGTAATATAAATACGCGAGCAATTAATCTTCTTGATAAAGAAGAAGAAGAATATAACGAGACATTAAAAAGAAAAAGAATAGTTGAAAATGACAAGAACAAAATTCTTGAGACAATCAAACATTTAGATGAGAAAAAAAAGCAAACCTTGATTAAAGCTTGGGAGCAGGTATAATTTTTTATTAAGGCAAATTTGTTTTAAAATACACACACACACTCACATATAATAAAAATGATCTTTTTTTAAGTATGATACATTTTCATATATATAATATATAATCATTGTATATACATGAGTTTGAATTTAATATATTATAAACAAACTTGTTTTCTAATTAGATTTATGTATGAATATTATATAAGTGAACAATTTTTGAGATATAATGTATTGATTAATTTTATTTTTTTCAGGTGAACAAAGACTTTGGTTCAATATTTAGTACTTTATTACCAGGAGCCGAAGCTAAATTAGAACCACCGAAAAATGAAACAATAATAGATGGCTTAGAAATAAAAGTTGGATTTTCAGGTGTCTGGAAAGATTCATTAGGGGAATTATCTGGTGGTCAAAGATCTTTAGTTGCTTTGTCATTAGTCTTAGCTATGCTTCTCTACAAACCTGCACCACTTTATATTTTGGATGAAATAGATGCTGCCTTAGATCTCTCACATACAGAAAATATAGGCACAATGTTAAAGAGACATTTTAAACATTCGCAATTTATCATTGTGTCATTGAAGCCTGGTATGTTCAACAATGCTAATGTCTTATTTACGACTAGATTCATTGATGGTATGTCTGCAATAAGCAGGACTGAGAAAAAATCGAAATAATGATATCGTACATTTTTATTTCTGATTAAATCAGTTTTTTTAATTATTTCTATGTTATATTTAAATCTACTTAATCATATTTTACATTTAAAATATAATTTTTATGTATAAATCAATTTCTCTATATAATAAATACATATTCAACATTCTATTAACAATTATGCGAAATTTAGTAACTGTAATGATATAAGCATTACATTTGAGAATTGACTATATTGGACCAATCAGTTTCTGCGAAAAATGGATGATGCTTAATTTCATCTACTGTCAATCGTTCATCCGGATGATATTTCAGTATCTGCAATCATAACATCATAGATTTATTTAATTATAGAAAACTAAATAATTTGTCACTTTTATCTTATAAACAAACTTACGCCACATAATAAAGATCTTGCATTTTCTGATAGATTGTTAGGAATGTTAACTGTGGAATGTGAGTGAAATAATCCTGGATGTTTTATGATAAACGTCTGTTGAAATAAAAAAGAACGTTAAACTTCATTAGTATCAAAAATAATCTCATAATTAAAAATGCCCAATTTTTACGTACAATGCCAGTAAGTAATTCATACAAAATAATTCCAAAGCTCCACACATCCGTAGCGGACGTAACGAGATTAGTCGGAGAGTACATGATTGATTCGGGAGATGAATATGGATAAGTTAGCTTCGACAGTTCCATATTTCGCTGGGGTATGATGTAAGTGAGTCGCACATGACCCGCATCATCGAGAAGAATATTATCAGGCTTAAAATCTAGAATCAAGACATTCTGTTGATGAAGTGTCTCCAACGCTGAAAGTATCTCAGCCGCCCACGATCGAATTACAGCTTCAGGTATTTGCCAGAGTATCTTCTCTTCATCCAGGGTATTTTCTTTATACGAGTGCGAATATTGCATTTCATCAATACTGCAGTTAACGTTCGACGAATTTATCCGATCGATCGTATCTTTAATATTATTATTCTTACAGATGTATATCGCGTTGACAGTCTTCGAAGTAGAGTTGTAGAATGAATCATTGACTTTATTTTCGAATAAATTACGAATTGTGCAATCATCTTTATTTGATACGGACTCGCAAATATTGTTTATCGATAAAGAATTCGTGCCCTTCGAATCTTTGTCTTCTGCGAAACCGTTCTTGATAGCAATGTCATTATTCTTAATACTATTTGGTGACTTATTGCAATAAATATCAGATAATGTACAGTCTGCTTCTTGATATACTCGAGTTTTTATGTTTGTTGATAGCGTATCTTTCGAATGTTTCAATTCTTTAGATTCATTTAACCGATTTGCGATGGAATTGCTTTTTCTCAACGTCGCGTTAACAGACTGCAACAACTTTTGCGAATTTTCCAGCAATTGTATAGTAGGTACCTCCATGTAGATCGCATTTTGGACAGGGTATTGATGATCCTTTCTTCTTTTATTATTTTCTACAACCTCTTCTGTTTTATTCAGTTCGTCATTATTTTCATTGCTATCGAGATTCTGATTAATTTCATTTGTACATACGCGATTTGAAATTATATCAGTATACAAATGGTCCGATGCTTCGTAATGTAGTCTTATAAAGTCCCATAGTTTTCCACAGCTGTAACATAGAAAACCTACATTAGTAAACAATACTGTAGGAATAATTACAAGTGAAAGTATACCTTGCGTATTGCAGGATCAGAAATACAGTTGTCTCAGTTTCAACACATCCATATAAGTGTACCATACATGGTATCTGTCCACGTAATACGTAATTACTTATATTATCCTCATGAACAGAAGATCTTTCTATGGTCTAAAAAATTATCTCAAATTACTTTATAGAATTAAAAGTTTTCCAGAGATACTATCTACTACAATCATATTTGATATTCATGAGGAATGATAATTAACATTTAACGCCTTTTATTTCTGTTATAATTGAAATTGAAATATATATCCAATAAGATCTCTTACTTTTATTATTCTGTTACAATTTGCACGGATATCCATCACGAGCATCACCGACTTCATTACTTTAAGTACTTTATAATATTGAAGCTCTGATATGGGTTTGCTTACTACTGAGATATTACAATTTAAATGTCTGTTATATAATTGTTCAGCTCGTGCTAAATATTTAGATATTTTGTCCTTTATACTCGATACCCTTGCGGTATCCGGATCAAACTGTACGCCATTAATAAGACATGATATTCCAAGTTTGTACTGTGTGAAAGCTTCCTCGTACTCTGTTATAGATTCGTGCTTGAAAGCAGCGCTCATATGAGCCGCGGCTACTAAAAGATATTGCGTAAAATCCGCCTGCGTCTGATATGAAGTATTTGCTCTCTCCTGTGATATTACCGAACTCGTATTACAATTCAATAGATCCTTATTATTGTTAACATTGTCGAATTCTGATGCATTGCTTAACGCTGCTCTATTGTTTTCGCCAAAGTTCTTATTCCTAATATCTGCATTGCAATTTCTGGCAATGCTGCTCTGCGACTTTTCTGTCTTATAACTTTGTTCTTCCTTTTTAACATTTGCAATCTGTAAATTATTGGTAGTGTTGCGAGATTCGTTCTCGTTCGTATAAATATTTGGCAATGCGCAACGCGGATTTGTCGAGACATTGTGAGATATTTTCACTTGAAGAGTATTATTTTGTGCCGCAGTGTCATTTGCGAATGCAGAATCATTCAAAGGTGCGATGAGATCATCCTCCGATGTGTCGGAGCATAAGGAATGTGCGCAATAACTCGCATAATTATCTGCATGACTAGTTTCAAAGAATGTTATAAAAGTGTCGCTCGAGTATAAGTACGAATATCGTCCTACAAACTCCAAAAACTTTAGAGCGTATTTCTTCCTCTCTTCTACAACCTCGGCCTCGAACCTACCGAAGTATTTCGACTTGGGAAGAGTCGGAAAGGCCTCCTTTATTCCTAAACGCTTGTGCAAATTACTGAGCTCCAAGTGAAGTTTTTTGAAATCATTGTAACGTTTCCATACAGATACCTTTGACAGTTCCTCATGAGAGGATTTCAGAAATACCTATAAAATATTACAACTTTATATTATCAAGAGCTAGGAAACGAAACGTATAATAGTATAAAAAACATAGTATTCTAAAATATACATTTGTCGTACCATAGAAGTAACTTTATAAATTGTGAAGCCTTTTTTATGCCGCCTTGTTTCAGTAATTATAAAACGTCTAATCCATTTATCCTTTACAGGTGCCATTACTTAATTTACATACTATGATCGATAAAATTTCTCATTACTTTAATAATATCGAGATTTCTCATCTGCTGTAAGTACGTAACATGCACACACACAAACGAATGTAAAATCATTTTTCATTCAGTTTGTTTCATTACACCTTTTATAAGATTGCACGTGTAGAATCGACAATACTTCTATTCACGCGCCTAAAAGGCACATTATTTTACACTCGTTCGCATTTTCATATAAATTAATGGAACGACATTTAAGTAACTATTCTAATAAAAGTCAGAGCCACGCAAAAAATGACAGAATACATGATGAGAACTGTCACTTTTTTCCATAGAACAAAAACAGAACTAGAAGGGAATGTTTATTAATAATATTTGCATGGCAACAATCGAGAGTTATCTATCGAGTTTTATCGATTCTTCTCTCTATATCGATCGCGACCGTCTGAAATAATTGGAAGAAAGAGTCGCCCATCTTACATATACATCTGTAACGTGAATCAAAGCTCCATTCCGAATCCGAATTCCAGACGTCTCAAATAAGCTATCTCGAAAAATTGAAAAGGAAACTGAAACTGAAACGGCATGACTGACGACGTTGATGACCAAAATAAAGTCAACCAGAGTTATCACTTTAAATGGGACGATTATCAGAATCACCTGTCCGATGTCGTACGGCAGCTCCTGGAGGAGGATTGCATGATAGACGTCACCCTCTCCGCGGCTGGTCAACGTATACATGCGCATCGCATCGTACTGTGTGCATGCAGCACTTTGTTTCAAGTAAACAAATTTTGTCTTCTGTAGAATTAATTAATAGACATGATAATTCACTTAAACACATTAAAAAAAAATGCTTTATTTCAATGTCTTGCAAAAATTAAATTTTTCCCTCAAATTTCTTACATTGCTTCATATATGTCCATATATTATATGTCTATATATTATATTATATAAAAATAATTGTATAACAATATATTGACAATATTAATATGTACAATAATTATTGTAATCATCAAGTATTGTATAATTTACAGGAAGTTCTTAGTCAAGTGACAGAAGATTGTCCAACGATTATTCTGAGCGATATATCTCCTCAAGATATCAAATCAATTATTGAATTCATTTATCACGGTGAGGTTCGAATTCCTGTGGATAATATTAATAGTTTACTGGAGGCTGCACAGTCCTTAAAGATAAGCGGTCTTGTCGATGTGAGTATAAAATTATTTACTATTTTTAATTAAAGTATCCTGCAAGCTATTTTAAATTTTATTTGATAAAACTTATAGTATGCATAGTATTATTAAAAATTTATAAAAACGTTGCACAATATTTTCAACAGATAAATGGATTTGAAGAAAAATCTAATAAAAGTACAACAGATTCTACAGAAGAAATTGTGGAAGAAATAGATCAAATTGAAGAAAATGCTGAAGAAAATGTTGAATATTTAGAGGATGATTTGCTTGAAGAAAGTACTATTGAAAATTGTACTTCAAATAAAAAGAAGAAACGTCGCCGCGAGACTGCAAAGAGAGATTACAGCGATGACATGTTGGCTTCTGCAATTAATGATTTAAAATTAGGACAGACTTTAATAGAAGCTGCTACCAAGCACAATATACCACGCTCGACATTATATATGCGGGCAAAAGCATTAGGCATACATTTAAATGCATCGAGAAACGGATATCCTGAAGAATGTATGAATGCAGCAATAACTTCTGTAATCAGTTAGTGTCTCTTTTATTTAAAATTTCGATTTTTATATTAGATATATTACATACAGTTACATATGTGTCATTAATTAATAAATTAATTATACTTTTGTTATTATAGGCGGTGCAAGCTTACAACATGCATCAGAAATGTTTAGAATTCCTAAAACTGTGTTATGGAGACGTATACAAAAAGAGGGTTATCAGATCTTACGTCCTGAAACAAAAAGATCGTATGCTTTAGATACACGAGAGGCTGCTGTTAAAGCTTTAGAAAGAGGAGAGAATCTGACAAAAGTTGCATTAGAATTTAAAGTAAATTTTGTTTTTTTATAAATTATTTTCTTTTTTATTGTAGAGTTTTTTATCTCTTATTGATAATAATTAATCAAATTTAATTTAACAGATACCAAAGACTACATTGTTTAGGGACAAAGCACGACTGGTAGATCAAGGTAAATTGCCTTTGTCATTTTGGAAGAAACGCAAAACAGAAAATGAGGAATTGAAAAAATCACGATTAGAAGAGGCTGTGGCTGCTTGCAAGGGTGGTAAAATGTCGCAAGCTGCAGCGTCTATGACATATCGTATTCCCAAAACTACAATATGGCGAAGGCTTCAGCAAGAAGGAAAAAAGGTGGGAAAACTGTCGAATATAAAAAAGCGACAACATCTGATTGATACATCAGAGCAGGATAATGAAATAAAAATACAGGAAGGCTCCAGTTTTAGCTTTTGTGAGGTATTGTATCTATTGCAAATTGCAAAATTAATTAAGCTAAAATTGATGATACCTTGCTTGCTAATGGAATACATATCATCTGTATAGATTTCTTCGGAAATACCTGTAACTATTGACGAGAATAATATACCTGAAGATTCTATAATAATTTTAACAACAGAGGAAATGGAGGAATTGAATTTTCAAGAAGGAAGACAAATCATTGTAAATGCAGTATGTAAAATACTATTTAAATTAATAATGATTATGCCAATTAAAATAGCAAATTCTCATCTTTATTGCTATAATTTATTTTATTTTTCCAGGAATCTGGGCAGGAATATATTCCATGTACAATAAGTATTGAAGATAGCTCAAATTATTCAGAAAGTGAAAGTTAATATTAAAAATGTAGACAAGTTAATTATTAATTTAAGCATGTATATATATATAGTTGTTATATATATGATGTAATACTTAAAAAAATGTATTATATTAATATTAATGCTATATTTTATCACTATGTATAAAATTTTTTCTGTATATAGATGAACATGATATAATGCAAACAAATAGCTTAATGCATCCCAACAAAAGAGAAAAATTGTCCGTATTTTTCTTATTTTTATTCTTATTTATATGATATCAATTAAATAATATAATTCAAAATTCATGCCTATGAAAAAATAAATGTATATATATATATATATATATATATATATATATATATATATATAATATGTATAATATATATCCAAAACATTTTTAAAATACCTATTTAATGAATAAATATTTTTTAATATAAATATACATTTATTTTTGTATACATTTAAAAAAAAAATTATTAATATACATTTTTTTTATTCTTCTAAATTGAAGTTAGATCCACACACAAACAGAAGGAGGATCGATAGAAAATTACGAGTATCGATATCGTGTAATTTAAATTCTGTAATCGCATTTTACATAAATAAAAAAAAATGGACTGTATCCTTTCATGGAAACAGAGCGAGAGAGAAGTTCAGTTCAGTTCTTCTTTTATGACAAAGAGCAATAAACAGAGAGAAACAGGGCGCCTGTCGAATCGGGACGGGAGCGTACTACAGGTCCCGATTGGACACCCGATGGGTCGTTGGTCCTTGGTATCGATTCTATAACTTTTTCTAAAGTGAAAACGTGAAAAGTAAAAAATTTCCACTAATCACGCATTGATTTTAAAATAAAATCGATGTGCGATTGACGGAAATTTTTCACTTTTAACATTTTTACTTTAGAAAAAGTTACAGAATCGATACCCTTGTCTGACTCAGCTGTCCGGTTCTCAACTTGGTTCTTATTTGAATAGTTCGGACATGAACCATATCACGGAATCGAACCATTTACCGTGCTGTTTATCGAGTTTCACGACGTAGTTCACGTCTACTTTCTCTGGGGGCGTTAGTACACGCATCCACTCATCGTTTCTCTCTGGCAATAAATGACGAGATAGAAGGAAAAAAATATAAATTTTATTCCAAAAGGGATATTCCACACGTTATATGTCAGTCTGACGCGTATTGCGCAAGTCATACGCATTCGATGCACAGGTGCGCGCGCGCAAAGCGCGACGCATCCTTCGCTCATAGTCGTAATTGCGCGTATCATACGAGCGGACACGCGGGTGCAGAGAACAGCCACATTGCACTGCGCCACGAAGAGGAGTGGGAGAGGGAGAAAGGAAAAGAAGAGAGAGAGAAAGTGAGTCCTCCTACAAAAAGCGTGTTTGCTAGAAAGGGAAGAGGTCCCGTGTGCCATCCCGGAGAAGCGGGATACGCCAGGATCAGCCAGAATTTTTACTCGGTCTCCGCACTCGCGAGCGACCGCGACCTGCCCCGGTTGGGAACGCCAAGCGGGAAAAATTGCGTACATCTCGCGGGAGGACATGCCGGACAGCGGGGCCGTCTACCAGCCGACGACGGTGGGCTACACGTATGACAGCGGCGGTGACGGCACCGGTGGCGGCGGGGGCGGCGGGCTGATGAGGCACGGCTTCTGGCGCATCATGTCCAGGCACAAGCTTAGCTCCAGGAAGTGGCTCGAGTGGATGCTGCTCTCGGTCGCTCTCTGCTTCTTCGTCGCCGGCCTCACGACGATGCTCATCAACCTCGTCGCTGCGAACAGCTCCTCGCAAACGAATCCCGTGCAGGAGGTAAACGTCGCGACATCATTTTGTCATTGCATCTTGCAATCTATTCACATTTATTAGGATTTCTTTGCTATTTACTATCTCGTCTCATTTTTGTATCTGACAATATATTTCAATTTTTAATTTATTATTTAATTATATTTATATATATATATATATATATATATATAAAATATATTATATAATTTATTATTTAGTTTTTTAATTTATTTACTTTATTGAATATTTTAATTTTTTGTTTTATGTGATCAGACAAATTATCTGATACAATCAAACATAAATTCCAAGGAAATCATAATAAATTCCAGTGAAGTGCAGAATGAAAGATCACGATATGATCATAAGTTGTTTACATTCATAGATTTATGCATGTATTTGAATATAAATAGTGGTATAAATAGTTTGAGTATAATTGAAGCATTATATAAAAATATTTGGGTCATTTTGCCACTGCATTTTGCAATCTATTGGAATTTATTATAATTTCTTTGGTGTTTATTATCTCGTTTAATTGTATCAGGCAATATTTTAATTTTTCTTATGTCTTATAAATGATCTGATACGATCAAACATAAATTCCAAGGAAATCATAATAAATTCCAATAAGTTATGAAACAAAAGATCATGATCTGATCATAATTTGTCTACGTTCATAGATTTGTGCATGTATTTGAATATAAATAATGATATAAATAATTTGAGTCTAATTGTAACAATTATATAAAAATATTTGAGTATAAATAGTGGTATAACTAAATTGAATTTTACAGGTAAAGCCAGGAGGACATGTAACAAATGTACATCAACCAGTGGAGGATGCGGGAAATGGTTCCGTAGGATTGGGTGCAGGAATGATGCTGGTCGGGGTGCTCCTCGGTTTAATTTTGGTATGGCTCACTTTCTTCCGCCGTAACAAATCGCCGAGGAACGCCATGACGGGCAGCAGTGGTCAGGTAAGCGAACAAAGTTCAAAGTTCCGAATATATATTTTATGTACGTCTATAATTTTGTATCTTAAAAATCGGAAATCATCCGCTTCTGCGGTTCCACGTTTTTTTGTACGACTCTTCGTTTCTTTGTACGTTATCTTATGTACGCGTTGCTATGAGGAAAGATGTTGGGCGGTTTGAATCCATCGACTGACTTGCTGGTGGGTTCCACTTCGCAGTACGGGCCAGTACTCACAGAGGTGCCGAGTCAGATGAAGATGAAGCAAGCCGGCTCGCACGACGCGCCGTCAGTGCCGCTTTCCGATCAAGAGGAGGAAACGCACACGCTAATGCAGGATTCAGCGAGTCCGCCGTCCGTATCCGTTGGATCTAGCACCATTGCTAATCAGATTCAAGGTTGAGTAGAGCGATCGGTCGTTTTCGCGCGCAAAATTAGCGCGAATTTCTTTCTTCGATTGTATGATAAATCTTAATCGCGTTCCCGAATGAGTTTATTATAACTTTAGCGATTTTGTGCAAATCGCCTCGTTTTATTTACCATCGGGTGTCGTCTCTCTGTCTTTCTGACGTCTTTTCGAGTCGTTGACACCGATCTTGTGATTTTTTTATAATTTTATGCCATTTGAAAAACATATTTCTTCGTATTTTTAATTTGCCCGAATTTTACTTACATTTTGTAGCATAGAAATTCTTATTTGAATAGGCACATGCGCGCGATTTAAAAGATCTCATTTATAGGGTATTTAGAGTATTTGGTACTTAATCCTCTCTGTTTTTTGCCTACACATTCCTCCACTCCGTCCACTACCATCATTAATATGTTAAGTGGGCATTGGATCCAGATAGAAAAAAAAATACGCGATGCACGAATTGTATTGTGAAACTGTTGCATTATGACTGTTTTTTCGTGAGATTGATGATTTTAACGATAATTTTTATATCGAAAGCACACATTTTAAACTTACTATATGTATAAAATATATTTCTTTTTAACTTACATTTATATATTATTAAAAGCAAATATAGTTATTAACTCTATATTCTATATACATATATTTTGGGTAAATTTGCACTTCAATTATTATGCCTTGATTTGACGCGCTTGTAATTATACACATAACATATATTTAAGTATTAAATTAAGTAACAGTAACAGCAATCATCATTGACAATATATACTGTAAATTAAACATCACACATTGGTATATATACATTAAGTCAATAATTGTTACTGTATTTAATACATATACAAAACGATTATGTACATATTAGTATAGTGTGTATAAAAAGTAAGATATGGACTGCAACCTTAAAAGATGGTTGATTTAAAATATGCTGTAATGCACAATTTCTCTATTATTTGCATTTGTTTTGTGTTTAATTTATATTCTATGTATAATTTTATATCGCACATAATTTTATTGCAAAATGATCTTGTACAATGGATATATTCACTTTAATGGAATATGTATTGCACTAATGAATTTTATGTTTATTTTATCAAATTAATTTTAATTGATCTCATATACAAATATAATATAAAATTTAGTGTTCATCTCCTGCCAGATATTTAACAGGTCATATAAAGTTATTATTTATTTGGATGTGGTATATATATAAATATTGTATAAAGCTGATTTAATATAATTTTTATACAGCTGCTGTTTTTACTAAAACTATGTGTTCGGTTTTATATGTGAAAAAGGATTTTTGAGAAAATCAAAAAGGATGGCCTGTAATGCTTGTCTGAATTCAATGCTATTATAGATCAAGCACGTATATAACACCTTAATTTTTTAAACATTTGTATGAGATCCCTATTATACTTGTGTTCTTGAGCCGTATATATATTAATTTATGTAAATTTCCTGGGATAATATATGTATAAGACAAATAAAAATTTCAAAATATCATTTACACAGCTTACTTTCTGTACTTTAAAAATAATTATTTATATGGTGTATAATGTAAGATATATTTTTTAAGTTTCTTTCATAAGATATAAGTAATTAAAAATTAAATATATTTAAATAAATTTATTTTATGTGATGAATGTCCTGATTTTGAAATAATAAAATTATTTTATTTTAATTTTCAACAATTTATGATTTGAATGAAGAACACTCTTGTAAATATATCTAATCTTTTATAAAATAATTGATGCTTTTTGTATTAATCTTATCTCTAAAATTTGGATAAAGGTTGATTTCAGTACGATCAATATTATTAATACAGAATTTAGTAAGGACTGAAGAAATATCCAATAGTAAAAATTAGATAGAAAAATAATATAAATATTTCAAAATACTGCTCTAACAGAATTACATCGTATAATATCGTTCGATATAGATAAATATTTTATATTTGATAAAAATTAAGCCAGATACGCGCGCGTGTTCTCGATTGCACGAAGTTACGCGTTTGACATTTCTATCAGCTGTCACATTCAATATGGCCGCCCGCGAGACGCGTTTTCTACCGAATTATTGGAGAACCGCCTACGTTGGAACATAATGTGAAGCCGGTAAACGTGTTCGAAGGATTCTAACAATAAGTTGTAAATCGGGAGAATATATTTTAGCCTCGCAATGGCCGACAACGGTGAAGTGCTGGAGGGATTTATATGCCCCATATGCATGACCGATTTCAAGGCACCCAATCACTTGACCAAACATTTCGAGGAAGTTCACAATGATGATCCTGAAATTTTAAAATCGTTGAAAGGTACATGGCTCGTTTCTTTTTTTCTTATTATTTTGTAAAAGAAGACGGCTCAGAGTTTCAGAATCCAGCCACTATGTGTTTATAAGCCTACAAAATATATACAAAAAAATGAATATAGAGCTTGCATGTTGTAGATTTGTTTGGCAAAGCCAAGAAAAAGATTTTAAAACAGGATGATATACCAGAAACGTTTGAAAGCGCAATTCCACAGGACAAGAGAAGAAGTCCTGAAATTAACTGGGGACCACAAGAAATAGGTATAAATATTTTGTATTCTATGTAAATGTAAATCAACACAAAATCCTTTTACATAGTTGTCTTTGTTATTAGTATTAATACATCTTTGTTAGTAGCCTCGTTAGTATCAAATTTAGCTTTTTAATTTCTCAATTAAAATCAGCATACAAAACATTAATGCTTGCAATTACAATAAATATTGACTTGTATTGGATCATGTGACTAATTTTTAAAAATTGTTTCAGGTGCAATAACAACTCACACAAAGTACTTTAAAGACATAAGAAACGCTCGACTAGAGAGATATGCTTATGAAACAAATAAACTTCTTATAAGGCTAGATAAATTATTAAATCATTTACCATCAGATCCTGTCGATAGAAAAGGTAAGAAAGTACACAAAAGAACACAATTAATTGTTTATTTATTAATATATCCATAATATTTCATCTTATGTAATCATATGTCATGATGGAAATATAAAAATTATGCAGTTCATGAACGTACTATTGTGCCATGGATTGATGAGAAAGATGTGAAATTATGCCCCAATTGTGCTAAAAGTTTTCATTTAGCAAGGCGAAAACATCATTGCAGATTGTGTGGGGCAGTTATGTGCCATAATTGTACAGTATTTCTTTCCTTAAATGACGCACGTATGTAATACATATAATATTTAACAATACAGACAAATTTTTGAAGTTACATTTGACGAAAATAGTTCTCTTCTTTTTACTTTTACAGGAAGAATGACTAGTCCTGTGTCTGTACAAGACGATTCTGCTCTGTCTTCTACGTCGCAACGAACATTCCCTCAAAGAACAATACGTTCACGTATTGGTTTCACAAAGTTGGCACGCTCACCTTCCAATGGCAGCTTGAACAGTGTTTTATCATTAGTCAATGATCCAGGCCATGAGCAACATTTTAGAGTTTGTACTCACTGTATAAATTTACTGGATGCAAGAGAAATGCAAAAGGCGAAACAATTTGACAAACCAATCGTTTGTGAATTTTATGAGAAAATGCGGGGATACATGAGCGAAGCCTCGCAACATTTAGCAATGTACAACAAAATGTGGGAATCGTTACAGTATGTGAATTTCTCTATATTATGTTTGAATCACATTAATCTATATTAAATGCATGATTTATAATAAAATATAAAAAGGATATAAAAAGGATTTAATTAATGTGCAAAAATTATCAGTTATATAAAACTTGTATCACACATACATATGCAAAAATCTTAATATATCAGAAATTCATTGAATTCTCTAAAACTATTTTAGAGAAGGAGAGACTACGTACGATTTGGAGGATGCTCAATCATTGCGAGTCAAATTGGCAAAGTTAGGAGAAAATATAGATGCAACCAGCAAAAGAATTCTTATCCTCGGCGTGAAGAAAAATACGGAAGACTCGCAAGAGATACAGGGACAAGAATTGCGTCTATATCAGATGGTTAGAACATCAGCAATGATATTTTTAAAAGAAGAGTTATTAACTCTGCAGCCTTTGGCTTCAATAGAAGAATATGCAATTTTACAAGAGGAACGTCAAAAAAGAATAGAAGCCCGAATAGCGTACGAACGACAATTGGAAGAAGAGCAACGAGAGAAGTTAAAAGAACAGCGCAAGAGAGATACAAGGAATTTAGATAGCAATCCTTCTGTGAAAATCAGCCAGGTATATAATATTCACTAACAAAGTGTATAACAGAATTAATAATTGAATTTTAAAACATGCGAAGTCGTAATATTTAATATCTTATTTGTTTTTTTTATATATGTTGTGATTTAAAACTCCTCATGTATATTATAATGTATACATGTTTTATAATTAATATTTTTCAAGATAAAAGAGATGTACAATTTTTTGAATTGTTTCTTTAAAAAAGAAAGAATTTACATGATCCAAATTGACTGTTTAATTGATGATATTTTATACTGATATTTAACAAATTTTTTTAGGCACCGACGATCGTGACTCAGTCTCAAGGCTGGGGTCCGTCCAATGTCACAACCATTATGTCTTCCTCCATGGATCCAATAATTGAACAAATGAGCAATCTTCGTGCATACATCAAACAAGCCCGCACCGATTGCAAATATGACGAGGTTGCGACACTAGAAAGCAATCTTCGAGAACTACAAAGTGCCTACTTTGCTATGAAACAGAGCAATAGCAGCGATGGATAAATATACAAGCAGCATGCTGCTTACATCTTAGCACAGTGTTGAACTCCTCTCTATATAATAAAGTGTATTTCTTATTAATTTAATAAATCTTCTTGTATTACATGTAAAATCTTCGTATATATTGTAAAATAAGTTATATACACATATATAAATGAAATATATGAAATATACATTGAGATAGTTTAAATGATTCAATGAATCATAAAAGTCACAAACTACCATTTTTTGTATTTTACAGATTAAATTTTAATATTTATTCGTTATTTTTGTATTTTTCTCAGATTTGTTTATAAAATGATTAAATCATGAAAAATCTCTTGGTTAAATATTTTTATATTTTTATTACAAGAATATTTTTGTTATAAAGATACCATGAGTTAATTTTTGTGAATAATATTCAATATAAAAATAACAAAATTAACTTGTTACTTTTTTTATTGATACAAAAAGTACAATTTATTTAAGTGGAATAAATCTCGAAGAATGTGTAGCACCAATACCAGGCCTACCATGTTTAACAGGTTTGTATGTAACAGAGAATTCTCCAAGATAATGACCAATCATTTCTGGTTTGATTTCAACTTGATTGAAGGTTTTGCCATTGTACACACCAACAATCGAACCGACCATTTCTGGAACGATGATCATATTACGCAAATGAGTCTTGACAATTTCAGGTTTCTCATTAGGTGGTGTTTCTTTCTTCGCCTTGCGCAGTTTTTTGACAAGTGCCATAGATTTCCTCTTCAAACCATGAGAGAAGCGTCTACGTGCTCTTGCATGCATCAAATCCATCAACTGCTCACTGGAAAATGATTAATCATTAAATCATTCCTTTTTTGATTTACTGATTCAATTTTGAAAATATAAGTCACAGATATTGTAAATTAAATAAATCTTATTTATCTTAAATTTTTATAAGAAATACGTAAAATTTATAGATTGTAATACTGTGTAAAGTTAAATTAATTAAAGCTGAAAATTGATAGATAGGTTATGTTTAAAGAAATTTCAGTGAAGCTCACTTTGGCATATCCAGCAGTTGATCGAGGTCCACCCCCCGGAAGGTGAACTTCCTGAAGGTCCTCTTCTTCTTCTGAGTTTCATCTGCCTGTGAAAGGTAAACAGAAAACAAAAGTTAAATATTCACATACATCAAAGAGGACCTGACATATATAAATATCTTATTGTACATTAATATTGTTTTACTAACATAAATTAATAACTAAATAAAATGTACGACTAATGCAATTTAGTTTGACATAATAGATGCTCCAGATTTTCGTAGATTACATATTGAATTTCGGAAATTTACCTCTGCCATGTTTTCACGTTTTTAGCGTTCTACGGAAAGAACTAAATCAATGAAAGGTGGAAGCAATATAGAAACGCAGTAAAACTGAAACGCGCATGCGCGAAAAGAATTGACCAAACGAAATTGGATGGAAACCAATGAGGATTAGCTTGAAGGATTAGCTTGAGTCATACATTATGAGCGGACACAAGAAAGTTATCTATTCTTTAAAAATGAATTCAAATACATATATGTATTCATCTTGAATAAATTTTTATTTTTTTTAGTTAATTAAAACTTAATTAAGCTTATCTGTATAGGATTTGCATATATGTTTAGTATATAATTTTACGCATAATCGATTTTCTTGAATAGATAATTTATACAGATATAATACGATCACACAATGATACTTTTCTAATTTTTAAAAATTTTTATCCAATGAATCAAAATTAAAGAAAAAAGATATTCTTTAAAATATAAAATAAAAATATAAATCCATGTTAAATGTATGCCTTCATATAACATAAAATATTGCCACATTAAAAAAAAAACAGTTTACAAATTACATTTCAAGATCTAATCACGCACAATTTTTTAATGTACACAGTTTATATCAGCAACAATCACATTTATTTATTAGCCAATTAAATATTAAAATTAAAAGATAAGAATAAGAAGTTAAGAATTAAATGCTACATTACCTTATTTACAATTTATCATAATTTGGAGTATATGCAATATTAATGAGAATATACAGTAGAATGTACGTTTATGAGTATAATAAACTATTTCCACTCCAACACCAAATTTCTAATGCGTACATGTTGCTAAAGTAGTATTCTTTTCCAATAAATTCGATTTATTGTCTATATTTAGCCGTCTCACCACTACTCTAGCACCTTCTGTAATGTCATGAATAAATTTTAACATTTCTATGCGCATTTTACCATTTTTAATATTGTTGGGATTATTCAAAGATCTTTGTCGTTGCCTAAGACACCTTTGTCGAATGGCATTGTCTTTATGTGAATGCAGCAAGTCATAGTAAAAATCCTCTGTAATGTCTTGCAATTTTCTTGGCGAACCGTTCTTCGATGATGAACTTCTTTGTGAAGTGCAATGACTTTCATTAATTTGTTCTTTTGTATTCCTCATACATATATCTTTATTAATCTCTTGTGCATCTTTATCGATTGTTTCACAAGATTCATCGTTGTAGTTTTTTATTTCTTTAGAATCAAATGTAAATTCGATAGATGAGTTATTCGTTATATTAGAATTTATATTGTTATCCACATATGAGATAGTTGCTTCAGAAGTTGCCTTCTCTGTCAATGTTGTATCATGCATTTTTCCTTCATACTGTAATGTCTCTCTATTGGACATCGAAGAAAGTTTATGCGTTTTATGTAAAACCTTCTGTAGAGCCAGTGGCATTTGTTCGATGGTAACAGCCTTATCTGAAACTATTTTTGGACCATTTGTCTTTGTTAAAACAGACTCCTCAGAAATTGTAGAACTTTCCTTTTTTGTAAATATTTTCTTTGGACTTGATAAAGAGCATGATAATGTATTATTTGAATTGTAAAATTTTTTTGCAGGCATTTCATGCCTGCTTGTCTCTTCAACATCTGTATTGTTCATCAATAAATCTTTTTTTGTATCCTGTATATTTTGCGATCCTGCATTCTCTTCCTTAGAAAATAATACAGGAAAAACTTTGAGAACATCCTTTCTTTTTTCTCTTTCCATTTCAATGTCATCTCCATCCTTTCTATCGCGCTTATTATCATTATCTTGTTGTTTCATTAATTGCTCGCTTCCTTCTGGCATCATTTTTTTTGCCGAACAATCGCTGTTGTCAATACTAGAAGAAATGCGTTTACGCGTCCATCGCGCGCATGGATATAAAGGTTTTATATCAGCTCTGTGCTTGTCATAACTTGTAGGAATATTTAATTTATCTATATTATTAACATCTAAATTATGTACAGTATCGCTAGGAAAAATATTTAACGGTGACAAACACATGTTATCGCAAATTGAATGACAAGTAGTTTTATGTTGCTGGTCTTTATGCGGTGAGTCGATCATTGTTACCAAGTTTTCGAGTCTTAGTAAGCTTGAATTTAATAAACACTTCTCTCCAGCTTTTGTCTCGACTTTTTCAGAATTCTCTAATACTTCATCTATTTCCAGCTTGGTTTTTTGTTCAATGACAGCTACACTATCCTGATCTTGTCGTATAGTGAACATTAATCCTTCCATTACTAAATCGGTAATATTGGATGAACGCAAAATCTTATCCTCGGATACGATTTTTCTCTCGGATTCCCTGCTTTTTTGTTTACGAGCTTTGCAAGATTTATTATATTGATCTGGTAGATTATCAGGGTTTACAATAGTCTCACTGATTGCCTTTCCATTGTCATCAAAATGATCTTTATCATTTAAAGAACAAATATTTTTCTCCGTTGAATTTTCATAAAAACCAAATCCACTCGATAATGTCCATTTATCAACATCATCTTTTATCCTGTTTATTCCTGTTAGAGACGATTTAAGTGAAGAAAATATTTTATATTTCCGAATATTTTGTATCTCTTGAGTTGATTTTTTTCTTGCTATTGATTTCGTTTCTTGATTTATATCATCTATCTTTGTCACAGCAATTTTATCCATCTTCTTTGTTTCTATTATGGATTGTTCTTGTACGTGATCAATAGGATGTTGATCCATATTTCTTTCACATTCTTTAATATTACAGTTTGTAGACTTATTTTCGTTTAAGTTATCTTGAAATTCTTTATTAATAAAATGCACTTCATCTGTAGCTGTTGCATTTTTAATTGTTGCATTTAGACTTTCAAAATCTTCAAGATTTTTCATATTATCTTGTAAATTGGATACTTTTGTTTCTGACGTTTTGTTAAGTGTGTTCTCATTATATTTTGAAATTTGATCTTCCTTGTTATGAGATATTGCAACTTTTCTTGAAGACACTTTGTCAGTACATATTGCAGTTCTAGTAATTTTCTCTTCAGTATTCAAGGGAACATTTAAATCTTTAAATTCAGTACCAGTATCAGCTTCTTTAACAATAGGATAATTTAAGTTAGACAACGAGTGTTCCGACGAAGGATAGATCCTTATAGTTAATACAAATGCATGTGAAAATGTTGCAGCATTTGTTCGTTGTTGGAACTTCAGTATTGCAAACATTTTATCTTGACGGGTCCAAGATGTACAATCTATATTTTGATGTAAAGAAATTATACTCTAATAATTTTGCTACATCTACTATAGCCTTATTTACTAAGAAAGAATACGAATAATTAAAAAGGATACTGTAAGTGACAAGAAGATGTGGAGTGCCAAACTGTTGACCTTGATTTGGATGACATTTTATAATTCTTCTAACAATTTTTAATAATTCTCGACCATACAAAAATTGCATAGTATTCCTGAAAATGGAAAATTCATGTATAAATAAAATTTCTAATTTCTAAAATATAGGAATGCTAATACTGTTATCTTACTTCACTGTACGATGATATCTAAAGATAAACTTGTATATGTTCTTTTTATGACATAGCCAATATGAACCAGGGATAGTTAAGAGAGTTTCCTCTTGGTTGAGCCAATCAAGTTGGCTAAGCGTCCGTACATATATTCTAGGCATTTTCTTTCAGGTAATAAATCTTGAAATAATGGAACTAATCTTCTTGTAGTCTGTCTCCCAACCGATTCTTTTACAATGAATGTAAGATAATAAAGTACCCTTTGCTGAAATAATTTACTTATAACTCCAAATTGTTTTGATTTTGTAGACAAATAAAGATAGATAAACTTACTCCTTTTATAACTTCATTGATAAATATATCTTCTACTGTGTCCCATGGCAAGAATTCTATAGATGTAAAAATACCAAATCCTCTTTTACTTTCAATATGTACACCTACTGATTCTACAACTAACAATGTATCTGTAAAATAAAATATACATAATTTTATTTTTACAAAATAAATATGTTTAAAATTTTATTTCATAAAAAAAAATTACCTTGCTTTGCAGAAGCGATAAATGATTTACACTGCAATGCCAAAATGCACACTGATATTATGAAAGAAATTAAAATTTCCGATATAATCCATACAAAGAGAGTCGCACAGAATAATACTAAACATAAATTGACATTAAAGTTTCTTTTGCTTTGCAGTGAAAAATTTATGATATTGTTAGTACTCGTCAGATTCAAGCTTGTTTTATTTTCCAGTGTTAACTGCTCCCCATTAGCATTTCTAAAGAATACTTCACTAGGAAGTGCTTGTGTTGAAGAATTCGACGACATCAATGATGATTCTGTATACAAATACTCGAATTACAAGTGATAAACAGAAGAAAGATGTAGTTATATTTAAAAATACACTGCTTATTTATTATAATTTTCATCAGTCTTTAATTATTTTTAAATAATTCAATCTACTCACCAGTTACTTTTGCCAATATTTATGCACTAAGTAATTAAAATAAGCGAATCTTCACATGAACTTTGAGTTTGCATTCTGTGTAATATATATAAAACTATGTACGTATAGCAGAGTTAAACGAACACATATACAACTTTTGATTGTGAGCTCCTACAGTAATTATGCATACATAAAGATAGGTATGCAATAAGATCAAGCAGTCACATTTTCTGAAACAAAATTAGCTTATTATTTACACAATTCACTCTGGTTTTTTAATCTTATTTAAGTTCACAAAATATTTACACGTATTCTATATATATGCATTTACAATATAAATATTCAAGAGACTGTGCGAGATAGATACAAGAATTTTTTATTCGCTATAGTCACAGTTCAAAGCTGCTTTCTATGAATCTACGTGATATATCTGAAATGTGGCACAAAATTGTCACAACATCTCAGCATGTATATTATTCTTTCTTCAAGTATATAAAAAAGATACATATAAAAGAAGAATATCTACTGTTTTGATAGAAAATCGCAAACAAATTATTGCTATAAAAAATTACAGAATGCAGTAATCAATTCTGCTGATAGAAACCATACCTTAAGACGTGAATCTAGAAGAACGATGAAAAATTCCTTTATCATTCGCATTGTTTCACATTTATCATATTTATAGAAAAGAATGTTGACTCCGGTAAATGAATTTTTAGTAGGCTGTCAATCGAATGAAAATCGAGAAACTATTTTCTGCCTCACCGCACCGTAATCATCCGTTTATCTGACCCATCATTGTTGACAAATGATAAAGGGAGCGGCCCCTTCTAATATATCTATATTTAATATAGATATATTAAATATATATATATATATATATTGAAAATATTTAATATATTAATTTATTTACTTAATATATTTATATTTTATATATTTTATATCTATAGGAGCAGCAGAGAAAAAATCCGGGATCCGGGGGAATAGACACGCCGTGTCACGTGCTCGAACGGTTACGTCACCGGCCGCGAGACGGCGCATCAGCGCCGCGCTGCTATTCTGGCATTACGTCAATGGTGGTGGTCTCATTCGTTGGTTCGGGAGGAGTTGCCGTGTGACCGCCATTGTTACAACTCCGTCGTATTTTCCGGAACTTGGAAGATCCCGATAGAATCGCCTGACCGAGTTCGCATCACCACGAAGCCGCGTATCTTTCGGACCGGGATACTTCAAGTAACCGAACGCCAAGTCCTCGGCGTAGCATGTCCACGATGAATCCCGAGTAGTGAGTAAACCTTTTGCGCAGAGGCATTAAAGTGCATCCTATCCTTCGCGCTACGCGTCATCGCATCGAGCTGGACGATGAGCGAACGTGAGAAATGCGCGAGTTTCTCTTCGGATTAATAGTTTTTTATTTTTTATTTTTTTGTTAAAAGAAGAACGAGGCGGGGAAAAGGAGGAAAAATATCCTTTAATCTTTCATCGTCATCTTCTGACAGATACTCGTCCATCCCTTCCGTCTTCTTCCCCTACTACTTGAAAACATGGCACTCTTGTATCCATAGTCCATATTTCAATATTTTGCTGTTACACTTTCGCGAGCGTATATATCGACCTTGATTCTTCTTCAGTAACAGTCATCAGTAGATGCGCGTGAATGATCATAAGTTTGCAGAATGATATTTGACAATTTAAAGAAAACTAATTTGTGGAATGTTTTTTCCAACTATGCATCTACTTTGCATTCTCGTTTCGATTTCAAAATCGATGTAATTTTGCCTGTAAAAATAGTGTTTTGCTCTTTTATTTAAAAGAATGTTTAATAATAAATTTGTGATATACATGAGTTGGAATTTTCTGTTTTCAGCGATTATCTATTTAAATTGCTTCTAATTGGGGATTCTGGTGTTGGAAAGTCGTGTCTCCTGTTGCGTTTTGCTGATGACACATATACAGAAAGTTATATCAGCACCATCGGTGTAGATTTTAAGATTCGAACCATTGATCTAGATGGAAAAACGATAAAACTGCAAATTTGGGATACAGCAGGTCAAGAACGATTCAGGACAATTACAAGTTCATATTATCGAGGTGCGCATGGTATTATTGTTGTTTACGACTGTACGGACCAGGAGACTTTTAACAATGTAAAACAGTGGTTGGAGGAAATTGATCGTTATGCTTGTGATAACGTCAATAAGCTGTTAGTCGGCAATAAATGTGATCTTCACACTAAAAAAGTAGTCGATTACACAACGGCCAAGGTCAGCAATGATACATACTTTTTTCAATATTGTGCAATTTATTTATGTCGATTTTAATTTCTCATTATGTCTCTATGATTTATTTTGAATAGGAGTATGCGGATCAACTTGGTATACCATTTTTGGAAACATCGGCGAAAAATGCGATGAATGTAGAGCAAGCTTTTATGACAATGGCTGCCGAAATAAAACTCAGAGTTGGCCCACCCTCAAGCGGAGCGAGTGATCCAGCCAACAAGGTGAAAATAGAGCATGGACGTCCAATTGAATCTTCTAAATCTGGATGCTGCTGAGAATTATAATCTAATATCCCGTTTAACCAAAGTGAGTGAGACAAAGGAGTTGGAAGACATAATCAATTTAAACTTGAGCAATTATCAAACGAAATAAAAAAATTGTTATCTCTTTCACAGAACATCTAATGGTTGCGGTCCGGTTACTGCAAAATTAAACTTAATACTGGAAGAACTATAAGAACATGAAGAAGTTTCAGTTTATGCCAACCAAAAAAAAAAGGAAGAAATCTAACACACACTCATGGACCACCAACTCTTCTTCGGAGTTGTACAAAACTTTTGTCCGCCTGCCCTGAATTTCGTTTTTGTAATTACATATCTTTCTTTCCAAAGAAGAAAGGACGTGAATCACTCGACGCCATTTTTTCTAGCATCAAGTTCGACTCGAGATAAATTTGTCGAATTAGCATTGATAATGACGTGCGAGTGTAAGCGTGCGTGTAATAAGGGCAACTCGAAGCTTTTAAGAAGTAAATTGAAATAATATTGTGTATGGTGGTTATAAAGATAAGTACATTCGTTTTTTTTTTAGCCTAATTGTAATATGGAGTACGTTTTGGCCCAGTGTCTAGCTCGCACGAAGCCGCTTCTATTCCTCTATACTATAATCCAGAAACGTTTTCCCATTTTTCGTTTTGTTTTCTCCGTTTATTCCCACAGAGATGCGCGCAGATGTTTAGAATCATTATTTTCCTCCCTCTAGCAAGATTTCCCCCGCGAAACGATGCGCCGCCCTTCCTTTTCTTCTTACACAGCTCATTAGTGTAATTTATAATAACATTAATAAATATTTCAACACTAAAACTCGGACGCATACGTAGCATACCTTATATATTAAATATAAATATATATATATGCATATATGTACAATGTGTATTCGAGAGATATCGCCCGCGTTTATAAACGAGCGCATCAAGCCAAACGAAAGAAGTGCGGAATCTCCGTTTGCATCCTCTTGAATTCTGTCGTTCGATCGCTCCTGCGTCATTCTTTTTTTTTCACAATTCAAGATGTGATCCGAGAATCGATAAGAAGGTTTATTATGGAGTTCCAGATCGCGTAAAGAAAAAAAACGTGGGATGTTTTATACGAGATAAGATGTTACGCAGTTACATATTTAATCTAAAATCGTATCTTTGTATCGTGAGAAAAGCTATTGTGACGGGTATACGATAAATAACGGCACTCGATTACAAATATAGTAACTGTAATTATATATAAAATGCGAAAAGGAGAATAAAATACGACTGTCTAAAACGAAAGTCATTCTTTAAATTTTGCAAGGGAGGGGAAATGTCATCGGTTCTTTCTAATAAATTATTTTCAAGCTGCTACGCCGTGTATATATATATATATATATATATATATATATATATATGTACATGGACTTTTTTGTGATGTGTAGCTTGCCACGTGTTTGGTAATTCCAGGCACTCCTGTAAAATCAATCGCTAAAAGTCACGTTGACAGCTGGTTGATATATCCATCTGGCGACTGAATTTGTTACTAGAAAATGACAGTTCTGTGTATATGTCAACGCATCGGTGATGTTGATTGCAGATAGATCAGATCTGTCAAAATCCGCAAACTGCGAGATGGAATCGTTAAATCCAATGCACGTGTGTAAATTTATGACAGAGTAAATAACAAACTTTTGTAAATCCTCTGTGATCTTCGAGATTGATCGTGACATAACCTATAATTATCAATCCTCGGCTTCAAAATGATGCAACAATATATGAAGGAATTGGAGCAGGTATATAAATTTCTTTTTATCTTTTACTCAAATGTTTTGTTCATGTTTCGATGCTTTAATGTATAAATTAATAATACGATCTACGTTTATGATGTAATATTATGTATAACAATTAATAACCTTATTAGTAAAAACTAATTGTTATTTAAGTTTTATTTTATCACAAACTTTAGATAAACTTTTTTGTAAATATTACTCGTATAATTAATATTATTAATATTATTACTCATTTATTATTGTTCATATAATTGCACATAATTAAGAAATCAAATGTGAACGAGTTGCAACTATTTTGTAGGATCCATTTGACCCTGAAGAATTTGTTGAACGTTTGGCTTGGAGGACTGTCAATGATAATACGAAAGATGGAGGAAAGACATTCTTCGATCCGGTTATCGTTCATGAGACCTTTTTGCAAGCGATTAAGGACTTGCAGGTATTGCAGGAACGTCAGCAAAAGAAGTGCGATAAACTGGAGGTTGCATTGAAGGAAGAGGAAGCTCGGCATGCGGTTGAGATATTAGGATTGCAAGAGAGAAATAGACATTCTATCGAGTTGTTTCATCAATTAGACGAGAGAATAAACCTCGTGGCTACTAAGGTCCTACACTTGGGAGATCAGTTAGAAAGTGTCAATACGCCAAGAGCAAGAGCAGTGGAGGCTCAAAAATTGATGAGACACTTTTCAGAATTTTTAAGTCCGGGTCCATTGACGGATCCAATTTTCACTGATAAATCTTCGGTAAAAATACATAATCAATTGTGTAAAAAATATATAACAAAATAATCAAGGTTTAATCAATATTATTTATTGCAGTTGAATGAAGCCGCAGATGTGATACAGAAACTTTATCTCATAGCTCAAGAATTACCCTCTGAAAAGTTCGAACACGCTAAAAAAAAGATCAATGTTAAATATGACGAGATAGAACGAAATTTAATTGAGGAGTTTGCGAGAGCGCATAGTAGAGAAGATGCACCACGTATGAAGGAGTTGGCCAGTACTCTGGCTCATTTCAAAGGTTATTCTCAGTGTATCGACGCGTTTATAGAACAAAGTCAGATGGGTTCCTTTGGTGGAAAAGATGTCTTTCAAGATGTTATACCTATGTGTACAAAATATCAAAAACTTATGCAACAAGTATTTTCTAATCCTGAACAAGTAATGGCCAAATTTGTCTTGAACATATATCATCTGCGGCTTCAAAAGTACGCCGTGGCTAAATTAGCTGACAAAAATGACTCTGAAAAATATCTCCGAAACTTATATGATTTATATACAAGAACAGTGAAGCTGTCCAATGATCTTAAAGTCTTCAATATGGGCACCGATGAGACTTACCTTGCTAAACTTACCAGAAATATCTTCCAGAAATATTTGGATACTTATATTACGTAAGTTTACCTAAATTTTGAAGATGTTTTAAAGATAATAGGCTAATAATTATATTATTATAAATATTATCATTATTTGCCAATTTTAGTATTGAAACAAAAGCGTTTCGCGAAAAGTCAGCGGCGCTGCTTATCGAATATTATGAATCTAAGAATCATCAGAAAAAACAATTACAGACAGGCGGATTTCAAGAATTACGTAGAGACTTGCAAGCTGTATTAGGTGCAAGGACGAATATAAATATTGCTCAAATAGAGGACTATGGAGGCGAGACGTTTCTTTCAGAAGAGTTAGCAATTGCAATATTACAGAGAAGCAAACTCGCATTTCAAAGATGTCAATTACTTTCGCAGCCTAATGACATTCCCGGAAATGCACTCCAGATCGTGGAGATACTACTACAATATTTAATAAGCGAGCATTTAGACTATGCACTGGAATTAGGTTTACAAAGCGTTCCTATACCAGAGAGCAGGACACAACCAGAGATTTATTTCTTTAATGTGGTACATCAGTGCAACGCGATCGTTCGGCTCTTGGAAGAACAGTTCAACGACAGTGTATTGCCTCTTGTCTTGTATGTATTTTTCTTTATTTGCCTAATTATACTAAGGCCCAATTCACGTTTTTATATCATGTATACAATGCAAGTCGATAATACTATACTATGATTTTTCTCTAGATCGACACCCAAACACGCCGAGTGTTTGCTAAAGAAAAAAGCAATTTTGGAGCAAATTGATGTCAAGTTGGACACTGGCTTAGACAGAAGCATAAATGCTATTGTAGGCTGGGTAAAGATATATCTGCAAAACGAACAGAAAAAAACAGATTTTAAACCGGAAACTGATGTGGATACCGTGAATACTCCCGCCTGTTTAGTAGTGGTTCAGTACGTGAGCGGAATGATACGTTTGATCCGAAACACTTTGGACGGCAGGCACTTGGACACCGCTCTCAAGGAATTAGGAATCAGATTCCACAAAGTCATTTACGATAATTTGCAACAATTTCAATTTAATTCTGCTGGCGCTATGTGCGCGATATGCGACATGAATGAATATCGCAAGTGCATTAAGGAACTTGATGTTGAATTTGTCACAAATCTCTTTGATACTCTACACGCCTTGTGTAATTTGCTATTGGTCAAGCCAGAAAATCTGAAACAAGTTTGCACAGGAGACCAACTGGTATGTTATATGAATTATTATTTTTAAGGGACAATTTTTACAAATGCATATTTTCCTTGTTGCAGATGACACTTGATCGCACCGTTCTACTTAACTTTATTCAATTAAGAACTGATTACAAGACGCAAAAGTTAGCCAATTGTTTAAAAGGCCTGGCAACATGATGACATAGTCTACTTACATAAGAAAAAAATACTTTACTTTCAGCCTAATACTTTCTATAATGATTGATATATATATAGTTGCTACCAAATATATAAAAGCAATCACTGAAAATTATATAATTATATTTATATCTGTTCAAATACTTTTCGAGGATTTTCGCCATGAGGCTCGTTCACATTATCATGTACATGCAAAAGGGCGTTCACAGAAAATAATCCACTCTCTTCAAATAGATACGTTCTATTTACTTTTTTAACAAATCACAAATAAATGAATGTCGATTAAAAATATGCAATAATAAATAAAAATTTGTGTAAGAATCTTTATCATCTTAAAATTTCTGCAAGATGCTTTTATCAAGCATTTCATAATTTTTGATAGTATCGTCATGTACATTTAAGCACACAAAGTCCTGTAATATATATAAAAATAAATAATTTTGAAGACAAAGAATTTTGGCGCACAATTATATTTTATTACATGTCAGACATATTAATTATACACACACAAAGTAGCTTTTTTTTCTTTAACATTACGATGAGATATCGTCAAGACACACTAAGCTTAAGATCCAAAATATTTTTTTCTTTTTCTTTTTTACAATATCAAACTGATGGATTTCAGTTGTGCGCGAAAATTCGTTTATTTTCTTACTACAATATCTCGTCGTTTGTTCGAATTTAGTGTTATAAATATGATTAATTATCCAGATTTACACGTTTATAGAATAGAATGTCTATAAAAGTCATTACATTAAACGTCTAATCAGGAAGCATCATCTCGTATTCTTTAAAATTAAAGATTTGCAAGACTGACAGCTCATGTACCATCATTAATTATCGACGCATGCATCGATACCAATATTTATAATTGCGATCGTTTATAATTGCATAATTAGTAGAGAATCGACTCCATCGCGGTTTGATTAAATGATTTCTCATGAGCTATAAAAAAAAAGGGGAGACGGACGCACAATCCACTGAATATCAGCGCATGCGATAGTTATTAGTTTCATGTACTTGACACAACTCCCCTTTAAAGTCCAACTCGATACTGAAATCTAGATCTCTATAATTTCTGGCATTGGGCCTCATCGAAAATACGCCATAAATTTCCTCCCCTTTCTTCACTGTCATGTATTCGTCAAAGTAGAAGACAGTCTGCTTCCAATGCGTATATGGCACTTCTGGTGCAGTACTGAAGCCAATACGTTTGTGGCACTTGGTGAATTCGATGTTGAAGAATGTAACTAGAGCTTGAACGTAGTCGTTTCTACGAACTTGCAGAGTAAACGGCGATGAAAACTCGAGATCTGCCTTTGTCACTGTGTAAAGATCAACTTCTTTGATTAGGCATGCATTTGTAACGACTTGCTTGGGATCAACAACATCCACTAGAGGCTCGCTAATCGCCACTTTCCTTATGCTACTCATGTCGAATCCGTACACATCATCCCACCAATTAATCTTCTCGTCCTTGTATTGCCGGTCTTCAATTCCACAAATAAACAAGGTCGCCTTGTCAGGAAAGAGCATACCATCTTCACGGAGCCACTTATCTCTGGCAAAGAGCACTGTATCTAACATGGATTCATAAAACAAACAATACCCCATCCATTCGGATATTATTATATCAACCTTCTCTATTCCATCGGGCAATGAGACTTCTTCGACTTTTCCTTTAAGTATCGTTATAACATTGGACAGATTATTTGCTTCTACAATTTTCTCTGCATACTCGACGATATTAGAGCACTCGATACCAATGACTTTAGCTGCACCAGCCTTAGCTGCAAACATGGAGAGAATACCGGTGCCACAACCGATATCGAGTACAATTTTCCCTTTGAAGAGATGTTTGTTATGATACATTGAATTACGATAAGTCACAGTGCGTACTTCATCCTTTAGCATTTCTTCATGTATTCCATAGTGAGCATAGGAATCAAAGTAATAGTCTCTCGAAGTCATATCATCAACGGATACAGATCCCTTGCAGGATGATTCGCTGATATCTTTATTCAGGATAGGAGGCTCTGCCGCTATATCCATAGATTCCATTTTTGATGTCTGTAACATTTATATTCATAGAGACTAATTAGTATTTCAAAGAGATTGTTTAATAATATATCTAATTTAGAAATAAGCTTCTGTAAAATTACAGCATTAAAATGACAAAGAAAAACTAATTAAAGACACAAGCTAATTATAACAATTAGAAGTTTGTTTTCTTTCATAAAATAACACGTGGACATCATATCAATTAATAGTTAACATATAAAGCAACAAACGTTTATTTATTCGGTCTATTATTATTATTATTAAGAAATCCATAGATTTTATTTTTGATGTTTGTAACATTTATATTGATAGACTGATTAGCATTTCAAAGAGATTGTTTAATAATATATGATTTAGAAATAAGCTTTTGTAAAATTGCAACATTAAAATGACAAAAAAAACTAATTAAAGATATTCACAAGCTAATTATAATTATAATTTTTTTCATAAAATGACACACGTAGATATCATATCAATCAATAGTTTATATATATATATAAAGCAACAAACATTTATTCGGTTTATCATTAATATTAAAAAAAAAAAATGTACGAATCGCACAAAGAACAAAGGTTTTCAATTTTCAAACGAATGTACAGCGCACGCGAGGAGAACACGAGGATGCAGTTTTGAAATAAAAAATTAATATCGCATAATGAATAGAAAATAATTTACAAGACTCATGAGTGTAAACGGCAAAGGTTATTCAATCCAACGGCTTGGCGTGCACACAAAAGGCCGGCAGCGACAAGAAACACGTGGCCGCCAAAATGAACGGCGTCCCCCTCTCGAGATCGAATAATCGGTCGATATATATCTCGCTCGCTATATTCTCCGCCTATATTACACTCTATATTGCTATATCGCTACCTATTTGCCTATATAGAACGTCGACTGCTAACTGCGCGAATTTTTACGCCTCGAATTCTCGACGAATAGCCGCGCTATCGTGAGAAAGCTCTCGCCAAGCCTCGTTTTCGCGGAACAAAATGCGGGAGAGCGCGTGCATCCTGTCCCGCCTCGACCACGCTTCGGCCGAATCCCTACGCGAGAGGACGGGATTCCCGAAGCCCGCGACGAACACGACGTTCCCTAGCCCCGAATTACTTCCTCGACGTGGCGCGTTCGGAAGCCGCGAAGCGCGGCGACTCGTCCGCGATGCGATCGCGAGCCTCGGACCCTACATCAACTCGCCGATAATTCATTTCGCAAAAACTCACCGAATTCTCTGTGTTATACACGCGACTCTGGTTGATTTCTACCGGCACTTCATTACTCGTCGCCATTTTGTTCTGCGTCACAGCAGACGACTGGACCGCCTCAGGACCGTCCCTATCATCGGCTCACCGCCGAATCATCTTCCGATGCTTATTTTATATTTTGCAACTGCAAAAATTTATTGTTTAGTACACATTGGTTTTCTTTTTTAAGGACAAAATTTTTCATATCTTTTATGGACAAATGAATGCATTTTTGAAGAACGCAAGCAAATACGAATAAATATAAATATAATAAAATAATTAAAAAATAAATAAATAAAATATAAAATAAAAATAAAATATACATATAATGATATAGTTTTTTTAAGGACAAAATTTTTTGTATTTTTTATGGACAAATAAATGCATTTTTGGAGAATGCAAGCAAATATGAATAAATCTAAATATAATAAAACAATAAAAAAATAAAATAAAATATAAAATAAAAATAAAATATAATACAAAAATAATATAATAAAGTTTGCCTATTGAATAGAAAATTCAGATGTAGGTACGCCAAACAATGGTTGCAATGTAAATACTTCATAAGGTGGAAAGGTCTAATCTTCATCAAAGCCTTCAATTCGCATATAAAAAAAATTTTAAAGTTAATGGAAATACTCAATCGTATTTCGATCTATTGATTTAAATTTAATTTTATACTATTGAGTGCAAATTTGACTAATAACGTGTATATATATATATACTTTATGATATATACATATATTACATATACTACTCTATCTCTAAAGATAAAATTCCTACGATAAGAATAAGTAAATCTCAGAGCAGATGAAGCACTTGTGTTATTTATTAATTATATATGACATATTTTTAATTAATACAAAAGGTCGTAGAATATAAATTTTTAAAATCTATAAAAAATCTATTTTTTTAATCTATTCGTAAAATATATTCTATATATATATTAATAATTTTAATAAAATATTTAATATACCTTCGTTATAAATTAATATAAATATTAATAAGAGAATTTACATATAGTCTAGACTTCAAGAAACGTCATGTCATAAATTGCATTATTCAAGCACATGCTGTTGAAAAATCAGTTACATAGGTGGTGACGTAGCTCATATCACGCACACTTGCGAATTGTCACCTATGAGATGATCCGTTCTATTCCCCGAACTTTCTATACTGGTGGAAATAGGGGAAAGGAGAAGAAGAATCTGCAGTGTTGCTTCTTTTTGCGCGCGCATGCGTGATGTAGTGGCCGGAAATGCAGCGACGTACATATATAATGGGCGCCAAAATTTCAATGCATTTAATTTGCCTTAAATTGTCTCACAGATTGCATCTTTTAAATTATATTAAATTATATAAATAACTCGATTCATCTTATATAATTGTCCTCGCCTACAGAAAGCGACAGTCGATTAGCTCAATTAAAATTCCATAGTCAATTTAATTAAAAAAAGAAATCTAAACATATCAGTAAGTGATAGCACAATATGGGATTATTTTTTCATATTGGGCAATCACTTATAGATACGTTTAGAATTTTTTAATTATGTCAACATTTTTTAAAAAATTAATAAAGTAATTATTTCAAGTTAAATTAATTAAAACAAGAATTAAATTAAAATTAGAGAATACAAAGATAAAAAGAAAATAAGAAGTATTTTATTTTAATGCTTTTCATTTTCTTTTTATTTTATATTCTCTAATTTTAATCTAACTCTTGCTCGAATTAATTCAACTTAGAACAAAATAATTACTTTATTTAATTTTTCAAAAAATTTTGCCACAATTTTTAGAAACAATAAGTGAGGGGCCCCTAGGGAACCCCATTTTATCGAAGCTAGCTACTTCGTTTGGCGCGCGTGCGCGAGAGGGCGCTCGCCTGGTAACGCCGGAGCATCTTGTACGCACTCGCGCTGCCGTTCGTTTTGCCGAGCATTGCCGAGCGGCGAGGAGAGGAAGAGGAGTGTCTGCTTCGCTTTCTCGAAGCGGGTCAGTCTGCGTTTACTGCTGCCTCTGTCTACGAAAGTCTCGTTCCGCATTGCTAGGAATAGCGCGGGACAGGATGTGAGGACGAACGCCGCGTCTCGCTTTGATGTCTCGTTGGTGTGTTCAATCCCTACCAGTAGAAGACGTCGTGGAGCCGTAGAAGATGCTGGTGAGTAAACAGGCGGGATAGGACGTAGTGCGACGTAGAGCAACAACGGGGTAACCGCGGCGACGAACGCTTCCTTTCGTCTCAATGGCGCGTTGTATATATATGTATATACATGTGTATGTGTACGTAGTTTGAGTCTCTACCTTTTGTATTTTTGTGAGAAACCCGAGGTGACATACGCGTATGCGTCGCGTGCTCCAACGCATCCGCGCTTTTTCCGATCTCTCCCTCCCGCTCTTTCTTTCTCTCTCTCTCTCTCCTCTTTCGCTCGCTCCGTCCTTCTTCCTCTTCTGCCTTTCCTCTATTTTTCTCTCTCTGTCGGAGACAAGTCCGGAGTGCGAATGCAGGCGAATCTCTTGCCGGGCAAAACGCTCGGGTTTACGTGGATGCGAGGACGTGTTCCGAAAAATCGAAGTAATTTTCTTCCTTTTTGCCTTCCTTCTCGTCCCGGAAATTCCGACAGGCAGATACTTTCTAAGGCGTGAAAGGCGCGACGGAGAATGCCTGGAAGCGTCATTGAGACGACCGTGGTTATCAAAACACACAAAGTCAGTATTATCGTTGATTTTTAGCTTCTTTTACCATTTTCCACAATTTTCGGATTTTTATTCTTCCTTCTTCCACAAAGCACATGACTTAATTTTGTCTCTTTTTTAGTTGTGCTCTATTTATACATATATATATATATATATATATATATATATATATATGGAACAAAATACTTTATATATATTTATATATATGTATACATATGCATACATAGTGTCATTTGCTTATTACTCTCTGCAAGCTAAGAAGAGACTACACACAAACAGAATCAGTATTTAAGAATTGAAACAGACAAATGCACAACTGTATATTATGTGATTTTGTTGTATTTCATTGATTTGGGAAATCAATAACAGATTTGTACTTGCTTTATTTTGAATAAGAAAAAAACATTAGAAATATAACTTAAAATAGATCTAACATATAATTTATTATAGAAAATATTATATTACCTATAGATACATACATGCATACATATTGTTGAACTTTATTCATTAAATATTGAATATTATTACAATGATCAGTATTCAGAAAAAAATATGTGTGATTTAGCTTATCCAAAAAAGAAAAATAAATTATTATAATATTGTCTTACATTCTTATACTCTAAACAAAATTTGTGAATAAAACATAAAATATAAACTATTGCAATAATATTAAAAGAGTAAAAATTATGAAATTTTATTTTGTGAAAAAAAAAAAAAGAAAATTTCTATCATCACTATTATATGTCCTATAGTTTAACTTAAAATATAGTGTATATACAAAGCACAATGACAAGTATTAATTAAAATAAAGGAAGCAGACTTGCGTAATACAATATATATAATAATAAATATCTCTACTTCTCTGCAGTTACTTGTTAGTGATTGTTACTCTTTAAACTTTCATTGCGAGTTTTGTTATGAAATTATTATTATAATATTTACATAATATACAATATAGAATTTGAAATTTATTACAGGGAGACGATCCACCGTCCCTATCGGTGGGTACGGAAGTTAGTGCTAAGTATAAGGGTGCCTTTTGTGAAGCAAAGATTCGTAAGGTGGTGCGATTGGTAAAGTGTCGCGTGACTTTTAAACCGCAAGGTTTAGGAACTGCAACTGTTGCCGACGATCAAATCAAGGGAACTTTAAGAGTAGGTGCCTCTGTTGAAGCTAAACATGCAGATCGAAAAGAGTTTGTTGAAGCTACAATTACTAAGATCCAAGACTGCAGTCAGTACACTGTAGTTTTTGATGATGGGGATATTACTACATTAAGAAGAACTGCGCTTTGTCTGAAAAGCGGACGGCATTTTGCGGAGAGTGAAACGTTGGATCAACTCCCGTTAACTCACCCAGAACACTTTGGAAATCCTGTAATCGGGGGTAGAAGAGGTAGACGATCAAGGCAAGCGCAGTAAGTGGTGGAGAGAAGTCTGCTTTTAAGAATTCTAATCATTATCTAACTCGACAATTTTTCATAAAATAGGGACGAAAGCAGCGAGGATGAGGACAGTCCACCGCGAGGTACTCACGATTCCTCCTCCAGTGGAGGCGCGAAGGAGGGAATGGAAACTGAACCAGAAATCGGCAAAGTTATTTGCGTGGAACTCGGGGACAAAAAGAAGAAAGATAATTGGTTTCCAGGTTTAGTAGTTGCACCTACTGCTCAAGATACAGTAAGAATACGAGTGAGGGACGATTACTTGGTGCGTTCGTTTAAAGATGCGAGATAGTAAGTGAATTATCTTTATGTTAAAGTCGATTGCTATTGTATTATATTAGAAATATAAATATTTATAAATATTTTTAAGTTACACAGTACCCAAGAAGGAAGCCACAGAATTCACAAAGGAATTGGTTAATAAAGTTGAAAACAGTACACTAAAGGTTGCAGTAGAGAAAGCTCTTCTATTCTTAGAGAAAAATGAATTACCACCTCACTGGGATAAAGATTCTCTATTTGGGCATTCTGTTTCCAGTGGAAATAGTGATTATGATGGGGAACTCGACTCTGATGTAAGATTTCTTGCTCATTTTTTACACTCTTCCTTTTTTTCTTTTACACGATAGTTATGAAAAATGCGACTTTTTTTTTTTAAGAGTTCAGACGACGAACCGCGTGAGGAAAAAGATCATTTTGTGGCTCAACTATATAAATTTATGGACGATCGTGGAACACCTATGAATGTTTGCCCAATGATTGGATCCGAAGACATAGACTTATATAGGCTTTTTCGGGTGGTTCATAAACTAGGTGGTTATAATCGTGTTACGAATCAGAATCAATGGAAAACTGTAACACGACGACTCGGTTTAATGATGCAAAATTCGGGGACCTTATACAATCTTGTGAAACAGGCTTATAAGAAATATTTGCATCATTTTGAAGATTTTTATAAAAAATTAGGCTGCACCATGGTAAATCATCCGCGAAGTAGTACGCGTAAACAACGCTCTGGAAGAAGTCTTATCCGCGATAAAGACAGAAATACTCCTGTACCGCCGCAACCACCGGCGCAAGTAAAAAGTGACAAGGACGAGGACGAGAAGAAAGTTGCGGATGACGAGAAGAAGGAGAAGAAGGAAATTAAGAAGGAACAAGTGAAAGAGGAGGAGGTGGTTTTGAAAATAAAGAAAAAAGAAGAATCCGATAGTGATCAGGAGATTGATGTGAATGGAGACGGAGACGTTGAATTGTCATCTAATAATGAAAAACCGCAAAAACTAACCGCGCAACCTTCTACATCATCTCCTGTTTCTAATGGCGCTACAACCAGTGCAACATCGTCCGGTCGAGCCAAATCAAAAAGTAAAGAAGACACTAAGAAAAAGACGGCCGAAAAAAAGAAGCCAGAAACTAAAAAGCAAGAGAAGAAAGATGATAAACTCAAGGAGGAAGAAGCTACTAAAACGAGATCCAAAGCGAAGGATGATACTGTAAAAAATAAAGGTGCTTCCGAAGGAAGGGAGACTCGCACACCGTCCCGAGAAGGAGAAAAGAAAACAGTGTCTAAGCAGCGACGTTTAACGGACGAAGAATTGAAGAAACGAGGAAGAAAACGCAAGGAGTATGAGGCGGAGAAATCGCGCGCAGATGAACAACTCACAGAGACCGCTCCGAGCTACAAGGGTCCCGTGGAGTGTGGCGACAAATTGAAGGTATATTACGGTCCAACACATGAATCCAAAGTTACTTACGAAGCGAAAGTCATCGAAATTGAGAAAGACGGTCTCGAACCGATGTACCTTGTACACTATACAGGCTGGAATACAAGATACGACGAGTGGATTAAAGCATCCAGAATCGCCCAGAATTTTACGCAAGCTCAAGGTAGGGTGAAGCGTATCAAGGCTACTCCTAGGCCTCAAACCCCCAGCACGAATTCGTCCAACAATATGAGCAATAAATTGAAAGGCACTTGTAATTCGGGTGCTAACGCATCGCAAAGTCGTCGCCGAGCACAAAGTGTTGCTCCTACTTCCAGTAACACTTGTCAATCAATTCCGACGTCTTCGAAGGAAGTTAAAAAAGAGGACAAGGAGAAGGACAAGGAATCGTTGCAACCAACCAGATCCACTACACCGCTCTCCATTGCCAGTTCTAGTTCCAGGACTAAGAGTCCTGCCACACCTGCTAACAGACAAACCAGGACAACCAGAAACGCAGAACTATCAGGCATGGAGCATCGGAGGCGGACCAGAAGAACCTCGGGACACACGGACATATCCGTCGCGTCGGAAACCGAAGACAGCGAGACTTACGAATCCGACACCACCGAGACTGAGCCGACCAAGACCAGATCAAGAGGCACGGAAGAGAGAAAACGGAAGGAGACGCGCAGCAGAGCAGAAGAGAGAATTAAAGCGGAAGACGTGAGTGACGGTGAAGATGACAAGGATAATCTGGATGAACCCCGTAAAGGTAGACGTTTGAGAAGAACACCTGGTAAAACACAAAGTATTAAATCGGAGCCTGATAGTGACCAGGAGGAACAACCGAAAGGTCGCGATTTTGATCTCAATCAGATACGATCCGAATTAAAAGGCTTCGACAAAGCGGTTAAGTTAGAATTGGTCAGAATGGAGCCCGAGCCCGAGGACGAAGTGAAGCTGGATGAAAAAGAGAGCGTAGTCGCGACCACGGCATCACCCAAGTTGGAGAAAATTGTCGAGACTCCGAAAGTGGAAACTGTCGTCGAGACGAAGGTGGAAAGCACGGAAGATATATACGAGTTTAAAGAACCGGAACCGTTCGAGTTTGAAGTGAGGAACAAGAGGGACACGAGCGGTGAGAAGGATAAGTTGAAGAAGAGGATATTCGAGGATGAGCCTAAGAGTCCGAAGAAGAAGCAGAAAACGCCGGCTGCGATGCCGGTTTTGAAAGAGACGAAACCATCGGAGCCACCGGATAACGATACTCGAAAGAAACCGAGAAAATTATTCGGCAAAAGATCCGAGGATGCGAACGAATCAGTTGCTCCTGGCAATAAACCTCAGATGTTTATCGCAAGCGAGGATGTTTTTAACATATTAACGTCTTCGTACAATCAAATGAAATCATTGACTATTCCGGAAGAACTTCCTTCCTTTCCTTCCCAGAGCAAGGTGTCCGGCACAAATGTCTTGTTTCACGATTTGCCGGTGGACGATGAAGGTACGCGCGATGATTCGGAAGACCGTTTGATAATATCAGAGACCGAGGTGTCGGAGGCGGAACAAGACAACATATTTACGACGTATCAACAGGAGAACCAATTTCATCCTGGCGGCGAGTCCTTGACCGAGTCCACGACGGAGTCTAAGAAAAACGAGACGAGCACCGTGACTGAATGCTCGAGGGAGGAAACCAATGCGATAGTAACCATGAGTAGTGCCAGCAAACCTGTTAATTCCTTGGATCAGAAACAGAGTCAGGTCAAGCTGTTGCCTATGACTGGACAATCGCAATCGGAATTGAGGATGCTGGATACGAAGCTGCTCGATATCGCCCCGGTTCCGTCGCCGATCGTGACACCTCCGGCTCCCATAAGCGCGAGGCTGCCGGCGACGTCCACGATAGAGGAGAAGTTATCGGCCGCTGCTATGGCGTTCCGAAAAACCAAGGACAGCAAAAAAATCTCTGACGAGGACACGTCCGATCACACTCGCAAGACAATCAAAGACTCGTCGAAGAAATCAGACGTTTCGCAGAGAAACAAAGACGCGGATCGCGGCGTGACCGTTGAGGTGGATGACAAGAAACGCGAGCAGGAAGAGATTAAGGACCCGTGCAGAGAGATTATGCGTATGGCGATTAAGAAAGAGGAAGAGATGCAACAATTGAAGCCAAAGAAAGAAGCAGAACTGAAGAAATTCAAGGAGGAGGCAAAGATCGTAGCTGAACACAAGAGCAAATTGCAGGAGGTCGCGAGGGACGAGAACTGGAAGAGCGTCGAAAACGAGGGCGATAAACAGTCCGAAGAGGAGTATAATAAAATGACGGATCAAAAGGAAAAGGACAGAATCGAAAATCGTAAGAAACAGATCAATCAGGATCACATTATAGACTCCACGGATAGCAGCGATTCGGAACAGAGGCTCGTGATAGACAACGAGGAATCTCAAGACGTCAAAGTATCGACGTCCAGTTTTGACGTGAAGCTGCAAGCGGAATTGGATCGTATACAGAGTACGCAAGATAGATATACGAGGGCGCAACCATTGAAAACTTCGCAAACTGTCCAACATCAGCAGCAACAGCAACAACAGCAGCAAGAGTGTACAGAATTCAAGGCCGAAGTGACACCGATTTCAAAGACAGATGAAGAGGGAGAGACGATGAATTCCCTGCTGTGCGAAGAAGAGATACCCGGCTCACCGGCTCCGCCATCCGAGAACATCGAACAAGTCAGTGTCGGTCCATCCTGCAGCCCGCCCAAGAGCGAAGTTACCGAGAGCAGCATAGTGTTGATGGAAATGCCTTTTGCTAGTGCACCAACCTCTGGTCAAAGTACGACGAGCAGCAGCAGCACCGTTGCCACTCTCAGCCTGGCATTGCCGAAGACTATCGAGGCCTCGATTCCGGTTTCTCTGCCCATGCAGCAGAACGCATCTTTAAATATGCGGCAGCCGCAACAGCCACAACAGCATCAGCAGCAACACCAGCAACACGTACCGGTTCTGATGCCGCCGCAGCGACGAGAGAGCAACGAAGCCGCGCCGGTGATGGACAACACACCGCCAACCACCCCAGATTCGAGTATATCCAACATCTCAGGCTCGCCTAGAGAAGAAAGAACCGGCGGCTCGTCGCCGACTTCCGAGGATAACATCAAGCTGAATCGCGACAGCTCTGAAGCGGACAACGATAGCGCTGGTAAAGGTCCGGGCTTCAGCGAAGACGACACCCTACCGAATTCCGAAGGCAACTGCGCGGACAGGATGCTGAAGCCGCCCGCCAAACGCTCGGTCGACGACATGCAGTCGCCCAAGAAACGTAAGAGGAATCGCAAGCACTCGGAATGCGGCACTGGTGCTGCTACTGCGGTTATCCCGAAGAAACCCGGAAGACAGAACGGTAGGCATGGTAGATACGGAGCTGGGAGTGATAGCGACGACACCAGCGAAGGATCTAATCTTTGTGGGGTCAACAACACGCCGACAAGTCACGCCAACACTATCACCACCGTCCCCGATCTTAGTACCTACTCGTCTAGATCACCAAGACCTACGAAGTATAACTTTTACGTCGAATTAGGTACGTTAGTACAAAACATATTTTATCAATTTGATTACACATTGAAAAACCGTCGGTTTCTTTACAGGTCTGATTAATTTTAATTTAATCAGAAAAGCATTTTTTCTTAAAATTAATCTGTATTTATATACAGATTGATTTTGACATATAATTTGACATGTGTATATTAAATTATATTAAATTTTCGCAGATCCTGAATTGGACGGTAGTCAAAGGATAGCTGTGCTACAGCAGAAATTAACTGAGTTGAGAAAGACGTATAATGCAGTGAAGGTCGAGCTTGCCGCTATAGAAAGACGTAGAAAGAAATTACGAAGGCGGGAACGAGAAGGTAAATATTTTGCTATGTTATTCACTTGTTACTAACTTACACTTTTCTTTTAATTTCCTTCGAAAACTGCCGAAAATTGCCAATAGATTGAGATTTTTTTTCTTTTCGTCACATTAAAATTATAAAAAATATAATATAAATAATATAATAATAAAGTATATATTTAAAAAATTAGTATATATAAAAAGAGAGTATATATAAAAATTAATGTAAATAAAATGTTCCAGCGATGAAAGCAGCTAAAGCAGAAATGCAGCAAGCTTGTTCGTGATAAGCAGTGTTGAAAAAAAATCATTCTTTTCTCGAGTAGCAAATGAAACTGTCAGAGATATTAAAAATAGCAATTGTTGACACGGGCATCATGCAATCATGACAACTACCAACATTTCATTTAGTTAATATATTTGCCCCTGCACACTCTCTTTGTATTAATAAATTGTAGATATAGTTAATAAGATTTAGAGTCATAAGGATGCGTTTATCGGGAACTATATACTTCATATATACGATATATATTGTATATATATTGTATGTTTCGTCAAGTTTCTTCATTAAATGATTAACAAATTTTAATCTTTTGTCACCTGCTCAGATACAAAGTACAAATTATCAATTGACGATCATTTCTCAAGTATTATTCATTTCTTTTGTTATAAAAAAAAGAAAAAACAAAGGAGAGTGTTAACAATAGTCGCATATGTTATCGATAAAGACATCTTGGGAACAAGTAATTTAATCTAAGCTGGCTATCATTTCCGTTTCTCGAGCACGGCCACACCAGTTGCGGTTGAGCTGTTTTCACAAGACGAAGTTACAAAAGACAAAGTATATAAGAAAAAATACCAGTGACACGAGTGCGAACATTGCATGTTCTAATACTCTAGGAAAAAAATATGTAAATATTAGAGATTAGAGTAAAATTGTGAAATACACATTGGCACCATTACGTCACGCATATGTACGTATACAGAGACTTATATAGAGAATTTTCGTTTAAATAATATAAAAAATGTTGCAATTTTTTTTCATTTTGTGATTCTGGAAGTTGTACGAGCAATGGCTTCATGCACATAAGCGTGAGGTAAATGAAATGATTGTATTTTAATTAATGTATATAACAGCGTGAAGAATTACTTATACTTGTACGAGAGAGGAAATAATTTGTATATTGACACATGTAAATGGATATAGATGCGCTTAACATGAAATTATTATATTTTTTTTCTTGCATGTTCTTCATGCTTGCTTTTATGGCAGTTTATATCGCGAATGCAGCTCAACGATATTAAATAGATACTGATATGTAATATTTAATTGCTTTTCATAATCATTAAGCTATTATTTACTCATCGATATTCTATGTCACGTTGTGATTTATCAGAAATGCATTTATATTTGTAATTCGATATATGTATATATATCGAAATGTATCAAGGGGACATTTGCTTATCGTCGCAACTTTATTTGAAAACGCTACAACTAAAGCGTTGATATTTATAAAAAAAAAGAATTTTTTTTAACAGTCGACCAGCATGTCTATACACAATACACACGCATCTTTTCTGTGAACTTTATATAAAGGTTCTTAATCTGTCACTGCAATCATATTTAATTATAAATAACATCAAAAAATATTTATATATATATATATATATATATATATATATATATATATATAATGCATAGTGCTTAAAAAAACAAGTATTAAGAAATTAGATAGAATAATGCAAAAAAAAGAAAAAACTTAATCTTAAAGTAACACATCACACAGATGTGAATCAAATATTAGGTGAAAAAATTTGTAAGAAAATACACAAAGCTATCTGAAAGAAGAATAAAATTTTATATAGATACACACATACACACACGGACAAATACACACATATAATGTATATCTTTATATCATATATTTTTTATAAAAAAAAAATCAATATGTGAATGTGCTTTATGGTGTAAGAATGCGATTACATAAATCTGACAATGAAGAAAATGAAAAAAAGTTGTGAAGAATTTCGCGACATTGTATATAATTTTACATTGTGTGTAGTACAGACACAAGTCCGACTCTGATAGTTTATTGCACATTCTAATATAGCTGCGTAAATTTAATGTATAATAGTTTCAGAAAAAAGTGTTGCAGTAGCACATACATGCGTAATTTGTTTTGAGAAGACTACAGGATGCATTTTGACATTAAAATCTTTCAACAATTTGTACTATATAGGAGTGTGTTTGTACGTGTGTGAATGGTACATTAAAGTAATTTTTATTACTGCAAATTTAAATATATACATTCTTATACCAAATTAATATAAAAAATACAATTGATTTGGTATTATTATGAAAATTTAAAAATGATGAGAAAAAGAAAAATATTTAGTTTGTATTATTTTAGTTTAATTAATTTAGTTTATATTCTTTTCATTCAAAATTACATTATTATTCAGTTACGATTTCAAACAATTCAGTTATAAAATTTATATTAAAAATTTTCGTTGTATAAAATCAAGTGCAAGATTAAATTATTTGCTTTGTTATTTATATTGTACAAATTCTAGTCTATAAATTTAATTAAAAGATTTTAATTATTGTTAACAAATTAGAAATTGAATTATATAAAAAAATATATAGAAGAATTAGTATAAAGTGATAACACAAGTTATCTGTTGCGTTATTGATCAATTTTGGTTTAAAATAACATTTTAATACCAAATTGTAATACCTAATTGAATATAATTTTGACAATCTAAATTATTACTTGAAGGGATAAACCTACGAATAATTATAATTTAAAATAAGTTTATTTAATTCAAAGTATATATATATATATTTTTATGTATGCTTGCGCATTTTGTATAAAGATAAACCGTCATAAATGCATCCTCATCTTCTGAAAACAATTATTCTCCCTGTAAATCATCATACGACGTTACATGTGAAATAGTACATATAGTAAGCACAGGGTGCGAATTTTATCTCTCTCGCCAAGCAGTAAATAATTATTGTTTCACATAACATTTAACTGTGTCAGTGAGTATCATTAAGAAATAAATCTTATCTTAACAAGAAATAATGCTTATATTGCATTAGTTGTATTGCTCCTGCATTCTTATTTATATATATAAGTTCTGTAAATATATTAAAACATATCAAAAGATAGAATAAGAAAAGAAATTAATTTTGCACAACTAATTTTGTACTTAAAATCTGAACATACATATTTATTACAGTGTGGTTTACAAACAAAGATGGACAGATAATTAAAATCTGTGTAAAACTTATGCAAAATCTACTCTCTTTCAATATAATATACAAATATTCAGATTATTGTACTTTGCACTTAGTTATATTAGAGAATAATGTAAGATTGTTTTCTCGATTATACAACATAATGCACCATCAATGACACGCACATACATAATATACAATATCTTTTCTATCACTTGTTCTGTGTCAACACAGCGAGTAACAGAAAATTTCATTAATACAAATCAATAACTAAAAATATATGTATTATAAGTTAATTTTTATATTTTAATTTTACGCTCTAATGTTCTACGGCTATATAAGAAATTTCTACATTATACAATATATAATATCGCCGCGATATATAGAGATTGTTTATATATATAATATATATAATATATATATATATATATATATATATATATATATATATATAATATATCTTATATATATATGTATAATATATATATTATATATATTGATCAATCTTTTTTTGTACACCACAGTAGAATTGATGCGTTGAAAATATGATAGTATCTTTTAAAAAAAATTAAAGAATATTATAAATATTTTTTAAAGAAAGTATATTGTAAGATTTATAAAATAATATATATGTATATATAATGTGGGACTATTTTGTTTGACAAAATTCCAATTTAATTGTTAATTAATTGTAGGACCAACATCAAAATTTCTAATACAATTATACAATATATGGAATTTTGCTGTTTATTTTATAAATTAATCAACAATTAAATTCATCAGAATTTGAACAAAGTGGCCCTAAAAGATGTACTGGATATCGAGTATTTACAGTAGCACAAGAAAAATTAAATGTCCAGATAAATCATGAACTCATATGTAAGTAGTTACATACTTCCATTGAAAAGTATATTCAATATTCTGAAAATATAATAAAAAAAGACTAGAGTACATAATCACAAATATAAAATTCAAATTAATTTTGCAAATTTAGTTTAATGATTCCATTATCTTATAACTATAATTTGCTGTTACATATTGTTATAATAAGAATTTAACTCGATTTTAAATTACATATTTATAGCTTACTTCTCTTGTTCATAAGTTTTTATAAACACTGTTCCTTGCTACTTTATACCTTAATTATTACATCTAGTTTTTTTATCAACACAGTTCTTTTATGATTAGCATCATATCCTTCAATCTTAAAAAAGTTGGGAACATTTTTTTATTCATTAAAAAGTAAAAGCTAATTATGTTTTATTTAATACTTGATTGTTATTTGTTCATGCTCATAAGAAATATATATATATATATATATTTCTGCGTAAAATTTATACAAAACTTCCAGCTATTGAGATATACTTGGGATATCCAATACATCTCTAATATGAATATATACATATTCGATTATTTCAATATTATTGCGCTCGCCCAGAATATATTTCGCATTTAAAGTATCACTTTCTTACAACTTAGTTTGCCCATTATTGACCATAGATTAATGAGAAAAGATTCAATGCGTGACCTTGCACTGTGAGAAATTGTATCTTACTTGAATGAATGCTCTTTTTATAGAATACTATCTAAAGGAGCATACTTTTGTGCGTGTCTCCCATTGAAGATTTCTCGACATTTGTGACATCTCATTCCATCACAAGACAGAAGTGGACATTGGCGTTAAACAATTTTTCAAACCTTTTTAATACTCATGAAAGAATACTCGCTGCTAAAGTAAGTATACAAAATATTATCTTATGTAAGAAATGTACTAATTGGACATTAATTTTTACTTCACCCTATGTGTCCTTTTCTTTACACATTTCAGTCATTGAACTATTAGTTTAAATGAAATGAGAAATTATACAGGAATCATTTAATCTTGGCGAATGGCGCATTGAGCGATAGGGCATACTACTTTCCATTGCACATGTCAACAAGGAGGTGGGCTAGACGTCGGTGCTGCATCTACGGTTGTCGCAGAGGAAGATGCCACTGCGGCCGCTTTATTGTCAGGGTCTAATTTCTGTCTGGTAAACATGATCTGTTCCATTAATTCGTGATGGGCTTCTAATCGTTCGATGCAATGTAAACACGCAGTCTTTGGCAGCGGATCATTCATATTCACCTGTAAAATGTGCGTGCAAAAAAAGTGCTTTATTTTAATGCGTTCTCTCAGGTGTCATATGTAAATAAAAAATGAACCAGTACAATAATTTGTGAATATGATAAGGATGCGATGCATTATTTTAGAAGAAATGACAGTTGATGCTCCTTCTCCTTCCTTCTAAAAATATGTAAAATATGTTCCACAAGAACATAGACAGGAGTAAGTGTGTCGGAGAGGAAAATCAAGACTCTCATTCTGACAAAAGTGTGCAAGAAGTAATGTTTCTTTTTCAGTCATCCTGAGGGATGGAAATTAAAGTGTAATGACATGAGATACATAGTGTGAATAAGTTACCGTGATCGGCAGGTAAGTGTTGATCTTCTCGGCGAGCTTCATCCTCTCGCCCTCTTCTCCATAGATGTGTATCACGAAGCGGTTCATCTTGCTGCAGAGCCTGCATATGAACCCCGTGATCACGGCCTTGTCCGTGCTGCCCATCTCTCTGTCTGCTGCCCCAGGCCTCTGCCCCACGGCCTGCGCGCACCCACGCACACGCCTCGCGTCCGTCCCCCCAGGTAACGGAATTTGACAGATCGCCTGACGGTTTCACCTGCGATCACCCGTCCTACGCGAGAGCGAACGTTTTTATTTATCCGAAAAGGAGTCGTGTCTCGCGCTTTTCTCTCCTGTCGAGATCTCTCTCCGAGTTTGTTTATCGCAGACTCCGTCGAAGACACACCGAGCGCGCTCCGAGCGACGTCCAGATCCAGGTCCGTATTCGCGCACCTCATCGCCCCTTCGATGAAATTTGGCATTATGTTTATTATTATTATTATTGTTGTTGTCGCGATTATTATTGTTAATGTTACTTCGATATATAAGAATACGGTATTCACCTGGAGTTTGCTCTAACATTTCATAATTGCTGTATTATTATGGCGTCGAATAAAGAACGGAAGTTGGGAAATCAAATGTATATGCAGCCCTGACGACTGAAAGTTGATCCGAAAGCAGCTCGAGAAAGGGATCGGAGAAGGAATCAGCTGTCGCGGGCATCTGTCAAGATGCAATGTCTAATATAGGAACGTGAATCTCTCTCGCGTTCAAGTTTTTCTGCCTCGATTCGCGATATGAGGCTATTTTTGTATAAAAAAATAAATTTATGACGCGAAAAAAAAATTATAAAATTAATTTTGACATTTTTTTTACATAATTTTTACATTTAAATCTGTATAAATCATATGAGATTCTTTATTGACAGATCATATTTGATTTCTCGTTCGATATATAAATATATAATTCATATATAATTCTTTTGCTAATTTTGTAAATTGAAAATTATTAGCAAAGAATTATATTTACATATATAGTACTACATATATATATATATATATATATATATATATATATATATGTATGTATGTATATAGCACTGAAATTTTTGTCCTGTTTGTACGACAAAGTATCGATTCATCGTATCGAATATTTGTAAACAAAATGTCAAAAAATTAATATATACAATGAATTTACAAAATTTATATTGCGGATAAAATATTCATTTAAGCGACGCGTTTTATTTTTCCGCGCAAGAAAAGAATAATAATACTGTTAAGAGACTAAAGAAAAGATATGTACAGCCGCGTTTTTTGCGATGAAATATCGCGATCGCTTCCGGGAAAGTGTCTAAAAGGGATTTTTAAATCGCGACGCGCTGCGCGACATTCAAGATGGCGGCGATCAGCTGTGTTCTGTCACAATGACAATCCGCCTCGACAGTCGGATTAATTAGCCTAAAAATCGGTGCGCGGCATGTTATGAATAATCCTACGTCGATCTTTCGTTCCTTCCTCGAATTCGACGTGCGACGACCGCAACTCTTTTCCTTCCTCGCCCCGGGAACCCTCGAGGGCCGACTGACCGTGAATCTACGACGACGGCGCCCGAAGTCCGAAGTGAGCGGCGAGTGGAAGCGCGCAGCAGCCTAGCCTAGCCGCACAAAAGCAATATGGTGGTGCTCGTCAGGGACAGTCGAGCGCACACGGGGGATGTTTAATAATATTGTCACCGTTGTGGCGAAACGTGCGTCGGTGACGGAGCCGAGTGATGAACTTGACGTGACCGAAAGCCTCTTGCTAGGCTGAAAAAACCACCATGTGCGATGTGTGCGTCGACTTTCACGATCTTCTGCTTTCCTGTAAGTGCGAGTTTTGTGTATACAGTAGCGCGTTTCCGTTCCCGATTCTTAACCTTAATCTCGTCGAGCTTGTTCGAGCGAATCTCCTCGGAATCTTTCCCGAGGAAAAATATTCTCCCCGAAATATCGTTGTTCGTAATTCGGGGCGAGAAACGGCTGAGCGCGCGAATTCTTTTCTTCTAAGCGAAATATGAATATGCGGAGATAGCGTCCTATAACCTTAATTCCATTGCAGCAGGAACGAACAAGAACGTCGAGAAATCGTTGAAAGATACCAATCGGTGAATAGATAACAATCGTGTGATTGTTTAAGACACGTTTTAAATATTTCTATTTATTATCGTGACTTTCATCCGACAGTTCTCTTCCTCGTAATCAGATTTTGATTTCTCTCTAGAATCACACGAAATTTCGAACGTACAAGTTACGAATTTTGTCAACGTTCTTAAAATTCCGTCCTTTGTTCGAGCTTGAATTGTTGAAAAGTTTCATGCATACTCTGAAGATATTTATTTTCAATATATTCGAGAAATGAAATATTTTTATTAATGTAAAAACATATTCGGGATTTTAGGAAAGTTTGCGAGTTTATATCACGCGAAATAAAAGATTGTGGAGTAAAGAAATAAAATTTCTTACAAATGTGGTACTTTTAATTTATATTAATTAAATTTTTGACTACTGTACGTTTTATTCTTTTAGATGACGAACGTTCGTCGAAGGAACAAGATGCTTTAGCGACGTTATGCATAACGGATGTCGACACGACGTTGCATTATGTTAATCAATGGGTGCAAAGGTACGTTAATTTATTGAAAATCTTTCTTTCGTTTCTGTTTATATTAATTTTTATTATGAGGACGAAAATAAATTATCAAATAAATTACCAAATAAAAACTGTTACTGCTTTACAATGCGATAAAATTTATTTTTAAGAATACAATTATTTTGAAATTATTGATACTTAATTTATTATGCAAATTAATTACGGAACAACTTATCAAAATTTATTTAATGGACAATGAATTATTATAACATCTCTGCATAAACAGTGAATGTTTTCGATGAGTCATTATGAGGTCTTTTGCAACGGATGAGTTTAATTTTATAGTCATTGATTATATAGTTACAAAATGTGATTATATTGTGATTCTTTTTCTTTTCCAGACAATGTATGTGCTGTTATCGTGAGATTAAAAATTTTGATCGATTTATAAGGCTAACTCAGAGTATCGTACTCTGTACGTTACAACAATTACAAGTTATACAGCAAAATGAAGATGTTGCTAAGGAGACTGTTAAAGAAGGGAAAGAGGAGGAAGAGAAAAGTAGTAAACGAAAGTCCGGCGACAACGCGGAGCATGCACAAGTGGAAGCTCAGACGAAGCAGACATGGTCGCAGCAGGATAGAGAAAGATTGTTTCATCTACTCTCGAAAATTTTTTTATTAAACTTTCCTCTCTATATCGCTATGAAGCACGGCGGTGTAATCAATCCTTTAGCTCCTGTCAAGGTAAGAACTCTTGTACGATTTACGTCGCACGTTTGCAGACTGCATTATTTATCGATTATATACAACAATTGAATTATTTTATAATTGATAGGATGAAGGCGGTTATTGCGAACCACACGATCCTGAAGTACCGGCGCCTTTGATTCGTGCTGTATCTATATTTTGCCATCAAGGAGGTTTTAATTTGATGTCCGCTTGTTTCGATATGGAAAGCACACTGCCTGTTAGCCTTGCGCATTCTATGGTTGCAGTTATTTGTAATCTCAAACTTTGGTTGAACTACGGTAGCGTCATCCAACTATTTATACCATTGCGCAGTCGAGTTATGAAGTACATGTGCCGTTTAGGGGACAAGGAGTTGCGTACTCCTGCTGTTAGGACAATGGCAGGTAATTGTTATGACAGTTGAAAGAAACATAAGTTTACACAATTCGCATTCGCAAATATATTTCTAGTTAAATAATTTTTTATGCATTTTTTTAAGATTTTATGTGGAGCGCGGTGAAAGATCCAATAGACGCCGTATTACCGAGTTTCGATCGCGATGGACTCGACTTGGCATTTAAATACTTTACTAGTACAACTCTGACTATGAGGCTGGCTGGTGTAGCCCAGATAAACGCTCATATCACCGCTTCTAATGAGCTCTGCAACAGCGAGACAGTCGCCGAGGTCGAACAAGTGGGTCACGCGCTTGCCGCTTGGTTGACTGAGAACAACATCATAGCTCATATATTCGGACCAAACTTACACGTAGAGGTTATTAAGCAGAGTCATATTATATTAAGCTTCCTAGCTATGGAAGGTAGAATTACGTCCTCGGACATGGACACTATGTGGCAAGCCGCCCAGCTGAAGCACTGTGGCCGTCCGGTTTACGATCTGTTAGCACCTTTGGTCAAACATCTGGCTCCTACTCCTGTACTTCATCTGTACTCTTTATTAGGCAAACTAGAACCTAAGGATCACACGGAACAAAGTTTGTTCTTAGCGTCTGCTTTGATCAAATTTATCTGGACGTCCGGTCGTTCGGCTTATCCGAGGGGTTTAGTGATGAAAAATAGAGAGATTTTGAGGAGCACTAGTGGAGTCGGTGGAAGTAGCAGCAGCGATCCGAGCGGTATGGACGGTAGTAGTCCGGAAGACGACGAGGAGGAGCCTAGTCCGACATTGTCCGATGGACCGTCGCCTAGAAAACAAGCAAGGGCTGATAGCAGCGATGGTGAAGGTACGTAACTCTTTAGATTAAATAGCTTAATATTGTTTATAGATCTAGTGTATATTTGTACGCAACTTCTTTGATTAATTAGTTTAATAATGTTTGTTAATAATCTGTTGTATATTTGCAGGACATTATAAGGGAAAGAATTTGACGACTAGCACCATCGAGTCGAGCCTCAATGAAATCGAAGACTTGAATTCTGAGAAATTTGATTGTAATAGAGAATTAACTAAGGATTCATCGAGTGCTATCCGCGAGGAGATCAAGAGCAAGCAAAGCGGATCCGACGCCGAAGCGGACACGGAGAAGTCGAATACAGAGGAGATGTTTGTACACGAGAAGAAAAAGCGAAAGATCCTACGCAAGCGAAAAAGACCGCAAAAGCGTTCTTTGAGTGCCGTTGAGAAAACGCTAGAAGATATCGTCGGTCAAGATGATAATGTGAAATCAAAAGATTTGCTCGCAGACGCGAAAAGCAGAACGGAAGATGTATTGAATAGCAGTTTAGACGTAGGCGCTTTAGCTTCCTTGGATGAACCAAAGAGCGTCGACGCTTTGGATCGCGTTAAACAACAAGCGATGGCTTTGGACCCAAACGATCAACAAGTTCCAACCACGGCGGCGCTGTTAAGACGCGCCAACAAGAATAAATACATGTCTATAGTGGGATACAATGTAGACAGAGCGGCCGATTCGGCGGATAGTTCACACGACGAGGACGATAGCGATGTAGCGGGTGTGCTCGCTGCCGCGGATGGTCCTAGCGCGGTGATATCCGAACTTGCTGGATTAGTACACGCCACCGGTCCTACGTTCTTGCCTTCGGGCTTAGACGAGATGCTTTCCGATGAAGAAGGCTCGTACAGTAGTAGAATATCGAACAAGAGTGAAAAGAACATGGCCGACTTTGATGGCGAAGAGAGTGGTTGCGAGGAAGAATTGGCCCAGTTAGCGGCGCGTCATTTAACAGCTATCCAAATGCAAGCTTATCATCCTCATCATTCGCATTCGACCATGACGATTAGAAGATCAGTCTGTCAACCGCCGCAAGTGCGAGCCGCTCGACAAACAGCCACGAGATTGAATTCGCAATTTAATCTGGATACAGTTTGTAAGCCGGGTAATACATTACTGTGGGATCTTCTTCAGGATGACAAGATTGGTCAACTAGGTGAAGGCCTAGCCTTGGAAGCGGAGAAAGCGCTGTGCAATCTTTTGTGCTTCAACGTCGATCGTTTGATCCCGATGAAATTTATAGAGGGCTGCTTAGAGAACTTGGCGACTAATCGTTCCGTGGTCGTATCTCTAAGATTATTGCCAAAGTTGCTCGCGAGTTTCCAACAATTCAGTGCGATGGACGCGCACACTATAACCACCTGGGCCGATCGCGAGCGCGGCATGATGAAACATTTCTTCAATAATCTGAAGACGTATACAAACACGGGACCGAAGAGCAATTTATATTCGCATCAAACAGAAATACAAGTCAGACTACAATTTTTATCGTCGATCTTTTCGCCCTTAGGTTCACCCGATTGCTTTCGTTTGAGTCTGGAACAAGTGGATATATTATGGCAATGCTTGTCACAGGATCCGATCTGTGCCGACGAGCTTTTCAGCTGGTTACTCAGTCAAGCAAAATCTACGGAGCAACACGCTTTAGGGATGGACACTCTGAAACACTTGTGTATGCGGAAATTACCGAGCCTACCACCGGAAACCATTAGTATGACGGGCCTAAGTTTGTTTCAGCAGTTGTGTAATTTGGCGCGCCTGGCCGCGGCGCACTTGGACAGGCCGTTGAGGGACGTGGATTCAGTGGGCATGGACTTTTTGTGGCGGATTGCTTTGAAAGCGAAAAGCACCGACGTCAGTATGGCAGCTATACAGTATCTCAACGGCTACTACATGTCACGACAGCTGACGCAGGAGGCGGAATTCGTTTCGCAGTGCATGACGCATCTCGCTGCAGCTAGCGCCGACCTCGAGAGCAATGAAGAAGCCAGTTTGCGCTGTATACAACGCGCCCTGCTTTTACTGAGGACGCATTTGGAAGCCTTTCGAAAACGCTACGCCTATCACTTACGCCGCTGGGTGCTGGAAGGTAGAGGCGTTGCCAGTCAATGCTACGTGGCTATGAACACATCCGAGAAGGGCCAACAATTGAGAATCTTTGTGCAGCCTGCTGGTATACCCGAGAAAACGAGTTTTACTCTTCTTAATACCGATTACGTAGCGGATTTACGAGCTGAGGTGGCAAAATGGTGGGACGACACGCAGAATACTCAAGAGAAGTCCGCGGCTTCCGCGAATGCCACTCAAAATGGCGGCTCCGTTTTGGGATCGTTGCTCACCGATGGTCCTATTCGAATGATCACTCAGGGGCAAGAGTTAACTATCGACTTTGACGAGAAGACTTTGCAAGAAATGAGCTTTAAAGACGGACAATTGGTATTTATTTCACCTGGTGCCAGTAGAGGTAACGGCGGCGGTGGTCGTTGCAGCAAACGGGACATGGATTCGCCTTCGTTATTACCGCCTCCTCCTAGAGAATCTTTACCAACCTTATTGTTACTTCGACCGCAGTACTTTGAGCAACTGTTTACGCTTATGAGGACACTCAGCGCTATGAAAACGACTGTGAAGGGTGGACAAGAGATACCTCATACGAAGGCTCAAGTACTCTCGAGGAGGGTCTGGGATACGCTCACTCTGTTACCGACAAGCCCAACTTTGTTACGAGGTTTCCAAAAACTCGGCGAGACATCCCTCCAGGAATTACTCGATCCGGCGAGTCCGCAGAAGTTGATGTACTCTCTTTACATAGTCGAGTCTTTGAGTCGACGAGGTACAACGAATCAACCGTCATCGAGTAATTCCACCGCTTCGTCGACGGCTACGTCGGTGCATCAAGGTGGCGGAGACGCGGACGACAATCAGGACGATAAGGAGAAAGATGTAGCTTGGTCGACTCTATTTGTGCAACACGGCGGACTCCGACATCTTTTCGATATCTTTATGTCAGGCTGTCTGGAGCAGGGAGACGGCAGCGAATGGCAGCAGGATTGTCTCGCCAGTTTGCTGAAGCAACTTTGTCATCTCGGTGTTGTAAAAGAGGAGAAGAAACGCAACAAAGCGGACAAGCCGCTGTTGGTACCCAAGTTGAGCGAGGCGATGCTGAGAATGATGAATGTCGATACAGTAATGCCAAGGATAACCAGCATCTTGAACGACGCCTCGTTACCGCTCGATCCGAACCATTACAAGACCGGACTCTTCGGCCGATCGCAAGTGATACATTATGCCATGGCACTGTTGGTTTGTTGGGTGCACAGCGATCAGGCGGTACGACAATACCTGTTCTCATCGTCCGAACCGTTTGGGAAAACGTGGCTGCGCAGACTGATATTAGAGGATCCCGAGCCGGCGGTAAGACGCGAAGTATGCACGGCTCTGTACAAATTATGTTTAGGCAGCACCGGCGCGGAGGACGACAACTCGGAACAGATGCCAGGATTGATAGTACCAATGTTGAACACTCTGTTGGAGCATCTGGTGATTGCTGAAGCTATGCAACCTTCTCATCGCAAGCCAGACTTGCCGCTGCATCTACATCCAGTTCTGGACGAAGGAAAGGAACCCTATGGACCAGCTTGTAAAGACTACTTCTGGTTGGTATGCCGTCTGGTGGATTCTCTACCGGACGAAGCGATTCGAGAGAGCACGGCGGACGAGACCTCTGGCACGACTATCGACCTCGAAGCGCTGGCCATCCGAGTGATCGATTCCGTGCTCAATCGGGAACACCTGGAGACGCGGCATAATACGGTGGAAGACGACGCTCTAGTTGGATTGATTAATCTCACATGTAACATCATGACGCATAATCCTCCCTGCAAGCAAGGAAAGATCGGGCAGAATTTGCTGGATCAGGTATTTGATTTCTTATTCGCCTTGCCGAGTCCACGGAGCAAGCATGTGCCCAAGTGCAAGAGCCAAGCGTCCAGGTCAGCTGCTTTTGATCTCTTAGTCGAACTGGTGAAATCGGCGCCCGACAATTACAGGATACTGCATGAGAAGTTGCTCGCCCAGCACCGTCCCGGACCTCACTCTCCATATCCGTGGGATTACTGGCCTCACGAGGACGGACGTTCCGATTGCGGCTACGTGGGCCTGACGAATCTTGGCGCGACGTGTTACATGGCCAGTTGCATGCAACATCTGTACATGATGCCGCAAGCGCGCGTCTCCATCCTTGGCGCCGATTGCAGCCGCGCCAATAAGCATCAGCTGACCTTACGAGAATTGCAAAGGATGTTCGCGTACCTGTTGGAGTCCGAGAGAAAAGCGTACAATCCGAGGAGTTTCTGTCGCGTGTACACGATGAATCACGAGCCGCTAAATACGGGCGAGCAGAAAGATATGGCTGAATTTTTCATTGATCTCGTTTCCAAACTAGAGGAGATGACGTCCGATCTGAAGAACCTGGTGAAGACGCTGTTTTGCGGTGTGATATCCAACAACGTCGTCTCGCTTGATTGCGAGCACGTTAGCAGGACCCTGGAGGAATTCTATACCGTTCGCTGCCAGGTAGCGGACATGAGAAATCTCTATGAGAGCTTGGACGAGGTCACGGTTAAGGATACGTTGGAGGGTGACAATATGTACACGTGCTCGCAGTGCGGCAAGAAAGCGCGTGCTGAGAAACGAGCATGTTTCAAGAAACTGCCTCATATATTGTGCTTCAATACGATGCGCTACACCTTTAACATGGGTACTATGTTGAAAGAAAAGGTCAACACGCATTTCAGTTTTCCCCTTAGATTGGATATGTCTGGTTACGTCGAGAAGAAGCTCATGCCGCAGCATTACCAGGACGAGAAAAAGGCGGTGTCGCCCGAGAAGAGAAAATCTGAGAACGATGGACACTCGAGACCTTTATTGGTGGACGACGTGGAGGAAGAGGTACAAGAGGAAGAAATGGAGCATTATCAGTACGATTTGATCGGCGTGACTGTTCATACGGGAACCGCGGACGGTGGGCATTATTACAGCTTCATCAGGGATCGTACGTCTCCTAACAAGGACAAGTGGTTCTTATTCAACGACGCCGAAGTCAAGCCGTTTGATCCGAATCAGATCGCGGCCGAGTGTTTTGGCGGCGAGATGACCAGCAAAACGTACGATTCGGTGACGGACAAGTTCATGGACTTCAGCTTCGAGAAAACCAACTCGGCGTATATGCTGTTCTATGAATGGTGCGCGGATCCGGGCGAGCAAACGAAGGAGGAGGAGGCCACCGTGTCGAGTCCCACCGTCGACAATAATGCTGATAATAATACTGGACGACCGTCGTCTTCATTGGTGCGTAATAACGCGAACAAACTGCCGCCGCTGGAACTTAACAAGGAGCTGGAGGACTGGATCTGGCAGGACAACATGCACTTTTTACAGGACAAGAATATATTTGAGCACACATACTTTGGATTTATGTGGCAGATTTGCGGCTACATACCGCAGACGCTACTGTCCGTGCAGCCGGACATCACGGAGATGTCCGCGGAACTGTCGACGTCTTTTTTCATGGAAACGTTCATACACGCCAAGGAGAAGCCGACGATGGTGCAGTGGGTGGAACTGCTGACGAAACAATTCAACGGCTCGGCGGGCGCGTGCGCAAGATTTCTCGAGCGGATGGCCGGCGACTCGTGGTGGCCTATTCAGATTCTAGTCAAGTGTCCTAATCAGATGGTCAGGCAGATGTTTCAACGGCTATGTATTCATGTGATTCAACGATTGCGCGCTACTCAGGTGCCTCTATATCTTCTCTGCGACGAGGAGAACGACGTCAGCACGGTCGGTACGCGATCCTGCGTCACGCGATTTGTTAGGATGTTATTATCACTCATGGAACACGCCAAGCAGCATCTCAAACACCTCACCGAGTACTTCAGCTTCCTGTACGAGTTTAGCAAGATGGGGGACGACGAGGCGGTTTTTCTCATCAGGGTGCAAGCCATATCCACGATGGTAAACTTTTATCTCGGGCATAAGACGCATGAGTTCGTCGATGCGGTTAGTGAGGAGGAGGAAGAGGAAGAGATTGTGACGGTGCCTTCGGAAAAGCTCCGACCTGCTTCGTTGGATAAGATGATTATGCTGATCGCGTACTTGGTCGAGCGCAGTAGAGGACAGGATCATAGATTAGCCCTGTCGCCGGCGGATTTGAGCGCCGTGGCAGGCGGCAAGGGCTTCCCCTTTCTGTATCAACAGACACGAGACGTTATTAATCTTACTCAGACCAGAAACTTGATTCAGTCCTTGTGTCGTTGGAATGACAGACTGGCGATACACGTCGTTACGATGATATTCCAGGCGATAATGAAGCACACCGACGTATGTCAGCCTTTCTTCAAACTGTTGACGCTTCTAACAGAGAGTTCGGGACTGAGCGGCCTGCCTTGTATGACCCAGCTGATCTTGGGTAGAGTCTGGGAAGCGGCGAGGGTAGCCCCTCATGGTGCGCTTGAGTGGTTGGCTCTAGCGGTGACGAGGAGCAAATTGGCGCACGCTTGGGTTCTCCAAGGACTCGACACCTGGCTACAGCACTTCCTTCTTGAGCACTCCAATCAAAGGGTCCGTTCGGCCGCCGCTTTTCTACTGGTGTCTTTGGTACCGTCTACGCACTTTAGACAGGGATACCGTACTGCTCATCGGCTTAATCTAGGCTGCAATTCGTCCAGAGAGCTTCAACTGTCACCGGAGGCTACTCTGATACTTCATCAGATATACACGGCCCTTTTGAGATTGCTGCAACCCGCGCGACATTACATCGACATACAAACTCACGGTACAATGAAACTCACTGCCTACTTTGCATTGCTCACATACTGCGTAGTCTCCAAAACCGAAAAATTAATGGTGAGTAAAATTCTGGTCTTTTTGTGAAACAGGAGAGATCTGCGATGTAAATAAAATCTGATTCATATGATTGCTTCTTACAGTTCGGGCAGTATCTTAACGATTTGTGGACGCTTTTCCATCCGAAGCTTTCGGAACCGAGCATTCCGGTGCATCATAACAAGCAAGCGGTACTTTTGTTCTGGTATCATGTCTGCTCCGATTGTCCAGAGAATGTCGCTATGATACTCCACAATCCGCACATAACTAAGAATATTGCATTTAATTATATATTGTAAGTATTTCTTGCCTCTCTTAAGTCCATTGCATTTGTTTACAAATATGTAAACAAATGCATATAATGTATAATAATACAGCAATTTTGTCTTTATTTAAAAAGTTTAAATAAAAATATGATGTATAAATGCATGTATTATTCAGTTCGTTTTTATTATTCAACATAAGAACGCTCTTTTTGTAGTATTTCTATAATTTGTATTTTTTATTGCGATTTATTCATTGTAGAGCTGATCACGAAGACCAGGATGTTGTGCTGTTTAACAGAGTGATGTTACCTGCATATTACGGCCTTTTGCGGCTTTGCTGCCAGCAGTCGCGCACTTTTACAAGACAATTAGCTGCGCATCAGAACATTCAGTGGGCATTCAAAAACATCACTCCTCATCCTACTCAATATTCAACTGTAAGCTAAGTTTTATCCAGCTTGTTATTTGAATGACATTTTGCTCCAAATCTCATTAATTTTTTTTCTGCACCTAGGCGGTGGACGAATTATTCAAACTGATGCAGTTATTGGTAGCGAGACATCCTGATCAAACTGAACAAGAAGAGGCGGAGATCGCGTCATTCAGAAGGGGCACGTTGTCTTCTTATTTACAAGGGCTCGATGGTCGTTCATGCTGGGCAACTCTCATCTCTGCTTTTCGGTATCATTATAATAAAAACTATCTTAATCTCTCTCTCTACAAGAATGTTGAAATGTTATGGACGAGATATATTTAAAGATTAATTTTTTTTAGGATTCTCATTGAATCGGACGACGATCGTTTGTACGTTGTTTACAACGGTGGCTTAAGTATGGCCCTGGAAGCGTTTCATATGCTACACATAATGTATCACGAGGCGACGGCTTGCCACGTCGCCGGCGATCTGGCCGAACTGATCGCCATCATCGTCGAGCTGGTGCGATGCGTTCGCACTGCAAGAGACGGACCGGACGCTAGAAGTATTCTCGCCAATTGCAAAGAGTGGCCTGATATACTCCGCAAGCTAGCGACGTTACTAAACACGTACAATCCGCCCGACATGAGAAACCTGGCTATAGATCTTTTAAAGGAGCTCGTCATGCTCGTTCCTGCCGAAGCAATACTGATCCTAGCGCCATTACTTTCGCACTGCCATGCAGCTCTTCAGGAATCCCACGCCGCAGTCCCACCTGGACCGTACCTTCCGCGAAGATCTACCCCGCCCGGGAAGATGCCTACCAGACCCGCCAGGCCGATGGTACAAATGGCGGTGCCTCACTCTCAGCTGGAGGCGTCAAAAGGGGTCGATCCGGAATACGATAGCGCTCTGCTTGAATTTTACTTACCTTATCACGAGCTAATAGATGTCATGTGTAGGCTGGCGATAAATAACGATTGCATGACGGATGCGTTAGTGAACTTGAGCGCTATGCTTGGATTCGAAGGTGAGTAATGACATATGCGAGACCCCCAGGATAGACCGCAAATTTCAATTTATCTTATCATCGTTTGCAGGTGTACCTTTGCACTTGGCTCTGTTCCCTAGGTTGTGGTTGGACGTGCACGCCGCTACGCACATAGACAGAAAGCATATAGCATCTCTTTTGTGTTCTTCCTATACGGTAGATTACGTAGACGCTGTGCTGCTGGACGAGAGATCGTCGTTAGGAGTGCCGGCGATACACGCTTTTCTCAAGACTTTCTTTCCGAAACTGGCCAGTCACGTGTTGACCGAGCAAACGTGCTTGCTCATCGATAATCTGGTCAGCTCGTTGACGGCGATGGTGGAGGCGGTGGACGTTGAAGCATCGGCGCACAGGTTGACCGGGGACCTGCGCGCCCTGGCTCTCGTCTACAGCAGTAGCACAAGACTGAAACCACCCTCCAGCCTGCTGCCGGCTCTAGAGACTCTGCTATCGCGAACACGGACTATTACGGTGAAGGAGAACCGTACGTCGTCGGAGGTCGTGGAATCGCCTTCGAAACGGCGTAGGTTGTGCGGCGACAGTGAACCGGTCGATAAGGAACTCTGCGCACCGATCAACGACATCGACATGGAGAATAACATCTCCGAGGCGGAGCTGGACAAGACAGACCCGGTGAACGACACGATGTCTTCCGATTCCGGGGACGATAAGGCCGCCACTGCCAGGCACAAATCGGGCAACGTTCAAGCGGAGACCATCGCCACCAGCGGCACCGTCTCGCCGCCCCGTCTGGTCACCACCGCCAACAGTTGTACAAATCAGTTGCGCTGCTCGTTGACCAACGTCTCGTGGCTTGAGATGCTGGAGAAGACCATTGTCGATCTACAAACAATCGTGCAAGTGCAAAGCAAGAATAATTAAAATAATTCATCGCGTAGGCAGATGCTGAAAGCAACTCTGCTACTATAACACGATAACAGGACACATGATTAATGATCGGTTCTACGACGTGTAAATGTGTGTGATCTTTCGCACCGATAGAGTTTACGGTGTGTTTGCGCCTCCTTTTCAAATCCGGATTATAACTTAGTTCATAATATATATCGTATGTATGTATGTATCGAGTTCGACTGCGATTTACTTTCCAAATATAGGACAATAAGATATTTTCGTTATTTTTGTGACTTAAGTTTTACGTTAAGTTCATATATATGAAATTCGGAAGATCGCGTATCGCCGTCGTGTAACATCCGGACTACTCCGTAGAATTTTTTTCATCTGAAATCGCGTTTGTTAAAAAAAAAGTGCTGTGAGATAGATTAACTTGTCTCTTGGCAAAAAACTTGATACGTGCACTCTAATGTGCAATATAACGTACACTATCCAGTATTCAGAAAGACACAATTAAATACGAGGGATGAAATTTAATTTCTCCAAATCATCTCACTATCTCTGAAAATTCTGTTAACGTCGCAAATTATTTCGATAATTTCGCGCTATGCTTATATAGGTATGAAAGGAATCACAGGGTTTTAAGAAATTGTTAAAGTAAACAGATAAGACACAGTACGTTCGATTATTAGCAGAAATTTCTCTTATATATGCCATCATTTATGGAGTATGAGCATTTCTTTTGTTCATTTTTGACACGTGAGCCTAAGTCTCAAAAAATATTGATTTTGAAAAAGAATATTGAAAATAAAAGTTAAGCTTTTACTTTAGATATTTGTTTTATGGAGTGCCATTATCCTACTAATTTGTGTCAAGAGAGATCTCTTATTATTCTACTAATAATATTCGTCAATTTCAGATAAAAATTCATTAAAATGTCGTTTCTCAAGTTTTCTATTTTATTTTCGAATTTTCCTAACCATTTTATTTTCAAAGAACGTAAGAAGAAATTGACGGTACTAATTATTTATTTTTATTTGCGCAATATCGATTGTAAATCGTTAGGAAAGAGAGGTAAAAGAGAGAATTTACATATAAATGCTAATTTTAACTTGATCTAATTTTAATTCGATGTGTCTAGATTACACGAAGAAAAAAAATCTTAATTTGTACGGAGCGTTAGAGGTTCAAATTCTTAATGGATTGACGTAAGATTTGATGGAAAGTTCTTTAGTATATATATATATATGTTTTTTTAAATGACAACACGTTGATTGTGAACTCAATGATGGATCGAACGCAAACTATAATTTTTCATTTCGCGTCGTTTATTTACGCTTTTTTCTATCTAACAACAATCGTTTTACAAACGTCATGTTGCAAACAACTTTTCTACAATCACCGGCCGGCTCTCTCGCGTTATACGTCAAATTCGCAGAGACATCTCACATCACGAAATGAATAAAACCAGGTCGTCAAACATTTTCAACAAGCTGAACATTCAAGCCAACGTATTTATTACCGATTGAAGAGCAGATGAAGTCATTTGTTCAGCATGTAGCGCTTTCGTTGAGCTTGGATCGGATATAATGGTACTAAGCTAGCATATCGCGTCCAATTAAATAAAAATCCTGCTATTTCTCATTGCAGTTATATTACGTTGGATTGTATAACATGTATGAAGATATATATATATATATATATATATATATATAACGCAAAAAAATTTATATAATTTCTCGCTTGTGATGAACGCCTGTAATTCGATATAACTGCAGTGACGGATCAGGAACCTTTCGAAGTTAGGGAAGATGCGCGTGTACAGACATGCCGATCGACTGTTTAACAGTAAACTTTTTCCGCATTAATATTAACGCTCTCGTTCCCTAAATGTCCCGTAAGCGACTCTATATATATATATATATATATATATATATATATATATATGTTGCCGAATCCGAAAAAATATAAAAAAACAAACGCGTTTGATAGACTCGCGCACGCCGAACGATAAGCAAGTGTCCGCTTGATGCAGTGTATATTATCTTAAATGTCGCTACATTTGATGTAATTGTAACGAAATGAGAAGAACGGAAGAAATATCGGCTCTCTCTCTTTCTCTCTTTTTTTCTCTCTAAAAAATGCATTTACTCCAGTCCGATAATCGATTAATAAACATCTATCATTTATGAACTCGTATATGTGAACTTTAGTTGTGACATAATTATATAATAAAAAGAAAAGAAAATTTTTTAATTATTTTTTTAATCACGCATTTCCTTATAAACGCGCGTGTTTCCTATGTTTAAGATAAAATAAAAATGATATATTTACGAGAGAGAAAGGAGATAATAAGCAAAAGATGGAAATACTGTGGAAAGTGTATCTAAAACGAGACTCGCAATTAAAATCGACGAACTTTAATTGCGATTATTAGATTTAACGAATTATATATTTAATTAATTCTTTGTAAAATAAAAGAGTCGATATAAAATAATTAATATTAACTTTAATTAAAATGCGTTATCACATCGACGTTTATAATAACAACATATATATGGCGTGCAGGATTTCCACAGTTTTGCGAATATTTGTTTATCCCTTTCGCTGCGACGCATTTCAATAAAAAAAAAATCGCACAATAGTATCGGATAATACTTTTGTTTCTGGATTCCTACATACATACATATATAATTTTTCGCTATTATATTGTATTAGGCAAGAAATTAATTCTTCGACGACATATTGTTGTAGCGAAAGGGTAAATGAATGCACCCTTTAGAGTGTAAAAATATTAATTATAAAAATATTAATTATAAAAATATTAATATTAATTATATTAATATTTTACAAATGTACGATCCATCTGGAACAGCTGATGACTTTTTAATTCTGCAGCCAAAAAAATCTCACCCAATAATGACGTATCGCGCGTATGTGTGTTACATTATATATATATAATGTATACACACATACGCGCGATACGTCATTATTGGGTGAGATTTTATATATATATATCATTTTAACGGGAAAAAACGAGAGGGGGAGTATTTACATACACAAATATTACAGTTTTCAACATTAAAACGCGATAATATTAATTATAGCATATATTTGCGCTCTCGTTGACTTTTGATGCTCTCGAAAATGATGCTGTCGGCAACAATTTATATACGGTGTATGTTTGAAAATAAAAGGCGCTCGCGACGAAAAAAGTTTGTCAAAGTTACTGTGTAAAAATTTTTGAACGCATATTGCAATTTTTTTTACTTTTTTGGCCATTGTTCTATCTATTTCGGCCGCGAAAATCTGCTTCGCGAGATCGTTCCATCAGGGTTTGTATATCTTCGGCATGTGTCTACACATATTCTCATTTATCTTTTCATTATCATTAAGATGTATAGTTTTTCGAGCGATATAATATAATAAAAGTTTCTTCATTTTAAAATGAATATAAATATCTATTCTGCCATATATCCTGTTAGAGATACGTAGCATTTTTTGACGAAGATTTTTTTCCGTTTGTTATAACGATACAACGATAATAAGAATAAAGAAGTGATTCTATAAAAGAACAAATAAATAATTTAATATAAAATTTTCTTTGCATATAGTTTTATATTTCGAAAAATTTGTTTTTGGAGATTATGATGAATAAATCAAATTTATTTTGAAATTTATTTGTTAGAAATAATGATTGAATATTAAAACTTTTAGAGATGATATGTTACGTACGTAACATCTTTTTTAATTTTTTTTCCTATGCATATACTTTTATATAAAATCTTTGCATATAATAAAAGTTTTATTTTTTTTACATCAATTATTCTGGCACACACAATCAATAAAACTTAAAAATATATTTTTTTTTAATTTGCAAGATTTTATATAAATTTTAATTGCTTTTATATATGGATAGAAAAAAAGATTCGAAAAAATATATGTTTTTTTTAAATTATATAAACTTTTTTCTTTATTGCGATGGAATTTTTTAATTATATATTTTTTAACAAAAAATATTTCTTCTAAATTTGCAATTTTAATAAAAATTCCTTTCTTTGTTTCATTTTTTCTCGCAACCTTTTTGATCCACTTTGACACTTTCGATGCATGTATACCATGAATTGTGCCGCAACGTGAGTTGCGCGAGTAACGTCAAACGTCAGCTGCAATCAGCTGATACGCGTCATTCGCCGCAACAGAGCGTTTTTATTTACTTTCTCGACCGAAATGCATATCATTGCCGTTCGTATTTACGACGACGCATCGGAAACGACGTAAAGAGAGTACTTGGAATAAAGTCAAGCATATATTTTGTTTATTATTGCGCAGGATTAGCTATAATCATGGATAGCGTCCGCTCGCCGATGGATAACCTCTTTAACATGCTGTCGGGCTTCAGCGCGGGTCACGAAAAAGCCTTGAAACAGGGGATCTACAACGCGGTAGCGCTCTTCTTTCTATGTCTGGTCTCGGCAGCCGGCTATGGTCTGTACATCATCCTCAGCCCCTTCGTCAAACCCCTCATCTGGGCCCTGCTATGCGGTTCCGTTCTCTTCCCCTTCAAGTACTCATTGGCCACGACGGTACAGTCCTGGTTCGCCAAGATGGAAGTTTCCGAGTCCCCGCTGATCGTCAACGTCAGTCTGCTACCTATACACATATTCGACAATATTTCTGAGAAGCTGGGCTCCTTTTTATGGACACGTATCAAGTATATTGTTGGTGCAATATCGCTGGCGTTAGGACTTCTAGGTGTGTATCATTACACTCCCAACATTATGACGTGTCTCGCCTGGAGGATATTTCAGGTGTTCACCACCGTCTCTGGATTCTTCATCCTGACATGCAACATTTTTACGGTAAGTTGCATTAATCTTCTTTCATCTTGTACACTGTAATGTTCAGCTTGATGGAAACATTTCTGAGTTTTCAATGGTATTTTATTTTCAGGTTTCAACAATACTTGTTGGATATCTAACGATATTGTACATTTACTGGACGCCATCAAACTCCATCCGTTTTCGCTACATGTCATTTGTGATGTGGTTCATCGTCACCATGTATCTCTCAAGTATGGCAGGCGCTTATCGAGTCTTGGTCTTCACTGCTCTGCAGATCTTATGCGCAATCGGATTTATTTACGAAGTAGTATTGATTATGGAGAGTCAAGAGCTGAACGGTAGGCACTTGACGTTTTCGGAGGCGGCGCGTTTCGCCTTAACGAATAATTTATTACCGAGTCCGCAGGAAGAGATATTGTCTTCATCGAAGAGCGATGAGATGCGAATGAACGATTCGATTCCAGAGGAAGAGAGCACCTCAGATACGCCGATTCGTTCCAGGGAAGAGAAGACGAAGAGGCCAGCGTCATCGGGAATCGAAAGGATCCCTACCGCGTCCAAGTTCGGCGTAAAGTCGATGTCTCTGGATGCGGATGCTGGCCTGTCGCCTCTGCGTAAACCACGATCTTCGTGTAATGTACATTCTGTAACGACATTACGCGATCGTTATTTGCTCAGCAAAATAAAGGCCGAATTACGAATGTCTCTAGATATGCAAGATGATGAAGTCGATACCGATAAATATATGTACGGAGCGATGTACGCGTGCGTCGGTATGCTTCTTTGGAAGCACAGATGGATCTGCCACATCTTGGTGATCCCTTTGGTGTATTACGTCGTCAAGCAGCTGGGCGGTTATTTCGGCTTTTGGGAAACGATACGCAGACACTGCGACTCGACGATACAAGGGATCAAGTCGTGGTGCCTCGAACGACATCAAGCTCTTATACCCTCTAATATCAGAGGTCTCTATAAAGTAAGCATTATCGTGGACGAGAAACTCAGGAATGTTCTCAAGGCGTCCGTCAACGCGGTAGCGACTACTTCTGTGATATTCGGGCTAATCATTTTCACCACTTGCGCATCTATTTTCATAACGATACAGGTACAATAAATATTCCTACATTTATTGATCTATGTGATCCATATTCTATACCATTAGTTCTGTCTATAGGTTTATGCGGAAGGTTTGCATCTCGTTCAAGTAACGGGTGAAATATTGAATTCTTCTCTGATGAACAATCCTGATATCGACTGGGTTCCGGAGAAATGGGAAGAATCTGTTAACAGCGTTTTAGATAATGCTTATACTTATGGACGAACCGCTATATCAGAAGGAGTAAGATTTAATAACTTATTTTCTTTTTTAATTTTTTTTACTTTACACATGCCAGAGATTCATCTCTTCCTTCATTCAGATTCGAGGTCTCGTGAAAGATCTAGAACCGTCCAAGGCGGAGCAAATGGAGAAGAAAGTCTTAGAGCTTTGGGATCGTCTCTACCAGGCGTGGATGATGTCTAATGCGGATCCAAACTTCGTAGGTCCTGTTGTAGATGCTGGATCTGCATATTATGCTTGGGAGAATTTCAAGGAAAGCTTTGGGAAAATGCCTCTCCGTGAGTGATCTAAAAAATTTATAAATGATTGTTTCAAATTTTATTTTTATCATATAGAATCTAATTAATCTTTATACTATGAGTATACGGACCATCTTATATGATACAACAACTGAAAATGCTCATATGAAATCCCTTTCTCTTTCAGATCTTTTCAATATGACAAGCATACAGAATTTTGCCAAGGAAAATATTGGCATTTTGATGTCAGTGCTTGATTCTATCTGGAGCATTGTTAAAGGCAACATGTCTGTGATACTGACAATTTTTACAGAGCTATTTTATATCGTACTCATGAGTGGATCAGCTGTATTTAACTTTGTACTCAGCACGGTATGAATAACATGTTTTGTGAAGCTTTATTGTAAAAAGAAAAAATACGAGAAATGTAAGAATTTTCTATTTTAGGTGGTCTTCTTTACAACTCTATTTTATTTACTCAGTTCCAGCGGTAAAACATACAAACCCATCGAATTGACCACGATGTTTAGTCCTATTAGCTGTCACAGGTATAAATATATCCGATATCTTAAACTTAATTGCTTTTCATTTCTATGCATTCGCATGCTATGAATATATGCATGCGAGATCTTGAAATTTACATAAATATTTATCTTTTCACAAGCACGACACAGGTAGAAGGGTAAGTTAATCTTCGTACAATAGTATAGAGTCAATAGCTATTTTTAAATAACTCAATTATGTGTGAAGAGTCGATTAGCATGCAGAAGACATAATGTTGACTTTTTTTCAGATTTGCCATAGCGTTACAAGAGGCGGTGATCGGAGTGTTCGCGGCGACTTTCAAGCTCGCCTCCTTCTTCGGCATGTGGACGTGGTTTATCCACAATTTATTCCAAGTGAAGATCGTCTACTTGCCATCGGCCCTCGCGACTATGCTGGGTGCAGTTCCTTTTTTGGACGCGTACTTTGCTTGCATCCCGGCCACGATCGAGCTCTGGTTCACTCGCGGATCGATGATCGCTATTCCTTTCTTCCTTTTCCATTTTCTCCCGTGTAACATAGTGGTGACGGAATTCTATAAGGAAATCAAAGGGTAAGATTGCTTCGTATATATGGTTTAACAAGTTTTCAGTTACAATATTTCTACATACATACTTCATTTGTTTCAGCGGTGGACATCCTTATCTGACAGGCCTATCCATAGCAGGTGGGATCTTCTGTTTAGGCGTAGAGGGAGCAATCTTTGGCCCTTTGCTTCTATGTTGCATTATGGTTGTCATCAATTTAAGTCGACGTTACCTGCATTCGCCCGAAGAGGAAGTTATGCTTCCAGCTTATTCGAGTACTGTTCACGGAACACCATGATCATATTAAGATAATGGTACGCTTTAGCTCTAACACATTAATTTATTCCGCTTAACAACGTTGTGAGCTACGGGCTTAAGATCCTTAGCTTTTAACTGTAAATATTCAAAGTTTTATATCAAATATTTTATGAAAGTCTGTACGATAACTGGACTAAACGCGTGCAGCGCACACGAACATGTAAAAGCTGGGTCCAGACCAAACGATTATCAGCGAACGAACGTGAAGAGGAGTTAATTATTTAATATTTTTATCTTTTTATAATTAAATATTTTTTACGATTTTTTATAATTATTTAAAAATTAATTTTTTATTAAAAAGACTATTAAATCCTTCTTTTCTGACTATTAAATCCTCCTCTGCCGATGCTCGCTAACATTCATTCACGATTGTTTGCATTTTATATTCGCATTTGTTTGGTCTAGATCCAACTCAAAATCATATGTGCTTTACATATGTACTCAAAATCATATGTGCTTTACATATGTACTCAAAATCATATGTGCTTTACATATGTACTTTTATGTGATAAGAGAACTAACAGGGAGAAATCTCGGCTTACGCTTATTAGTCTTAGAAATATATCATATATTACAGATTTTCTTAGTCTTCCATCGTCTTTGATTAGAAATTTGATACATATATAATATTATATATATACACACACACACACATTTATGTACATATACATACATACATATACATACATATATATATATATATATATATATATATATATATATATAGATTTGTGATAACATGTATGTATATACGAGAATTTTCTTTATGTGTATCATTACATTTTTAAAAAATGCTATGTGTTTTGTTTTTAACATGTTGATTAATTTACGTGCAAACAAAAAAAAAAGATATGTGGTAATGTGGTACTGACACTACTGACTTCAAGACTTAACATATTATGTGTATTTTTCATGTCACGTGTAATCAAAGATATGTGTTTATGGTAATAAATAATTTTCTCAATGTTTAATCCGTGTATTATGCGCTAAATTATAATTCATTGACGTGTAATTGAAACGCAATCTTCAACAGCAGCGCGATGTCTAATTTGATATCCATGATACTTGGTGGAGCCTTAATTATCCTTCTTATTCTTATCGGATTTGAAATTTATTTACACTACGACACTTACTTTCCGTCGAGGACGGTTTGAAGAAAGTATAATATAATGAAATAAAAAAAGAGTTCATTTATATATCACGATAAAAAGTTTGTGTACAATAGATTTATCGCAAATAAATTATGGTATATATAAAGTAATTCTTAAATCGATCTTTATTTCATATGTAATTATGTAAATAAAATGTTACGTACGATTAATATAAATTTTTCGTTTCTTTAACAAAATAGTCGTCATGAAAATTGCCACGTGCGTTATAAATGTCGGACAATGTAACGAGCCTTATGTTGCTCCGCAACAATTCGATCGTGGTCCCTTCGTAGGCATGGAAAATAATTTCCTTCTTCTTCTCAAACATGTGAAAACCATTTTCGGAAAAACGACCGCGTATATTACCCACTTCTAACCACACGAAGAGCGCTATATTGTCTGTCGATAGTTCAATCTTGAAATCCGGATAATTGGAAAGTTTTCCAGGTAACAGATGATCCTCTTCGAGTTTTATCTGAAACGAGAGAGAATAGCGTGTCAACGTTTCTTCGACAGCTGCAAACATATGCCAAATATCGACATCAGTAATTTACTTACAGTAACATTGGCTACTGGTACATTTGCATTTTTTAGTGCACCAGGATAAACATAATTGACTGCGATCAAAGAGTCAGCTATATCTGTGAGAGATAAAGTAATTATGCAAGACTTCTTGGCGGATTCCAATGATCCGCAAACTTGAACGAGAAAATCGTCCAGCAAAAATGACGTAATTCTCTTGGCTTCATTGGCTTCCTGAAAGAATTAATACAACCATGTGGATATTTACACACTGCTTTCTTTCTTTCCGCTGATACTCACTATTGTAATATCATCGAAAGATTTTGTGAATATGGGTGTTGTGGAATTCCAGTTGTAGACACAAATTTCAACTGTACAATTTTTTGACCCGTATCGTAGATCAGATACAACATATATTGAGAGTTCATTGGAAGTGGATAAGTGTGATGTAACAATAATGGGTGCGAAGAAATCTTTGGCGTAATAATGAAGCATCTTCCAACGACCTTCGATATCTGTAAATATAAAGGGAAAATTTCCAAACGACATTGTATTAAAATTCAAAAAAGATTCTCACAAGTTTAAGTTATGCTGTATAGAATATTTTTTAGTTCTAGTTACAAGATTATCATGTATAAAATGTCTGATTATACCTATCGAAGACCATGAAGGAGCTTGCCAAACATCATTGAGCTGCCAATAAAGAGCTCCCATTGTCATACCTTCGCCTGTTACGTTATTCACTTCACTTTTGGCCTGTCTGTAAGCTTCCGTTTGTATCCTCATGGAAACAGCTTGATTGATCTGACTGAGATAAACGTAATTCGCGAAATCCCGAACGCTATTGTTACTCTGCGGCATGGCAAAGTTGTACGAGATCAACAGTCGCATGTACTCGTTACCAAATGGCAGATGCTGCCGGTGTTGCACAAAATCGCTGCCCACGTTAAGATCTTTTGCGCTTTCCACAGCGGTCACTAGCGTGTACATCGACGGCCAAGACTGAAATCCATATTCGGAGCAAAATCTTGTCCGAGGATACTGAGTAATGTCCCATCCATTTCTGAGGTAGTTATAATAGTGAACTGGAAAATACAAAACATTTAACATATTCTGTTCATGTTCTATTATATGTATATATATTTTACTTATATATACCGTCGCCGAAGAGATTGGAGTAAGGATTTGCTCCGGTGTAGTTGTACGTCTCCTCGTACACCCCGTTACCCGGACTAGATACGACAAATAATCTTCCGGGATCTAGTTTCTCCACCTCTCTCTTAATCAGATTCACGTAAAGTTTCCTATAATCGTCTCTATAGACTTGAGCGGTTCCGGTGCCGTACCAATCTCCATACAACGCTGCTTCGTTTTCGTTATTACCAGCCCAGAGTACGATGCTTGGATGATTCTTCAGACGTATCACATTCTGCACTATTTCCTGCTCGACATTCTTCAAGAAGGAATCATCTGTGGGATACATGGCGCACGCGAACATGAAATCTTGCCAAATCATAATCCCGTATTCGTCGGCCAAGTCGTAAAATAATTTGGACTCGTAGACACCGCCTCCCCATACCCTCAGCATGTTCATGTGCGTTTCTTTGGCGGATAATAGCAAGTGTCTGATGGTGTTTTCCTTCGCGCCCCATTCGGGGAAGACGCTGGCTGGGATAAAATTACTGCCTTTAGCAAAGATCGGCACGTCGTTCACGCGAAAGTAAAAGCTCAGTCCCTTTTCCAGAGGTTCCTCCACCAGTTCTATCGTTCTGAATCCCACGCGGATCCGTTTATGCAATACATCATTTGCCGTTGTCAGGGTGGTAGTTAAATAGTACAGAGGTTGCTTGCCATAGCCATTTGGCCACCAGTTCTCAACGGCATACTTGTCAGAAGGAAAATGTTAAAATGAGGAAGATATAAACATTCTCACATAACAATGATCATTAAATTAATCGTGCAAAACTTACTGCAGGCACGGTAAGGGAGATGTTAATGTTCATGTATTTTTTGCTCGTGTCAAGCATGATTTCACTGGTATTACTGTAAAGTATGCTTTGCGAAACATGTAATATCGATGTGACGTGACAATTAATTAATTCTTCGTTTTCGTTCTGCGTCATCTCGAGAAATATTGTAACAAGGACATTCCAGGTGTCCTTCTCTCTGCGTATGTCAGTTGTAACATCCTTGAGCAATAGGTCATTTACAGAAACCAACTCGACATCTCGCCTGCAAACTTATACTTTATGTTAGACCGATAAAAAGTATAAATGAGAAATATATGTATATTGTAAGATAAATAGTTTTTAATTACCAAATGCCAACTGAGGGAAAAGCTGGTCCCCAATCCCAAGAGAAACTGGCTTGCATCTTACGAATATGATTTACATGGCACTGCCCATGATAGTCTTTGGGTACACACACTGGTGGTACAACATAACTTTTCCTATGTTCATTATATAAATCTTCGGCTACTTTGACAGAGGAACGAAATGCGACTCGCAGCAAATTCTGGCCTTCCTGTATATCCCAAATATAAAAAGAAATTTTACTATCCAGAGATATATGTATATTTTATATTACTTGAGTACGATTCCCTTACCTTGATATAATCTGTTACATCAAAAATATATCTTAGGAACATATTTGAAGTTTGTCCAATCATATGGTCATTCAAGGAGACATTGGCAAATGTGTCAATTCCATAAAAAATCAAGACTGTCTTGCGAGTTCTTAGAAAATCACTGGTTACTAAAAATGATGTATTTATATAGATTATATATAAAAAAAGAGCGAGAAAGAGAATTCTCTATATTTATTCTGACTTACCATTAACATTTTTAGTATAAACGACAGATTGATTCCCGACCCAACGATTATTGATATCATTCCTTCCAAATAGGTTGTTTTCTATTATATTATTTTTAGATAAATCTGTATAAACTCCTCCAGGAACAGTTGCACTAAAATTGATGTCTGTGGAAAAAAATTGTATACCAAAATATGTGCAGATAAAAATATAAAAGTAAAGAAAGAATTACATGTTATATTTTTATGCAAAATTAACTGAAAGTCTCTCTTACCATTATCGCATCCTGGAAAGGGTTTCTTATCTGAAAGAAATATTTCTTGTAGTAATTTAAATTAATATGAAGGATGTATGTGTGTGTATTATATTAATTATAGACACATATCTTTACCACATATATAATATGTTCAAAAGTTCATGTATTCAAGAAGTGTCACATCTATTTTTGACAAATAAGAATATCTGATAATACGTACCACAAGTATTAATAGTCCCTTTCCATTCTCCATTTAGGGTTATAGATTGACAGTGTACACTTATTAAGGATAAAATCCATAATGTCAAAATAAAGAGCTTCATTTTAATAACTGTGGCTGATGTATACTGAAGCATGAGAGTATGAGGTAACTATTTGAAATAAAAAACTAAAAGTAATTCAGTAAAGAGTTTGTATTCTATTACTGTTTTTCACATTTTACATGTCGAGCTCCGATAAATATAAAGATAACAACAAATAATGGATCCTTATTTAAAGAGTGTTCTGTTGTTATTATCTCATCCAGTACTCCACAACTTTTCTCATAAGAGCTTGATTATCTCTTTAGATTACGATTAATAAGCTAAAGTTTATCAATCCATAACCTTGATATCGGGAGGAAATGAATTATTTAGGAGGAAAGTAATCTTTTATACAAGAGGTAGCTCTGATATAAATCTATTTTTAAATAATAAATTTCAATACTTCTTACAGTCTTACTGGAATGATTTTTTAAATATCAATTTTTTTTTATATAAGGTTTTAATAAAAACTCGAAAATGTTTAAATATTTGAATGCTATTTTATTTACAAACAATAAATTCTATCGGTATAAAAATATTATATGTTAATTTACATTTCAGGGCATTAAAGTAAATTTACAGAAATTGATGTTACTGCATTTATATAATAGAGCTTTTTAAAAAGTGCTCTGGAATTTAAAAAGTATTTCAACTATATACTTTTACAAATTGCTTATAAACATATACTGCATATATATTGCAAAATAAAGTTTTATTAGTATGCGAGTGGAATGTATATATAATTAATGGCCATATAATATTCACTATCTCTTTTCGACTTTCTAATATATACTTTTGATACTGATAAAAATTAACACAATATTTACATGTCATCTTTAATAATGCAATACATTGCAAAATATATTTTAAAAATCTATTTTCTAATAACTTTTACTGTTATTAAAAAATATTATAAACAGAAAATTAAATCTTTATAATGATATTTATATTGAATTTAAAACAAACTTATAAAAAAAGATAATTGGCAACTGTATCAAGAATAGATTTGAAATCTAGTAACTTGCAATTTTTAATATCTTTGCTGATATTAAAATCGATTTTTTTCAATAAAAAGGTGCTTAATATTTGTTAGATTTAATCGAAGAGAATTAATAAGTTTCATATCTTTCAAGAATAATTAAATAATAAAATCTTTTTTTTCGATTAATTTTAAGTTTTATTTAAGAATTTTACTTATAAAAGTTTGTTTTAAAAATTTTAATGTAAAAAATTTGTAATATTGAAAGTTATTTTTTCGTTAAGATAATTTTATTGTTCTTAAAGAATCGTTAAAATTACGCACGCGAATTGCCTTTGTACTACATGCGACATGGAATGTTAAGCAAATGCAAAATACATGCATACCAATTGCTTAACGCTATAGCGTAAATATGCAGTAGCATAAATTCATGATATGTTGAAAATCATATCTTTTTCTGAAGAAGAAACGAAAAAGAAATATACGTTTGAAAGAAAATCCGCATAACCATCAATAAATATTTCCTCTCTAGGAGTATATATTATTTTTTTTCGGTATATAATTTTCTTTTTCTATTGGTATTCAATTTTTTAAGTTTATTAGTTTTATTATCAGAGGGAAAATGACCCAAATAAGCTATTTCGGAATCTTTCTGTTCATCTATTACTGGCTTATAAGTGTGAAAGGATGAAGCAGGTGCAGTATCGATATCTTGAGATCCTAAAGAAGAAGATATATAAATAAATCTAATACAAAGGGCATTTTTTAGCCAAAGTAAATTAATAGGAAGAGCTTTTGAATAATCATTAAATAAAGAAAAATTTGTGTTTTATATGTCAACGACATATTTAAAACAATGAAGAAAATTTGAGCCTTTAAAAGCTCGAACTTTCAATTCCTAGCATGATTTGCAGATTCCTCTGTATAAACTTGTATAAAAGCAGATGCTTACAGTTGTCTTATATATATATATATATATATATATATATATATATATATATATATATGTATATATATACTAAAGAAAACCAGCAATCCAGATTTGTTTATTGTTCAATTCGAATAATTATCTAATGCATCTTGATAAGATCATGTTTTTCAGAAATCAGAAATATATCAGCACAAACAACAATTTATGTAATACTGAACGTACCACGTGAATGCCTCTTATCGCGCCTACTGATACATTGGTGAACATGCTCCTCATATTCGATTCCATCAGTAGTTTTGTAATTGTTGCATATACTACATTCCAATTTGTTCTTGTCATTATCGTCTTCTTCATTATTCGTGTCGAATTGTTCGCAATAAGCGGCATGATTCTCTATTTCGTTATCCGGAAACAACTTGTTGCATATAGGACAACTTACATTATTTGTCGAAGTAAATACCTTATCAGATTGATTGCCATTCTGTACATCCAACTCCTATATATATATATATATATATATATATATATATAAGTAGATTGTAAAAGAATAATAAATATTATTAAATAAATCAAAAAGGGATTCTGGAAGAGAAAGAAGAAAATCACATAATTTTAATTAATAACTTACTTGATTCGTTTCATCTGGCTTGTCCTCATCATCAGACAGTAGTTGATGCTCCCAGCTCCCATTTCCATTCTTCATCCTAGATTCTTCTTTCTTTCGTTCGCAGAGTTTTGGTCTCTTTTCCTTATTCCGTTCCCTATCGCTTTCTTCTTCCTTTGTTGCTGCATTCGTTTCTTTCACAGTTTCTATTTTATGAAGCGACAGTCGTTTCTCGTGTAATTTCGATCGTACCTCTTTCGATAGTGGCAATGGTCGTATTTCCGGGTGCTTTTCCACCGAAATCTCTTCCTCGTCACTATTCCAGCTTTCCACCATTTTTTGGATTTCATCGTCTGTCATTGTATCCTTTTGCATTTTCGGGTGTTCGATAACTTTATTCACGATGCGCCGTGTCTTCGAGGACGATTTCGCCGTTCCCTTTCTTTGCCTCGACAGACCTGGACGTGCCTTAGGATTGGGTGGTACTATTCTTCTCGGATATATATTTGATGCCATCGATATATCCTCTTTATCCTCCTTATATTCTCTTTTATCTTCTTCATTGATTTTCTTACGGCATAGAGATTTAATATCGTCATCGTTGAATTCTATATCGCTATTCTCATCATCGATGGAGTTTCCTTGATGTGCGATCACGCTCGACGTTGCTTCTTCATGATTGTTACTATGATGCCGATTCACAGCACGTTGTGCGTTACTCGATTTACTATCGAACTGTGCTCTTTTTTTCTTAATGCGAGCAAAATCGTGCCACTTGTCATCCTCGTCCTCGGTGGAGCTCTCTTTATTCAGACTAGCAATGAGAGAGCTCGCTTTACGTTTGCTAGCTCGCTCGTGACTATCTCTATATGTACATTCGGTTTTCATCTGTTCAGTCTTAGATTCTGTTAATGGCTTTTTATCCAAGCTACCGTTAGCGGTGCCGACCTACAGAAACAAGGATTAGAATCAGAATAGAAATAAACAGAATTGAATGAAGTAAACAACTATCTTTTCTTTTTTACACAAATATAATTTATTCAAAAATGTTTCACAGTTTACAGCATTTAATAACTGTGTTCTTGTAAACATTTATGTGTATACATGTCTCTGTATAAATGCAATAGTTTATAATATTAATAAAAAATATTAAATGTCTTCCCCCCCCCTCCTTTATAATTCGTTCCACAACAAAATGCTACAAAATTGCTCGTATAAATAATTTTATGTGTACACATTGATGTATAAAGTTAAAACCATATATATATATATATATATAGTAATATCTGCAAGTAATACATGGAAGTTATACACACATTAATATATCAAAATCTAATAAATGCATCTTATTGGACATAGTATGTATTGTATTATACAATCTCAAAGAAGATGCAAAATCATTCAATTACAGATTTTTTACAAAAATTTTTACAAAAGATAAGAATAAGAGCAAAATTTAGTTACAAAAAAAAATTGTATAAAGTTAATGCGTTCTTTTAATTTAAACTAAATCTTCCATGATTCGACTTTTTATCGATAACTCCAAAGTAGTCAAATTAACACGCTTATTAGCGATTGCTTAATGGAGTTTGCTCAAGTCGTATATAGAAAAAGATTTCGAAATATATAGCACATATAATAAAAAGTGAGTATACTTTGAATAATATTCCTCAAGCGAGTACAAGATCTTACATCTAAGAAAAGAATTGTAGCGCAAAATAATAAAATTAAATACTCAAAATAAAATACTAGCAAAAATTTTCTAACATCAAATTGCAATGGCATATATAAATGGTCTTTCTCATCTTAGAAAAACGCGTGTACCTAATTATAAAAGAAAGACTACACATTCGTTAGCGATACGAGCGATACGGGAGGGATTGCAGGGTGGTACCCACCTGAATGGGTGACCCCCATCGGAATATCGAATTAGCAGCAGGCTGCCAATTGTACCAAGATTCTGCTACTTTCTGCAAATGCTGGCTCACACATCGTATTGCTTGGTCGCGCTGCTCGGTCGTGTGCGTTTCCTCGCAGTACTTAAATGGCACACGTTCTTTAGCCGAGGTTCGGTTTGGTTGTTGCAAAGGCACGTCAATTTCGTTGATACAAACATCGAGCGGGTTCATTTGCCATCTGTCCAGTTTCTGATCCAACTCGCTCGACGTATCCTGCGCTGTTTTTTTGTCCGTCGCGTTTTGGCTCTCTCGTGAAACATTTGTTGATCTCAACGAGAGGAAACGATTTGTACTGTGGGTAGAATTGGTGCTCTCGAATATTTCCTCGTTATCTGAGCTTTTGCGCCTGTACATAGGATTTCGTGCTTCGAAAAGAGACGGGGATTCTGGATCGTTGACATAGTGACTAGTCTTATGCTCCGTTGAAGATATATGATTCGATCTATAAGAGTACGATGGTCTAGGTATCTCTGTACATTCCTGTAAAGCCAATTCTTGTGATGCATTTACATCAGACGTAATTTCCGAGAGATGTTGATTATTAATATGTTGCTCCTGAAATAATTTTTAATCAAACAATATACTTTTCTTTCTTCCTAATTTCTTGAATCAATTTGATATACAATAATAAACTTCAAATTTGTTATAATTATTATATAGAACATTTTATATTTTAATGTCACACAGCTTATGCGATAATTATAATTACACACCTTGTGCGTATCTTTATTATTGGAGATAACGTTTAAAGTATCTTGAGGCTCATTGATAAATCCAAGTAACTCTTTCATTTGTTTGTACGTGAGTTCTGGCTCGTATATTCCAATATCTAAAAAGAAAATCTATAATTACAAATTGTTTGTAAGAAATAAACTTTTTTTCAAAAATAAATATAAAACTTTATAGCGGTACTTAAACTAAAAAAAAAAAAATATATGTATATATATTTTTAACGATCATTGCTTCATGGACAATTGCATTCTAATACGCTACACACATATTTATTCAATAATGTTTTGCAAAATCCGAAGATCTACAAATTGACACTTGATTCTTCTCGCAACTACGTTCAATTTAGCTGTAAATAAATCCAATTACTCGTGAGTTTCCGTTTCATCTCCTCCTCTTCAAACTTCCTCGCGCTTAACCTCTCGTTTTTCTCCCGTTCCATACTGTCCGACAGGGCAAATGAATATTGTAGAAAATTACGCCGAATAATCCTTCACTTCCCACGGATACCTGCTTATTTGGGGCACAGTGCCGCGCCCCCGTCGCGTGAAATAGCTTGCTTTAACTAAATGTAAATAAGGATTCCTCTGTGCCGCAATTAAGCATGCCTGATCGCTTCTCCCTTCAGCTGTTCGGCTCTCCTCTTCGCGGATTGTCTCGCGATGTCGCGCGAGATGATGCTAGATACGTTTCTCGAACATCGGCTCACATCGGTTGCCCCCTCGCATACGATAATGAAATGCCGACAATCCTCGAGTCCACGTTTATCGGTGTCGTTTCTCGCCTGCGTACGTACATATCCAGAAAAAAAACTTGGTATGAACAAGAATCGCCAGAAAATACAAACTCCTTGAAAGAGACCTCGGATGAGCCTCAGCGCCACCGCGTGTTGCTGCTGCGAACTAAAATGCGGATCACGTGACCGAGCGCTGACATTAGGCGCCAAATTTAAATTTTTGACAGCGCGTGCGCGCTTGTATACCGGGTGTTCCGATCAATTTTATCACTTCTTGAGCATATATTTTCAGACGTGAATGAGATTTTAGATTAAAACAAGGACGTGTCAAGATAATAGTTTTCATACGCAAATTAAATTATTTGCATGCTTCAGGTTTAGAATATAAAGTTCTTAGAATCTGAAATAAAAAGACTAAAATAAAAGATTTTTTTGTTTATAATTGAGACATGTAAAATAAAATAAAATGAGATGTTTAAGAGTGTAGTATAAGAAACAAAGAATATAAGAATCTTTTATAATACGTAGATATGCTATTAGAAATAATATATTTTCTGATTTCTTATAATTATACTAACTATAAGCTTTCATTATTGTTATACTATATCTTATCGTATAGTTTTAATCTTATTTTTATTTAAATGTTTTATTAATTTCTTTCTGATAAATATATCTTACTTCGATATCTTATCATTATGTGTATAGTTTTTACTGTCCACAAAAGCTGACTCTCCTATATTACTTAACACATACATACCTACATACACACATACACACACACACACACACAATGTATGGCTCTTTCAAAGATTATATACCTCTATAAAATATTCAACAAAGATTGTGGTACCCTAGCTGAAGAACTTTAGAGAATTTGTTATGTATGAGCGCCTGTTCTTTGTAAACGCTCTACGTAGTGCTATACTCTTTTAAATAATGTATTTTAAAAATACATGTATATACCATTATATTTAAAAAAAATCAGAATCAGAATAAAAAGAAAGAAAGAGACTCGATTTATTCACACTTTTATTTTTTTTATATATAATTTCTTATAAATAATAATAAATAATATATATATTCTCGAAAAAGAGAAAAAGGAAACTATTAAAATGCAAAGGCAAAGCTCTTCAAAATAAAAATAATGTACAATTTTCTTTCAAAAATCTATATATATATGCCGCGCAAAAAAATTCTGCGGAACATCTCCCGCTGTCATAAATATACATACATATAAAAAATTAAAAAATGAAACGAAATAAAATATAAATTCAAGAGCGACTCGTTCGATACCTTTCTTATAGAGGCTACATGATATCCAGAAGGGGCAGTGTTCCCATGATTATATATTTATTCCATTTGTATCGAACCGCGAGGTACCGAAGCCAGGAAGAAAAAGGAGGGTCATTACATGTCATATGTAAAGACGTAAATATGCGTCTTTCCGAGGGTCATCGTCGTCACGTGTGCACGTATATATGCGCACACACGCAAGAAGACACGCCATCAGTGTAGGAGGTGGAGGACGCGCAGTTCTTACGTCGCCTTCGAGCTACGACGAGGTTTCGTCGTCCGCGCGCAATTAAATACACCGGTACATATTTCTCTCTTATCGGAAGATCCCTTATCGCGTCCGACGACGCAGTCAAGCTCCGCCATGCGGCACGCGAGATAATGCCGCGGTCCGCTGCTGGATCCCGGCCGCGCTCGTCGAGGACGAGGTTAGGCGGCGCGATTTATTATCAATCCTGACGTGTCAGACTTCGCCCGAAGCGCGCAAATGGCGGCAGCCGAGGAGGACGTGTCCGCGCTCGGTGAGAGCCTGGACAAGCTGAGCGTCGAGGACGACGAGGAGACGACGACAAGTAAGCCCGGGAACGATGCCGATGACGCGAAAGTCTGCGAGAGCCCCCAACTCTGGGGCTTCGAGACGCGGGAGCTCTACAAGCTCGCGCTCAACTTCTACAAAGGTGAGTCCTGGACGTCGTCTCGTCGACGACCTCGGATTATGTGTCCTATGTTTACGGCGCAATTTTTCCTATCTGACGTAGGAGGACTTGAAAATCCTTCGATTCCTAAAGACTCTGTAATGTTGTTTCTTCTATTTTCACATTTAATATGCAATCTATTTTATAGAAATTAAATAGAGAATTTAATTTTCTGATAAAGGTAAGGAATTTTTTTATTCTAGACATTTTAAAGATAAAATAATACTGTTGAAAATTCAAATGCTACGTTATGTAAATTAAGAATTATTGAAATGGAAATGAACATATGTATGTGTATAATTTTTATTGATATAAATATATGTAATTGCGCATTTTTATATTTACAAGACATAAAAATTTTTATTTGAAAGTAAGATGAAGCATCTAACGCATAAATCTTGTATGCATTAATTAAATTTATATTGTGCAATGATCATTGTGATCATTGACAATGCAATGCTTTGTGTGTATACTTATTGTATACTATTGTGAAACATCTTTACAGTGATACAAATATACGTTTATAATATGAGAAATGTCAGAAACATATATATACATTTTAATATTTTGATAAATTTTAAATAAAAAGATAAATTATATTTTTAATATATATATATATATATATATACTATTTCTTTACAAGATTGTTATCGAAAGATTTGTGTATTTAGAGAAAGAGGGCAAGGCAGTGCATCTCTCTTACGAGGACAAATTGAAATTGGTGGCATTTACACAGCAAGTGACACATGGAAAATGTACAGCTGAAAATGCAGCACCGTTAGGCGTCCTGGATGTGATTGGAAAGGACAGGCGATTGGCATGGCAAAATCTAGGAGATATATCAAAGGAACAGGCAATGGAGGGTTTTATAGTATTATTGGATAAGCTGTGTCCTTTATTCAGAACCGTAGTCGAAGCACAGAAAAGGGACTTTGAGGAGAAACAGCGTCTTAAGAAAGAGGAAGAGGCCAAAAAACTGGAAGAGGAAAGGAAGCTCAAGGAACTGGAGGAAGAGAAAAAGAAGCAAGAAGAAGAAAGACTGAAGGAGGAGACTCAGAGGAGACAAATCCAGGATGCTTTGAATCAGCAGACGTATTATCAGTTCAAAGTGTACGCTGAGCAGCAATATCCTGGCAATCCGGAGCAACAGGGCGTTCTGATCAGGCAATTGCAGGAACAGCATTACCATCAATACATGCAGCAGTTGCACCAGAATCAACTAGTCATCGAGGATCAGTCTGAGGATGAGGAGAAGAAGAAGAGCGTCGAACCGGAGGACACGACGACGTCCAAAGATGACAACGACGACGATAAGGACGACTCGAACGAGAACGCGCCTTTGAACGATGACGATTCGGACGAGATAGAAGATTGGCCGCCCATTAATGCCGCGGAGATGTGGACGAGGAAGGGTGTGGAGGAGTTCAAGCAGGTCATTAGGCGAGAAGCGGGCGACGCGGTCATCAAGGTCGGTCACGGCGAGACGGTGACGGTGCGAGTTCCCACGCACGAGGACGGTACGTGCTTATTCTGGGAATTCGCTACCGACGGTTACGACATCGGTTTTGGAGTTTATTTCGAGTGGTCTAAGCCGGAGACGAATCAGGTATCTGTGCACATAAGCGAGTCCGAAGACGAGGACGAGGAGGAGGAGGAATACGAACCGCGCGGAGAAGACCTGGAGAGTGGATCGGTGAACGGCAACTCTCAACCTGCACGTAAAACTGCTACACCGCCCATAAGCGTTATAGTACCTGTGAGTAGTCACTAGTTTTCAATTTGAATATATTTAATATATAAGAGTTGCGGAACACCTGCACTGATATATTAATTCTTTTAATGTCGTTTAAAGGTATATAGGAGAGACTCTCAGGAGGAGATCTACGCTGGAAGTCATCAATATCCAGGCGAGGTAAGGGCATAAGAAAATTTGCCATAGAATTATCTAGTTTTTTAGTACTTGAAGAATTCATAATTATTAATTTCTCCTTTCTCGTTTGCAGGGAGTATATCTTCTAAAGTTCGACAACTCTTACTCTCTTTGGCGGAGTAAAACGCTTTACTACCGAGTGTATTACACACGGCAGAATAACTTGGTGAAGAATAATAATTAGTCTTTACGTTACATATTATAAAACGAGATGTGTATCGATTATACGTCGTCGTCTGTTGAGCACTAGCCTTGGCATAATAATTGTCTAACTAATAATGCTAGTCCAACTAAATAAGTCTTTTATGTCTCGATTCGATTCGCGCGAAAAAATCTGTTCACATACAAAGAAAATATATTTATTGTATAGTCAAATAAGAACACACATGTTCTATATTCTTTAAAGTGGCAAAAAATGCTGTGCGCACGAAACAGATTCTTAACTATCTACATTTACGAGATGATTGTGTAAATTAACTTTTCTATGTGCATTATTGCATAATCTGCGCCGATTCTTCGATTCAAACGGTGTTTTTTTATTATAATTTTGGAGAAAATTTTAAAATATTCATATCGGCGTTTAATATACTATATATGTATGTGTATGTGTGTGTATATATATGTATATGTGTATATGTATATATACACATGTAAAGGTGAAGATATTTCGTATTATATAGAACAAAGGGTTGAATGTATACACATACGCTTTTGTATCGTCTATATGGATATTTGCTTGGAATGTTTTTTGCTAACTCCATGTAATACAGATTTTATCACTGATTAGTGTTCACTATGTCATATGTAGCTTTTATTAAAATTATCTTATTTTTCTTTAAGGAGAAATACAGCAACAGATTCAGTGCGCATTTCTTGTTTCATTCACGATTCTCAACGACAAAGTTCATTCCTCTCTCTCTTTTTTTTGTAACGTTTATTATTCTACGTAGCCATATTGTTTTTACAGCAAAATCGTACGATTTATATTACTCACGATATTAATGATAATAATAATAATAATAATAATAATAATAATAATAATAATTGTATCCTGCAACATCCAACTACAAATAACTTATACTAACGGGTATGCGTGCTTGATTCCGCTCTTATCGTACTCCCATTTTATCACGCGTTTAGCTTCGATCTATAACGACGTTTAATTAGAAGAGCACTTTATTTTTGAGACGGCATGAGTTTTGTATCGTTAATTTGTTCGGGAAAGGAGCGGAGACAGAGCGAAATTGATTATATTATTATACGCGCCCTAAAGTACACACGTAGATTGTCCGCAAGAGATTAAATATTAAGCGCCGATTAAACGACGGAGTTACCAGAGTCGACTCGTGGCGTGACAGTTTTATATATATATATATATATATGTGTGTATGTATATATATATATATATATATATGTATATATATATATATATATACATACACACACAGTGTTTCAAAAAGAACAGCATTCTATGATACAATTGTACTCAAATGTATTATAAACTTAAAATTTCATGTAATTGTTTCATAGAACTTGGTTCTAATAAGTTAATATATTCGTCCTTAAAACTGAATACGTTTTGTATCTTTATAATCGTTCAGACATGTTAGGACATGTTTATATAAACTTTTTTGCTTAAAATGATGTGTACAATCAGGTCCTAGAATGCTGACCATTCCTCCTGAAGCATCCTATATATTACATATATATTTGCAACAGCCTTTAACTTAACGAGCACAAACTCCCACGAGTCCGAGCTCCACCCTAAGCGTGAAGTATGCGTGTTTTTCCTTCGCTAAAAAAATACGGCTTCGTTGTACAAATATTCTCGTAGTAAGAAAGCTATTGTGCGACATTCTTTCATTTATCCGTTCTTTCGCCTCCGTACGATACATTTTTTTCGCGAATTGATTTTTTTTCGACTGAGCATTGCGTTTGAAATTTAGAAACGATTCGCTCGCGTGTGTATGATGTACGCAATTAATTAAATTAATACTAGGTCGCACCACGGTATGGCAGTTGACAAATCCCGGAACGTCCAAACTATCTATATTTTATCTACGTAATTTCCAACAACGATATTGTTTTCTTATTTTAAATGACGCAGAAAAGCTTATATACTTTGCCACTGCTGCGAAGGTTTCGTCTTATCCGAAAGCTCGTCCGTCTCATTTTTTTCGATCTTTGCGTTATTATTATAATAAAAATCACGATCTCTTTTTTTTTGTCACCGCGCACAAAACTAAACGCTATAGCTTCGTCGATCTCGTCGCCCTGAGATTTTTGAGAGTGGTCTCAGCTATCGAATGAGCTTTTCTTTTTCGTTTCAGTCGCGAGAAGCATCGTATAAATGATTTAATTTTTTTACAGAGGAACAACTTTGAAATATAATAGATTTTTATAGATAATCTTTGAATGTTTTCGACGAGACTCCATCAATTAATTCATTTTAATTCGCATTACGATTATTCGCGTTCCTATATTTAATATACGTCGGACTGAAACGATTAAATTATCACATATCATTGACGACGTATCATTGAAGTCCCTAACGCGGACGTAATGTCTATACAAGGTGTCTACTCGGCTTTTCCTCAAATTGATCCAGGAATTAATAATGAGTAAAAGAAGGTATGCGCAAGACACAACTGCATATTTACGAAGCAGCCTCGATAGCGACTTAGTTCACATCACCTTAAGCCCTAGATTCGCATTAATTTCTATCGTGTGCGCGCGCGCGCGATACTGCTTGTCTTTTTTTAGCCTTAGAATTACGGATCTAAAGTATATAAATATACGACGAAGGCATATATCGGTAAATGCGTGTGTGTGCGTGCGTATGTGTCTGTGCGTATGATCGAAAGTGGAACATTCATCAAAAACTCAGCGACTGTGGTCGTTAGATGCCGTGCGGACATAAACGCGCACTTGCACCTAATATAATAATAATAATCATAATCATAATAATTATCGCGTGCAGTGTAGTATATATAATTGAGCTATATCGCTTAACGACAAATTTACACTTCCGCCTGTCCTTAGGAAATACATAACTCGGTACATCGCTCGATGAATGTGCACGTAAAATAGTTTATTCGTTTTTATAACGAACAACCGCGAAGAAAATAGGTAACTCAGGAGGGATTAACAGGAATGTGTTCCATGAAAAATTGACTCGGATATCAAATTTTCGAAAATTTGTTCTACTTCGTGAAAAATACTGGTTTTTTTCTCCATCATTTCTTTATATTTCTCTTTTTATTAAATAAACAATTGGAAGAAAAAGATTTTGATTTTTTCTACCTCTTTTTAGTTCTTATCAAAAAGAGAATAACTTTTGATTCATGGAACGAAATCTTTGAAAATCCCCACTATTTCATCCATTTTCTTGCATGTATGTTTACGCGGACTCGGTTACAATTTACATAACAACTAGTAACAAGTAAAATATTTTCGTTCGATTCGTCATTCATGTCTAAAATGTTCGAACGAATATATGATGAAGACTTGAAAGGAGATCGGAAATGTGGATGCTTACATCATTATATATGCATCTGATGCATATATATATGTATCTTCCTTTTTATCAACATTTAAGATCGCAAGTTCTCTGCCCATTTTACGTAGGCAAATATAAACAGCTCGGAGACAGATGATTATAATTAACGTTAATGGAAAAATAAGGACATTTTAAAAATCTATTTTACCGAATATGAAGCTTTATCAAATCTTTTAGATTTATATGCACTAGCCACACACGTGGAATATATTAATATATACTTAATATGTAAATAAATCGGCCGGATTCGATCGGAATGTACGAAAATGGTCTTGCGCCGATACGTATTAATATATATGACGAAACTTAAGCGGGTCGGATCCACACTAAAAACGTATGCTAAACGACAATCTAAAGAATCGTTGCACTTGGCCGCAACTCGCGATAGCCTGCATACGTAATTGACTCGACGTTTTGTATGACAGCGTTTTATATACGCCTAAATAGTAAATTGCGCGTTAACTTTCGAATTGGCTTGGCTAAATTTTAGCGAGGCACATCGTCCCGAAAAATTAATTGTACTTGGACTCGCTTCCAAAGGCGCGTTCGCTTCGCTTTAGCTTTAGTGTTCGTCTATTCTGAAGCTTCTACGTTTCGCGGTGCGCATTCGACGCTTAATAAATGCGATCGTTCGATTAACCTTGCGATTAATTAGATGCAAAACACGCGCGGACATCCTCCTTCTTTGTCCGAGATCCGCGAATCATTTCTAAATGTCGTGGTCCTCTTGCGAGTGTCGTTTTTAAGCGAAGGCGCGAAGGGCAATAGCCCGCAATTGGAATTGTCTCTTGAAAAAACCGCACGACCCGTTTGCGTATTAACTGGTTTTAACTCGAAAGTAGTAGGACGGATACTTACAATACAAGTATAGCGTAGAACGAAGGAGTAACAATTTTAAGGCTGAGTCGTACCGACCGGAGTATCTGGATTAGTTAAAATCCCCACAGTCGGCGGACTCGCTGTTTTCTAACTAGATTATAGTCCCACTTATAATATCGTAGACAGACGAGGAAAACTTGCAATCTTCTAGAGATGAACAATGCACCAATCATTTCGGTTAAGCGATGTCCGGTTTGAAAACATTTCTTATATTTATTTTTTTGCAAAATCAATTAATTAACTTTTGATGTACAGCTGGTTTTATAGTATAAACTTTAGGTTTCGCGAGAATATGCTCTCATGAATTTTGTATAAATCTTACTTTAGCAAAATTTTCGCGTTCACGTACACTAACATCAAGGTATACAATATTGAAAATTAATAGTTGACAAAAAATATTGAGCTTTTGCTAAGAAAAAAAATCTCTTTGCAAAAACCATCACTGTGGAATTGACACTTTGTACAGTACAAGAGTTAATCGCGGTCGCGTCTAACCGAGACCGGTGCATTCGACAACCCTGAGAATACCCTCGTTACAACGAGGTCTCCATGCTGAAATTCGCTCGTCTAAATTCGTTCTCCATTCTGTAATCCTCTACCCTGCCTGTGAAGCTCCGGCGGAAATTCCTGTCGGTATGAACGAGCTTCGGACGCCGTTCCCTGAACGATCTGGTCATCCCGGGTCTGTTTAGCCGATGCGGTGGTGGCAGTTGGTGTCTCCTGTCCGGTGTGTAAAACCCAACCGGAGGACGTCCATCGTGAGACCTAGCGTCGTCGTATTCGTTCGAGCTCGTCGACCATCTGTTCATGCGTTCGGAGGGCATCCTGCCAAAGGGAGGAAAAGGCGGGTCGTTTCGATACGCTCGCGGAGGTGGAAGCGGCGGCGTCTCGTCGACCCTGAGGCGAACATCCGCACTTGCGTCCATGCTCGAGGACGTCGACGGGCTTCTGCCGTGCAAGAGATACCGAAGATCCCTCTCGTGACGATGCGATGGATGTGCGCCGCGCGAAGGTGGATAGACCACGTTTTCGGCTCGAAACGGCTCGACAGGAACGCGTCCCGTTCGTTCCCCGGTGAAGACGTCCGGAGCGCATCGCGGGTCCCGGTGTACGGACGCTGATCGGCTCAGACGAGCGGGATTTTCTCTGCCGGTGTAATCCATGGAACTCTCGATTGGCACGATATTCTTGCCGCCGAAGGGATCACCAGGGAAGACCTCTTGTATTGGGCTGGCAAAAATGAGCGTTCTAGAAAGACGACATTGATTTATTAACTTTGGATCCGCTTGAAACACGCGTTTATATCGGAGTTGAGACGATCGAGAGAGATTTGTTCCCCGACTTGGTCCGATAACATTCGTTGTCCTTGACAAGCAACGATTGTCCCAACTCCAAGTCATATATATTATAAACTAATTTTCCCAACTTGGCAAAAATAAACTTGATATTACAATATGAAAAAAAAATATAAGGAATTCAAAATTTTTATTCCTTTTTCAAAGAACTTCAATAACAGGACTATTTGATATCAAATGGAATTACAATAAAAAATTTCGAAAGATATACATATATAAACATAATTAAAAATATATAATTAAATAAAAAAGCTTAAAGGACTTTTAAGCATTTAAAAACATATTTAAATTGCAGATGAGAATTTGCAAGTCTGAATGAAAAGCGCAGGAAAGCACATGTATAAAATATATCGCCAAGTTTAAAGAATTAATATGATATATAGATGATTACCAATTAATAATAATACAGCCATAATATACCGCCGTTATGCGATGAGAGCAAGCAGAAACAAAATACAGCACATTAATTATTAATAAGCAATGATATAATAATAAATCTTGCTGCAATTATTGCAAAGAATATGAATGCATATATATATATAGCGAGATAATATAAGGCAGACTAAGACAGTTATTCAAAATAGCGACTAAAAGCTAAAATTAAAATACAGAGATATGGCTTACCTGGTGCTTTCTCGTTTCTGATCGTAGAAAGGATACGTTTTGTCTCTTGGCATAAACTCTTCGAAGGACGGCATCCTTCTCCTGGCCTGCAATCTCTCCCTTGAGCGCGAATGATCACCCTTCTCGTTTCTGCCGATGCAACTGTCGACGCACTCGATACCTCGATTAACGACCTCCTGATCACCGAGATTCTGTAACTCGTCCGCGGTCACTAGGGTGTACCTCTGTCTGTTCTGCTTCAAGATCGACTTCAGGCAGAAGTACGTCCTCGAGTCTGGCAGCTTCCAGCAGGCCTCGTTCGACATGGGATTCACCATAATCCTGCTGCGCGACTCGATTTTCGGGATGGTGCCATTGCCGCTGGTGTTCCTCGGGGAGACGCTCGCCTCGTCGAGGGAGAGAGACCGGTGATGGGCCAGAGAGGGCGGGAACCTTCTGTGATGCTCGGGAGCGTGTGACCTTTCATTTGGAAGATTTCTCTCCGGCAGCTTGAAACTACCTCTACTGCTTCTCTTCAGGATCGATGCCTCCTCGTTCTCCAAGATGTTCTCCAGACTCCTGACGTTCCCGTTCGGAAACGCGGGAGGCACTAGTTCCGTTCGCGAACGCAGGTTTGGCTCGGAAATGTCGCGGGGTATAGCAGTCCCTGCGTGTTCTCTTTCGTGCATGTTTACACCGGAAATAAAGTCCGCCGCCGAGGTAAAGGTCTGCGAGCTCGCGACCGATTTGTTTCTTGCGACCACGCGGGGAACAGGAACGTCCACGTTGATCGTTTGCGTGCTGGTGGAGATTCTGCCGCAGCTGCCGCACTTGCTCGGAGACGCTCCGACCTGGAGATCGTCCAACGAACGGGGTACCACGTTCCCAGGTGGATGTAGCCGGCCGTCAGCTGTCGTCCGTAGCGTCGCTATTTCACTCTCAAAGGTATCGCCAGCGATACCGACGTGGTGCGTTGACGGGGCGCCAGGAGGTGGAGGTGGATGGTGAGGGTGGTCACCACCGGCTGCGATTTCGACGTAACTGCGCTCGTCCCTGAATCCCTCGTAATCGTTCGTATTCCCGTGACACGGACACGGGCAGTGACACTCGCACGGCATCGGCGACAGGGTCTGCCTACTCGGGTCGTTCGCGTTGCACGGAACGATTGCAGGACGGTTCACGTCGCTCGGGACGCTTTCGGCGACGGTGGTATTCGCGACGATCGCCGTATGCCGATCGTGCTGCTCGGCACGCTCGTAGAGAAGCGCCTCGGAGTAGCTGGGTACCATGTCGGTCGCGACATTCGTTTCCCGTCTTTGAGCTTGCGGGTTTTCCTGACTCCTGACTTCCGGTCCGTCGTTACGAGGCGTTGCTGGTTCCATCAACAACGCTTCGCTGTAACTCGGCGCCAGCATGTAGGAACCAAGCTGGCTCAACTGGCTCATGGACGCGTGGATGGGTTCGCCAGAAGTCGGTGTGTCATAATTGACGCCGAAGAGCTTGGTCACCTGATAGAGAACTCTCGTATGTATTTCCGTTGGGACTTGATCTTATCTTGCTTTGATATAACGTAATTGGATTTTCAAAATGGTCGATGCATTTACCTGATAATCAGCATATTGCGTTTTATATTCGATTATCACCCTCAGTGGCCAGCTAAGCAACAAGGCGCTCAGACACCAGTAAATGTAGCGATTCGTGAACCAGGGATTACCAAGGACGGCAACCAGCATTGTGTTGACGTTGTAGCCGAGATCGAGACCCTCCCTCATCTCCATATAATCGTCACTGAGTTCCTAAAAGGAACAAATATGCATTATTTTTTTCATCATTTACATATAAATTTCCTACATAAAACTGTTACTGGTACAATTAATTATTATAAAATATACAATTAATTATATATTATATAATTATAATTTATAATTAATTATATTATATGATTACAATAATTTATTATTATAGGAAACCTAATTTTTCAACAATGATATATACTGATCATTGTTTATTTTCGTACTTGTTCGGCGAAGAATCGCGATCGAGCCTCCTCGAACTCTGTGGCGGACCTTATGTTGGAAAACGCGAAGCCCTTGGTGAGCATGATCTTCGTGATCGGTATCTTCGGCTCGAGTATTAATTCCTTGCTGATGTCCCTCACTCCGCAGTAGTCGTAGTAGTAGTGGGAGGTGGCCGAGTGTGTGTTCACCCTCTCGTAATAGACCTGCGAAGCGAGCCGGTGAGGTAGTGAGGGGAGTGATTCGTCAGGCGCGTCCTTAACCCTTTCGCTATCGCGACATCGCTGTTACTATGTAATTGCAACATGCAGAAACCGGAATATCTACATCTGCGATTTTTATCAAGAACTGCCTCTTTATCTAAAGGCTTCTCAAAATACTGAAACAGATATATCTGTATAGTATGTCAGAATACTACCTTGAAATACTGGATCTCTATTATAGGACTGATATAAAAAATATGTTTCGAATCTTACGCTCTAAATCTCTTTCGCGTGTCTCTTACTAGAAGTCTCTTTCTAGACAACTTTCAAGAGGACTTCGCGGATGCCAGGAAACGTGGCGGAAGGGTTGGAAGAGGAACGCTAAAGGTCCGATGAAAGGGACCAAATGGGGCCGTCACCTGCGTCGTGGTATAATTATCTCCGTTCCTGTAACGCGTAATTTGCCGTTTCCTGCGCACGTAGTGATAGGAAACGGCCTTCCACCATATCCTCGGCTGTGCCATCTTTAGCTGCGTCAATTTGGATAGCACACTGTCCTGGCTCTCTGCGTGCAGTAGATCGATTCTGATCGGTGAGTGATAGCATTCCACCAGATAAACCAGGTACAGCATCCCCATAAATGCCACCTGTACGACAAACAGAGAGAGGGAGAAAAAGAGAGAGAGAGACAAAGGGAGAGAAGAGAGAAAAAAAGGGTAAAAGAGCCGATGGAGCGGCGTCTCATGCATCCAAGCGTGCGTAAAGAGAGGAGAAAGGGATGAAGCAAGAGGGGAGACGATATTACTTCTCGTCGAGTGATAAAAAAAGACAACGTACGCGGTCGTGTCATAATATATAGAAAAAAAGCGGAAAAAGCCCTTTTTTTCATTTTCCATTTCTAGTATACGTACTGGAATGTATATGTAGCCGTCGTCGCAGGGCGATGATAAGTGCTTCATGCTTTTGACGGGATACCTGTTGAAGTTGACCATGGGCTGAAGCAGAAGAAAGAGAGGATGAATTTTTCTCGTTTACAGGATTTTTTTAAAGCGATTGTAACAATGAGATTTGTTTTTTTTTCAAGTACCTTGGTAACGTTGGCGCATCGGCACCACGTCACTGCCGCGAGACAGCCGTATATAAGCACAGTCAGGACCAGACATTTGCAGTTGGGCTCTTTTTGTAGCGCACCGCACAGTGTCTGGGGGACCGGTCTCTGCTGAGAGTGAAAGATTAATGTGCAGGGAATTGTCAGTAATCGGGAGAGTGGAAAGTTGTGCTCCCGCTCATTGAAAATTGATGTTCGACTAATGGATAATACGTCTATATAAAATTGATACTTTTGTTTCGGACGTCGGTTTCAATTTAAATCAATTATTAATCTCTTTTATTAATAAATGAGATTGAATGTATCTTTGAATCTAAACAGATCTAAGATGTCTTGTATCGAATCGAAAAATATTAATTTTTATTAATATCATAACTTCTCACTTTTATCAAAAACAATAATACTCCATCTTATCTAACAGAATTATATTTAATATTAACGATGAAGCTATACTATTCTTTACATGAAGCAGAGAATAAAGCATATTTTTATTAGAAAAATATATGCATGATATTAATTCTTCTTTCAGATTGAAATAGTTATATTATTCTTAAACGGGAGTTTTTCGCTCCAAGAGTCAACATTCCGAGCAAATAATTAGATTCAATTTTATGTAGGACATTCAGACGGATTATAAAGCTGAAGGTGAATGCAGATGTTCTCTGACATTCGCCAACGTACTTCCTCGTTTTCCCGATTCATCGTGATCGTGTTACCGAGCGGACCTCCCCTCGAATTGGACGATTATATCAGACGTCAGAGACGAAATTGCGTCATTTCAGCGCCGTAGTATGCCACCCTCCTCTTTCACTCCTCGACAAAACCCGAGCACCCTCCTGTGATCCTGCGGCATCACGGTAACGAGTCTATTATTCCTCTCCCATTGAAACATTTTTACGCCAAAATTACATCGTATAAGAAGACACGTGCCTTCGTAATATATTGTATCATTATAGGGATACATATGAAAAGCTTATTATGCGCTTTTTATGGACACATAAATTGCCTATTTGAAAATAATTAATGTCGGCAGTCTCGATATTCAATTCGGAATTCAATACAAAATTATAATAAAATATAAATTATTTTTTACGGCGAAAAGTTGTCAGACACTTTTTTCTATTTCAATAAAATAGAAAAAAGGAACAAGCAATATAATACAAAAGTATTATCTGTTTATATAATATATCGAGAAAATCTTTTGTGCACGACAAAAAGCATTGCAAGAGTCTAAACGATTCGTGTATCGTTTAATAAAAAATAACAGCACGCACGTGTTTGCGCGGACCGCGAATTAATTTATGTATAGATTGTAAAATCAATCGCCCAACTATATGTAAGTTTGGCTACAACACAAACACGTGCATAGACGTTAAAATTAATCCGGCTTTATCGAACGTTTACGTTATCTTGGATTATTTGCGCTCGATATTTTGCAAAAAGCACCCTGTATACATAACGACGCTCGGAAAAGGGCATCCTAGCGTAAATGGCTGCGATGCAACGAGCGAAAATTCTTCCGCGTACAACGCCACGTTCCTCTGATGTCAAAGGTACCCGAACATTATTAATACGAACTAGTATAAATGCGGCTCGTCGAGCGAGAACAGATTTTATTAAATAAACGCGACCGTCGTGTAATTTCTACAATTGCATTTGTCTATTAAATTATTATTTCCATATTATTTGTTAATCGTAGATGCATTTTGACAATCAATTTGATTTAAAAGCTGAGCTTATGAAACGTATTAATCGAAGAAAAATAACAATGTGATGAAAAAAAGAGAAATGTATGTACATAATCGTTCATGTGTGTCTTTTACACACACGCGCGCGCGCCCTTCATACAATTATCGTACTTTACCGCCACTTTGGGGGACATCTGGACGACATTCGTCACATCCTTGCATCGCAAGCCGCGCGACGCGACGATCACACAAATCCTACGTACATATCCTCGGCGAATTCCGAGGATTTACCCCGCTACCTCACATCGAAGAAGCGGTGAATCGCGATGAATGATCTCTCTTACGTTCGGACGTTATTACGAGGCCGACAAAGGTAGTCCCCGTACACTGGATGGATGGGTAAATTATCGCGATCACGCGCTTCCAGCACCCGTTCGTAGAGCGTCACCGCGAGGCATGGGTGTGGATCCACTCCCAGGAAACGTGCCGCGATCACTGCTAAACGCTCCACCGTACGGAGCGTCCCCGCGGCGGCGCCCCGACTGATGGGGGTGGCTCGGCGCCGACGTCGGTGGGGATCGTCGCTGCTCTCTGGCCGCCTGGCGTCGCGACGCTGCGCGCTCGCTCTCTTCCTTATCCAGGATCCTTGCCCGCCTTCCGTCCCGGCAACGTTCGCAACTATATGGCTCCGCCGAGACCTTGAACGGCCGCCTCCTACTCGATGACTCGCCTATTAACGAGGAACGTTTATGAAGGTCGTCGGCGGCGCCGAGCGAGGAATATCGAATGCTGCTATCCGGACGAGGGTCATCAATTATGCGAATGACGTTGCTTGGCTTTTAGGCTTTTTTCCGTCCTCCGGTGTCCGGGGCTATTCAACAGCGAAAGAAAGAATTTTATATCGCGGAAACTTTATGACAAGTTTAAAAATATCCATATAATAATTTAAAATTAATGAACAAATAATTTAATGAATAAAATATATATATATACAGTGTCCCATCAAAAGTGGCCATCCCCTTTCATCTTTGAAACTAAAAGAGATAGACCATAAAAATTATATATGTAATTAAATGGCTCAAACTAAACTTTTTTGTGAGCACAGTGGTTGCTTACAAAAACTATCTATGTTTGAACCATTTAATTTCATATATAATTTTTATGGTCTATCTCTTTTAGTTTCAAAAATAAAGGAGGGTGGCCACTTTTGATGGGACACCCTGTATATATAATTATACATTAAATATCTTCATAAAATGGGATTCTTAGATTTTCTATTTTTCTGCGTTTGCATAAGGATAGTTTAATTATAAAATCGCGATACATTTTCAAATCAGAGGTAAAATAATAAGAAACTTAATTTTTGTACGTACCATCAAAAAAAAGTTTTAGAGTTTTCACCTTTTGTATAATTTTCACTCGAATATTCATCGTGAATAATGTGATGACGCAAATCTAGTGCATCCAAAGCTCGATCGAACCATTAATTAATCGATTAAAGTTACAACGCTCTAGTGCGCGAGTTTCTAATAAGTTTCAATACTCTTCAAGCTGCTTGTAACTTCCGTTTTCCGGCTCCGCTCCGTCGAAACTTTTATTCGCGCACGAATGAAACAATTACACGTTTGTGTGTTATTCCCTTCAATTTGAATGAAACTTTCAGATAATGTTTTCCAAAATGTATCTGAAGACGTAGACAATTCTGACAATGAGTTCTTGTTATTCCGGAGTTCGACGTCATCCTAACGGCGATAAAGAGATAATAAAGAAAGGGAAGCTGCTTGATGCCGATCATAAAAGTCGTGATTCTCCCTCGAGTTATCTCTCATCCTTTCTATATAGCGCAGGAAACTATGCGGGATAAAGACGCGCGTTTTGGCGCCGTCTCGACGGGTATCTATTGATTGCAATTTGAGATGATGGCAGGCAAACGAACATGTATCTCACGCGCATGCATCTCAAAGTATGTGGATGGAAGGAAAGAGTGTGATCTGGAAAAACAAATTTGATATATTAATTATTCCGTTCATCATGGGCATTTTTTAAAAAGGAATTACATTTTTATAAGCTTAACTTTTATATTATTGTTCAGTCAGGAAATAAAAAAAAACACATTTATTATTCTCAGTATTTAAACATGTATTAAAAGCATTAACATTTTTTGTTCTATTTAACATTCACTGTTTAATAACACGATGCCTTAAGCGAGAAATAATAAAGAGGTTGAAGAGGAAAATATTCAATTGAATTCCTAATTTCAAAAATTAGATATAGATTCTTTCCTATACATTTTTATTTTATATATTTCTCTGTATTTTACAGGGAAATGTTTCTTTGTATTCAACAATTGTGATATTTATACGAGATAAACTTGCACGCGAGATTTTATTAATGACGATAAACAATAACGCACACACCCAGTTTAAACAGATAGATCCGCTTTAATATTATTTATGAAAGTATCGCGAGATCTAGGAAGCTGCTTTGACACCCTTTAAACGATTTGACCTTATTTTTTCAGAGCAATCAATAGGCGAGGGTTCTACTAATAAATACTTAGACCAGATCGATAAGTAAGCAAGATCAACAAAGTGTAGTCTAAATAAATTTGCGACAAAATATATATATATATATATATATATATATATATATATATATATATATGTATATGTGCGTATCGTTTGGACATGCGCGTACATATAATTTCGCGCGAGATTTTATTTATGCGCGTGTTTTCTTTTAATTGCCGTAAAACATAATTTATTCTTTTACAAATTTAGGCAAATAAGAAAATGATTGCGTCAAAAAGAGGACTAACACGCGAATCAACTTACTACGGTCAAACATAATTTCACTATTTTGGAATCCGGCCAAATCCGCATTCTGCCTATAGATTGATTCTTCGGCCGCCATATATACATATATATGTATATAAATTGATTTTGAAGATATTTATATACAAAGAATAAGGTGTAGGATATCACAAGTTTGTATAAGTCTTTTTATGTGTTAATACTTGCCAAATGATACGCACAACGCTAGAATTTTCAGAATTGAGCTTATTGCTCAAATTCCCATACATGTAAATGTATTATTTATGTAATAATTTCATAAAAATTGCTGAAGATATCAAAGCATTGCTTGATTAAAATTGATATATACATATATACAGAAAATTTTCACGTTGGTATATTTTCACATGTACAATTTTCATTGCCATCATAAGCTACACTATGCGATTAAAATAAATCACATTGGGAACCACATGCTTCAAAAAATATTTGCCAAAAACAAAATATTTAACTTCTGTTTAACTAAATATCTTTATAACATTATTCAGCAAGAATTATATAAGTTTATTGTTAATAGAAAAAAATATTTATAAGATAATTTTATCAAAAACAAAATCGATATTGATTTAATTTTTTTGCAACAAAAATTATTTCTTACTAATAAATGTTACATGTATGGAATGAATAAAATTGTTCACATAATTTTTGGTTTTTAGTATAAAAAAATTAAAAAAAAGTTTTATTATAAAACAATTTAAACACAATTCAAGTTCCTTTTTATATTCTTTTCATAAATAAATTGCTATATAACTATACAATACCTATATATACATCAAATTTTATCCAAATATCGATTTAAGGAACTCTGTTCTATCCTTTTCATCTATTGTTTCTGCTTTCCTATTCCTTATCTCACTATCAGTGTCCCTCTGTTTAACTTCAGGTAATTCGAAAGTTGTCTCTTCTCCTTGCTTGTGTTTTTTAAGTAACTTTTTACTCCTATCTACATTATACGAGAAAAAGTTAACTTCTCTCTTAACTTGTGCTATTTCGGTTAAAAGTCTTTGTTTATGCACAGCACGTTCATATGCTAAGCGCTCACTCAAGTGAATCCATTTAAATCTGTGGGAATATATAAATAATAAACAAATAGTAATCGCATATTAATATTAGCAAAGGGAGGAAATATTCATTTAAATTATTTATGCTTACCTAGGCAAGTACTTTATATTCCACATAACATCGTAGAACCTGCTTTTCTTTCTCGTAGATACTTGAGTGTTGTTTAATGTTGCTGCTACAAATTTTGCTACCTTCTTACTTTCAAACTCCACCCAACCTTCAGTGAAATACTTGATTGCCTTTTTCCGCTTCTTTTTAATCGATTGTGCATCTAAAACATTGAGATATTTTTAATTAAATATAGCTTTTGTAATCAAGAGAATTTATGGCGATTCCTATTTTCGTTGAAAATTCTTGAAAATAATTTTTTACATTTACATAAAGCCGATTCTTAATCGTAAAAATAAAGTACTATAGTTGGAATTATGTATAATTTGCGCTATTTAAAAAATAAAAAAATAATACAATGAAAACACACAAACTAACCATTTTCGGCCAGTTGTAAATACACTCTGTCCACTTTCCCGTAAGCCGAGAAAATCTCTCGGATCATTGCGACGTTCATATATTTTGGGATTGTGGACAAATATATTATTCCTCTTTTAACCTTCTTCTTGGGTTCTACCAAATTGTTCGTCTCCATAATAATATTTTTCAGAAAACGTATTTCTCAATTACAACAACTTGAAAAACGTGGAAGAAGCAGCTTCAGCGCCATCTGTTCTCCGACTCGGGTGTGGGGGAACTACAATTAATCACGTGACAGGAAGACGCCATATTAAAAGAAAAATGCGCGCGATCTCGATTTTTTGTCTCTGTCAAATAAGCATCTCTATGTTGCTCTCATTTCTATATCATAACTCTAATGTCAAAATTTCAAAATAATTCATTAGACTAATTATATACATAATTTATACACACATATATCTAATAAATAAAATATTATAACAAAGAACTATCATTATTGAAATTTAATTCTGGACCAATAGCGTCTTCCCGCGTAAAAATAAAAAACAGAAATAATAATAAAATAAAAAATACTCGCGGAAGATGAGAGCGTAAAAACATCTGTCACTTACCAAATGATCTTAAAACAAGATCGCTTACCCCTTCGTTGATAAATGCACTATTATAAAAGAGAAAAAAAACACACGTATATGGCACGAATACCTTCCACAAACGTCGTACATCCGGTCCCGTTTCGTTCGTTCCCGGTGTTCCTGGATTAATTTCGCGCGCCTCTCTGATTGCGCAACGCGACGCGCACATGATACGCGAATGTATATCATATACACACATCTATACATATATACACACACATATACACGTATTATATTTCGCTGCGATAATCGGCCGCCAATTCGTGGAAGGACGACGCGATGGATCGCTGAGTTATATCGCGTGTTCGAAGTTAGGGCACTTCGAGGGAGACCTCGTGCGTTCTGTCATTGTCGCGGAGTCTCACTCGCGAGGAAGCGTACGGACGGACAAGGAGGGAGGCGCGAGCTCGCTCGCCTCGCCGTCGTCGTCGACGATAATTATGTTACGCTGTGCAACGCGAGCCAAGCAAAATGGCCGACCGCGAGTGCTCGGCGGTGCTGTTGTTTATTCGTTAGGGTGAGGGAGAAGGCGGCGCGTCGATTCCTCGTCGTCAATTATTCCTCGGACCATTTGCTTTCGCGGCCCGGAATCTGCGCGACATACCATATCTCGTTATTACGGCCGCCGTAACAGCTCACTTCCGCTTTTGTGTCTGCGACAACGTCAAATAATTACCCGGGTGCGCGTGTTACGTTTTTTCGTTAGGTCTGGATTTTTACGATCGCCCGGGAACTTGTTTGTAACGTAATATTCACGGGATATTTTAACAGGAGCGGAAGGTGGAGTCTGGAGAGACGTTGCTGGAGCCTTGGAACTTTATTTGGCGCGCCCAGGTAATCATAACCTCAATCCGGAGAATACGAGGATCTTTCTTGGGAAATGGGAGATGAAATCTTGATCGTTTGATTGTTTCGCAGGTAGACAAAGATGTCAAGTTCGTATATCGTTGAGCCGCAAAGCGACTCCGAGAAGAAGGACGATACATTAATTATTGTTGTAAATGACGATGGGACCCTATCTGTTGATCAGGCGACTCTACACAACTTGATAAGTAAGTGACTGACGAATAAATGAGGCAGAAAAAAATTTTGAAGAGGATTCCTGTGAATAAAATATGATAATGTGTAATATCCTGGAATGTCTACATACAGATTGCATTGAATTGCTCAACATTTTGCAGTGACCCAATCGACCGCTAATGTTAGCGTGGTAAGACTAGGACAAACTGAGACAGACATCGAAAATGGGGATATAACCTTGACTGTAGATCCACCGCCATTTACACATCCTACAGCGAGCTCGGTAAGCGCGAATGCCAGTACCGACTCGGGTGGGTTGGTAGATCCTTTTATGGAGATGGATCCGGAACAGTTGGAAAGATTAGAGACAGCTCTCCAAAGCGAAGAGGCAAAGCAGATACTCGGGGAGAATGTCACTGCAATGCTTGGTACTTTGTAAATTCGTTTTGTTTGTTTATTTTTATTTTTTTTCTTAAGTTTAAGCTCTTCCTTATTTTGCGACAATTTTCTGTTTACATTAGCGATTTTGTATTGCATCGACATAAATATATGCAAAATTTCAGTTATTATACACAAATATACCTTTCTCTGATGTTTATAACAGATTGATCTTGGGATTTCTCTATGTTTTTGTTCTTTTTTTCAGATATGTTATCAGTAGAGGAGCGGCAGAATACTATACGCTATAGTATACAATTGGATCATTGTTATACAAGTAGATTATCTCCCAATGATCCAATACCGAGAGATCCCTTACCAATTGTTGATGATTCACCTGAATCAAATGATGTGCAATATATACATCAATCATTGTCTTCTCGAACAACTATTGCATCATCTGTTAATGATGTAGAAAATGTTGGAGTTAAGGGCAAGATTATTGTAAAGAGTGTGAGTGTAAGTAATCATTGTTATATGTATATATACATATATATATATGTAATAAATAGAATATTATTTTTATGTAAAAGATTAATTATGTGATACCTTATTGATGTCTTGATAGGCACCATTGCAAAGCAAACAAATAAGTAGACCGATACGTAAAGTTACTGTATCTACACCTACAAATGTAACTGGACTTTCTAGAGGTAATACAAATATTGTTGGAACACCTAAATTATCGGGACATCTTGCTCCAAGAAATATAACAAATGTCCAGCACGGTGTAACTAAAGGTATATAATCTTTAATGCTATGTTATAACAATAGTTTTAAGTTATTAATTATGCTGAATTAAATTTTATCATTACAATTTATATTTTTAGCACAAGGTAAGAATAACGAGGAGGAAGAGGATGATGATGTCACAGAATCATCTACAGAGTCCTCAGAATCTGAACCACCATCCGATAATGATAATGATTCGGACTTTGGGCCTCGTGGTACTAAGAGAAGTAATGCCAAAGCTCGAGGGGGACGAAAAGGTCTTACTACAAGAGGGGGTAGTATGGCAGCAGTTCGAAGAAGAGGTCAAAACAAACAATTAGATATGGAACAGGTACGACGATTGGATATGGAAATGGCTGCTGCTGTTAATGCAATGAAAACTCCCGAGAAAGATGAAAGAGCAGGTGAGTGAAATCAGTTAATAAAAATAAAAAGAAATTATTTATTTAGTGTCTGAATTAAATAATGTAAATGGTATATATATATTACAGAGAGGTTTAGTCCAACAAAGAGTAAAAGACAAATCAAAACTCTCGGTGGGAAGAAGAAAGAGGAATCGCAATATGCGGAAACATTTGCGTCTGAAGAAGCGATATATGAGAAACCGCCGCAAACGACAAATCAAGTGAAAGCGAATCTAATTAACGCCAATATGATAAAGGGCGATATGATATTGACCAAACCTGGTCAAGGAAGGAGTAATCAAAAAGTTACCTTTGTTCAAAAACAGATATCGATGAAACCCAATGAACTCAAGAATATCGGGCTTAAAAAGTCAGTGGTGATTCCTAAGGGAAAACCTGTAAATCAAACAAATACAAAATTACTCACACCTACAGATGGAAAATTGGGACCATTATCAATAGCACCTAAAACTGTAACTCCAAGCATACAGGTTTCCTCAGTAAAAGCCACAGTGACACAGCAACCTGTGTCACAACAATCTGCACAAGTTGTGAATCAAGGATTATCGATGCAACAGCAATTCAAAATTCTTCCATCAGCTGGTAGTCCTTTAAAAATCAAACTTGGTGATATAAAAAGAGAAAAGAGAAAATCTGATAGCATAGAATTATTTTCAAAGGGAGAAGAAAATTCTGCAAAATCCATAGAGAACAAAGTACTGGATGGTTCGTATTTTTTAAAAATTATATTACGAAATTAAGAATAAACCAAAATAAGAATCAATTTAAAGAATCATTAAATTGTAATTTTAAGTGTTAAGTCATTTCTTTATAGGTACAAAGAAACTTAAGAAGGATAATCGAAAAGTTCCTGGATTTGTAGCAGATTCTCTAGGTCCAGCACTTTTCTCAACACCAGATATTATCCGACGTGTTGGTTCGAATAGTGATGGAAAAATCGGAGACAATCCTGCAACACCTACAACTCCGACAACTCCTTCTGCGACAGTAGTATCTACACCCGGATCATCGATAATGCCTATAACTGCAGCCACTTCATTGGATATTGACATTTGTGCTGGTTCAAATATAACACAAAACATTGCCTCCAATTTTAATGATAAAAAGATAGTAGCGGATATATTAGAACAATCTGTGCAGTCACAATTAAATCTCGATGAAAGTAACAATGTAATACCAGGAGACGAGGACGAACAAAAATCAGATATTAAAACTCCTCTTGCAGAATTACAACCATCACTAGATTCAGGTAAAACTACATATATGTTAGATAACTTTGTAATTTTGTATTTCCCTCTAGTGTATTTCTGTATGCTACTTTTTGACAAGTAATTTTTACAAAATCTATATTTGTAATCATAATATGACATTTTTTCATATTTTCATTTTATTTTTTTTTTAAAGATGATTCTAATAAATATTTTAATATATCTTGTTATTTTTTATTAGATTCTCTATTGCTTGCACACATACACAATACACATATATTATTTAATATTGTCAAAGACACAATGTATGCTTAAATTTATGTTTTGCAATGCTATCGTATGTTTTCTTAGTGCCAAATACTACTTCAGAGGGAATTATTCAACCTATGGAATTACCTCATGTTCCAAATCATATGTCTAAAAGTAGTAAGTTTTAATAATTAGTTTATGCTGTATGGATGAAAATGTATACAACTATTTTCTATACATCTCTCTATGACGAATAACTATTCTTTATGGTATATACTGTTTGTTTTTAAATTGCCCGCATTTTTTTGATTTTTTTCTAAATATATTTATGTTATATTAAACAATATTTTACTAATGTGTTCCATGTTTTTGTTAAAGGTGGAATTGAAGGAGAAGAACATTTATTTGCTACTTTAGAAATGGAAGCCAGCAAGCATGAAGAAGAACTTTTAGCTGAAGCTTTATTGTTACAAGACGAACTAACGGACGATTTAGCTGCACATGTAAGCAAGTATAATAATATATGTTCTTACTAATAATAGTAGGAAGATATAATATTTAAAATAGGTACAACATAATATGATCAGAAGAATGTGTATGTTAGTAAAAGAATATTCATGAAAAACTGAGATGTTAAAATCTTAATGCGATATAATAAGATTTTCTTGAGTAAAAGAAAACATGAAGGCATACACTAGTGTGATAAACACATTAATTACACTAAATATTACAAATTAATAAACAGATATAATAATAGAATTAATACTAATAAATTAAATATTCTATTATATTATAATATTTTGAAATGAATGAATTTGAATTTATCAGTTTTATACGTAATCATTAATTTATCAGTTATTCGGTTTTCAGATGTAACAAAAATTACTTTATTTTTAGAACACTTGATATATTTAGTTATTTGCATTGTCTATATATAGGCAAATTTTAATAAATTTATTAATAAATATCTAATTTATAAAGTATGAAAATTATGAATATTTATTTATAAATTAGATATTTATTTCAGTATTATATTTTGAGGTAAGTATAATAATTTAATTAAATAAACTTGTATTTTATATTTATGAAATTTGTACATACCCAAAGATAAATTATCATAAAATATAAAATAAAACATTTTTATAGCATATTAGCTAACAAGTGCGGGGGATCGTAAATCGGCCGAGAGTGCGGAAGTTTGGCGCACGAGGCGAAGCCGAGTGTGACAATCCGCACGATGGGCCGATTTATGACCCGCACATGTTGGCTACGATATTTGTGTGACCGGTGTGTGGAAACGGGGAACCCTTTCTAAAATCCCATCATGTGCGTAAAGGGCGACTTTTCGCGCGCCGGTTGCACAAAAATTATTTTTTTTCATCGAAAAAAAATTTTATGTGCAGAAACATGTAGATAAAGAATTATTTGTGTAAAATTATGTATAATTTTTCGCTTGTTCTTCTATTATTTACCTTATATGTATAATTTTTCACTTGTTCTTCTATTATACCTTACCGACAAGATTTATATAAGATAATTTTTGGAAAAAAATGCTTCAAAAATCAATTGGTTTAAATCTTTCTGTTAATAAAGCAATACATGTAGTAAGTAAACAATGAGTTTTTTGCTTGTTGGCGAAAAAAATAGCGATGCTGCGTTCTTTGTATTTAATTTTAGAAAATACACATTTTTTAATATATGATTCTTTTGTAATAGTCCTTTTGTTTTTAACACTTTTATTAACTTTGCAGTCATTTTTTACTTCAAAAATTCCTAAATTTTAATATTTGCTAGTAAATATATATTTATATAATTTATATATTTATATTTTATATATTTATTTTTTATTTTTAATTATTAATTTATTAGATAATTATTCTAATTATTAATAATTAAATAATACTTTTCCTCTTTTTCTCTTACAATTTTCCTTTACTCTTTCACTTTTCTTTTTCCTTTTTTCTCTCCTTCAAAAATATTAAAAATAAAAATAACAAATTATTTTTATTTTTAATTTTATATTGTGTGTATTGAATTGCAGACTGCACTGGTCGATTCCACACCAGCTGTGTCAGAATCATTAGCATCAAGCAACATGCTTATGCCTACACTAATAACTGAACAAGATGTAAATAAACCAGCGGAAGCTGTAACGACGACACAAATTGAGCCAAATACACCGAAAGAAACGAGCAAGAAATCGAAAGATGATAAAGAGCCAATTCAAATAATTCGGGGTGGTCGTGTGATTACATTACCACCCATTGAAGCACCTGCAACTAGAAGTAAACGATTGCAGGCAAAAACTGAGGTAGCACAGAAAAATCCTGAACCAGCAAAAAAGATAGAAAAAAGCAGGTAAGTTCTATTGTATTGCTACTATATTGTTACCATAAACATGTGCTCATAAATGAAACAGCTGATATGTGTGATGTTGATTGAAGTAGTAGTAAGTAGGATGCATCCGAATATTCGGATTCTTTCGAGTGGACTAGATTCGGCTATTATATTTGTGTGCACATAAAACGAATTATATCCATGAATTTTATCGATACTGGAGGAATAGGCCTCAAGGAGAGAAATTAATAAATCTTAAAGAGAGAGGAGAAAATAGTGAAGGTGTTGTTTTCTGATTGGTTAATTACTTTCATATCCTTCTTTATTTGTTGACCTATCGTATATGTATAATATATATAAAAATGTATAAAATATAAATATTGCTGAATATATATATATATATATCGTAACCAAATGATCACTTTAGGCAAATAGCTTTTGACTAGTCACACAAATGCTGTTTCACTTGCCAAATTAGACTACACTACACTACACTACGCGCCGCACGCACGCGCGCGCGCACACACACACACACACACACACACACACACACACACACACACACACACACACACAACAAAAGGGGGATGTTACAAATAGTTAAAAAATAGAGGGTGCTAATATCAATTTCTATCTTTTTTCAAAATGGGGTATGAATCATAATGGGTAAATAAGAAATAAGAAAATGTCGTTTCAGTATCTATGAAGTTCTAAGTTCGAACCGAATGCATCGAACCTAATGCATCAGAAATATCCTTACTGCAAATTTTGCTATTATCTCAGAACCTGTTCCATCTAATTTTGTGTTCATGTATTAAATAAATTAAGAAATATATATATATATTTGATCACACACACACACACACACACACACACACACGTGTGTTTGAAAATTACTTGGAGTAACGTAAATCTATGTAACACATCTTTGTTTTCTTTTTGTTTTAATTGAATAATCAAACATTGACAAGTAAATTATCGAGTATAACCGTGACAACAATGATAATATAATAAATAAGAATATTTCAAAGCTAAATCGATGAACCTTATCAGCATATTGAGAAGTCATTATCAAATTTGTTATTGTCCATGAATGAAAATACATGTTTAAATGCATCACTGTACTGAGTTTTTTGTCTAGATCAAATTTTTGTATGTATTTCGAATTTTGTAAATCTTGTATCTCAAACATTGTGCACATATTATATTTGACATAATGATTGTTATAGTCTGCAAGTGCAACAATTAATACATAAAGAAGAATTAAAAACGAATGATGAAGAAGATGATGATGATGAGGAGGAGGAGGAGGAGGAGGAAGAAGAAGACAACTCAGATTCAGAAGATGATCCAAATCGATTATGGTGTATCTGCAAACGACCTCATAACAATCGTTTTATGATATGCTGTGATGTCTGTGAAGATTGGTTCCATGGAAAATGTGTACATGTTAGTAAAGCTATGGGTAAGTATTTCGGATCTTGATTTAAATAACTGCTGAAATATATATTTATATATATGTCGTAGGCAAATGGTTACTTTGGGCAAATGGAACCTAATCTAATGGGTGCGCAAGGAGAGCCCTCCCTTGCATGCCCTTCCATAGACACCCTTGATGGATGGGGTGGATGAAAGCACTCCCTTGCAATCCCCCCCCCTTGTGTGTGTATGTGTGTGTGTGTGTGTAGTCTAATTTGGCAAGTGAGACGGCATTTGACTAGTCAAAAGCTATTTGCCTAAAGTGATCATTTGGTTACGATATATATATATTCAGCAATATTTATATTTTATACATTTTTATATTATACATATACGATAGGTCAACAAATGGAGGAGAAGGGTATAGAATGGGTTTGTCCAAATTGTTCAAAAAAGAAAGCCGAAGAAGAGAAAGTAAAGAATTTGCAATCTGGAAAACAAAAAACGAAGATTGAACTAGCGAATGAGAATTCAGTATCGCAAAAAGTGTTAACGAAAGAAATACCTTTATCAAGTCTTTCTATTAACCCTTCTATTCCAGTTTCTGGAACAATGCAGTGTGTTGTTTGTAAGAAAGAAGCTAGAAACTCCAGCATTTATTGTTCAGACGCGTGTATTCTCGCACACGCTCAAGAAACTTTGACCAAGGACAAACCTGTACCAACGGGATCAAAAACCACAAAATCAGGGGAAATTAAGGCAAAAGCCGAGACTAGAGTAATAGTTCTTGACAGAAAAACTGGCAAACTTCTTACTGGTAAGTAGATTATTTAGTTAATGTTAATTTTAACATATACATTTTTATTCACTTTTTTATCTAAATTAATTGTGTACGTAATATTTTTATTCTGTACATATTTATCATTTGAATAATTATAGGAAAAGATGTAAGATATTTTTGATAATAATGTTTTTTATCTTTAAAATAGAGAGGTTTGTATGTATATAAATTAAATATGCATGAATTATTTTAGGCGCAGATGCTCCTATGAAATCTAATTTGCAAACATGGTTGAAAGAAAATCCAACTTTTGAGGCAATAGGAGCTAGTAATATCAATACACTTAAGATAGGTGGGAAGATTGTCACACAGATCCAAACGTCTGGAAAACCAGTATGTACAAAATACAAAATTAAATTAAGTAGATTAAAATAAGTATTAATTGCATATAGAGTTAAAAATAATGTAAAAAGTATTAACAGATTAGTTCGATTTTTGTAAATATCACAGTCTGAAGTTAACAAAAAGATATATAAACTATATTTTCAGATGAAAATAACACAGCAGCCAGTTAAAATTCTACCAAAGATGATCTATACAAAGGTAGTTGGATCGAAACAAACCGTTTTAGCACCTAATAAAAAGATTACAATAATTCCTGCACAACAAGTGAATGTGTCGCCGAGCAATAAACCGACGCAACTGAAACAGACAATAATCTCGACGACGCCGGGAAAGAGCCCTATAATATTGAAGACTTCGACGCCGAAGAGTGTCATGTCGGCACAGTTGAAAGGCCAAGCAACGGGCTCGCCAAAGCAGATGGTTAAGAAGCTAGAGACAAAGCCATCGCCGTCCCAGTTGAAGCAACAAACTAAGCTAACACCGGTGAAAAAACCAGAGACGGAACCTATACGAGTAAATATCCGGAAAACGCTGACGGAATTACTGTCCAGCCGTATAAAGGAAACCGAAGATCTGAAATTAACCGATGAAGAGATTGCCGATTTAGCTTTCAACATAGAACTCGAAATGTACAAATATTTCAAGGACACCGGTTCCAAATACAAAGCAAAGTACAGAAGTCTTGTGTTCAACATAAAGGATACTAAGAATCTGACATTATTTAGAAAAATCGCGGATCGTTCCTTGACGCCGGATGCGGTAGTACGATTAAGTCCGGACGAAATGGCCAGCCAAGAATTGGCCGAGTGGCGGGAGAAGGAGACCAAACATCAGCTGGAGATGATAAAGAAGAATGAATTAGATCTGATGGCTCAGGCCAAGTCAATAGTCGTAAAAACTCACAAGGGCGAACAGATAATTGAAAATGACGGCGGAATTGATCACGTTGATCCTAAGACACCTGTGCAGGATATCGTCACCGCGTTGAATAGCGGCGATAGCATAAGTTCCACGGTTGATGAATTGGAGAAGAGTAAGGATAAGGAGGAGAGGTTGAGGTCGCGAATAGACATGAAAAAATCGAAAGGCATGGACGAACGTAGAAGGAAGGATAAGGAAAGAAGCAGGGAACGCGATAGCATAAAATCCAAAAGCAAAGATCGGCGGGATAGAAGTCATAGCCGGCATCGGCGTAGCCGAGATCGGGAGCGCAGCAAAACGCGAGACAAGAGCAAGGAGCGGAAGTCTAGAAATAAAGAGAGTAGACGTGACAAAGAGAGAGAGCGCGATAAGGATCGGAAAGATCGAGATAAGACAAATAGGAAGGAGAGCAGAGAGAGAGGCCGGCAGAAAGAAAAAGACAAGCATAAGAGGGGCGATAGTCGAACGAGAAATCGTAGCGAGTCCCGCGAATCTAAAGATATTGATAAAAAAGAGGAGGAACGAAAGAAGGAGACGGACAAGAAGAAGGAAACCTCGCCGTCTGCAGAGAAACCGATTGAAGATCGTCTCTGGCGACACATAGAGGATGAGGCGACCACGAATACCATCGACGGAAACGATTCTGACATATCGGACAGAGAACCTAGCTCCACCGTCACAATCAAGACGCCCGACATAAACGAGGAACTCGAGAGAGACAAAGAACCAGAAACAGACAAAGATGCGACGTCGAAAGGCGGATGGCGAACAGTCTGGCGTGGTTTTGTTAACATGGTTGACGTCGCCAAGTTCTTTATAACTGCGCAAGAAGTAAGCGGCAACGCCAAGGACCTAATGGACGATCTACCGGATACTGTCGACGTTGTCGGCAGGATTAGTCATGATACTGTTTGGGATTATATCTCAAAGATGAAGAGGACAGGCTCGAAGGAGATCCTGGTCATCAGATTAACAGCCGCGAACGACGAAGAAAAGATTCCATATATAACTCTGTACAGCTATTTGAATAGCAGAAGCCGTCTGGGCGTCGTGGGCAATGTCTCCAAGAATATTAAGGACTTCTACATAATGCCGTTTTCGAGTCAGAGCACGATACCGCCGGTGCTCCTGCCACTCACCGGACCCGGCTTCGAGGAGCATCGGCCGCATTTACTTCTAGGCATCATAGTTCGTAACAAGAAGAAACGAGTAACAGCTATACCGCCAATCGTCTCTACAAAGACGTCCAAGAAGGAATCGACCGACAGGAGTTACACGCCGCCATTGGTCAGCGTGCCGAAGGAGAAGACTTCATCGCCGCCGCCGTCCTCATCGCCCATGTTATACAAAGCGACTGCGTTGACCGACTCGAAGGAGAAACCAACGGTGACGCAAATGACTTTAGAATCTCTCAACAAGGCGCACATAGGCATGTCGCGGGGCGTCATAGACACCGCGACGATCTGCAAGATTGTTCCGGAGTTGTCGTCCAAGATTGTCGACCTGACGTCATCGCCTGGTAAGGACGACGATGGGGACGAACCTTACAGTCCTGGAGAATTGGACGACGACATGAATAATTTGCAGACCACTACCGACAGCGCTGCCGGAATTCTATCATCCAGCAAAAATTCCACGGAACTGCAGAGAAAGATGGACGAGCTGAATCGGCAGATCGAAGAACAGAAGCAACAGATCGAAGAACAGAAGCAACAGATACAGAGCATAAGCTCGTCGTTTCTCGACGAAACTACGCCGACTCTGCCGGTGAGAACTTCCCTAAGTTCTATTTATCGAGATTTTCATCTTGATTGTTACGTCGTTCCTCCTCTATGTTTAGCTTGATGTAAATAAATTTATTTTCAATCGTCTGTCTCCCCATACGTTCCCGTGGAATTTAGTTGAACGTATTTATTTAAAATAAATAAATTGAAACACGAAAAATAAAAATCATTTAGCGGATATTAAGAGAATGTAAATCGATGTTTATATATTGTATATATATAATGACTGTGTAAGAAAAATTATAATTTTTTCTACATTTTTCATTGTTTTAATGTTAAGTTGATATTAAGATCTGCACATACATATATTTAAAAATGAATACACATACGGTTATGTGCAAAATAATAGCACCGGTTGAAAAAATGAAGGAAATTGTATGTTTTCTTCGCCATGTTTAACTGTCTTCATTGTATATCTAGGATTATATTCCGACTTTTGTGGTCTTCGAACGCGCGAACTGACGAATACCAAGAAATCCTTTAATAATCACTTTTCGATGGTGGAGGAAATATACAAATTTCTTTCATTTTTTTAACCAGTGCTATTATTTTGCACAACTATATATGCAGCGTTTCGAATTGTAACTATAAACTAGTCGCTCAAGTAAAAATCTATCAGTAGTTTTGTTTCATTTTTACTGAAATTTTTTCTCAATATATTTAAAATACGAATTTCTAATGATCCATGAGCGAAAATAGTATACTTGATATTTCATCTGAAAGCATAAATATATTTGTGTTAAACATAATTTCTCATTTCTCGAATAAGTAATCTCGTATTGAAAAATATATTTATCGATTTATATTCTATTAATTGATACTACTGTGTATCCCAAACGATGACTACGAGCTCCGTTGACAATC